CGGTCAGCCCCCTGTGAGAAGAGAAGAACATGTTACGGGCTAGTCCCGCCTAATGCTCACTATAAGGGCATATTCGAATACAAAACATAACATGATGAAAGGAAAGAGAAAGAAAACAACAAGTTCTTCACGCGCATACAATCTTACATGATCATAGGGAATCAGGAGCTTCTGACGGGCTTCTCTCTAGGAATCTAGGTTTGCCGGGTTTGCCGGATCAGCTCATTACAGATATTACTGGTCAGGGTTTGTTTTGGGTTCTAAGAATATTACGGGCTTCCTCGTGGCAGGGTGGTGTTGTGTCGTTCCTGAGGTGGAAACTCGATTCGGCGTTCGATTTCCACCGCGAGTGGGCTCCGGGCAGCTTTCAGAAAAGATTGGAGGGCTTATTGCAGCTACACATGAAACCACTTGTTTGACTACAAGGCTTCAATTATTTATGATTAAACGTTGAAAAATCCTGTTCCCAATGTTCGGCAGCGTACTACGCACCATCGGACTCCGGAACTGGATTATCATTATGCCGAGCGCCGCACCACTGAGTTTTGTATATAGCCTCAACTTCACCCCCGAAGCCCCCTTCGTTCTTGGGGGTAAGTCATCAATATCAGGAATTCATACCATGTTGATCAGGCTCACCAGGCTGCTTCGTGTTATGCCTTACTAGGTGATTGTGCTTCGTGTTATCAATCCCCTAGTTAAACTAACATGTACAGTCATCGGAAGTGAAGTGCTGTGTTGCGATAGTCGTAAATCCATGAACCGAAACTCTGCTTTGGGGTTCATAAAGGGCCTGCAACCCTGATATTCAACGTAACAGCCAAGCAGGCACCTCATACGCTAGGTGGCAGAGGTAAGCAAATAATATGACAAAAAAACAAAAACAAAACAAAGGCAACTCAGAAACTGATCCTAGCTAAATATGACGACCCCGTTAATGCGTAACAGTCTTGACTTCTATATTAGCTCGCAGCAGCTCTGCGGTTCCTGTGTTGCAGGTAAACGATTGGGTAAACTGTGAGTACGGCGGCGCCCATCATGAAGACGCCTGCAAAGACTTGCAAGTGCCAGTATCCGCCACCTGATGACTTGAGGGGGTAGATGGCGCCTCCGATGGGACTCCCGATCAGCATGCCGAGGCCAACCCACGCCCAGTAGAAGCCGGAGCGGGTGCCGATGACGGCCATGGACGGGCAGAAAAACGGGATAAAAGCCCCGGGTAGCGTCACCAGGATGCCCGACACCATGCCCCAGAAGACCACCCAGGCCAGGGTGCCGGCGAGGGTGTCGACTGCCATCCAGCAGAAGAGGAGCACGGATCCGGCCACCAGCGACACGGCGACGGTCTCTGTGGGGCCGTACACGGCGGCGATTAGACCCGCCAGGAGCCGGCCGACGGCGGACGCTCCGTTCAGGATGGCGAGGAGGTCGAGGCTAAATTTGGTGCTTATTGACGGGACGCGGATCGCCGTGAGCAGCGGCAGGTACAGCAGTGGGATGTAAAAGGCCATGGCGCTGAAGAGCGACGCGACGCACAGCATCATGAAGGGCGCGTCGGTGAGCGAGGAGATATCGAAAAAGGCACGGACAAAGGAGCCGGCCTGCACCTGGGCGCTGCTCCGGAGCAGCACCAGGTATGAGAGGAAGTACAGCCCGAGGATTATAAAGGCGATGATGCGGATGGCCCAGGGGAAGCCAACCTTGGGGATGAGAGCGCGGAGGGCGAGCGGGAAGACGATGCCTCCTAACGTTCTCGTCAGTATGTTTGTGGCAACAATGGAAAAAATATATATATACACATATACATATGTATATCTCTGGATCGGGACGTACCAATGCAGCTACCGGAGGCCATCAGACCCATAGCCTTGGCGCGGGTGGCAGGGTGAGGCAGGCTCCGCGCCGCCGCCGAGACGCTGGGGGTGAAGGCGACACCGGCGCCGATTCCGATGCAGATGCCGTGGGACAAGAACAACTGGTAGTATCGGGTGGAAATGCTGAGCATCATGAGGCCGAGGACCTGCAAGACGCTGCCCGCCAGGAGCAGCAGCCTGTAGAGCCCGCGGTCGTAGAGCGGCCCCGTCACGATGCCGGCGGACAGGACCAGGAAGGCGCAGGTGGTGGAAATCCATGAGATGTTGGAGCTCGACTGGTCCTTGAGGAGCACGAGCTCATAGTGCGCCTGCAGGACGCCCGAGGTGAGTAGGAAGCCCCTGTGCAGAAAAACAAAACAAAAACGAATTGCGGCGTTAGCAAGAGGGTTGTCTCGGCTGGCGGTCTCGCAAGGCCCAAGCATTCCAAACAAAGGAGCTTCTGACACCAGGAGAAGCGAAGCAAATACAAAGTTACAAGGAGAGAGAATTATATTACCAGGTATTCGTAAACACAATGAACGTGCTCAAAATTTGAAGCGACTCGGTGCGACCGAGGCCAGGGGCAGCAGCAGCAGCAGCAGCGGCGCCAGCAGGAACGGCATCGCTGTTGAGGTTCGAGTTGGGAGTCTTCAAGCCGAGACCCTTTTCGCTGACGGAGGAGCTGCTTGGGGCCATTTTCTTTTTCTAAAAAGGAAAAAAAGAAAAGTTTCTGGATGGTTGCCCTTGTTTGTTTTTGACCCCGCCTCCTTCTGGTTTCAAGCTTGATGCGACGGTGCTCAATCTAGAATAGAGTTGACAACGCAAATCAATATAGATTCCCCTATCTAGGCAGCTTGTACGAGAATACAAAACATGAAGAAGTGTGTGATCGCGGAATGGGATTGACATACAGGCAAGATCACGTAAGGCCCCAAGGCAGATGTCAGGCATCGATTGACTGAGCCGTTACACTTGAGTCTTGTGTTTAAGCAACGGCAACCCTATGCAGCCAGCCACCAGACTAAATGAAAGTAACCACCAGGCAGACGGAGGAACTACTGAAAAGAGAGATAAAACAGGGATTAAAAGTGGATCTTTGGGTGATGATCGGATCGGGTCTGTGGTGTGTCACTAGTTAGCGGGTTCTTACTACATGAGTCGTTCTGGGGTATTGTTTTGTTTCCCCACCTTGATAACTGCTGGTTAAGATGAGGCGTGAATTCTTGTAAGGCTGTCTCGTTTTCTCTAACAAAAAGTGCCCTCAACAAGCCAGCGAGCCTTGTGTTGCTTTCCTGCGTATCCACTTTTTTAATCAATGCAGTAAGCACAATAAGTTTCGCCATGTGCGGTGCGACGCCGCGCCCGCAGATTTGCCTCGGAGCCTCGTTCGTTGCCATCATCAGCGACGCAACCACATGTTGTACAGTATTCACACACCTGTCTTCCGCTGTCAGAATGGCCACTGTGCCACCCGCACAAAAGTATATTATATGCATGTAGCGTAAATCATCCGTCATCACACCCGACAGAAGCGCCAAAACTCAAACAACCCCGCCTCGCCGTGACAAATCAAGTCAACTAAGTAAACAGATCAAATTTCCTGTCAGCAGTCCATCAACTCGATCTATCTCATGCTGGCTCTATCTGATCTATCATATCTGTCACTATATTTGGACTCTGATCTTGGAATCTATGTACACTTTTATATATAAGAATGAGGTTCTCTGTGGATAGGATTACTTTCTCTGATCAAGCTTTAGTCTCTGTATGTTAGTAATAGTAACTTTGTTAGTGAAGGTCTGAAGATACTGAATACTTCTGTTATATTGATAATTTCTCCTGCTAAAACTCCTTTTATAGACTGGTGGCTTGATGTCTGGTGATATTAGCTGTTACACGAAATGATGATATAAATGAAGTAGGTGCAGCAAGAGTGATAGTAGTAATGGAGGTGTTGGTTGTAAGAACAAGCCACAAGGGTGCCAAGGTTAGAGGGGTCTGACATACAAATTAATATAATTTGAAGGAGGGGGTTGGCATGTAGTACAAGAGAGTGGCTATGTGGCACAAAAGAAAGCAAGGTTTTATGAGTCAGCAGGATCAAGATGGTCCTCCTTGTCATACTGTACAGACTAGACTTCAGCAATGGGCCCAACAATTGGACCCATATAGGTTTTGATCGGTCAAAATCTTTCCTAAATAGGTAATATTTATAAAGTTTATATATTTTATGCAGATTTTATGCAGATATAGATTTTCTAAGAACCTGAAAACCTATCTGAGTCAGCAGGATGGGTCCAAATTATAGGTTCTGCCAAAGTCTAGTACAGACAGAAAACAGAGAAAACCTATTTAGGATATCAGGTAGCAATCCCACAATCTGTAATAGGAGGTTAGGCAGGAGGAATTATCAATATAAAAGAAGCATTCAGTATCTTCAGACCTTCACTAACAAAGTTACTATTACTAACATACAGAGACTAAAGCTTGATCAGAGAAAGTAATCCTATCCACAGAGAACCTTATTCTTATATATAACAGTATACTCCGTACATAGATTCCAAAGTCGGAGTCCGAATATAGTGATAGATATGATAGGTCAGATAGAGCCAGCATGAGATAGATCAAGTCGGTGGACTGCTGACAGGAAATTTGATCTCTTCAATTAGTTGCCGTGATTTGTTACAGCGACTCTATCGTGCTGTTACTCAGTCCGTGTATTGCATATTAATGTCAGAAAATTGGCAGAACGACAGCCAATACGACGGCCAGTTGGCAAATCGACGGTCAAAATGACGGCCAATCGATTTAACTATCTGAAGGAAGCTAATGCGCTGTGGAAAAAAGGATTATCCGTAGCCGCTAGGGTTAGGGCATATCGCTGATATGGCAAAGCATGGCAGCGGTATGGTATTTCAGAGCACTGCTCTGAAATAACATATCAAGGATCTACCCTCAACCCGGGTAAAACGACTCCTTCCATCCCTTCAGGAGACTCTCGGCTTCCCTCAGTACTGGAATTTTATTTAGTATGTTGTGTGTATTGGTGGCAGTAGTTGAAGATGTATATGGTATTGTAATGTAGATGTCATCCACGCATCAAACCGTGCCCTCATGATAACTCTCTCTGGGCCCGGGGGTGCTCGATCACTCTCCGCCGATGATGCCCGCGAGCCATGTTCTCCAACGAAGCCGCAACGCAACAGCCATATAGCGAAGTTGAGACCATATGCCAAATTCTTGAGCGATGAAGCTATCCAAGAAAGGTTCAGATACTAGCTTGTCCGATCCTGGGCATACATCTCGCAAGCCGATGTCACTTCTTGCGGCGGGGATAGCTGGATACGGATAAACTCCAGGTAGAGGACGCGCACATAATAGCTGTCTGTACAAAATCCATATGGCTTTGTAAGGGTTGAACAAGCCTTCAATCCCAGAATCGGCGCCGTTCGCTTTCTCCATTGCGCGCTCAATATCCTTAGCACTGCTGACCAGTGCCACTGCATCGTTGGACCATGCTGTACGATTCTCCACGTGCGGATCTAGGAGTGCCATCTCTAGCAACTCCGAAAGCTTGCGGCATGTGTTTATTTGGCGATAGAATTGCGGCGAATGAACTGTCAGATTCAGAGTCTGAGACTTGTCGTCTACCTTCGCGATGCGCATGTGCAAAAGGCCATAGGTACCATGCCCGGGAAGCCCTTCGTTGTTTTCATGTCTGGGTACGATGGAAACGGAAAACTTTCCCTCGAATTGTGCCCAGAAAAACTCCAGATACTGAGCAAAAATGGAGGCTAGATACGCCTCGTTTGCGTTTGGCTGCCGCGGGATCGCCGTTTCCAGTGGTTCTGGCCTGTACCAGACCTGCAGCCTGCGGACTTGGGCGAGCACGACAGCCTCAAACACAATCTTGGGGAATGTGGTGAGGATTGTTGGGCCCCAGGACATGATGAGTCCCAGGGAATCGAGCAGCGATACCGTGGCCGGGTCAATCGCAGGGCCAATGGACCACCAATTAGCGACCAGTTTTGTATGTTTTTTTGAGGACCGCAGGGTGACGGTCAGAGAAATGCGGTTTTTGATCATAGGATCTGAGCTGGAGAGCACATAGGAGCCCTTGCGGGAGCTAAAAGGTGACACGTGGAAATCCTTTCGCATCGTAATTTTGAATGCGTTGCCATTGGGAGGAGCTTCGAAAAGATACATGCGTCGCTCGCCAAAGGTGTTGTTCACTTCCGCAACAATGTGAGTTAACGTGCGGTCTTCTGTATATAGGAGCCAGAATGAGGCTGGTTTAAACGCATAATTGAGAAACCGGGGTGAAGTCAAGAGGTAGATGAAAGGATAGCCAGAAGGTTCCAGGCCCTTTTGAGAACTCGTTAACTAAGCTGGACAAGAGGGTCTCTTGAATGCCAAGCCCAAATCGACATACCTGAAGCTTTAAATATGCATCTATATTTTCAGAAAGGGTCGCGCCGTCCCGACCCCGGTGCAGATGGTCCTTGGGCGAGACATGAAACCAGCCTCTCTCCCACCAGGGCTGATTGTCCACGGATAGCAACCAGTTCGAGCTTGGCGATCGAACCGGTACGCCGACCGACAGGTATGGATATTTGAACCTGTGTTGCTTGGGGAACAGCCGGCAGTGTCTGATGGAACATGGCAGAAATTGCGTCGTGCGAGGCTGAATACCGTGGCTGCTGGCGCTGGCGACCTTCGGTGCCGCGCGACTGGATGACCTCAAGGCATGCCTGGCTTGCAATATATAGATGGATAGTATAACAAAAGCAGAAGTCCCCCAGGCTAGAATGCTTGCCTGAGAGAACATAGTTTCCGCAATGCCGACGTGGTCCATGGTGCGATGCCCTGGAGTTGGTAAGGAGCGCCTAAACCATCAATCATGGTGCCAAAAATATGTGTTCAATACATATCACTCTTCGGGAGAACCAGAGGACCCCACAAAATAGGACCAAATGGTACAACAATATGACAGGCCGTTGCTGACATGGTGCAGGGGTAAACTGCTGACAAGTAGCCTGCTCCGCCTGCACCCCGCTCTTGGAATGGAATGGATCGATGTGCTAAATCGTCAACATTTCTGCCCACGGCTAGTCGGATACATGTGCAAGCCCCCTGCGCCGGCCTCCTGGAAGCACGCTGCCTGTTGCGTCATTTGTGGGGAACGCCACAAACTGTTGTAAAAAGGGTACCAGTAGTAGTAGTAAGTTCATTACGCCCGAAGGCATCAAGCCTCAAGGGCACCTATACGCTATTTGCTCTTTCCATTGCATTATTACGGGCTAGTCCCGCCTAATGCTCACTATAAGGGTATATTCGAATAGAACACGTAACATGAGGAAAGAAAAGAGAAAGGAAACAACAAGCTCTTCATGCGCGTACAATTTACTGAGTGAGAGAACGAAATCAATTGAACTACAGACAAACCAATGTTATAATCATTCGGTCATGACAATGCTATTACACGAAAAATACTGGATGAAAACATAAAAATAATGCACACCCCTCGAGGTCACGAGTCTTGGCATATTTGTATTGGTTTTATATCCATTGGGTATCCGCAAATATCCGACGGATATGAGATTCATAGCCAAATCCACAAGACTGTGGATTGCGGATCGTGCCGCAGTCTCTCCAGATAGCAGACGAAGGACTGAAAAATCGACATGCGATCGAGCCGGTAGGGCAGGTGAGTTGTTGTAAGCAAAATCCGGCGAGTATCAATCGGTCGTAGGTAGGCAGGTCGGTTGTTCGAAGGCTCGTCGACGTTATTAAGTTGTCGACGTGCTCTTTTGAAAGTTTCCCGCCAAGTCATTCCAACCAATGAAGGTTTTTCCACCGGATTTTCGACTTGAAAAGTTCTCGGCTTCAGCTAGACCCTGCAGTCAAACTTACTGACCTCCCTCACCACGAGAAAGTAACTTTCCACGAGGGACAAAACCCTGGCAGGGCTGCTGTTTTTGTTGGGATTCTGCCCTTGGATAGTCAGCACCGCCTACCTGATGTAGTTAGCGCGCCGGTAGCTAGATATCTTCGTCCCTAGGAACCTAAGTTCCTAGAGAGTCACACACAACAGAGTCAGTTTTCCTGCTTCCAGCACAAGATTTTTCTTTGCTGCATTTGATTATACTAGTGCCTTCTTAGCTGCTAACAAGGTGAATAGCTTCTTCAACAGCTCTTGAAAGCAACCTACATACAGGAAGAACATACAAAGAATAAAAATGGCTTCTAGTAAGCTGTTTGAAGGCATCCCGCCATTCCCAGACGACATTCCCACTGTCTCCATGAATACAGTGTCGCTCGCGGGTTTGCGTGAGAATGACGCCAAGGCGGCGGAGCAGACCCTGGCCGCCTGCAAGGAGCTTGGGTTCTTCTTTCTCGATCTGCGCGAAGACAGTATGGGCGATGCCATGATTGAATGCATTGACCAGCTGTTCACCATTGGCCAGGAAATCTTCGACCTGCCCGAGAGTATTAAGCATCAGTACCTGCACGACATTCCGCGAAGTTTTCTAGGGTATGAACGTCTATTGAGTAAAGGCACCGTGATGCTAACCAACTTTTATCATTCAACAAAAAAAGATTCAAGCCACGCGGTGCAGCAAAGACAGAAACGGAGGAGCCAGACCGATTCGAATGGTTCAACCTAGGCCAGGATGGTCTCATGGGCAATATTGACCTGCAGGCGCTCCCGGAATTCGTGATCGAGCGCATCGACTACTTTAAGAAGTTTCTCAATTACTCGCAGCAGATAGCCACCTTCATCAACCACACGCTCGCCAAGCAGCTCTCGCTGCCGGCGGAGACCTTTGCCGCGGCGCAGCGGCCGACCGAGCTGTCTGGCACGGTGGTGCGTTTCATCAAGGCATTCGCCAGCCCCGACGCCAAGGACCTCCGCACGAGCATGATTCACCACACCGATTTTGGCTCCATCACCCTCCTGGCCAACGTCATCGGCGGCCTGCAGGTCCTCACGCCCGGCGGCTCGGCCCTTGACGAGGACGCATGGCGGTGGGTGCGCCCGCAGCCTGGCTGCCTCATCGTAAACCTCGGCGACGCCATGGTGCAGTGGACAGGCGGCGCGCTGCGCAGCAACGTGCACCGCATCAAGTACCCGCCCGGCGAGCAGCGTTTTGCCGACCGGTACAGCCTGGCGGCGCTCTTCCGCCCGGAGCGCAACGCGAGCATGAAGCCCAAGATGAGCCAGGACCTGGCAGGCGTCGAGAACACTGAACTGACGGCCTGGGAGTGGGAGGTCAAGAAGGCCATGGCACTTAGCAGGGGAGAGGCGGTGGTAGAGAGCAAAGGTGGCGATCCATGATGGGGAGGTATTAACCAACAAATCTAGCCAAGGTCGGGCTGACGCTCAGCGACTCGTAGCAACAAGGCTACGTTTGAATTAATAACAGCTACTACTAGTCTGTCGTAAAAGCAATACAATATATAAACCCATCGAGTCATAGGCAGAACAGTATGCATCAGCAAAGAAAAAAAAAAAGAAAAAGCAACAAAAACCCATGCAAGGGTCTCTTTTCCTACATCGTAGCATCATCCCAGATCACACATACCTGTGACCATGTTCTCAGGCGATAGAAATGTCACGCTGGCTCTCGAGTCGGTTGCTCTAGTCTGCGGCGTGGGCCTCGACGTCGATGTTGGTGCGCATGGTGATAACATTGATTGGGGGCGAATACCTTTGCAGAGGCACCTCGTCATCATAGTACTGGTATTCGTCCTTGCTGCTCTTACGATAAACGTTCCGCGGCGCTGAGACCTTGACGACATTGCTGCTGTGAGGGTTGGGGGTATCATAGGCCTTGCTGTCCTGGCCGGTGCGGCGGGTGGTCCGGGATATGAGCGTCTTGGTCTTCTTGGACACGCCGCAGATGATGGCGTAGGACGCAGGCAGGTCAGCAATGACCTCGGCAAGGTTGCGCTCGATGATGGTGCACAGGTACACCTTGTCGAGGGCCCAGGTGAAGTCTGGGTTGTAAAAGTCATTGTCAAAGGCGGCGCGGACGATGGAGCACACAAAGACTCTGTGGTAGTACATGGTTTTTTTGAGTATTGTTGTTCTGCATCTCCAAACATGGGTGCTCAGAAGCTCAAGATTGCGGTCCTTACATGAGTCCGGAACCAGTCAATGCCATAACAACGAGTCTTTTCTTGAAGCTCAGCTGCAGCCCTCCGATTAAATAGACGGGCCAGAGCGCGTAAAACAGGTCGGTCAAACTGTTGATGGCTAACTAGGCTATCAGCAACTCCGCACAGGATAACGCAAGACGACGGCTACCACCACATCCACCGCCCCCCAAAAAGGCAAAAGAGCACAGTGCAAAGGTACGCTTACCTGTAAACGCAATAATTGAGTTGACCAGTGTCTTGACGCTCGAGACATGGCCAGGAATGTCGGGATTCCATAGCTTTTGGAGGGGCCGGGCCTGGGTGCCCCAGAGGACGCCCTGCAAAAAGCTGGCCGTGGTCGTGATGCCAATGAGGGTGTAAACGACGTACCTTGTGCGGTTGTGAATGTTTTTGATGAGGAGGAGGATGAAGAAACAAATGGAAATCTTGACAGCCCACAGCGAAATGTTGGCAAAGAGGATGTTGTACTGGCTAAGGCGCTTGAGATCGAGGACCTGCGGGCGCTCTAGGAACTGCAAATGGCGACCGAATCCCAGCTTCACCGATTGAACCTCGAGAATGTTGGCAGTGATATTGAATACCTGGATTGAATGTGAACATTTGTGATCGTGCAGGAAAGAAAAAAAGACGAAGCTTACGAGGGCAATGAAAATAAAATAGTCTGCTATCGCCAGTCCGCCGTTTGTTTCCAGTTTCATGAACAGCCTCGATACCGTAGATATGATGATCAGGACGGTGAACAGTATAGCAATCACCATCATGGGCTTTCCCTTACTGTGGTCCTCCAAGTCGGGATTCCAGGCAATGAAGCCGTTGCCTGTCGTGTTGCTCGCCATGGTTTCGTCGCAGTGTGTGTGGTTGACGGTTAGAGGCAAAAGACGAAGTGGTGATAATGCAAGAGCCGGCACGGAAGTGGAGGGAGGTTAAGGGCTACGGCTACGGCTACGGCTACGGCTTCAAATGCCAAAACACAACGGATTGCATGCTATACAGAAGGAGTAAGCACATCAATTACGATGTCTAGAACATTTGAGGACGACTCAGCAGGGTCACTATGCAGCGATGCAACCCGCATGTGTGACAACTGAGGCGAACAGAACGACACCCGGCAGCCTGAAGAATCCTGGCAACAATAAGCAAAACATCACGGACGGCTTGCCTGATGGGAACCATATGGTGTGCCAGAGGGTGCAGAGGTTCTTCCTTCGTCGCTGTATGCATACTGGATGCGTCTAGTGCATGCTACTTGCTACTTCAGCTCTCAGCAGAAACAATGCAGTCAGCATGGAGCAGACAGAACAGGGCCAACAGATTGTCCACGAGAGGTAACGCAACATAGAACTGTCCTCGTTGCCAGAGCCTCCCCTCATATCCTCCCTTTTGGCATACCCGACAATATGGGAGAGGGAGATTTTGAGCCGCTGGGAAGGCGGAAGGGGACTGATCTTTGCACCTCTTCATTGGCTCTTGCAACGTTCCAATCTGTCGAGGGTTGTGAGTCCAGTGGAAAACCACTAGAGCAAGATTGACTTAGTGTTTGTCGTGATTTCTTTGTTTTACCAAAGGATTTGCGACGCCCGGAAAGTTCCGAAGGCTCAACCCTTTATCTGCATATATATAAGCAAGGACACCTCAACAAGTCCTCGATGATGTTTGGTCTATTCTTCAATCATCTCTATTCTCTCAATTCAGATTGGTTCCTCTTGCTTCTCAGGACCCATAAAATGCATACAAGGCCACACTGTAGTTACATAACTTCACACAATCTTTGCTCGATTTAGTACCGTCATCGTTTCGCTCCAACTGGTAAGATGGGCGGGATGTAAACCCTTGTATGTATCATTTTCTAAAGTTATTTCCTCTGTAGAACTTTCCGATGAAACTAACCAGGAAAACACTTTCTTAGAAATTGTTGCGGTCATTCCCAGGACGTAGTTGGCGTCAGAAACAGACACCCTGAAAGTACCTGGCAAGGGTGTAAAACTTTCGCCTCACGCCAGGACCTCGGTGACAATGTGGGGCTGGGAAATCAGGCCGAGGGTGTCGCAGAGGAGCAACGGATAGACAGCCGTGCTGACAAGGAGGCTGGGAGAAGACGAGGAGGAGAAATGGGAATTAATAGGGGGGGGTTACACAGGAATCTCTCTCGCTGCGGTCTTCTTTCGGCATCCGAGAGAGGGCAGAATACGACAGGCCGAAGAGCAGCGGGTATCGCCACAAACGGTATACATAGCACACTCGGAAACCTAGTTTGGGGGCCAAGTGTTGGTGCTACGTCCTTCACCGCCTGATACCCGATTTTGACGAGTTACCATATAAAATATTTTGAAGCTTTACAACACTATATAGTATTAAAATCTGAAAGATTTTTGGTCTATAATCAACGAGCCATGGCGAATCTAACGAACTAAAATCTACCTAGCGATAGCGCTCCGGGAGCCGAATCTGCCTTCTTCCTATCCGAATCGAGGCCTGTAGAAAAGCGAGAAATCACCTTATCCGAATGAGCCTTTACTCAGCAGCCAGCCCAGTTTTTCCCAGGCTCTTTACCACATATGTCCCTTGCACAATTGGCCAGCATTGAATTCGTAGGTGAGAACCCTCGTTTGGTAAGCTGATTTATCCATTTTATAAGCGCTTTTGATTGCTCGTCGTTTAGTAATCTTTAATTGTTGTATTGTGCTTCTTTTGAGCCTGTAACTCCGCGAAAAGGTTTCGAGAGATTTGAAGGATCAACTCCATATGTTCTTGCAACTAAACTGATACTAGGATTTTCTCCTAGCTTCAAGGAGCGTAAAGCTTCGCAAGTGCGAGCTCATATGAAGCCATATTGATTGATTTGACGCGGTTTGAAAAATTCGCGATTTTTCGCGATTTGAAGTCAAATCGGGTGGGTATCAGGCGGTGAAGGACGGTAGTATGTGTGGAACTCGGAGGTTTACCGTTTCGTTCACATTGCAGGGTTATTTAGGGTTTGGTGGACGCATGGGCCCCAGGGGCCTCAGCTTGCGTTGATGCGTGTACCAAATTTATTAAGTGCATGCGCTGAACAAAATTGGAAATATGTAGCGCTTTTGTATCTTCTCTTCACCGGCAAGCACAATATGTGTATGTTTGTTCCACCCATGTACGGTGGCAAAAAGAGGTGGCAAGTCTAACCAAATAAGCTAGCATCAATTCCTCACTGCCTAGCCTTGAGCTCACTGAATGGGCCATTGTCCCAGCCCGCGATGGAGTAGTGGCTCTCAAACTTGAGCTCCTTGTCCTCACCGTCCTCCACAGGGCTTCGATACCCAGCCCCCCGGCCGCCACCGCCAACCTTCTGCTGCTGCTCCGGCCCAAAGCGGAAGTCGTAGTTGACCAGGGTGTAGGCGTAGGTGATACTGGCAATCATGACGGCGACGTGGCTGCCGGCGCAGTTCCGCGGCCCAATCGAGAAGGGGACGAACATCTTGCGGGCCGTCGCGAACTCCTCCTCTACCAGGGTGCCTGGGATCCAGCGCTCCGGCCAGAATCGCAGAGGGTCGCGGAAGATCCTGCCGTCCCTGCACAGCGCAAAGACGCTGACCCCGACATCACTTCCAGTCGTGACAGGAACCCGATTGGGGCCCACAAAGACGCCCGACTTCTCGCACTCCCTCCAGTGCACACCGCAGGCCGGGGGCAGGAGACGCATCACCTCGTTGATCACCGCGCGGAGGTAGACGTTGGACTCGAGGCGCGAGTCCCAGACAATTTCCTCGCCGGGCTTGTACATGCCACGCAGCTCCGCCGCCAGCCTCTCGTACGCCTCCGGGTAGTGGCTCAGGTAGTGGAACAGGCCCGATAGGGTGATGCTGTAGGCGTCGGCCGAGGAGAAGACGCTGAACGAGCCCTCCGCGATCATCTGCGCCTTGTTGTGCCCTGGGCTCTTGGCCTGACCCAAACCGCTCTGGATGACAGGGCCAAATATGCCACGGCTCTCGGTCGCGTTGGCGGCGACGGCCTTATTGAGGAACGATTCGTACCATTCCGCAAACCGCTTGGCTTGCGGCGAAACCTTGACGAGCACCTCGGCGATGACTTTGCCGATGCCCAGGTTGTTGAGCGTCGGGAGCTGCTCGTACAGGCCCATTTTCTTCTCATGGACGTGAAGCGTCGGGAAAATAAAGTCCCGGGCAGAATCGAAGAGCAGATTGGTCGAGATTCCGAAACCAAAGTCTGACATTGTGTCGAATCCCAGGTAGAGGTCTAGGCGGTGTTAGTCAATGAGCCATCACCGGCTGAACTTTTTTGTAGCTCGTAGACTTACTCCATTTTCTCATGTTGGCTGCATTGCTCCAGCCATCAGGCTTCTTGTCCTTGGTGAGTTCAGCATAAAATGTCTTAAGATGGCGGAGAATGGCGGGCTCGAAGCGTTTGAGATAATCGTTTCCCAGACCGGATCGCAAGGTTTGGCGCAAGTTCTTGTGCAATATCTTGTCGATGGAGGTCATGGTACTCCAGCCATCATCTAAGGGGATCATGGTCTCATAACCCTTTGACTTGCGGAACGGCGCGCCATGACCGTAAATTGCTAGCTGCATTGTTAGAGGGAGAATTCATTTTGCAACCTGGTAGCCACCGAAAAACATACATATAAGGTCTGCTTGGTGCAGTGTGAGAAGTTGACTTGGTCCGTAACGAATGACATCACCTATATGTGGTGTTAGTTTGCTTGTATGCGAAAGGGAAGCCAGAAGTTCAACTGTACCGTATTGATGATGGCATTTCTGGACATCTGTGTGCATGTCGCCAGTCCATGAATGATACGCAGAATAGACGTTGGTGACCTTGGCCCAGAAAGGGCCAGGAACTTTAGAGTAGGGATGGAAGCAGAGTCTGTACACGACCACGGCGAAGCACTAGGGGAAGAAACGGTCAGTTATCACTTGTAACGTGGCTTTCCAATTGCAATGGACGTTTACATAAACCGTGAGGCAGCCTCCCAGGAGGCTGATAGCCTGAATCGACGTGCAGCCCAGTGTATAAGCCATGGTGATGGACTCGCCTGTCGGGAAAAGTGAAGTGCATGCCTTTGAAAGAGTATTTCAGTAGTTTCCTGGTAACAGCTTACAGTCCTCCAATTACTAAAACCAAGTTCGGCCATGGCCTGGTGCTCCCATCGTCTCGCCACGATCCAAAAAGGGTGCATGATTAACAATATGCAGGAGATTGTCATCTAAGCGACTTAGCGGGGGCGTGTAAGATTTTGCATATCTATCTTGCCCACCCACACGTCACCCTCTACCCTAGCTTTCTTATTACAGAAGTGAGCGTAATATTGAAATAGCCGAAATGCGGAAATCAGGCTGTGAGTGTGACATGGTGCAACCGCACTCTGTAATGAACAAAATCCTTCGTGACACCGAAGGAGTAGCAAGGAGAGTCAAAGCTCAAGTCGATCGGGTCCGTCTTACAGTCTCGACTGCCGATCCACTGGCCCCAAAATAAGCAGCCCACTTTGCCGATGTCACGATACTTGCATAAATCGGATACAGGGCCGAGGTCATGTTATCAAACCAAAAAGTGGATATGGCACCGCACCTCTTCTTGTACTGATTGTTATCCTTTATGACCCTATTTCTACCCGACACTCAGTGCACTCAATTGGCAAGCGGGTGAGTAGGTATATATCTGTATCCATTAAATATAGACGTTGGAAGAGAATCAATAAATCTAGCAATCGAGGTAGTTGGCGTATTCGCACGTGGGTTGGAGAACGCCCATGGTTTGTTTGGTCAGCTTCAAAGAGGCTTGCACAACAGTATCGGTCGAGGATTGTGGACCTGGGGAAAACCACTAGAGCAAGATTGACTTAGTGTTTGTCGTGATTTTCTTGCCTTATCAAAGGATTTGCGACGCCCGGAAAGTTCCGAAGGCTCAACCCTTTATCTACAGATATATAGGCAAGGACACTTCAACAAGTCCTCGATGATGTTTGGTCTATTCTTCAATCATCTCTATCATGTCAATTCAGATTGGTTCCTCTTACTTCTCAGGACCTATCAAATGCGTACAAGGCCACACTGTAGTTACATAACTTGACAGGATCTTAACCGTACTTCACCGCCTCATGCACGGTATCATCTCTGTCAGAAAATCAAGACGTCACAATTAACTAATAGATTGTCTAACGTAATCGGTAAGCGAGCCGGCAGTGTAAGCGAACCGGCATTTTTTCCCCGGAAAACGCGCTCTGTATTAAATTCAAATCTCAATTTCCTAGCTACATACAGATTATATACAAAAAATTAATTGCTAGTACGATTGGGACATCCAGTTATTTTATGTCCTTCAATACCACAGCCACTGCAGCGAAATTGACGTTGTATAGGTGGACGAGAGATTGGAAGCTCAGGCTCAGCCGGAACAGTAGTAACAGCTTGAGATGCCTCAATCTGGCCTTGTATATGTGCCTGAGCTTCATCTCTAGTAATTCCTTGCTCATGAGATATCTGCTTTTTAGATTTTTAACGTTTCTGATTCTTTCTCTCATGCGCAGCTCGTAGATCTTGATTCTCTTTTCCTATAATCAACAGATCATTCATAGTCATTTCATAAGCCTTAGACATGCATGTAATGGCCTGATCAATCACTTGATTTGGGCTTCCTGTACGCTCACTTATACGCCTCTTGACTATAGTTGATTATAGTTGATTGACGTGTAAAATGATGTATATTTTGAGGGGTTTGTAAGTAAGATGACTGCATATTGCTTGATCGACTTGGAGGGGGTGTTGGAGTCTTCAATTGGATAGTAAGCTGTTGATATATTTGATCTGGATGGAATGGTACTAATCCAGTTGCTGCAAAGCTATTCAAAATATTCTTAGCTTTATATGCCATCGTACGAGCTGTTGGAAATGTAGTAAGAAAGTCGATTTTATCAATATGATTGAATCTAAGACTCATTCGCTGCTCAACAAGCTGTCCATAATATCGCTTTAAAACAGCAAAACAGCCCACGTCAAAAGGCTGTAAGAGATGAGAGGAATGAGCAGGCATGCAGATTGGAATAATATGTTTCTCAGTGCATATGTGATTAAATTCGGGAGTCAAATGGCTTCCATGACCATTAAGGATTGACCACCGATATCTTCCCAATGAACGGCCATTATTAAGTGGAATAAAATGGATTTTGAGCTATTCTAATTCAATCTTATCTGTTGTCCATCTATTATCACTTATTGCATGAGGCGGTGAAGTACTGTACGCATTATGTGGGCTGTGATACTTAACCCTTATTCTTTCTGTTAGGACAGAGACCAAGACAAGCTATACCTTATTCATCGGCACCAGCAAACTGCAAAGATGACTTTGTCTAAAACGTTCAAGATTTGTGAGAACCAAAGCCTCTATACCGCTAAAATGACGGCAACCGTCCGTCGCCCGCGCGTAGCCATTGTTGGCGGAGGCATCTCCGGCATGGCATGCTCCTGGAAGCTGCGAAACCAGCGGTGCACCGTGGACATTTATGAGTCTAGCGACAAGCTCGGCGGGCACGCCAATTCGATGCCGTTTACGGGCAACGGCAGAACGGTGGATGTAGACACTGGGTTCGTTGTCATGGAAGAGGCAACCTATCGTAAGTCGCCACAAATTTTTCCCAGCGTAATTATAATCTTGGGTAAGATTATAAACTTGAAAATATTTACTGATGGCAGTTCGACAGCTCAATTCACGTCTTTCCTCCTGGAACTCGGCGTCAAGACAATTCCGACGGACATGTCGTTTGGCGTGTCGGCCCTGAACGGGGCGTTGGAGTGGAACAGCCTCTCTATTATGGCCTTTGTGGGCACTTTAGCCAACCTTTTCAGCCCCTGGTTCTGGCGTCTGATGTTTGACATTGTCTACTTTAACCTGTTTGCGCGTGACATCCTCACGCAACAGGCGCCCGTGTCGCCGCCCAAGAAGTTTGTCGGGCCGGTGGAAATGGAGATTGCGGCCATCGAAAAGGACCTCAAGGTCAACCGCCGCGAGTCCATCGCCGACTACCTCAAGAGGCAAAAGTACTCGGAGCAGTTCATCATCTACTTCCTCATCCCTATGGTCGCGGCGCCGTGGTGCATCGACCCGGATGAGTTTGCGGCCAACTTTCCCGCGAGAAACCTCATCCAGTTTATGTAAGTGATCCCTCGCCAGGCGGCAAAAACAAAGGAGAAAGAGGAAAAATTAAAAATGAGCCGCTCATTTTCTTACATACTTTGTACTAATTTTTCTTTTTGAGGCATAAACACAGCTTGCTGGATACCGTCACCAAGACTCTCCGGTGGCGCACATTCGCCAATGGCTCCAAGACATATGTGGACGAATTCCAGAGGCAGATGCCGCACCATCACAAGCTTCACTTGAAAACCGTTGTCAGGAGCGTGACGAGGGTAGACGGAAAGGTCCTTCTCAGCTTCGCCGATGGTTCAATCGAGACCTTTGACCATGTGTTACTCGCAATTCATGCCAACCAGGCCGTGACCCTGCTTGGCCAAGGCGCCAGCGCGCTGGAGCGCAGGATCCTTGGTACCTTTACAACCAGAAGAAATGTGTGCTATCTGCACTCTGACAAATCTGTAAGTTGTTCTTTTTTCTCCTATTCCTGTTTTTTATTTCTTTCCTATTTGATTGAATTTTAATCAAAAGGCATTTATTTAATTTGAAGCCATTACTAACAAAAAACGTCAAACAGCAACTCCCAAAACACCAGGCGGCCGCCTGGAACTGCTCCCTAGTCGGCGACGGCGGCGTGGTGCGCCACGGCCAGGCAACCAAAAACGCAGCCAAGCGCATCTCCATCACATTCGACATGAACAGGCTCCAGTCCATTCCCTCGCCCGGCGAGAAGAACAGCCCCGGCAGGGTCCTCGTCTCCATGAACCCGTTGGGGATGCCCTCGGCAGTCCAGGGCCAGATACAGTACTCCCACCCGCTCATCAGCCACGAGAGCCTGCTCATGACGCGCCACCTACACAGGATCAACGGCGTATCCTGCATTTACTTCGCGGGTGCGTGGATGGGTTATGGATTCCATGAGGACGGCTTCACCGCGGGCGCCCACGCCGCGCGGCTCATCACCGACGGCCACGCGAGCACGCCGCCGCTTGATCTGATCCAGGACATTCAGGACGAGACAGCGGCCGCGTACGGCGCGGGCGTCGCCCGGCTGGCCTTGAGGTTCGGTGTCGGCATGGTGCAGCGCGTGCTGTGTTCAGGAGCAGGTCTTCAGCAGGCTCAGCAGATCCATTGCCCTGGCGGCCGCGCAGGACTCGTGGACGATGCTTCTCATACCAACAAAATGCATGGGAAGAGTTATTAGAGGCGCAGTATTCTTATTTTTTTTAGTAATAGAATTGTGTGAATGAAAAGCGCGCGCTGGGAAGCCTGACCAACAAGTTAGCAAGATGTGGCCCTATCGCTTTATGGAATGCCTTCCAAAGGACCTAAATCTAGGCCCAGCGAAGCAGAGCACTAAGGAATCGAAGCGAATCCAAGCAGAAGATGCTGGTTCTCTAGCTCACTGGTACGATCTTCTAGCGAATCTCCTGAAAGATGTTCCCGCGCGGCTGGTATATAATATGGATGAGTGTGGTTTTCGCCAGGGTAAATTGAGGAAGGTGATTAGTTCCAAGGGTAAATCTTGCCCTGATCTTGCTGAATCCCCAAAAGGCGAGAATATAACTGCGGTTGAATGTATATCTGCCGATGGTTGGCAGATGGATCCGATGATTATCTTCACGAGTCAAGGCGCCTTTATGGCAAACTGGTTTCACGGCAGCGAAAGTCTCCCACTAAACACAGTAGTGGTTGTGTCTGCGACTGGCTAGATTAAGGATGAATTAGCCCTGACATGGCTATATCATCTCATTGCTTTTACTGGCCAGCCCGACCGTCTTAAAAGGGGTGGAAAACGCTACCTTATCTTCGATGGGCACGGCTCGCATCTCACCTTCGAATTCCTACAAGCTTGTGAGGATTTTGATATTATACCATTCGGATTTTCGCCTCATTCAACACATCTGTGCCAGCCGCTTGATGGGAAGCCTTTAATAATGAGCTATCCTTCTGGGCTGGTGAGCTGGTAGGGAAATCTGACTTCCTCCGCATCATCGGGCCTATTCGAGATAAGGCCTTCAATCAACGGATTATTCGCGAATCTTTTAAAGATCGTAGTATTTGGCCGATTGATGGTAGCAAGATTGTGGATAAACTAGGCAACCACCTCGTTGTCCCAGACCTCATTACGCCAGATCTTCGTGGCTCTTGTACACCACCTCCGCTACCATCGAATCCTACCTCATCTCACATTGAGAATACGCCTCAAAAATCTATTGAAGCCCTCAAGAAGAACCAGGCAAAGATATCTTAGCACGCATATAACCTTACTCCAAAGCTACAGCGAGAGTTGAAGAAGATTTTTGAGCACCAGCGAATCGCCCAGGAGAACCTTGCTATTGCCAACGATACAATCATGCAAATTAGGGTGGCACAAGAACCCCTAAAGCGCCAATACACTAAGCGCCAGGTTAAACCGCTTAGCTAGCTTGATACTCTTAGGCCACACGATGCGAATCGGTCAATTGCAGCAAGGAAGGCCAAAGAACTTGCTGCTGAAGAGAAACGGCTACGAAGGGACTGGAAGAAGATGTACGGGGTATCGCCACCACCACCCCCTACCGAAGAGAGCGAGGCATCAATCGAAGCAGCGAGGGTATCTTGAGAGAATGGGGAGATTTTTTATATGGATACTGGGCCATTGCGTTGATATTTTTGTAAATAATCTGAATTTGATGAGATTTGGCGGTTCCGGTGTGAATGGCGGTTCCGGTGTGGTGGCCACCAAAGGGCACTGATATCCGCAACCACTAGGGTTAGGATTAGACCTGTGCATGGGCGATGGGATTCCCATGGGTCCCATGGGAATGGGACCGGATTAATATATAGTCCCATAGGATATGGCGGCATGGGATATGTGCAAAAGTCTAGTCCCATGGGTCCCATATGCACAGGTCTAGTTAGGGTCTCATAGCCATCGTTAGGAAAGGTGTTGGAATCTGTATATCGCGTATGAGCTTGTAACACAGGTTGACTAACAGAATTGTATGTATATGAATGCTTGATTGATTCCACCTGTGTTGTTTCTAACATTGGGAATTATCCTCTATATTGGAGAATCCAAACCCCTCGCTTGAATACGTGTTTCTTGCTGATTGGCAAGTCAGTTGGCTAATTGGAGGCCTTGGGCTTCTCAGCGGATTTCACTAATGATTAGACTTCGGTAATGGGTCCAAATGGATCCCATACCCAACCCAGGGTTGGGTATGGGAACCCCTGTGGGTCTAACCGAAGTCTACTAATGATATCTAACACCAGGAAAACATCTCTCTCCGCGCGAATCAAATTTTTGAAATTGCGCGCCCAGATCCGGTCGGAAACGACTGTAAAATTAGCAGTTCATTCTTTGAGTCAAGAGCTATCGTTTGATCCTAGTTTTACTCAGTAAGACGCTGGCAATGGCTCAGAGCGCTGTTGCGATCCCCTTGACGGGCAAAAATCTCGTTCCGCAAGGTGTTCGCGACGCGACAGCACCACAACAACAAGCAGTATCGAAGCTTACCAAACAGCAAGTTGAAAGCCGACTACAGAATCAATCAATTCAAGGATTCGCAAAGATGAAGCAACTAATAGCGGTGTCGAGTTTGATGCTACAGTACATGCACAGTAATCCAAACGAACCTCTCAACAATCCCATATTGGCGGGATACGTTCACCATGTCAAAAACTTCGCATCCTCGCTAGGCGAGCGTACGGACCTGCTCGGGGAATTCAAGGGGCTGCTTGAAAAGGTTCGACAAGACACCGCCGTCATCTGTACAAGAACCGAGCAACCAGCAAAATCAAGCGTGTCAACGGGTCTGTCCAGCGACTCCGCTATCCTATGGAAAACCGTGCAAGCGCACGCGTGCAAGCCAGAGTACGGAGCGCGGCCCCAACTATATCCCAAAGCGCGGGATCGTCAACCCCTTTGGTCAGCCGTGCGGAGCTGGGTATGGATTGCGAAATCGTCGTCAAGATTCGTGACCATTCCGAACGTGCGGGCATACGGAAGCTGCAACCGGTAGACCTTGTGAAGCATGCTGAACGAGCCAGGGCTGAAGCAGCAAAGAGCACTCCACGCCTGCCTCTAGCCGGTCTTGCCTATATCGCCGCACGACAGCTTCCGTCGGGTGATATCAGCCTAGGTTTTTGTCACGTGCGGGATGTCCCCTTCCTCTCACTTCGTTCGTTTCAGGGCACTCTAACTCTACAGGAGACCATCTCTCTCACTCCCTCCTCCGCGCCTTTTCTCATATTTCTGCTTACTCTCTCATATTAACATTACACACAAAGACCTGCACACACATCGCCATCTTATCGGCGCTAACCCATCAACTCACCGAGAAAGCCACTCTAGTCACTGTCACCTTTTACAAACCATGTCAGACGGCGGTAGCATCAAGCCAAGGTCAGCAAGGCTAGCTGCTTCGGCCGGCATGTCGCCATATGGACGCGCAGGTGCCCCTGGCCCTCACCCAAACACAGACCCCTACGAATCGCTGCGCGCCCGCGCCCTGTCCACCCTCGAGGCCATGGGCTTCGACCCAGACACCATGGTAGAGCATGCCGTCCTCTGGGCTGAGCATCAGGACCCGTTCGGCCACGTCATGAACGCCCAGTTTGTGTCATTCATGGGCGCCAGCTGGATCCGCGTCATGGAGAGCTACGACGAGTTCCTCTCCGCTGAGGAGCTCGACGGTGTCATGAACGGAAAGACGGTCGCCCCCATGGTCCGGAGATTTGACCTCGAGATCAAGCGCCAGGTCAAGTACCCCGACGTGGTTCGTGACTTCTCCCTCCCTCTCTCCCTCCATGCCCGTCCCTCAGCCCACCCCATCGCTAAGAGTACTAACAAGTCAATGTCGCTAACAGGTCATTGCTGCTTATCGGCAGGAAAAGATTGAGCCCACTCGCAACGGCGGCACCACTGTGCTCTTCTCGCTCCAGCAGCAGGCTATTGTGGCCCAGATCAAAGGCACAACCACATACGTAGACGTCAAGACTGGTCGCCCCAAGGATATTCGCACTCTCGGTGGCGGCTTTCCAGCCTTGTTCGAGGAATTCACCAAGAAATCCGAGAGGGTCAATGCTCTCCGCGAGAGGTGGGAGCTGGAACACCCGCCCAAGGCTCCTAGGGAAAAAATTTGACTTTGATAAAGAACACTCTAAAGGTACCGAATTGTCGGAAACTTCGGTTCGGTAACCGTCAAGTATAGCTAGGATAGCTCTGAACGTTCGAAGTTAAAAAAGGCTTCTAAGTACGAAAGGCTTCTTGGCAAGTAAAGTCTTAATAAGTTCTGAATATACTGATCGATAGAAGATCGTATACTCAAGTTTGCACAGTTAATTCAAGACGATAGAGTAAAACTAAATACATGGTAAATGAGCGTCCTGATATACCCTATCCTCAACATAGTCATCAGCACTCTGGCTATGACCGCTATGTTTTGTCCCATCATATCCATCATAGTCGGAACCATGCTGGCTATGATCCGGTAGCCCTAATCATATCCTTTTGTTGGAAGCCTGGTTAGGCTGCGGCAGCATCCGCGAAAATCCAAATCCGCTCCGCATCCGCTCCGCATCCGCTCCGCAGATTGCGGATATGGATGCGGATTTGAAAACAGTGTGAACATGCCAAGCCTCGTGATCACATTCGGCATGCATAACTTGTGCAAATTTCGAGGTAATGTTTTGTAATGAGAGTCTTAAATACTGTTGAATAAATTACTCCTTCATGATACAGAAATTGATGCCAATGATATATCAAATGAATTTAACTTTCTTCAATATATAGTATTATGGCTTGCCAATCTCAAATCCATCTAGGAGCCGCGGTTTCTTCCGAATCCTCCCACTGCCGGTCCGTGCCTGTGTACCATCTAATGATGTTTCTTCTTGCAGGAGACCATCATCTAGATCTGAAACATCTACACGTCGCTTCAAGGAATGAGAGATAACCAGCTCATCTCTATCATGGTCCGGTTCATCCTCTTGTAACTCTTCCTGGTATCCTTCAATTCCTTCCTCCTCATCGTCACTAATCGGCTCAAGGAATTCAAGCGATGGCGTAGATAGACGGCTCTGATCAAGCATGGCAGCTTCACCAGGTGAGAGATACTCCTTTATTATCTCAATCTCTGTCTGCTTCAGCTCAAATTTGGATAGGAAACGATGAAGCATCAGACCCCTGATTGTAGCTGGCTTCAGCTGCCCACGGCGATAATGACAGATATCGCGAGCACAATTGAATATGACGCAATCTTTGGCTAATGAAGCTACGTGTTGTGAGCAGACTTGCCACCTTCCAGTCGGAATGTCTAGATTATTATGAGTGAATTGAATATCTTCTAAGTAGCCTTTTCGGCTATACAATCGTCTTTTTGAGCCAATCAACGTTTGAATTAAAAATACAGTAGTATTCTATTCCTTCTCCTCTTTAGAGAAAAATCTGAAGGCTACGAAAAACATCCCATGCTCACATACTCAAGATACTACATCTACACTCTATCACACTCTTTCGGATTTTTTACCTATTCAACAGTTCAGTAATTCAACAGTGCAGTACGGGTTTGAGCCATGCTTATTGCCTACCTTACTGCTATTAAATTTAAATACAATAAGCCCTCAGATGTGATTCTTCATGTGGAGACGACACTCGTAGAGAGCCGAGAAACTGGACAGCGCGTAATTTGGCCTTTATATGTAATCTCTTGCCGCGCTGGAAAACTGACCAAGTTTGCTGTTCTTGTTTGCGAGCTCTTCGTGCCTAATAATACAAGGTGCAGAAGAATGATGAAAAAACTGTGTTGTTAAGCTAACCCGAAACCACAATAGTAGACTTATATGTGACAAAACGGAGCGCATTCAGTGAGGCCTGAGTGGGCCATCTGACCCGCTATGGCCACCTCGTATCTCAAACTAAGTTTCTACCCTCTATTCCTGTTGAGTCGAACATAAACACCATTCTGATGGCACATTGTCAGTGTTTGTCGCATAGGTGGATGTGTGCCCAGATCCGGACCGGGATCCGCGTTGTCCAGAGACTCAAACTCCAGCGCAATTCGAAACACCAGGTGGCTGGCCTGGATTGTGGCAAATTGCTCTATCAGGGACGATTCGGTTAGCTTGATGACAGTAAGTGGACATTGGTGCAGGGCTATTGCTTACGTCCAAGACAAGCACGAGGGCCCCCGTTGAAAGGCAGGAACTCCCAGGCGTTCTGTTTACTTTTTTCCCACCGTTCCGGACGGAAGATCTCAGCGTCTGGCCCCCATATATCCGTTCGGCGATGTACAGACCACACTGAGTACCCCACAGTCTGGCCTTCCTTGATATATACGGGCGATCGGCCATCCGACCCACCTCCTATGGGGATGGTAGTGTTTTTATTGGCCACTCGGGCGTTAATTGGCACCGGGGGGAATAGTCTCAAGGCTTGAACGTATCAGTGAAAAAAGTATGATCAGATTGAAATTGAGGTTTACCTTCGTTGATGACAGCGCGGATATATGGTAAGGCATGGATTTTTGTCAGCGTGACTGGGCCTGAATTTGCCGTCTCCCGTACTTCGGCTTTGAGTTTCTCCCAGGTCTCCTGGTTTCGCGCGAGGAAATAGAAGATGGAGCTAAGGAGACTGGCGGTGTCATCTCGACTAGCTAGAAGAACATTGACCATCTGATCTCTTAGTACCTTCGCATCTCGGGATTGAAGGGCTAAAGCGTGGAGGAAACAATGTCGTAGCCGGGTGTCTCCTTTCTCCTGGTCCGTTTGTCGAAGCGCTTTTTCAACATAGTAGTCAACAAACCGATGAACAGTTTCATTTGCCTGTCGGAATTTGGGTGGGTTGATCAACCAGTAAAGGTGGAGGGCGATTGTACGCTGGAAGAGCACGTATTGTGCGTAGTCAAACGCTTCGGCAAAACCTTGTCGGCCTTCGTAAGAGGACTCGGCAACTCCAGTCTGATTGGATGACGCCGAGGAAAGAGAGTTAATAGACTCATCAAAGAGAAAGTCAGTTGTGGCATCTAGAGCTAGACGGAAGAACAGTTTCTGGGCATCGAAGGCCTCTCCGTCTGGAGGAAGAGCCCCGGTGAAGCGCTTCACGTGCTCATCGAACCAGACGATATCTGGTATCTGTTTGGCAGGGAACGAGTTAATGACTGACCACTAAACCTTTGAGCAACCGGATTCAATGGGCTGATACCTCGCTGCGTGTAAAATGTGGCCGCAGTAGCTGCCGCGAGTATTCCCAGCGCTTCCCATCAGAAGTGAAGATGCCATCTCCGAACAAGGGTGGTACTGTGGATGACGAAAATAAGATAGCCCGAAGCTAGAGAACTGAGAGGCAAGGATGGCGCGGATGTTCTCAGGCTCGCAGGTCAGGATTATCGTGCCACCGGGGGGGTTCAAGTCGAATGGTGCGTCCGTTCTGTAGGTGCATATTTCGAAGCCTGTTCGCGATTTGCCCTTGGCTGTGGGCAAGTTTCAAATCGGTGAGCAGTCCAATGCCCAGAGGGCCACCAGAGACTGCTGGGCATGGCTCGCAGGAGAGCCTCTTGGAACGCCTCCTGTGAAGAAAGAGTATAGCGAGGTGACGAATAGTGTAGAGGAAGACCGAAAGCCCACCCAGGTAGGCCACGGTGGTAAGCTTTATAAGCATCTTTTTTTTCTTTTGCCCTTCTCTGAGGAGATCAGGTCTGCAGCATTTTTCTTCTCTCATTTTAGGGACCCTTTGACTAAATAGTATTGCCTAAGCCCATCCATTTCCAGTTTCGAACAATCCCCGCGGTCTTTTGCATCGATCTTCTCACTATAGTACATCTAGTAGACCGCCTGGTCAATGTTTCACAGCCAAAAATCGTTGTCATGGTATAATTCAAGTTAAAAAGATCGACTGTAACACTTGTAGTAAATGGGAGACGCTGGGCCTCTTGAGCCCGATATCTCTAGGCCATACAACTACTTCCGGTTCTCTGCAGCCATCTAATGCACATTTCGTGGTCGTACTACTCTATATCTAGACATATATCAGGTACATTGACTGACGCTTGGTGGCGTAAAAAAAGCAACTAACGGGTTTCCTGAAATGGCGGAAGATATACATCATGCCTACATGGGCTTTCTATCTAAGAAGATCCATATTCCGCTATATCACACGACCGCCCAACTTGTACATGACAGTTACACAAATTTCAGGTTCCTTTTTCTCAATACATATTAGCCTTGTATAGTCGAGAATCTTGTTCATTCTCGGCTGTACATGCATGTTACGTAGTCTTGTTTTCCTGTTGCTCAGCATTCAATAGTCTCATGTCGATGGACTAATTGTTCCCACCAATCCACTTCACTGCCCGATGCGGATCACCCATGGACCATTTATTTAGCTAGAAAGGAAAATAATAATACTTGATGTATTTTAGGCTCATGCAAACCTTGTCAGATAATACGGCAGTGTTTCATTGATGCTGACGTAGAAGCATCATTCGATTTTTCATATTCCTGACTCATCTTCATTCAAAATACTTTAGGAGCAATAAATGCTGTGAATATTTCAATCATATTGCTTTTGGCCCCGGAGTATGGAGCAATAGTGTCATAACATTTTCCCTCCTCATGACCTTGGGGTGGGCCTCGCTAAATGCTGATCACTACCCATGGACGGAACGCTGCGTGTATATAATTCACAACTGACGGTATTATTATACTGAGTATATCCTTATTCCTATCAGGCATCCGAGAAAGCATTATCAATATCATCACTAATTAGCGTATGAGTTGACTACCTAAGTCTGCTTAACAACGCCATTCAAATAATTTATATTCAATTTGTCCCCAAACGAACGACATATCTGCCATGTGGGATTATTTTTCTGGCCAAGTAGTGTTTCTCACTGGGTCTTCGGGGTTCGTGGGAACAGCCATTGCCTATCGTCTACTCTCCCAGGCTCCTATTGCCCACCTCTATCTGCTTTGCAGAGGAGGACTGTCGTGAGCCCGCAAAACACCCTCCATTAAAGCGTTTGCCATTCTAACAAACAACTGGAAAGACGTCTTGCAGCACTATGGGAACAGCATCTGCCACCCAAATATATTCAAATGCTATTCGAAGGCCAAATAAGCGTCCTCGATGGCGATATCACCAAGCCCGGCATGGGAATAGATAGCGAGACGTTACAGCACCTCCAGCAAGAACTCACCATTATCATTCACGCTGCCTCATCCATAAATTTGGTCCAATCACTTGCCAAGCTCTCTGATTCCATCATTCGCGCTAGCGAGGACATGGCTTACCTTGGGCTGGCGTGCAGTAAGCTCAAGCGGTTTGTGTACGTATCAAGCGCCTACTCCAACGCCTTCCTACACCAGGAGACAACGAATACAGATGTTTATGTCGACGAGACCATACACTCCCTTGGACGTGGTTGGGTGACTGACGTCCGGGACGAGTGGACGCAAGTTCAGAGCCATGGCTACTCGATGGAATACCTTTCGCATGACTTTCCTTGGGCTTATGCCTACGCCAAGCATCTTACGGAGCGGCTTCTCATTCGCATGTTCGCCGATGCCAGCCGAAATGATCAGCTGCTCATTATGCGGCCCTCTATCGTCGCCCCAGCCCAGAACTTCCCCTATTCGGGATACAGTATGCCCGAATCCACACCATCGACCCTTCTATCTGCCACCCTGCTCCTGACACCATCGTGGCTCTTCCGCATGTCTAGTCGGCTGCCAAATCCGGACACCCAGGCTACTGTAGACGAAGTGCCGGTGGATGTTGTCGTTGACAGGCTGCTCGTTCATCTTGCACGGGGGGTCTACTGGCCCTGTTCACGCTGTCAGCGGTGCTGCCAAACGTTATGCCTTCCGCACCTACTGGGAGGTGGCGATGAAGTTGCGCTGTATTCCGTGGACACCGCGCCCTATGTGGATGCCGGTGGACTGGCACTCCGACACCCTCCATGAAAGTGCCCGAATGTATGTTATTGGAGGTACCTCGTACAACTTTTGTGAACGCAAAACAGACTTGTTGTATCGAGAACTGGGGGAGAAGGAGCCAATGGGAATACAATTGTACACGACAGGCTTTGGCTGCGGGCATGATCTGGCGGCGAGATTGCCACAGATCCTGTCCCTTGCAGAGCATATTTCTAGGCGATCTTTCCTTGCCCGGGTCATGTTCCGGGTGTTCTATGGGTGGTAGTTGTGGGTGTGGTGACTCGAAAAGCCGTCTAAGCAGTCACCCGTCTCTCTCAACCCTCATGCCGCCTACCTCTTTTGTCTCCAGTTAGGTCGTCTACGCAATGTTATGCTTACCTCCCAGTCAGCCTTCTGACATACCTACTTCCAGTACTAAAGCACCAATCAAAACGGCCACCCTACCGGAAATCACACTCCTTCATCTCCTAATGTCCAGTTGTGATATGAGTTCGGTACAGATCAGGAACGTAGTCGCACCATCGGAAGTAGTTCCCGAGATATCTACACGCAGAATCAAATTGATTTTGCATCAGCTTAATCTTCTCGTTTTATACATAGCTTCAGTTATTCCCACTAGCCCTGGAATTGATCGCGGCATTCGCTCGACCAGGGAGTACGCGGATAATAGACCCGTGACTCATTGCTGCTGCCCGTGCGAGGGGAGTGCATCTTTAGCCATCTACCGAGTATCATTGTACCTAAGCGGTAAGCTTACTATATTGATATTACTGAGGCCTGAGGCCTCAGGCCCAAGCTTGCTGAGTCAGCCGGTGCCCACCGTGCCTGCCATGTAGATAGCTTCTCTCCATAGCATCTTCATGTCACCACCATCTTCAGTCTCTCCATGCGAGTATCCTCATCCTGTGCCTCCAGTTGATACATCCCGCTCGGAGTTATTTCACGCCGAAGCAGGTCTAGTTGCTCTAGTACCAGTCGTTGTTGATGCCTGGTGGGGTTTATGATTAGCAAAATTATCTCTCCAATGTAACAAACGTGATTCATGAAACCAGATACCTGATCGAAATTTGCAAGTCGAGTATTCTTATCTCATTTCGCAATTCACCTAGCTCCCGACGGATTGAATTTATCTTGTCGAAACTAACCACAAACTTAGCGCGCCCGATAATCTCCTTCTCAAACCATCTCGGATCCGATTTGAAATCCAATCTATGTTTCCCAGCGTAATCTTGTAGAACTTGCAGTGATTTTTCAGCGCGCCTAAGAATCTGCTGCATGCGACGCTGAAGGATCCTATCCTCATGTCGGAAAGTTGTGCATGAGTGCTCTGAGGTGAAGGCTTGTATCTCAATAGATTGATCGACGATATCATCGGTGAATCTCTCGAATATTGCATATGTGTCTTTGTTTGCGCGATGCCCCGAACGAAGATACAACGCAGTGCTCACAAGTAGGGCATATACGAACGTCAAGATTGCCAGGACGCTGCCTGTTGTTGAGAGTGGACTGTCATCGCATGAAACAGAATAACTCGAAGTCATTTTATTCTTGTTGGGCGAAAGGCGAATTCAGTAATCAGTTAATACGTGTCGATAACATAAGGATGACAGCGTAGCCAAAGTTTCCTAATTGTATCTGTGGCGGTGTCAGGTCACATGACGGAGAGTCAAACTATCTACTGGGTTGCTGCCAATTTGGAGGTCAGCATGATTTCCTGGCGCCCAAAACACACACGAGTGCTGAAATACTGGTAGCGCATGGGGTGGTTGAATAAAATTAGGAATCGTTTGATATTAGGTCGATGGCAGGTGAAGTTTGCAATTGGGGACCGGTGAGCGAAGATATGGCTTTTGAATTGAACGACGTCGAATCATCAAAGGTTAGCGTACCGGATCTTGCTTGGACCTAGCAAATCTCTATGTGGTACAGCCTCAGCCTGGCTCATCTTCTCATCGATGATAACTCCCTGATTCATGAGTAATGATCGATTTGCCGTCCTGCTCGATCCTCCACGCTTCCAACGCCGTTGTCAATGCCCGTGTAAATTGCTCATTATATTTCAATCTATCCTCCGCAAAACCCCTGTCAATCGTCCTCCATCTCTCGCGGGGTTTATATACGCATGTGAAGCTATCAACGAAGTTTCGGAAATCCCCTCAAAAATAGACACAGAGATAGGCCACTGCGCATGCATATATTTACTGCCGCTCTGGCACCAACATGTATTGCAGGAGTACTGCGTCGAGTTATTGTGGCATTTGAGTAGGTGTACCCAGTAAAAGGTCGAGATTCGATGGTGCGATGAAGACTGGTTCAATGCCCAACGGAATTGAGACATGGAAGGAGCAGGGTGCGCAATGCCTAGTGCGACAAACACTGCAATCGCTAAGGGTATTTAAAGGCAGTATGACGGCTTGAGGGTGGAGGGCAAAGTGAGATGCGTGGGAGTGACAAGCTGCTGTCAGGACTGTATTGACCATATCGGAGTTTCCAAAGAAAATATGAGCGGCTGCTTAGGAGGGGTACGGCGCGTTATATTTGGGGGACGATTCAATGGACATGTATAAGAGAATTACGAGTAAGTACGTTTCTGCCAATGAGGCAGGATTTCTGTCGAGTTTGTGTAATAGTGAGGAAATTGAAAGCCTAGGCCCGACTCTAATTGGACTGATTTTTCTCTCGACAATTGCTAGATTGTATTGTCTAGCTGACGATCTCTTTGAAATTCCATCCGGCAGCGATCGTAAGGCCACGGCAAGTACGTTCCCTCGTCTGATTGGGCCTGAGCTGATATCACTGAAGAAAAGTTCTGACTTTGATATCTTACCCCTCCCACAGCCGAGAAGCGTCGAGAAAATTGTAAATGTAGGCGTGCAAGGACCAAGTATTCAAGTATTTACTAGACCTTCGAGAATATGGAAAAATCTCCAGCACGGCCTTTATGGGCCCCGAATGAAGGTTATGATGGCCTCATGTCATCCTTGTGCGCTTTCTTCGGGAATTTCAAGTACCTAGAGAGTTGCGTTCACTTTCTATCTCAAGCGAATCTTAAGCCCGTTGACTCGGTCGGTAAGGTAAGCCATCGGCTCTTACTTTGATTCGGAGTCGGCCTCCGGGAAAAATCACCCAGAGGAAGGGGGGTGTATCATCCAGACCTCGGTGTCTAAACTCCGATGTCTACGTGCGACCGAGGCAGAATACCTCGAGACTAGATATGAAAATTTATGGCTCCATACTATGCGACATTATTTTTTGATGCCCTCGGATCCCAAGAACAATGATTATCTACCGGTCAAACTGACTCGGGCTAGGCCGGACCCGCGCACGATCTACGACATAGCCTATCTTGCTCACTAGCTTGGGTTTAGGTCCCCAGAAATTGACGGGCTGCTAGCAGAACAGTTCTCCAGATCACGAAATCGCACGATCAGCCCTTCTCCAGGCCCGAAAACCAGGCCGATAGCGATACAATGACCAGCAGTTCGATGCTCTGGTACGTCGGATTGTGGATTGTTTTACCGAAGCTGTTCCCAATCAGCCCGATCCCTCGCGAGATCTTTTGGCTAGTATCACCGTCAAGACATACGCTCGCTCTGAGGTTCCACAGACCCGCACCTATATACGAGATACTCCCTTGTTATTCTTAGATTAATCGAATACTGATGTCGACGTCGCTGACACAATCACTAGCTTTTTTGTTCGGCATTGTGTTTGTTTTGCATTTTTGGGGAAGTCGCCAAAGGTTAAATCCAGCAACACGATATAATAAGGGTATAAATGCAGACCAAAGGGTGGAATATACAACACAGTCACCGTTGCTTGTCAACACAGATAGTCCACTTAGCTTTCATAGGTTCACGCGCCTTATAGATATATCCAGCCGGTCCTCTGTTCTCCGAACGAGCAATTTTGCAACAAACCAACCGGTTTCCTGTAAGACGGACAGTTCAAAATTTACACCCGATCCTATATACTTAGATCTTCTGGGGCCAGATCTAGACCAGGACATCTTGACTAGAGAAGTCCTTTGGATGGAGATTACTCTACTCCCAGAGGGTTCCAGAGTAAACTAGTGCTAGAAATAGTTCTTTGTCACTGCTCGCCCGGAACCGATCCAGAACTTAGAGATACTAGGAGCAAATACACCCAGATCTCATTGGAAACAGTTTCACATGAATAGAGTCAGGACAAACGAGCAGCAGGAGAGGAACTCCACCCAGAGATTGCGTCTGCACTCGGAATTGCTGCTCAGACACCTATCGATCCTATAGCAAAGCAACGATCTTCCTTAGAGACAGTAATCTTATCAGAGGAAAGATATCCCTCTAGGTCTAAAGAGCTAGAGGCTTTCATCAAGAGCCTGAGGAGGTCCCAAGTAGAGCAAGAGGAGCTAGAAAAAAGAATAGAGAGTGACTAACTCAACCATAAACTCAACCTGATCTATTATAACCAAGCTTCACCTAGAGAATTGCTTTAACAAGATCATACTCAGACCTTGCCACTACCAACCTCTGATGGTCAGCAAGCGGAAGCAATATGCAGAGACACCGAACACATTACAACACAACTGCTGATCTCAATGACCAAGAGTCTACAAAACAGCTTATTAGGATCAAGTTCTGGTCACTCGAACGAGGTCAGTTGAATCAATCAGATTTTATTCTTGTAGACCGTTCGGATCCCCCGCCCGTGGAGCGGGTCGCACGAAAGTACTCATACAAAGGCTATACATTCTATAATGTGAACCTACGCAGCCTCTGTCCAGGCCACTGCTACCGTACAGCCACAGCCGATGGCAGCAATACCATTTGCTTGATCTCCGCGCACGTAGAGAACCAGCTCGCTGCCGACGGAAGATTTGGTAAGGAGAGACAGCTGATTTCAACGGCTTTACGAGTTGTAGCTAGGGCGGTGACAAGATAAAATAACCTTGACAGTGGTGGGTGTGGAACTGATCAGTCTTTATATGAATGATTTGTACCTGGGAGAAGGACTGGAATGAGAGACCTGTTTTGAGAGAGTTCTCGTTTTGAGATAATTATCTTGAGATACTCTTAGTCTTAAGAAGCCCGGGTCCTAGTATAGGCCACATAATACCATGACAGATTACCCATATTTCCTCGGCAATGAAGAGGCGCTTTGTCTTGAATAGTATCTGTTAGCACTTTGCAATAGACCTTGTCTTAAATACTGAACTCAATGTTTCGATTTAGCACTATTCAATACTCCAAACTGGAGCCGAGATCCCCGTATGATTATCACGCGGGATACGAACACATCTTCGTGTCCAAAGTAGCCCCGAAAACAGTTTCCGGATCGAATATTTCCTCCGAAAATGGCTTGACCAGGCTAGCAAGTTACAATAGAACATCATATCTGGACAATAATAAAATTTGGAACCTCGTCTCTTGCTCGGGAATGAAACTGAGCGAAGCAGGTACTTTGCGGGTCTTGAAGAAATAGATAGGGATATCAAAAAGTAATGCATATAGCACAGTTCTGCTCCGTAGCGATAGTAGAAAACAACATGGAAAAAAGGAGCTGTCAAAATAGGCAGATCCGTCACTGCATGCTCACATACATACAACTCAGACCTCGATCTAGCGTGAAACCGTAAAAAAAGAAACAGTGAGAAAAACGACAGCGACGACGACTCAAACATCATTCAACGTTTGATCGGAGAAACACACTGCCCATGATCAGTAAATAGATTTGAATGAGGTGGCCCCTATTGAGCCACCTCTGGTAGCGATGAAGTACAGACCCATGTTGATGAATGTTGAAACACGTCGTTAGCGTTTTTCTGCGGACCGCCGCGGGTGTTGAAACAGTGTCAACAGTGAGGAATTTATTTTTTCATATACGCAATCATCAAGAGAAAGCTGCGATACCTCTGAATACTGCATCAGATCAATGGGTAGATGTTGAACCGGCTAAAATCTGAGGGTCAACGGTGTTGAGATCCTCACAATTTGCAACGGTCATTAGATCGACGCAAGGGTAAGGACTGGGTGCAAATATATAAGTATTCCGAATTCTCGCCAGCGGAACAGTCGTTCCCAAATATCCTCCTGTCATTATGGGGCAAAGAATATCGAATATTTCTGACCTCTCCAGCTGCTGTCCTCCAGTATGGACTAACCTGACCCCGAAGTGATGTACTTGTGATCTGACTGACCTGCTGTATCGTCCCTAGTCCGTCTATGCTCGACACTAAAATCTGTAAACGGCAGGTAAGTTTAGTTACCCAATAATTCGAGACTACGCTAACATGGAAGATGTTTAATATCAGCCCCGTCTCAGTTCCTCTGGGAATTCAATCTAAGGAACTGGAATGCTCTCGATAATATATCCAGGTTGCGAAAACAGTGAGTAATTAAGAGCCCCAGAAGCTACCTACAGATGGTTTATCATAGATCAAAACTATCCCCTACCAAGCCGACTTGACCAAACTCGAATGCCCCGTGCAGCAGTAGCTGGCAAAGTATGTTTCGATCACTATGGGAGCTTTGAGAGAAGTTAAATTAGCCTTCGCTAACGACTCTCTGTATAGGAAGCCGATTGTTAAGGAATGGAGGATCTACCTTTGGGTTGGGACTGAGGGGTTGAAATATGTGATCATATAAAACTGGGATATGGTAAGGGTGGGGAGGCGGGGAGAAAATATGCCGCGGCGCTTTCATAGCATCAAAAAAAAATATTGCCGAAGCTGGCTTCACAGTAGAGAAGAGAATGATTAGCAATCGATTGCTTCCTCATAAAGGATCCTGTGGTTGCTTTTTCATGTATCCTATAGTATATTTAGAACTGAATATAATATCCTGAAAGCCATTATGAGATGAGAAGAGCAGACGAGGTATAGCTAACGTGTTTCACCACCGAGCCGCCACCACCACCGAGCCGCCACCACCTCAAAAAAATCGCGTCGCGTGTAGCACCTCCATCTTTAAACCACCACTATGCCACCAATTCGTACCGGACGAACGCGCAAACTCATTGAGCAAGAAGGCAGGATCGAACTTGCTATACAGGCGCTAAGAAACAAGAAAATAGCTTCTATTACTGAAGCTGCGCATGTTTATGAGGTACCTCGTACAACATTACGCGACCGCGTCAAGGGGATCGGTTATCGCAACACCACTCGCGCAAATTGCTCAAAATTAGACGAAATCGAAGAGGATTCGCTTAAGCGATGGATATTGGATCTAGATATACATAGCAAGGCCCCTACCTTAGCTATAGCAAAAGAGATAGCCAATATTCTACTTACGCAGTGCTCTGTCAATACCCCTCCCTTACCAATCGGCAAAAATTGGATATCTCGGTTTATTGCACGCCGTAAGAAGCTAAAAACCCAGTTTTCACGTCGTTACGCCGCTCAGCGTACATTATATAAAGATCCGGAGCTTATTCGCAAGTGGTTCGATCAATATCGCAACATCATTACTAAATATGGCATCCTTAACAACGACATCTATAACTTTGATAAAACTGGCTTCGCAATGGGGATCACTAGTACTTCAAAAGTGATCACTAGTCGGGAGTAGCAGGGAAAAAGAAAAGTCGTACAGCCTGATAACCAGGAGTGGGTTACTACAATTAAGTGTATCCATTTGGATAGTGTTCTACCTCCAACGATCATTTTTAAAGCCAAAGTTTTTATATCTACTTAGTACAGTATTATCATTATCCCAGACAACTAACACTTCGAGGTCAGCAATAATAGATAGACTACTAATCAAATTGGTATTTCATAGCTCGAAAATTCCTTCATCCCATACGTTAAAAAGCATCAACATAGTACCTGGTCTCTCCTAGTCATAGATGGCTATAGAAGTCATCTCACCCCTCAATTTAATGCTCTATATATAGAAAGCAATATTGTGCCAATCTACATACCATCTCATTCATCACATCTATTACAACCTCTTGATATAGGTTATTTTGGTGTATTGAAGCACTTCTATAGTCAGACTGTGCAAGATCTTGCCCGTATAGGCTCTACAGATATTAAAAAGCTCGATTTCCTTCATCTGTACCCTACAACACGTGCAGCAACATACACAACCTCTACAATTGCTAGCAGTTTTATAGCATCGGGTATCATTCCATATGCGCCTAAGGTAGTACTTTCAAAACTTGAGGTTCATCCCCGTCACCTACACTACCACCATCATATGGTAGTGCTAGTAGTCATGAATTTATACCTCATACACCATCAAAAACTATCAATTTTCGACGCCAGGCAGCATCAATCAAGCAATTACTAGAGTATCGAGATATTTCACCCAATAGCAATATATATCAGCAATTAGAGCAGACTACCAAAGGTGCACAATTACTTACTAATCAGCTTGTAATACTGACGACTACATATGAGCGTGTAATGGCAGAGAATGGACGAAAGCAGCGAAAAAAGGCCTTACCTAATAAGCAATTAGTATACGAAGGTAGAATGACTGCCGAAGAGATACAATTACGTCTACAAATTGAGCATGAGCACCAAATAGCAATACCCCCGGTGCCACGGCGTGCTCCGACAGCTACAGAGACAACGACTAGGAGGCCTGTACAGCACTGTACTAATTACAGAGAGCCAGGGCACAAGCGGAATAGGTGCCCGGTTGTGAATAGTGCTTAGTTTTTGCAATATATTATATGGTGGTTGTGTAATATTCAATATATATCGTTGTAATGTAGGTGGGGTGGCGGCTCGGTGGTGGTGGCGGTTCGGTGGTGAAACACGTTAGTGGTTATGGTAGATACCATCTGAGGAATAATGATGAATCTAGGCACCGGTAACAGCAGAATCAAAACTGTGGTACTTAACTACATCCGCGGTACAATCAAGTCTGAAGTCGGTGATGGGGGTTCTGAAGAGGAAAGGCAGCAACCAGCACAAGACTCAATTAACCATGGACCGGGTCAAGAACGATAGCTTGCGGGTTTGATTTTACGAGTACGAAATAATCAGAGACTTGGTCCAGTGGATGACTTCGTAGACCTTTTGTGTTTAAGAGGGTTAAAATTGTGTTAAAATATTTTCCGCGCGGGTACACCTAGCGCCCTCAATCTGTGCCAGCCACGGGACGGCCGTTAATTAAACACACACATGACACATCACGACTCTGTAAAACGAGCTCTACTCCACGTAACGAATGTTAGGCTGGGGAGGAGTATCCATGTTATAGCCCAGGAAGTAGTCAACCTCGTGAGACTGCATGTATCCATGGAGTGTCATAGCATTGCGATAGGCCGGATTGTGAGGAAGAGTATAGAGCCGGATATCGCTAGGCTGGTTTGTAGTGAAGATGACCAGCTCGGTGTAGTCCTCGTTCACCACCACAATCTCTTCGCGCCAGTCTCCGAGGATATCACCCAGGAAGCCCGGGTTGTGATTGTTTGGGTTTTGAGCTCCGAACTTGCTGATGGTGAGGATTCGAGGAAGACTACCACTCGTAGTGGGGTTCTCCCAGTCCCATTTCTCGAGTTTGCCGTCATTGTACAGCTCCATCAGGGCGTCGCCATCCCACCAGACGCCCATCTGCGGCCATGGTGCAAGCGCTTTGTCGTCAGTGGTGGTTTCGTTGGAAGCAGCGTTAAAGACCCCTTGGAATGACCAAACTTCCATACCAGGATAAGTTGGATCAATGTCACCAACCATACCGCGTCCAACATCGCCAACCTCACTGCCGTAATGCTCCCAGATAAACGTCCCATCGGCAGCGTCGTAATAGTACTCCATCAAGAGTTCTTCATTATCCTGCTGGATGCCATACCCTTGCAACCCCTCTCTCTCCGGGTCCATTTTGGTGATATAATAGCGGTCGCCATGCACCACGGGATCAGGCATGGTATACAACAATGACCCATCTTCCCCATTGAGCACAAATCCAATCTCAACAACATCGTCCTTCCCATCCCCATTCACATCGATGATCCGCGTATTGTGCCCATCAGCACCAACCAAGTCATCCCCCATCGAAATCCACTTCTCAGTTACTGTCTCCCCATCCCACGTCCACGCCCCCATTACCCGGTTGAACACCTTATCGTCCCTCCGGTTCTTCATGAACGCCACCAAATGCGGCGTCACCCCATCGAGATACCCAACTCCAAATCTCGCCGCCAACGGCCCATGATCGATGTAGTCCGTAGGAATCTTGCTCGTCCCCTTCAGCGCCCCTGTCCTCCCATCCAATATCGCAATCCACTGCTCATTATCAATGTCCCGCACGAACTCCTCGCCATCCCCAAAGACAACCCCATTGGCAATCCTCACAGCAACCTCCGCATATCCGTCACTGTCGAAATCGAACACCGTGACACCGTCCCAATTCCCAACGCTGATCGACGTGCTCCCAGGTTCGATATTATCTTGGTTTTCACTGTTCGGTCCCAATTGGACCTCCCAGAGAAAGGTGCCATTGCTCGCATACCCCTCAATACTTTGCTGTGTATTCGTCCGGTCAAGTACAAAATCATACTCCCCGTCGCCATCAAGATCACCCACCCAGACAAATTTTATCGCGCCGGTATCTTTAATGAGAATACGAATCACAGGCTCAACGTCGTTATTAGCGGCGAGCGTGAAGCTACCGCTATCATCTGACTCTTCATCGTCTACGACGGAACGCACCCAATACGTGTTCTCCGCCGAAGCGTCGGCCGTTGTGTCGAGGAAGTTTGTCCCCATAGTGGAGGTTAGGGGCTCGTCATTTAACAGTTCGGCGTCACTAGAGTCGCTCGAGCGGTAGACATTGAAGCCGATGTCACTGGGGTCGAGGCCTAGCAGACGCCAGGTGACCAGGACTTCGTCCTCACTGACACGAACCGCGACGACGCCGCGGCCCAGGTTTTCCATGGGTCGGGGCCTGAGGGCTAGGACCGTTTGGGAGAGGAGGGTGAGGCTCCCGAGGACCGCCCCGGAGCTAAGTCTCTGAAGAAGTCTCATGTTGATGTCTGAGTCAACTTGTTTCAATGTACTCTTTCTTATTTAAGATATTCACCTCCTGAAGGCATCCGTACTCCTTTCTATACACCAAGACACCAGTCTTTGGACGCACTATATCTCAGATACATCTAGCCAACTGGAGGAAAATCACCTCCGGAATGCCCATGATCGTAACAGTGATATATCGATTGACGATCAATTGCCTGTTATAGTCTTAGGGTCGGGGTCTGTTGTTCGGAGGTCGGGAGAAATCTGTTGAAATCTGTCTTGTCATTCGATCTCTTTCCTAGAATGTCGCACTTGCCGACCTCAACTATAAAACAACACTTGGCAACACATTGCCAGGATGCATAAAGAAGTTCCTCGGGCAGTGATTCAACTACGATATCTACCCCGCTCCTATTTGTCTGCTGCGTGATAGCTGGTAGGAATGGTGCTATTCTCGAATTGAAATTGCGATGCGATGGTATACCATGTGTTCTGATGAGGAAGACGGCATTTTCTCGTCCCTTACCGCTGCATAAACATGACTACATGTGATTACCGGAAGACTGGGCTGGGAAAGGGAAGTTATAAATGCCGTTGCCCCGACCTGTTGACAGATCTGTATTGCGGCCTCGCCAAGCCCGCTCTACGCACAATAGACTAATATAGTCTTCAGATGGATCTATGCGTCTCATTTTTCTGTCTAATTTTTTCTCATTATTATTATCATTATTATAATATAATTTGATCAAGTTTATCGACTATATGCTACCTATTAGGCAGGCACTCCGCTATGTAGCAGGGTGATGTGCTGCTGCAACTACAAGTAGCTACATCTTGATATAGTTAGATAAACCAGTACACTTGTACCCCAATTAAGTGTTCAACTTCGCCCAGAGGTCAAGGTAAACGATCCTTTCATCTCTATTTCACAGACAAAAGATGGGAGATCTCTCCGAGACGATTAGGCCGCGATCCGCAGCACTTGCTCCGGTCCCTGACATTGGTAGTGTCACATTTAATTTCCCCACCTTCAAGGGTGGAGTTAGTCGGGAAAGATGTCGGGGTAAGGGGTATTGCATTCCGAGATCCCCGCTCCAATTTCCGAGCTCCTGACTCTAAGCAGCTGGTAGCTTCTTGGCAGGCCTTGGCGCGACGAAGTTGCGTAGAAAACGTCATGAGTAGGAAATTGCAATGCACGTGCAAGAACTATGAAGCCAGAATCGGGACTTGGAAGGCTTTGAAATGGACACAACAATCACGGTGTGGAATGGCTCCGATGCATAGGGACTCAGGCAATCTAACAATGCGCCCTTCAAACATCTTAGCCTGAAAGAGGCATTTACTTTATCCCAGCAACTAATTGGTGGATTATAGGGAGCTATCAAAGGGAACTTGCCTTTGAGCCTGAAGATGGAAGGAAAACTGAGTACCTGTATTAATCAGCTATCGATTGCTTTCGGATGCGTCACTAAAGGAGTTTATCGAAGCACGTTATATATTATTCGATACTGGAAGAGATTTTTATAGCGGCCCTTCATTAGTTATTGGTCGAGCGTGAATCTTCTTAACAAAGTAAGAAGTACCCAATATTAGTAGAGAATAATTCGGATCTCATCTTCTTCCCCTGGATTCGCTGTCACCTGGATTCTTGGTCTTTTTAACCACAATTTCTGAAACTCTTTCACATCAATTCCCGATGTCTTCGAAACTGCGAATATTCCCGTCGCTAACCACATCTCCGCCGGAGATTTGCTCTCGGCCTCTGCAACTAGTGTGTGCTGAACCGCAGGTATCAAGGTTCTTTGCATGATTAAATTAGTATTTGCATCTGCTCGCAGCAGTAATGCCTGACTTTCGGTCGCGAGCTTGCCACCTCCTGAACGCGGCGCAAGCATCGAATCCCTTTGTAGATTGACAACACCACTGGCGCTACTATCCGAGAAGATCAAGCACCTCTGTTTGTCTTTCCCCCATGCTTCCACCACAGCAGAATCCTGATCCAACAGCCTCTCCAAATCTATTTCTGGACACAACAGGCCAGTCCTTGCCGCGCCAGAAGCCGCAAAGCCTGCGTCAACTAACCTGATGGATCCAGTTATGATGGCTGCCGGTGACCACTTCACCTTGTGTATACGGAAGTGCCATCCTGACCACAGTTCCAATGCAGAAATTAGGGTACTTTGGACCTCGAAGTCAATTGCCTTCTTGGGTCTCCAGGTACTAACAAGAGCCGGCACAGTTCTCGCTGCCGTTCCCATCTCAGCATCCGCTTCGGAAGTGAGGATCGGGATCTGCCGATGCCGTACATTGACTGGATTTTCACGCATAATCCATGCCTCGCCGTCATCGAGACTGACAGTCAGCGTGCTGTCCGGAGCCATCTGCTCTAGCAGTCTGCCACTGGGAACACTGAATCCAAAGAAGGACGAATACGCCATCTTGCCGTACTTTGCCTCTCTGGCACGGTGGTCCTTTGTGGTTCCTTGGCCCGATGAGAGCAGAAAGTGATGGCTGCGTCCGCTGCATAGAATTTGTCGGGGCGGCCAGACGAGTTTGACCTCATCAAGGAGCGGCTGGGAAGGCAAGAGGTTGGCAGCAAGTGGATGTGGTAATTCTTTTGCTGTCCAGAAAGAGTGGCTCTCAGGTAGACAAAGGATGGTGAATGATTTCAAACACCAGTATACGGACTGCGGTGAATTGTAGTTCTCGCTAAGGAACATGTTTGGATAGGTATAGCCGATATTCATTGTACCATCAGAGTTGAAGATGCCAGGCTGCTTACTCCACCAGCGTAGATGGCGGAGAAGGAGACCTTTGATCACGCCGATGTTGTTGAGTGGTGCGTCAAGCTGTACCCCGGCGCTGGCGACCGCGGACCAGAATGCCGCGAAAGCGAAGCGATACGTCAGGCTCCGCCCAAATGGGATGGCACTTCCTAGAAGTTGCTGAGTCAGTACTATGTTTCTAGAAATATATGTCTCGGATTCAGGTGTAGAGAATTCAGAGGCAAATGTCTAGATAGTAGGGAGATGAAATTGTTGTATAGGCCGACATACCATCCACGTTAAAATACCTCCAAAACCCCGACGCAAACTGTCGCGCCTCCAGCTTGTACCTCTCAACTCTACTGTGATCTTCGGAAGTCAAGCCCCTATCCCCCAGGCATTTCACATATAGCATCCGTGCAAACTGGATTGCAAAGCTTCCCGAGTAATAATCGGCCTGTTTCCTCACATTACCCCAGAGCCCATCGCTACTCCATCCCTCACCCAGATCAAACGAATCCAGCATGTTCAAGTCCTGAGCCACAATACCCTCGCCTTGGGACCCCAGGGCCAGATTGACCAACACACGAAACCAGCGCCAGTTGTTCTCCGGCATTTTCCGCCCATTTACTTGGCGCAACCACCTTTCTAGATTTTCCCGGTCCATCGTGTCCATCCCAGACAAAAATGCTTCAGGGGCCATCAGCAGCGCATACGCGATGCTCTCCATTTCCACCATACGCTGGTCGAAGTCGCCCAGATCACCCCAGTATTCCGAAGATGCTGGGTTTGTGCCAGCTCGTAAGCCGCTGACCCATGAATCCACGTCAATGCTAAGGCTATCTGCATTAGATGCGGGAGCAAGGAGGCTCGCGATAGCCCAGAGCGGCCGTGCAAAGCCCTCGAGCTGGGCGGAGACCTCATCGAACCCTGCTGCCGTGCCTGCGGAGAGTTTGATAAAGGCCTTTTGGGAGGACTTGTACTGCTCCAGTGGCTTTAGCATAGCGGCGCTAGCCCGTACAAGGTCAGAGCGGGTCCGAAACGGGTTGTCCGTGAAGCCTGGGAGTGCGACCATGGTTGTAGTTCTGCCTAGTTTTCCAAGTGCGGGGCTAGTTTGAGAGTTGAAAATTCGTAGGGGAATTTGAGGTTGGGCTCTCGGGGCACTTATAGTCCATCTGGTGCCAAGTCTGCTCTCGGTCCTCGGGAAAATGTATATATTCCGGATGATTTTATTCTTCATGTTCTACTGTCAATTTAGGAGGCTCAAAACCAATTAGAGCGACGAATATTAAAGGTACTCCAAGGATTGATGACGATTAAGAATAAAAATTTACTGGAATACTTATCAACCGTTCAAGTCGCATGCCTCGACCTTGCCACGTTAAAACCATTTACTTCCTCTGTTCACACACTCTCAACTTTGATCTCGTCCATGGCTGTAGTTTCAATCAACATGTTTGCTTGACGCGCCTAGTTCGACCTCCTTGTCTAGTTCAACCATGTCTCCATCGACAACCTCCTGGCTTTGGCGTTGCTTCTGCTCTCGCGTCCACAGGTATTGTCCCAACATAAACAGGCACCAGTAAACGACAGTCAAAACCGTGTTGACGGTAAAGCCTTTACGCCATTTGGGTGCCTCGAGAACGGGGAAGGCCGTAATTGGATAGAAGGAAAAGAAGATCCAGCCGCAGGTCATCTGTTAATTTTGAAAATAAACTGAGATTAGTGCTGATTCTGCTAACTCCGGAGAAATTCGATAGGAAAAAAATCTCTAAACTCACCATCGCTCCCGTCGTAAAGGCTCTAGCTTCGGCATCATCTTTCATAATCATATTCACCCAGGGAAACAGGATTGGAGTAATGCAAGATGTCATTCCCAGAAGATAATAGGCCGTAAAATGAAGCCCTGTGGGAATGTCCCACACGAGAAGAACGATATTGGAAAAGAGAAGAACTGCGGTTGCGAACGTAAAGGTGGTCCAGATCGGGTAGACCATGCAAAGAGAAGTCGAAAGGATGCCGGTTACTATAGCGACTCCCTGAACACCAGTTGGGATTGTGTTGATCTCCGGTACGGTGTAAGTGCCGTGTAGTGTAGCTTCGTGTTTTAGCCACAGGGCCATTTGCCCGCCAACATAGCTAGTACATTGAAAGCTAGATTATCTCAAGAATCAGTTCAGCCCCGCAAAACAGTAAGCTTGGGGACTTACCAGACGTAAGTGCCGACAGCGATGTAGAAATGCCAGTGCGTAAACACGCGCTTGAGCATGCGCTTTCCTATCTTCCTGCTCTCCTTGACGCCATCATCGCCCATTCGGGCGCGCGCAAGTTTCTGGTCCCGCTCGGTGAGCCACCAGACTCGGGGACTTTGCGGGATGCCGGGGAAAAGGAAGAACCCAGCGATTGCAATTGGAATGCTAATGCAACCGTCCTGTGTGGCAACACGTAAGTTCCTCATCAGTATTTTTGTCGTCAGAAAAGGAAGCAATTTAAAACTCACTATGATGAACAACCAGCGCCAGCCGTCCATACCCAAAACACCATTCAAATTGGTGTACGCGGCAGCTTGCAGATATCCTCCGAACATTGAACCGGCATTGCTGCTCACATACCACACTCCCGCTCTTTTGAAAACCTCATCGGCACGGTACCATGAGGTCAGAATATAGATGCTACCCGAGGCCGCCGGGGTCTCGAGCACACCCATCAAAAAGCGGAGACCAAATATATCGTGCTCGTTGCGCATGCGTGCCTGGCAAAATGTCACGATCCCCCAGAGAAGCTCCATAGTCGGCGGATAGTAGCGGGATAGGCCCGGCCGAGAGATTAGCAGCATGGATGGGATCTCAAAGAGGAGATATCCTATATTATAGAATGTTCCAAACAGGGAATATTGGTTTCCGGTCAGGTGGAGCTCCTCCTTCATGCCCGAAACATACGCGTTATTGATGTTGCCCTGATCAAGCCATTTGATGAAAACTAGATACATCAGCGTTAGTATGTGATTATCTTCTCTCATAGTCTTCTGTCCGAAGATGATAGTTCATTCGCTCAATGCCTTCATTCATTTTCATGACCCGCTTTGTTCAGGGGTAGTTAAAAGGGGAATACTTACACATCAGACAGCACAGCGGCATAATGAAGCAGTCCAGCTTGCGCAAAAGCCTGCGCTCCTCAGCCGAATAGTGGCTTGGGTACCAATCGAACATATATCTCCATGCCTTCCACAGCGAGGGAGCTGCTGGCCGATTGGCCGAGGAGCTCACGACAGGGGCCTTTTCTGTGTCGGAGAGCTCGTCGGCGTTAGGCGGCAGGGCCTCCCTGATTTCATTGGCCATTTCTTGCTGGAGTCGTATTCTTTCTTGAGGCTATCTTCAAATCCAAAGCAAGAGAAAATTGTGGTCAGAGAAAGCTGGATCACTGTTAGATCTCGGCCCGGACGCTATAGCGTCTATATAGACACCAGCGCTCGGGGTAAAAGAAAATAATACCTGTTGAAGTTCAAAGTCAGTTCCATGGCTGGCAGAGGCGTCAAATCGTCGAGTCAGTTGTGCAGGGAGATACAGGCGGCTCCTTGCTGCTTAGTGGCTCGGGGGAAGTCGCGCGGACTTCGGGCGAAATATCTATATGCCGGAGGGTTTTGCCCCGCAAAATGGGCCTAGGGTTACAGAACAGCGCCACAGAAGGAAGGCAGTTGTGCTGCCTTGGAGACCCTTGTCGGATGATTGGCGTCGGGATAATGACATGGTACAAGCACAGCGTGGAGCATTGGGTTTTACCTAAGGCTATTGAATGTCGTTTAATGTACAGCGGCGGGACTGAAAATCGCATTCATGGATGTCATAAAAGCCCTGGAACTAGCACTGGCATCGACGCGCCAGCGGCAATTCTATTTAAATATCGTGGGCAGGAGGTCCTTCCAAAGTTCCTTTTTCAAAATCAGACTGCCCAAGGATGCCTGCTACAGCAACAATCACAAGCCCCCATGGGTTGACGTCCCTTCAAGAGACTTCTGAGGTGTTATTCCCGATATCCAGCCCTTCACCTCACACAGCCTTACCCAATAAGATCACTCCCGTCGGTGAAATCACCGAAGCCCCCAATCCAAATGTGGATTCCTCAAATTTAAGGAAGCATCTTGCAGACCTCTTTGACGAGAATATTGTGGCCAAAGTCTGGCGGGTCGCATATGAGTCTCTCCCTATCGCTGGAGCGACACTCAAGGAATGTGCGATGAAATTTCCTCACGTATTTCCCGAATATGTGCCCCAGGTTCCTCAGCATGGCGAGAAGCCAAACCTCTACCTCCTCCGTGAAGCAGACTTCTGGACATGTGGCTTCTTCCCCGGGACCTTGTACGAGCTGCTTGAACGAACAGTACGCTATCCCCAGTCCGCTGGATACTTCCTTGGTTCATCGCCCCAGAAGAGACGAGACCAGCTCCGCGCCATGTGTAAAAGATGGTCGGAGCCGTTGCACGACATGGCTTGCAGGACGGACACACACGACATAGGCTTCATTGTCATGCCTGCTCTGCGCCAGGACTGGGAGCTCTTTGGCAACTCCCGCAGCCTGGAATCTATTATACGTGCGGCCAACAGCCTGGCATCGAGATACGTTGCCTCCGCAAAGGCTATCCGCAGTTGGGATCTGTTGATCAGGAAGGACGTGCAGATCACGGATATAACTACCAATCTTATAGTTATCATCGATTCTTTGTGTAATCTTGACCTACTCTTCTATGCCGCCGCCCATAGTTCCTCCAGACGACTCGAGGAGATGGCCGTCGCCCATGCCCGCACTTTGATACGCACCCACCTGCGTCCGGAGCCCCCCTCTCTCACAACCCACGCTCGGAAGATACAATGGCCAGCTATATTCTACCAACCATGTCACATGTATCGACCCAAAGTCTGGCGCCGTCAAACGTCGTATGACGGCGCAGGGGTACGCGGACGGGTCCACCTGGGCTCGCGGTCAGGCGTGGGCAATACCAGGGTATGCACAGACGTACTCATGGACCGGGGATAGGGAATTTCTGAATGTGGCATGCGGGACGGCAGAGTATTATCTTCATAGGTTGGAGACGCATCCTGTTGCGCGTGATCCTGGAAGTGGGAAGTCGCAGTACACTTCCCCACCATGGGACTTTGATGCTCCGACGGAGAGTGAGGGCGAGCAGGTCGTGCGGGATTCCAGCGCGGCAGCCATCGCTGCGAATGGGTTGCTCGTGCTGTCGCAGGGGCTGATTTCGGAGGGAGAGAGGATGCTTGCAGCGAGGTTTTTTGACGCAGCGGTCGGTTTGGTTAGAGGCACGCTGGACTATTCACTGGCTAGGGAAACTGCAAAGTTTCATTTTGTCGCTGGCGAAGAGTTGAAAAAGGATCTGATTGTGGAAGACACTGTGCAGGGAAAGCGGTTCGATGCGATCCTTAAGCATGGGACGGCTAACAACAATGAGAATGCGAGGAGGCGGTATACGAACCACGGCCTGGTGTATGGTGACTACTACTTGGTGAGATTTGGAAACGAGCTGATGCGCATGGGCTTAGTGTGAAACCGTGCAGTATTGCTAAGAAACAGGCATAAGAATTAGATATTAGACCTCTACGTAACCGATGATACCGGCCCAGGGTACACGTAGATATATATTATTCAACTTTCGCAGCCTCTGTGTAGTACAGCTGGCACTTTAATGGCCCTTTACCAAGAATGATCTAGATTCGCACTGAATATTCCGTTGTCGAAATTGATGATACGGTCCAAATCCATAAATTGATGGCTCTGCAACACCTGTGAGATAGCACTCAGGTCGCAGGGCGCTTGGTCTTTCCCTGGAGAGTACGTTTCTTTCCCGTACATTGTCGGGCGGTGTTCGTTAGGTTTTCTGGGGAGCTGTAGTGGGGATGAAGGCCAAGGTAACGTCATGGCTGGTGCGGCATTGATGAGGTCCCCATTTGGCTGGTTCTCCACGGGCCTTCCACTACCTTGAAAGTTGTGCGCTGGCTGTGCTTGCAGGGCTTGATATGGTAGTTGAGTCAAGCCATTCTGAGTTGACATAGGAACTGGATCTTCTACAATAGGGTCGGTCTTACTGCTGCAATGGTCGATATCTTGCGTATAATCCAAGACATTTATCCTATAGCCCGAGCCCTGCATGCATATATCGTTCATCTCTCTCAGTTTCAACGCGTATTTTGCAGCCAGATCCTCGGACAAAGTCGTGGTCTCTGGCGCCAGCACGTTCCCGTTCCATCGACGCGACATCTTATCTGAGACTTTGCACTAGCGTCCAAAACCTGTCATCGACATCCAGTTTAGGGTAAAGAGCAGTGCTCTCTCCACCGTAGTAGGTCCTGTAGGCTAGGAGGAGTCGGGCTGCCACATAAACGCAGAATGAAAATTGGGGACAGACGGGGGATGTTGCCGGAGACACTTTAAGGTATTGTTCAGTGATTGTCGCAATTTCAAAAGCCGCCTGCTGACAGGTCTCTGCAGAGCAACTGCTGGGCAGGCGGCTGCGAAAAGTCCAGTCGTGGGGTGGAAACGCGATAGGTTGATGTAAGAGAATCATGGAAGCATTATGGGTAATGTGTGCCAGTGTGAGATTTGGATCCATCACTACTGTTTGGCGTTTGGCATTGGCCTCAAGTCCTGTCGCTTCTCCACTGCTACTAGGTGTGGCATTCTGATAGGCCGCGTCGTGGGGCCCGACAGTAGTGTAGGTAGGGTTGGCGACGTTCCACTTCTTTGGAAGCAGCATCTTCCAATGCACAAGGCGCAGGTCGAGTTCCTTGAACCGTGTGAGCCAGCCAGTGACGTTCTCTGGACGTTGCATATCGACCTTTTGCTGTAGGAAGTAAGTCGTAACGCGGCTCAGCGACTCGGTTGCTTCGATGCGGTAGGCGAATGCCCCAATTGCCTGCATCGTGAGATCTTCCGGTAATAAAATAGAGCCGCTGGCGTTGTTCGGACTCGATTCAGACGCGTCATTGGTCCCTGTACCTTGCGAAGACACGTAATGGGCCGGAGGAAAGGCGATGGGGTTTCCCATCCGCCCTGCTGACTTGTCCCAGATGCCCAAAAAGGCTGTAACATTGGGTTTATCTCTTCTCCAATAGACTCCATCGCAAGGGAGGCGACGGTGCACATCATCCGAGGTGAGGCTTGTGTTCCAGCCCATTGTCACGGAGCAAAACCGGTCAATGTTGAACACGTTCCAGAACACACGGCGTCGCTCCTCCGCCTCGACCCAGCTTTCCGGAGGGGAGATGGATATAAACGGCTTTGAAATCGACGTATGGCCTCGACACTCGTCATCTTCAACTGTCAATTTCAAATATTCGACAGTCCGAGTCAGTGATCCGACTAGAGACCATGCCTTTACCCCCCACCCGTTTCCAATCTGAAGACTAAATTAGTTGACATGAATCCATATCTCGAGGTAAGTGTAAATGACTGGAATGGAAAAGCCTCACATCATTAAACACACATATTACGAGTGCCTGGAGGTTTTCAACGCTTAAGCAATCCATCGAAGTCGAAATGATCAGACTCCTGGCTTGCTCTGTTGTCAGATCAGCCAGGGAGATCTCGGATACGGCCTCGTGCCGTTGTATATATCTCGCGGACACTAAAATCATGGCTCGCACCAACACGTCAAGCTTTGATCTGTGTTTTGTGTCGAGAAGACGCCGACGCAAGCTGGTCTCGTGTACGAGAGGGATCCAAGGGTGTATATGCTCGAAGTATGTCTGCAAAACATCTTCAATTGTGTTAGGATTGAGAAAAGAGAACACTAAACGGCGATCGATATTGGGCAGCGAGGACTGAGAAGGACCGATGCGGTTGTCCACCCGTTGTCGTTTAGCTGGGCGATCAGCGGCCCCGCTACCCAACTTGTCACTGAATCTCTGTGCAGACGGAACAAAACTTGCCGTAGGCTCCTTTGCACTCAGCTGTGTTTGTCGGTTAGACTCTTCTGGTGAATCGTCTCCTAGTCGATCAATAACGAAATCTTCCAGGCGATCTAGCGGCGGAGATGTGAGCCTCGTCAGCAATCCTAACAAGCGAGCCGAGTGGACCTAATCATAGGCTCACCAGCCGAATCACTCTTCATTGTCATACCTAGCCGTCGGTGTAAATTTTCAATAGCCCCAGATTTAATCCCCGGCTTGGACCGTTTGGGTTCGTATACGCAGTCGCTCCCTATACCGGGGTCGAATTAGCGAGATTGTACGAAGTGAGCCTGTCTCAGAAGACAGAGGGAATATGAATATACTAGCTGACCAGTTTTGCGGCAGTGTTGACATGCGGGTGTTTCCCTAGAGCAGCGCAGTTTGCGGTTGCGACAGTTACTACACGCAACCGACAGCTCTGGCAGCTTGCTGCTTTCCTTGTTATGGTGGGTATTATTGGTCACAGATACAGACATTCTGCTAAACGGATCTTCTCGTACCAGCTTTGGGTACGCGAGATCAAATCTGGGGTGCATAAGATGTGAGGAGATATTTGATCCTTTGTGCGTCGTGGCTCCCCCGAAGCCCGGATGAGATAGCCCGAGAGCCGACGAAACCCCGCTCGCCCAGGAATGGGCTCATTCAGACAACCGCCACCCCATCTATTCGCTCTAAACTACGCCGAAAATAAGTAATCAAAACTGTGACTGCCTTTTTCATGGGTGAAGGGCACTGAGACATATTGTAGATACAGCAGAGCAGTATGATACTTCCGCATGCCAAGGGTGGCCCGCACCTTCCGAGCTAGCGGAGAGTGACTGTTCCAGCTGCTGGATATGGGCTAGCTGTGCTTTTTGTTCCTCCGCCGGGCCTGCCAGACCGGCCGTGTATAGACAAGCTTAATGACCGGTTCCCACATCCTCCATGGGTCTTCAACCACCTGTGATTTCAGCGGCTGTACTTGGGTTTTGCGTTGCACAGGAGCCGATGCCTGGTCGCGATCCGCTGTTGCGACACTGGACTGGTGGTCAGGTAATGGCAAAGGTTGCTTGATAGACTCGCTCCTTCGACACCATTCATGAGTCTCATCAACCCATAAGGTCCTCGGACGATTCTCCATCGCTAATCGAGCCATACTGAGAGTGAATATTCAAAATTCAACAATGGCCGGTAGGATATATTACTTTTATAGTTCTTCCTTGCGCTCACGCTCACGCGCTCGCTTTTTCATTGACGTCACTGTCAAATAAGCGTCGAAATCACTCACTATGGTCGAGGATCTCACCACCGATGCTACATATATGTGCGGCATTACTGTCCCATTCCCAGCCGTGACATTACTACCATATTCTCAGTCAATAACCCTTATAGGGAGGCAGTGTCTGCATTTTGTGCGGTAGTGGTTTCGATGTATATATAGATAAAAAGTGAGAGGGTAGAAAGTGAGAAGTAACAAGCTTACTCAGAGACAAGTAGCTGACTTGTAAAGCATAGAAGACAACCTTGGCAATTATTCATATTATTCTAGACATCGCGTAAGTATAGGTATCGCGAGGCAAGTTAGTAGCCTTAGGTAACTAAAAGCCACCCTCCTTATACAGTATTTTGCCAACACAATCGATAGACATTCTAGGTTGTATTTATACTGGAATTATTGAAAAAAATGACCTAAGAGTCACTCGTGAACAAAATCTGCTAACAAGGTATAGAAAATTAGAAAGAGCCGCCATCGGTAGGAATCTGAAAGGAATATGATTATTCATGAATATTCATGAATATTGGCGAATATGAATAATATGAATTGAATATGTTGAGTATCACGGTAGTCAAAGCATGTAATGGGGGTCATCAAGAGACAGATAAATAGATGAGGAGTCCCACCTCCAACAAGATAGTTAACTTAACCAATCCAACATACCTATCTCAACAATATGAATGCGAATATGAATATATCGTATATTCGCATTCCTTTATTCCTTTTCGGAGCCCTACACATCATCTCCCCGTTTCTTCTGCTCTTCCTTGTGATCCCTGATTCCAGGTCTTTGTGATGGCGTTCCCTGACTCCCCTTGAGTTCAGACCGTCCTCCTCAATACATGTTACAAATAGATGCCGACTAAATTGCAGTGCGCCAGATGGCAATAACCCCCATGGGATAGATTGCGACTGTATCTAAAGCTAGATCTTTGGGAATACTTGGAAGCTCCCAGCATCCGCTTTGACTGTTCCCGATTTTGTTGCGATACGTCGTTTCTTTCCACGGCTGTGGTATTCACCATCATCCTCACCACGAATATAATAGGCCCAGTCCGCCGTCTCATCGCATTCAGTCTGACTATATCCATTTCCTAGCCAGTCAAAGCGGTTCCCAGAATATGTGGTCTCCCAGTCCTCCAAACGCACTTCGTTCATTGCCTCGATGTAGTGTAGAGTCGAACCTGGCCATAACGCCGTAACTGGTCCATCCGGCCGGCCAGCCTTGTACCATGACTGACATCCATCCGACCAGACTGTACCGTCCATGAATCTGTTCTTGTATGCGATAAAGTCGGCAACAGCGTCCGGTTGCGGAGAGAAGCTCGCAATATTGGTTGTTTGGTAGCGATCAATAAGCTTCATCATATAGTCGGCTTGCGCCTCTGTGTCACATGTTAATCAATATCGCTTTCTACAAGAGGAGCAATTCAACTTACCAACTGCTGATAACACAGGGCCGTTACCAACTGGACTGTTGGGACCAAGGAACATGAGATAGTTTGGAATTCCGGCAGCGGCTATGCCAAAATATGACTGCGGCTCATTTTTCCAATCATCCTGCAAGTTGTTCCCTTTAGGACCAATTATTGGGAATCTAGGCCTGAATGTGGTATCGAATCCAGTGGCGCAAATCAACACATCCACTGGGTACTCACGACCACCCGAGACGCACCCTCGAGGAGTAACGGAATCAACATTTCCATAGACAACCTTGACATTCTCCGCACCCAGAGACTCGAGATAGCCTACACCTGGTGTGATGCGGCGACATCCAACTGACCATTCAGGGATCAGCACACCTTCCAAATTGGTGCCACTTAGTTTGTCCCTCATCTGCTTTGTCATGTATTCTCTTGTGCCCTGTTGATTCTGAGTGTTTTTCAAAAACACACCGAAAGTACCGCTCATTCCTCTCTCAATATCCTTGCGGTATTGAGTGAGTAATCCAGCGCGGGTAGCAAACGCTTCCTTTTCCTCGGCTGTGAAAACGTGTTGCTCGAGACCCGGAATAGGAGAGACCCAAGTAGGCTCTCGAATAAAAGTGGTGACTTCTTTCACTTGTGGGAGGATGGCGGGGAGAACTTGAATTCCAGAGGAGCTAGAAAGTATGTTTGTTAGCACTCGGACTACATATGGGCGGTAATGTGGAAAATTATCCGTATTTACTTACCCGTTTCCAATTAACCCAACACGCTTGCCATCTAACACGATAGACTCATCCCAATTGGCAGTGTGGACAAGTGTTCCTTTATAACTGTCCAGACCTGGAATAGCAGGCCAGCGCCAGGAGTTCAAGATTCCGCCCGCGTTGATCAGGATATCACAAAAATCGTCGATCTCTTTATTGGTGTTCAAATCACGAACTTTCACATGATAACCGTGGTCTTCTGTACTCCATACGGCACTCACAACTTGCTGACGCATACGACAGTAGTGTCGCAGTGCATACTTGTCTGTGAATGAGTCGAAGTAATTGAAGATCTCTTTACTACTGGCGTATGTTCCTGACCAGTCAAGTTTAGGCTCGAACGACCAAGTGTAATTGTGAGATGGAACATCGCACGCACAACTGTACGACTATCAGAAATTTGAACTTTAGCAAAAGTTACATTTTTGAACATACCCTGGGTATTTGTTTTCCCACCAAGTGCCACCGACTTGCTCGTTCTTTTCGTAGATGACTAGGTCGAAATTGGAGAAGCTTCGCTGCAGTTTATAGGCAAACAGAAGTCCCGACGCGCCTGCACCGACACAAATCACACGAATATGTCGCTCTGTATGAATGGGCATTCTCAACCTTTGGGAATCAACATCATGCCGGTGCTGTCTTTTTCGCACGGGATCCCCATGGCCAGGAAGTAACAAATCACCCATATTTTTATTCAGAGTTAGCCGAAAGTTGGTAAACAGAGATACAAAACATCAAAACACCATCGCGATCCCTTTTCTACAAAATTGAAATCAAGGAAGCATGATGTAATACCTCGGCCTCCAAGGCTACACAGTTCCTTGCCTAGGTGGCTCCCCCGCGACGGGATGGGCTGCGGGTAACGATAGCCTGACTGCATCCATCGGTCTCCTCAGCCCCACATCGTCGATATTTCTTCGTCAGCATTATGGGTAAGTAATTCCTGCATAATAAGTTGTCAGGGTATACCACATTATCTTTACTTGCTTTGACGAGCTCCTTATTGACTCTGGACTTTTGTCTCGCTGAACAGAAATCAGTCTTTGAAGCCCAGAGAAGCACGAGATGGCTGGAGACTTCCCTTTGACAAACAAGATTGTCTTGGTCACTGGTGGTGGATCTGGTATGCAAAATAAATCCAAATCGTCAGGTCAAATACCAACACATCTTAGGTATCAGTTTTGAATTCGTTCGGCTGGCCCACGCAAAAAAAGCAAAGATCCTTATTGCAGATTTACAATTGGGTGAGGAGGCCAGGCAACTTGTTGAATCACAGAAAAATGTACATTTTGAGACTTGTGACGTGCGCAGGTGGAAGGACCTAAGAGGTCCGATCGATATATCGGTGAGGATCTGGAATGACGTACCGGACGTCTACATTGCTGGAGCTGGAGTCTTTGAGCCGGTATGCCGACCACTTTGAAGCAGAGAATCTATCGAAAAATCGATTCGGCTAACAAATGATGCGCAGAAATGGTCAAACTTCTGGCAAGACCCCGAGGATGAGACTTATGACTCCATTGCCATTAACGTGAACCACCCAATGAAGCTTACCCGTATCGCAATTCAAGCACTCCTAAGCAGGAATAAAAAGGGAGTTGTATGCATAATTGGATCTATTGCGGGGCTAGCGGGGAATTATGCTGTTCCGCTTTATTGTGCATCAAAGCATGCTGTGACCGGATTTGTCCGATCCATGGCCCCATGCGAAGAGCTTGAAGGAGTTAAGATCACCGCGATGTGTCCTTGGTATGATATCTACCCTACTACCAAACGTGACTTTGGATTAATAGCCACTACTGACATGCTTTCCAGTGCGGTGAAAACTCCTCTTTGGACTAATCAACCTGACAAAATGGACCAGTTCAATTTAGACGGCGCGGAAACTGTTACCGCAGCTCAAGTAGGTGAGGCTATAGTGTCTTTGGTGGAAGATGGTCAATACAAGGGAGGAACCGTGTTAGAAATCACGGCCTATGGGGACTCGAGTAATCCCAGAATGGAATATCTCACCAACACCCACCAAATTAACTGGACTTGTCTCCCAAGCTGAGATAGATCGGAATCTGGCGCCAATTAAAGCAAGTTTGAATAACCAGCGGACGTCCTTACTGTGAATATTTTGTCCTTTAATACAACTTGATATTCTAGTGAAATTTGACATCGTGATCTTGTGTCAATATTGAACTGAATATGCTCTTTTGATACCAAGAATATCGCCATAAAGGCTCATTTAACTGACGCTAAATGTGGAGCAAGATTGTGCTGCAAGTAGAGTAACGAAGTGCGTAAAACGATCAACGCTACGTGAGATATGAGGTAAGATATAAATCGTAGTTCTCTATGATGAAATTAAAGCCCATCCTAGGCTTGCTCCTTGACGCACCATAGAAATAGTAGAAAAAGGTGAAAATGAACTCAGTTGACAAAGTGTATGAAAACTGACGCGTTGAGTGTTCGCAGGACAGTAGGACCCCGTGATCTGCGCGTTGACGAATAGGAAACTTCCGGCCAGGATCTTCAGGCCCCTGGTACCAGCGCACCCATCGTATTCAGCCCATTGTCACACAGAATCACACCAAGAAAAAAGCATTATTTTCTCAAACAAGAAGGTCCTCACCTTTATCGTGTGCGGATCGGGTATAAAAGACGACTTCCGGTTCTCGACATTGATGTAGTAATTTGAAAAGACGAATTCAAATCCAGGCAGTCCTAGTCAAGGGGGTCGGAATTTTATTTGCAGCCCGTTTCTCTGCTGACGGCGACTTCTCTCCTGGAGAATGGGCTCACATGATACTAGGCATGGTTTCTTCTTATATTAGCTTTTACTCATTCATGAAATCGCCTTTGATCTTCATGCTTCAAGACTACCACGCACAGCGTGAGCCATTAACCAGTAGAATACGCCACTACGATACTGACAATTATGACCTGGATGGGAAAATGATGTGATCAGCTTTTGGGTTGGTGCGTTCGAAGATCCATCGAGATACCTGGATCGGCTCGAATATTTTGCCGATCAATTCCAGATAAAAGCTCGGCAGAGATGGCTGAACCTCTGTATCCTGATTCTCTATTCAAACTCTAAAGTACAAATATCACAAAGGAGTTTAATGTTGAATTTAGGTACTGGATCTCTACTATTGCAAAATCCTGAAAGGCTTCCTCGAATAAGCTTCAAAGACTGTCCCAGCTGATGAAGTAGGTGCCTGAGGTGTGAGCGCTCACCGCGCTTAGGTAGACCTTCCCTTCTGGGGACCAATTAGGAATAGCATCATCTTCTTCGTTTTCTTCCTCTCTTCTGTTTCGTGCTCTCCCACACTAGGGTTTTTGAGATGACGTTTCCTGACTTCCTTTGAGTTCAGACCCTCATCACCAACAATCACAATCGCGCACGACCGTTGGTTCGCATGTCCCTCATCTTGCTTATCAGTCTCAAAGTCAACGCGACGCAAACTGACATGCCTCGACCAATCTCAACAGCTGTACTTCCACTAGCCTGTCTACTGGCATGCCGTGCAGTGATACCCTGACGAACAACACTCATTCGGAATAGCGAGAATGCATCTGCCCAGATCATCTCGGGCTGTGGGTCCCATCCGGCTACGTTAGCATACCACTCAAGGCAATCTGGTATCGATGGCAAGCCCACAATTCCAGCTGTCATCTGGAATGGAAGTAATAGCTGATGCGCTGCACTAGATGACATTGCTAGAATCGTCCATGGCTGCAGAATATTGGCAATGTCGGAGAGTGGGTGGCCGATAGTACTCATTTCCCAGCTGATCAATTAGCAAGGCAGACCACAACCGATTTCAGGTTTGTATCAACGTACTCTAGAATACCAATGACCCTTGGCTCAGTCTTATGGTAGACGAGATTATCAATTTTGTAGTCGCCATGAATGAGACAAGCACGGTCTTGGGGGCCTTGTCCCTGCGAGAAGAATTCGATCATTTGTCCTACCCCTGGCACTCTTCCAACCGGGATCTTAGTATCCACATCTACCACGGTGCTTTGAGCATGTTCGGTCTCTTTCCAGGTTTTGATTTGCCGATTGTAGAAGCCAGACCGGCGCCCGTAGCTACCTAAGCCCACTGCGTCAATGTTGACCGTATGGAGCTTTGCCAACGTGGTGATCGCTTCGCACCACCTACCATCGCAGACTTTGTTAGTTTCATACACTCAATATTTTGGAGAATGTCGGCATACATTTCATTTCGCTCTTGCGGGGGTACACCCGGAAAGCTGGGGTCTTCAAATATCCGACCGTCCAAGAATTCCATAACATAGAATGATGTCCCAAGAACTGTTGAATCTTCGCATAAACAGTATACTCGAGGCACTGCAATATCCGTTCCTTGCAAAGCCAGAAGAACTCGGTACTCGCGCTCGATCTTATGAGCACTTTTCGACATCAACTGGCCTGGTGGCTTTTTACGCATGACGACCTTCTTTCCAGTTCTGTCTTTTATTAAATAGGTCGGATTTGACTGGCCAAATCCAAACTAGGTCAAAAGAGGATCATGTTAGCATCGAACGTATCGCTTCGTAGGTTATAGCTACTACTAGTAGTACTGTGGTTCACCTGAGTAACTGAGATGGGCGTTTGGATCCCCACATGCTGGGATATATACCTCTCCAATGACGCAACGTCAATATGTTGTCTGATGTGGCCCGCCATGGAGAATGGTTGAGTAAATATGAGTGCCAACAATAAAATAGCACTGGACAAGGCAAATATAAATTTGAAAATAGGTGAAACTAATTACGAAGCAGCTGAAATGACCAAGCTACCCCGCAGTGGTACATGTAGATCGTTCATGAACGTTGCATGATGGCGGCAAAATATCTAGTCACCCGGATAAGTGTTTCCATTGAGAAACCGAAAAAGTTCCAAATATATCCATGTTGATTTTGAGGCTAAAACTGATATTTGAACTGTATGTATGCGTCACGGTACTGAATTTATGAGTGATTATGGTAGCATTGCTTTACTCTGCGCTGTGTGCAACAGCTGCTCATGAATATGTGATGTTGCCCAGGTGCGACCTAGGCTCCCCGCCACAGCTTGGTGCGTCATTACGAAGTCAACATGCCACATAAGTATCTAAGCAACGTCTGAGGTCTATGAAGGCTCAGTCACCCCAGTTGACCGTTAAGATTGCGTTGTCTGTACATGCCGTGTGACATGAGAGTTTATTTCGCACTGTGTTGCGCCTGAGGTCATTGCGAAGGGGGTTTCCGAGTGCTTCGGCTAGATGAATTCTTAACTATGTATTGGAAAATATAAACTCAAATGTTACATTGTGACTGCCCAAGTGATGTAACGCCTGGAAAGTATTTGATTCATATATATATGATTTCTTACTCCTGAAATCTCCGTTGATGGGAAACTGTTCCCCTCTCCAAAAACGCAATTGGAATGTCAACGTGCTTGGCTCTAAGGTACTCGCAAACATTCTTTCCCAGCCCATCATAGGTACTTGTAGCACTCCAACCCCGATCAAGGTGATCATGAAGCAAGAAGTGCACAGCCCGAAGAGCTGGAATTTCAAACCTGTCGATGTCCTTCCCGTTGTACTCGGGCCCTAGCAATTCTTTCATTTTTGCGACTGTGAGTAATGACCGCAGCCAGTACCACTCATCATTGTTTCTCACGAAGAATCCAACATTTGCATCAGATGCTTTGTCCCCTGATCGGCCAAGTGCTACCCAGCCCAGAGGTCCTCTCTTAGTAGGACCAACTGATGCCAAGTCTACTGGATTCCGGGTATCGTAGCTCCATTGCCTGGTCTCGTATGTTTTGCCATAATTTTCCAAGCTTGCCGACGAGGGTATAGAAATTGTTTTGTCATGGAGGAACGGGAGGTTCACAATGTGGGAGACTTTTGACTGCGGAAGTAATGCAGCCCAGTATTCGAAATATTCTTTCCCACTCGTTTGTCGTAGGTCATTCTCAATACTTGCACCCGGTACACTCTGGAGGAAATTCTCCATGCACCATCGCTGGAATCCGACCATGGAACCGGCCCCCAAAATATTCTTGTCCTTCGTCTGAACAAAAATGCGGAAATCAACTGTTGCAACATCCTGGTTCTCTGGATCCTCTTGGCACCATCCATTGAGACTGAATTTGAGACAGGAGAATTTCTCGACATTCTTGCCCATACTATACCGAATTTGACGCTCAGTCCACTCAGCCTTTTCTTTGAGATCCAGCCCGCACATATAGTAGTGGAATTCTGCCTGATATCCTCCGCGGGCAGTGATCCCGACCTTAGTGGTTGTCGGTGGAGGGCTTCCCTTGACACCAGTAACGAGAACTTGATCTTTGGCGATTTGCTGCATTTGAATACCTTCAAGCAAGGCAACGACATCTGAGCCATAGTAGCGTGGCCCTTGGATCTCGTACAAAAGTTGAGATGTGGCAGTTCCTACTGACATCTCTCCACCGGTATTCGGTTCCTTTTCTAGAACAAAGGTGCCGTCCTTCTTGATGGCGGCAATCGGAAAGCCGATATTCTCACATCCATCAAACAAAGCCTTAAAGCCGCTATAGTAACCACCGCAGACGTAACTCGAGCATTCAATCAGATGACCAGCGATGAGTGATCCGGCCAACGCATCGAAGTCATGATTGCGGTCCCAGCCATGCCACCACATGGCGGCTCCAATTACGGGCGCAGCGTCAGATACCCTACCACAAATGACAATATCGGCACCAGCTCGGAAGGACTCTGCAATGCCTGCCCCGCCGAGATAGCATTGGGCAGCTATTGGCTCAAATGGCCAATCCTCGAGATTCCCCCCCAAAGCAGATGTTTTCAAATTTCTCCCCCTCTTTCAATAGTGTTTGGACAACATCCATCACCTCATCACCTTGTATCCATGCGACTTTCAGATCAAGACCCTGCTCTTCAACTGCTTTAATAACTAGAGCAGCGAGTTTGTCTGGTTCACTGGCACCTGCATTGACAGCAACCTTGATCCGACGTTGCTGCAGATGAGAGAGGGCTGACGAAAATGTACCCATGAATGAGGGATCAAAAGCTCCAATAGCATTCGTATCTTGTCCCGCTCGGGCTGCGTCTGCTTTCGCTACACCATGCCATTGCATGGTCATTTCACTCATCCAATCACCGATAATTACGTCGACATCATTGTCTCGGGCGAAGGATAGGATGCTGCGCTGGCGATCCGTGAAGCCACCACTTGCGCCGGCAATACGCACAGGTCTCTTTGGAGGATTGGCTCCATCGACTGATGCCATTATGGTGTTTAATTGAGTAGAAACGATAGTCGAACTCGTCCTGTTTTCGATCTTTAGTCTCTTCAAAATGATCTGTGATGTGATATGAGAGACAGAGGCCTTGGGTCGAAATTGCGAGGTGGCATATTAAGCCCCTTAAGTATCCTCAGAAGCGATTCTCCAGTTATGTATTCATTTTCATTGATATTTATACTTTCACTTCCATGGGTTATCCAAAATAAAGTTACGTGGGCCCATTGAAACAAGATAGGAAATGTATTGCCGGCGCACATCCGTAAGGCTCCGCACCTCAAACACAAGGCTTTCCCATGACCTTTCATAAGAATACAGAGACACATAAAGATCCCCTCTTGGAATTACGAAGAGTTTCGACAAGAATCTTGAATCTTAATTACATTGAGATGATATTACCTCAATGCTTAAGTTATTGTATTGTATGCTGCGCGCTGAAAATTTCCCTATTCTCGATTCATCCACTTCACAGCCTCCATGAGGCTATTATTAAACTCATTGCGATGCTCATCTAGATGCGTAGAGGGATAAGACCAAGAATAGTGAGGATAGCCAGGGTAAGAACTGTATCGCAGTTGCACATTTTCCTTTTCCAGTACTTCCTTCATAAGCCTTGCATCATCTCGTAAAGTATCCAGACAGCACTCCGCGATGTATACCTTGTTCAATAGTCCCAACCTCGAGTGAAGTAGACTTGATCCATAAGGATCTGATGGAGGTACACCGTAAGCATGCCAGAACTCCCGCATGACAGGTGCCGTGTTAACAGTGTCATAGGCATGCTCATCATAGGATGTGTATCTTGCCTTCATGTCACTTGGTACAGCATCTGGGTGAACTGTGCAGGGTGCCAAAGCAATGACACCCTTTACATGGTCCGCCATCCCTTGATCTATTAGCCGTAAAGCAACTCCAAATGCGGAGTTTGCACCCGATGATGTTCCAATAAGCGTTACGCTTTTGACATTGAAGTGCTCCAGAGTCCATATTGTTCCTTCGACACAATCGTCAAGCCCTTTAGGATACTTGAATTGGGGCGCTAAGCGGTATTCAACGCTCACTATTTTCATTTGACATTGCTTGCTGATCAAACGACATGTGCTGTCTTCTTGGTCGACGCCTCCCATTGACCAACCCCCGCCATGGAAATACAGGCCGACGGGATCGTATTCTGATGGATTGGGCGGTGTGTATATCCTGGCCCAGCAATTCTCCAGATTTGTCTCTTCTGTTTGGATAGACTGGTCTGGTGGTGGAATTCCGTACACTGAGACCAATTTATTTAAAGTGACCTCCCACCGCTGTATCATGTTGTCGATGGGTGTATGCAGCATTGGTGCCTCCCCGAACTCCACCACAAACTTCGAATTATCAGTAAATGGGACTGATCTGGGGAAATTCAACTGGCATACCTTGTTCCATGCTGGGGCAAATTTGTTAGTCATTTTGAAATTGCGTCCGTCTTGATGGAAATTACATTGGATTATGGTTCAAATAGACAGAATGTATAGTTGAAGGAACTCGTTATCCGAAGAATGCGAGCCTCGGCCTTGAGCTCTTCTACTTCCCCGCTTCGACAACCGGGGCTAGTTAATTGGAGTGAGATTCGGCTTTAAACCTTTGAAAGTCAAAAATTTTGCAATTTTTCCACTCCGTAGGCTTGATTCAAAATGGCAGCAGCAAGATTCGACAGCACTGAGTTACCGTTCAGCAAATACCCAGCATGGGTGCTGGGAAAGCTCCGACCTGTCGCCATTGAGAAGATCAAAGCTGTGCATGATTGGGTGGAGACCGAATGTATTCCAGCCGAGCCCATAATGAAGGCCCAGTTGGCAAAGAACCGCTGGAAGACACCTACTCTGATGAAGGATCTACGACAAAAGGCCAAAGAACGCGGTCTCTTCAACCTTTTCCTACCGAATCATTTCAAAGAATCGCCGGGCTTGACCAACTTGGAGTATTCGTGTTGCGCTGAAATTATGGGCAAGGTATACTGGGCCGCACAGACAATGAATTGCCATGCCCCAGAGACGGGGAATATCGAGCTGCTCGCCAAATATGCCAACGAGGAGCAGAAAGAGACATGGCTGAAACCGCTCATGAGTGGCGATTTCTCCTCTGCTTACTCCATGACTGAGCCGGAGGTAGCCTCGTCTGATGCGACCAACATATCGATCCGTATCCAGCGAGATAGTGACGAGTACGTCATTAACGGTCGCAAATTGTTCGGAAACGCTAAGTGGAATCCGGAGGTGCAGTTGTATATTCTCATGGGGTGTACCGACCCCAACAACCCCGATCCTTGGAAACGCCATTCAATGGTACTCGTCCCTAGCGACACTCCTGGTCTCCACATGAACTTAAACCTCACCATCATGGGGTACGACCATGCCCCCGAAGGCCACGGCGAATATCGCTATGATAACGTTCGCATTCCGGCCTCGAATGTGATTCTGGGCGAAGGTCGGGCATTCGAGATTGCTCAAGGACGACTGGGCCCGGGACGAATTCATCATTGTATGCGACTGATCGGCCAGTGTGAGAGAGCATACGAGTTTGCTCTTCTTCGGGCGACCGACGAACGAAAAAAGCCTCGTGGAAAGTTAATCGGCCAGTTCGATAGTAACATCGAGCGCATTGCGAGCATGCGCTTGGAACTCGATGCGTTGCGCTTAGTCGTGCTCAATGCCGCCGATACAATGGATACGCATGGCAACAAGGCCGGGCGCTATGTTATTGCTCAGAGCAAGATTCTTGTTCCTGAGGGTGCGGCTCGGATCATTGATGAGTGTATGCAGATGTATGGTGGGCAGGGCTTGACTCAACATACGCCGTTGCCAGAAATGTGGACATACGCTCGGTTTGTTCGTTTGGCGGATGGGCCTGACGCAGCTCATCGTCATCAGGTTGGGAGAGATCAGTTGAAAACGGCCAAGGATGTGAAGAAGAGACATGAAAGATATTACGAGATTGCGGAGCGTTTGAAGCGAGAGTTTGAGTTGGAGGATAACTTGGCGGCCGACTACATGTGGGAGTATTTGGATCTGTCTACAAAAGCAAAACTTTAAGTGCAATTCGACAAGTCACAGACCAGAGATTGATATATATAGAATACCTAAATAATTTCTATTGAGTTTTGGAGATCCCAAACATTTGCACCTCGTTACAATAGATCAACAGCTCTTTTCTGACAGTAGAGATCTTTCAACATGGAAGCACTGAAAATGTTAGAATCTGTGAGTATGCATAAGAATGCTGGAATTCTCTTATTACGACGCTTTGAAAACGCCCAAAGTTCAAGGAATAATACGAGAATTTCGGAAACGATCGAAAGCAGTGTACCATGCCTCCTTCGTACCAACTTCCTCTTTCCCTTCACCCCAAGCTTTATGCATTTGGCTCAGATCAAGCTGTCGATCAAAATCAAACATGGACATGATAAATGCTGGAAATGCCTCAAAGCTCCTCTGATTTCCCCCCACCCGACCAGTCTGTAAAGAATACCTTTTCTCCAATTCGAACCATTTTTCCTGGTTTTCGCGTAAGAATGTTGGTGGGTCAGGCCCGGGCCCGTTAGTTGGGGCCGCGCCTTTCAACCCGAAATAGTCACAGATAATGGGCCACTTGGTAGACCAGCTTGAAGACTGGGCAGAATCAGCCGCGTTGAAGCTTTGTGCGCGACCGACTGCTGGGTTCAAGCTTGCATAGATTGCAAATCGAGCGATGATGTCTTGGCTGCTGTCATTACTTTGTATGGTCCAGCTTTTGTTCGTTCCTGGAAACACGACTTCAGCGCCCGCTCCATGAATCTCGCGGCATAGACTGAGATACAACGCTAGCCACTGGGCGAGACAGTAGACGTTGTTGTTAGGGACAAATCCGACAATGACGTCTGGGATAATGTCGCAGAATGTCCAATTCTTTCCTTGTGATAGTGATTTTAGGAGATCGAGTTGATTGTAATAGAACATCTGGGAGGCATATGGCTCAGGGATACGAGGATGCGACTCTTGCAGTGGTAGGTTCTCGGACCATGGGAAGTTCTGAAGAAGGTGTACGCCATATGCCTTCATGATGGACCCGTTAGCACTTTTCTCACATCAGACCAGGAATAAATCAATACCTTTGTTCCAGTAGGCAGAACAACGAATTCCAGGTGTGTACTCAATTTCTCCACTGCAGTCACAGCCCGCCGAAGGAGATCGACATTTATTTGGACCTCCTTCTCAGGATCCGTGTCCATCACGTACGCAAAGAAATAAACATGGGTCGTTTTTTCGACCTCTGCCACACGTTCTTTCAGGTTTCTTTCTAGATCAGCTTGGGTTCCTTGTAATAAGTCGACTCCAGATACGACATTCAATTTCCCAGACTGTGGCCATTGCGCCACATCGGGAGGGAGAGGGCGGTTGGTGAGGGCGCTGACACGGCTAAAAGATTCTGGGCTTGGATAACCATTGAGAATGGCATTGACGATTGCCCAGCCAGTGATGCCTGAAGCACCGAAAACTAGTGCGTTTTTTTCGGTTGAAATGCTACCCATGATAGGACGATAAGTGACCAAGCTCAGGCTCAAAGTTTCTATCTTTATAGAAAATAATGCGTAAGTGCTTCCTTGCGTGGTTTTATCGTCAGAAGGGGTTCTGAATTGTTCTCTACTTTAAGTGGGCGTATCTGGGAAGGCGGTTATCGATAGCCGAAGGATCAACATTGAAGTCCTCTGACATGGGAAATCCGAAGTTTCTTTCCTCAGACGGTTCTTTTGAATGTCCAACATGAGTGGCCTTGCCATTTACTCTGGGCTTCCATATAATTTCCATGGTCTGGTTGGTTAAACTGCCGTTTATTCACCCACGCCACGCTGCACCTGTGGACGCAGTACTCTATTCTGTTCCAGCACTATAGTGGATCGTAGAGGCCTGGAGTGTGCATATGTGGGGCTACAGCAGATGTGTGTATAGCTGACAAAGCCTATGCAACCCCGTGCAAAACTGCCCTGTTAGTCTGAGATATACCTAGGTCGTTGATAAAGATATTTACGGATTTTCTGCAAAGGCTGAAGAGCACAAATACTCGGATCTACAATTCCAAGCTGGCAACTAACTAACATAAAAGTATCCATATGCTTTGTTTACAGGGTAGATCATACTCAAGAGCCACCAATGTACGAAGTTGGAGCTAGGTCAGGTATGCGCTTTGAAAAACCTAAAATGAATTCCGTATCCTCCACAGGACATTTCAGATCAATTGATATGTAGGTATAATTGCGGAACAAAATGGAAAAATATACTGTCGTTGACTCCAGAACCCAAAACCCGCTTGGCAATACTATAGCCCCTGATTGGCCAGCCTGAATTATATCCACTCAGCATTCGGACTATTGCTGTCCCCGAGCTCCAATTGGGCAACATGTCCACTTCATATCCATTTTGCCAATGATATCTTGAGTTTCATGCTTCCAAAGTTGTGTTTTTTGTTGATTGGGCAAGGACCGAGAATGCTACGAATTTATGTCATGGTGGTTGAATCGAGCTTCTGTTTGGAATGGAGATTTCAGCGGTAACTGGATCAAATACTACGCGTATGGCTTTTCAGTCATCACCCATTTGAGCCCGTTGAGATGTTCGAGGGCGTTGAAGACCCTCCCTCTCCTTCTCTTCTCGTTTTTTTGGCTCTCTTAGACGTCAAACTAGTGATGGATATTATCACCCTCGAGCAGTCAACAGCAAGTTTTGATCCGAAGGTACCCCAGGAAATACTCGACATCATCAATGAGTTCATTTCGCAGAGTCCAATTATTCAACAGCATCATGAGATAATATTTGGCAAGAAAAATAGTTGGACCACCAGATTGACAAGTTGTCTGACATGGCCAACAAGATTAGCCCGGAGGTTTGGCTTGTCTTTCTGACACCGGAGATTTATGCGAACGAGAAACACTTGAAATCTTTTGCATCATTACCATATGATGAGGAACGCAAGACGTGCTTTCAATACACTTACATCGCATGGCTTGAAACCCCTGGGGCCTTGGATTTCATCATTGCCAAGGTTCAGAAAAAAGATGAACGTGTTAAAAGCACTTGACACGGGTAAGAACAGCGGGAGAAGATAGACAAAGCAATTCAATCGGGAAATATCTTGTGTTGGAAGGTCGCGTGCAAGTGACTGACCATGATATAAGTCACTGTATAGATAAATGACTATGTAGTGCGATTTATGGATGAACATTCACCAATTGGAAGCCTATAGAATCGCCATGAACAACAAAATATGTGTAGACGACAAGACTCTGTCGAGACGATTCACAACTTACGAAGTGGGACGCAAGAAGACCAACTGACCCTTCTTATCTGCATTTTACTGATATCTCTGAACAGAATCATGCCATATGTGTGCCATCAACATTTGCCCTCTCTCCTTGCGTCTGTGCAGTGTACGCGCGAGAGACAATTCGTTTTGCATCCTTTCTACCTCTCACTGCGACAAATTTGATTGAGAGCTCTGGCTTCTGCCATGTGGTATAGGCTTTCATATGCTTCATTTCACCAGCCGGGTTCCATTGCCACGCACCATCTGTGCTCACGATATCGAAATGCCACAGAAGACGTGACACAATAAGCCTCATCTCCATGTACGATAAATTCTTCCCAATACACCCACGAGGTCCAAGAGAGAATGGCTGCATGGCCCTTTTGTGGTCGGAGGCATAGGCGTCATCGAGCCATCGCTCCGGGATGAAGCTATCGCAGTCTCTGAAGTTCACTGGATTATGTGAGGCTGCCCAGCTACTCACAGAGACTGAAACGCCTCCGGGAACCCAGTGCCCATCGATTGTGTCGCCTGCCTTAGGTACCGTTCGTAAAAGGCCGGTAGGCACTGGAGGGTGGATGCGGAGACCTTCCTCAAGACACGCATTGAGGTATGTGAGCTGACCTGTTTTCTCGTAATTGATCTCGTCTTCGCTTGCAAAGTTGGATCGGATCTCCTCGCAAAGCTTCCTATATTTGTCTGGGTTCCAGATCAACCGCGCGAAAAGCCCAGACAGCAGGTTTGCTGTTGTCTCGCTGCCGGCAACGATAAATAGCGCACCATTGAGGACGATCTCGTTTTCGTGTAGATTGTACTTCTCCTTCTGGTTGAGGATGTAGTAGATGAAGTCCTTGTGCTCCGTCTTCTCGTTCGTGAGACGTTGCATAACCTTCTCGCGACTGTATACTAGATGATTGCGTCTTCTCTGGCGCCATTTGTCTGGTATCATGTTCAACAGAGTGAGTTGCCACCATGATCCTGCTTCAGCTAGCCTTCGAGTAGCTTGCTCGAAAGCGCCAACCTTCACCGTGTCGTATATCAGGGCCACCCAAGAGTGAAACGCTCCAATGTCCAGACAGCCAAAGGGCTCACCAAAGGCCAAGTCACCAATGATATCGAACGTCGTGAAGTTGAGCCAGTTGACAAGGTTGAGTTTCTCGCCCGTGCCAGCCATGCGCTTGCAGCTCTCTATGAGCTTGTCAATGTAATGTTGAATAATGTATTCTTGTTCCCGAAGCGCCCTCTCAGAAAATGAGTGAGAGAGAGCTCGTCTCTGCCGAGAATGATTGTTGTCATCGGCCATGGTCAGAGTAGATGCACCTGGTAGCGGGTCTACTGATCCCACGTGAATAGGATCTTTGTGCATATTCTGGCGTCCTCCAGTTTTGAAGCCGTAAATGTCCTCCCAGGCGTCGACGGAGTTGAAGGAGAGCTCATTTGGTGACACTCGAACGACAGAGCCATATTTGTTGTGAATGAGCTTGTTATCGAGGGCTAATCTTCCACTTAATAGTGAAGAGACTGATGGGAACGAAGAGACTGCGTTGAGTTTGGGGCCAGGAAACTTGGCCAAAGGGTGAAACCAAAGTCTATAGATCACAGTGACCACGAGATTGACAGCAAGTATACTAACACCGCCAACTGCTAGGAGCTGCAAAGGCTGGCTCAAGGCAATCTCGTGATTGGAATGCAACATTTTCACAAAGCTTGACAGAACAGAAATTCGTCACCAAGTTGAACTACTTGGAGCTTCACAAACTATATATGCTAGAATCAGATAGATGATTGGGAATATAACATTGTGTATGATGTGTACTCGTTTAAGTGCGCCTACAATTACCCTGCCCTTCATAAAGTTTCATCATATTGGAAAAGGGTAAGATTGATTGGCCACCTCGGAAAACGATAGCCAAGGAGTATGTAGAAATTGTTCTGCTTCACATAAAATCTAGAACCCGCCACCCCAGGAAATGTATGAATATGATCTTGCATTATCTCAAATTCGAGCAGGATTGATGCTAGAACACCGCCGTATACAGTCATATTCCCTCAGGTTTGCCACAATTTACAATCTAGATAGTGTACCTTGTACGAGACGATTTCCACCATCAATGGGTATATCAACCCCGTTTCTAGCAGATATGCTCGTCAGTATTCTTCAAGAGAAGTTTGTAGAAATAGCATGTAGCTCACATATAGTTAGCACCTGGGCCAGCTAGAAATACCATCACTGCCCCAATATCATCAGGCTGACCCAAACGACGGCACGGGTTGGCTCTTTTCAGCTCCTCTTCTCCGCCCAGGATCTCAATCAGGCCGTTGGCCAGCTTGGACGGGAAGAATCCAGGGGAAATGCTATTTGTGAGGATGTTCTTTGGACCGAGCTCCACAGCCAGGTTCTTCGTGAGATGGTGGGTTGCTGCTTTTGATATGGCATATACAATTGTTCCATGCTCGCCGACGTGAGGCACATGGGTCCCGGCGATGGAGCTCACTACAATAATCCGGGACGGGCAGGTTATAGTACCGGACGATTCGAGCAGTGGGGTAAATCTGTAGGACTATTAGTCGAGGTCGTATTACACAGAGTGACTCTGACTCACAGCCTTGCCAGATTGAATGTTCCTCGCACATTCAAATCCAACACCTTCTGTGTTCTCCAGTCCGGTGTTGTCTCGAACGGTCCTCCCCACGTCGCTCCAGCATTGGCGACGAGAATATCAAGTCTTCCCTCCAATTTCTGGATTTCGCTGACGAGCTTCTCGATTCCTTCGATTTGCGCGACATTTGCAGCTATGCCGATGGCTCTCCCTCTGATCTTAGGTAACTGATTCAACTTTTGAACAGCTTGTCCTATCCCCTGCGGGCCTTCGTATTTCCTAGCGGTTATGATCACTGTCTTTGCGCCGGCTTTCAGAAAGGCTGTCGCAGTATGCAATCCCAGCCCACGGGATCCTGGAAGAGCCGGGAGGTCAGCTTCTTTTGGAAATGGGGTATGGAATGCGGGGAAGGTCTTGCTCACCTCCTGTCACCAAAGCGACTTTGCCATTGAGATTGAAATAATTTCCGAACCCTGTTAAGTCAGACATTCTCGAGAATTTGATTTTTCGCGTGATTGTGCGCTCGTTTGTAAAGGTTCAGTTATCTTGAAGCTTTTTGTGGCCAAAGGGACACTCACATTTGATCGTTTTGTCCATGCTGACTAGGGTATTGATTTCCGCTCCTTTGCCACGGTCCCTCGGCAGCTAATGAGCTTGGGGCCTCAAAAGGTTGATTCTTGAGTTCACCCAAAATTGTTTCCATCAATTCTATGAATAATCAATCTACAACAACTGACAAGATGTTATACAAATCGGTCTTTCCCTCTCTCCCGATTCCCAATAGGAATATTCTATCTTACCTATATCCACCAAATCAAACGGTTTCGGATAAGCCGATATGGATCGATTCGCAGAGCCCCGCAAATTCACTCTCCCTCGGCAGATGCTATCATGGGTGCGTCGACTGGGCCTTGGACTCGATAAGCTGGGAGTCGGAAAGGGAGAGGTGGTTCTGATCTTAACACCCAACCACTTGTTTGTCCCCGTGGCATATCAGGGTATTGTAGGATCTGGTCGCATCTTCAGCGGCGTCAATCCCAGCTATACAGTTTCTGAGATTACCCACCAAATGAAGGACACGGGTGCGAAGGTCGTTCTGGTCCATCCAAGTTTAGTCAATGCTGCTACGGAAGCTGGGTCGCGAGCCAACGTACCGAAAAGCCATATTTTTCAATTCTCCGATAAGCCTTGCTCGCCGGTCAACGGTGTTTATGACTGGTGCACGATGATAGCATCTGAGGAGGAAGCGACGAATTGGAAATGGGACGATTTGGTTGATTGCGCCAACTCGACCGTAGCTACCATCAACTACTCCTCAGGCACAACGGGGCTGCCGAAAGGCGTTTGTATATCGCATTACAACCTAATTGCCAATCTAGAACAGACTATCTTCATTCGTGACCAGGAGACATCTTATGCTACAGTTCCCTCTTCGCGACCAGAAGAAAGATGGGTTGGCTTTCTGCCACTGTATCATGCTTATGGTAATATGAAATCTTGGCCCATAGCTAAAAATTAGAGCTAAAGAATTCTAGGCCAACTATATGCTTGCCTCATGGCTCCGAAGCTCGGATTTTCAATTTATATCATGCAGAAGTTTGCTTTCGAAGATTTCTTAGATGTCATTCAACAATACCGGATCACCCATCTTCAAGTCGCCCCTCCCATCTTAATCATGCTTGACAAGAGACCAGAAACAGCGAAGTTCGATCTGAGCAGCCTAAAGAACATACTTTGCGGAGCCGCACCCCTGTCGCGTGAGCTGCAGAATACCATTCAGAGAAAATTCAACCTGAACGTGGTTCAAGGCTGGGGGATGACTGAAGTAACATGCGGCGCGATCCATGTACCTGGTGGCAGAAGCGACGATTCTGGGTGCGTCGGATTGCTGGATCCAAACTGTGAAGCCACCCTTGTGGACGAAGACGGGGGCTCTGTTCAGGCCGGTGAGTCAGGGGAAATGTATGTGCGAGGACCCAACATCTGTCTTGGGTACTGGAGGAACGCACAAGCTACGCACGAGAGCCTTGATTCAGAGGGATGGCTGAAAACAGGCGACATTGTTATTGTTCGCGACAATGCATTTTGGGTTATCGATCGCAAGAAAGAGCTTATTAAGGTCAATGCACTTCAAGTCGCACCAGCCGAATTGGAAGCTGTTCTTCTCGAGCATGATGACATTGAGGACGCAGGTGTTGTGGCCGCGATCGTGGGCGGGGAAGAACGACCTCGTGCCTATGTGCAATTGAAGGAGGATAGAGGTTCGAAAATATCCGAAGGCAAGATTCATGCATATATGAAAGCTCGAGTTGCAAAACACAAGCAACTGGCTGGTGGTATCATATTTGTGGACGAGATTCCTCGTTTAGCTAGTGGGAAGATCCAGAGGAAGACGCTTAAAGACTGGGCCAAGCGGGATGTGGCACCTCAGAGGCTGCAGGCGAAGCTATAGAATTGCTAGAAAGTTTCATACCTCAGTGCTCAATTATTCTTTTCAATTCATTGTTTGTCATCTAGAAGAATTGCGAATTCTTATTCTCCTATCTAGACGGGGATGTCTCTATTTTTGTGTTTGATATGTTCTCATGACAGTTACAATGCCAACGCCTTCTTCATATTCAGAACAAAAGTTTGGTTAATCTATTAGTCATATGTGAGCTGTCAATAAGCTAATCGCATCATTTGCCTTGGCCTATTTTCTATGGCGTCTAACTTCTTGGTGCGTGGGGGGGGGGGAATCACATCTGCGCATGTGCTGCTGGGCGGGGGCTAGGCCAGATTGTTCTTCGCTTCATCGCGCACACCCAATAGTAGCCCCGATCACAGCATAAGACTCCGGCTATTGGATGAAAAAAATGAGGCATGACTTCCAAAGTTCCTTCGCCTTCGTGCAGGGCTTCCTCCTCGGAAGTGAAGTGGGGATTTATCCCGGAAATGATTACCCATGGACAGCCTTCTTCCACGAAGTACGTCATTGAGCGGAAGAGATAGCAGAACGTCCTCCGACATACATGCAGCATTCTTATCACTCTCAATGTCGATCGTGCAACATGGTGTGAGAGAATGGGGAAACATCATCCCGAGCAGCGCCCATCAGAATGTTGCTGGTTGATGGCCGACGACACCATTAAACTTTGACCTCACACAGAACTAAGATATACTACCTCAACATCGCGCAGATTTTCATTTTGCACCGATCGTACCTAGTTTTTCTCTCTTATCCACGAAGCTAGATTGCTTGATTTAGACGAGCGACAATGGGCGACGCACCTATTGAAACTTCGGAGGGCATTCCTCCCCCAAACGCAGTCAACGGAACCAGCCAGCACTATGCCTACCCAGAGCCAACGCCAGATTGCCATTATCGTGTGCTGGATCAGTACCACTCGAAAGCACAGAAGCTAAGAGTGGCATGCGTGGGCGCCGGTGCGACCGGCCTGTGCCTGGCATACAAAATGAATAAGAACCTGGAGAAGGGCTCGTTCGACTTGACTTTATTTGAAAAGAATCCTCATTATGGTGGAACTTGGTATGAGAATACCTACCCGGGCGTGGCCTGCGACATTCCGTCTCATAATTACTCCTTCACGTTCGATCCCAATCCAAACTGGAGTCACTTTTTCTCATACGGGCCTGAGATCCAGGAGTATTTTGAAGGCTTTGCACAGCGCCATGACTGCTGCAAGTACATGAAGCTCAATATGCGGGTAGTGGAGTGCAGATGGGATGATAATCAAGGTGTATGGAATATCAAGTTACAAGATACCCAGTCAGGCGAATACTGGCAAGACTGGGCCCACTGCGTGGTGAATGGTACCGGAATCTTAAATACTTGGAAATGGCCAGACATTGAGGGTCTTCACGACTTTGAAGGACCTATAATGCATTCTGCAAAATGGAATCATGAGGTTGACTTTCAAAAAAAAACTGTCGGCGTCATCGGAACAGGTTCAACTAGCGTCCAAATCGTGCCTCAACTCCAACAAACATGCAAGGAAGTACAGGTTTACATGCGCAGCCCTACATGGATTAGCCCTCCATTTGGTGGTGGAGTACTCAATAGTGTGAACAAGAACAGTGAGGAGAATCCTGGGCACCGACAGTATGAATTCACCGAGGCGGAGAAGCAAAAATTCCGCGACGACCCTGAATATCATCTTCTATTCAGAAAGAGAATCGAAGCCGAGATCAATGGACTATTTGGAATGTATAAACAGGGCTCTGAAATTTCGAAACAAATGCGAGAGATATTCACCAATGAAATGCACCGCCGAATGGGACCCGGGCATGAAGAACTGAAGAAGTTCATTATTCCTAAATGGGCTCCAGGGTGTCGCCGAATATCCCCAGGGGATGGCTTCCTCGAAGCCCTCGTTCAACCAAATGTGCGACCGGTATTTGGTGGCATCAATAAGGTTACCAAAAAGGGTATAGTCACACAGGACGGCGTTGAACACAATATGGATATCCTGGTCTGCGCGACTGGATTCCATGTAGCCTTCAAGCCCGCGTTCAAGGTAGTCAACAGCGAAGGCAACTCAATTCAAGAAGATTGGGGTCACTCCATCAATCTTTATTTCGGAATATCTGCCCCACGGTACGCAAAAACCATCTAGTGCTATATTATGCATCTACTTATCCATTCTGACAGATTCCCAAATTATTATACCATCGCTGGACCAGGAGCGACATGGTCGAACGGAACCCTGCTACCGTCAATTGAGACTTCAGTTGAGTATAGTGTTAAATGTATGAAGAAGATGCAGCATGAGACGATCAAATCTATGGCAGTGAAGCAAGAAGCCCTAGATGACATCTATTCTCATTTTGATGAGTTCCACAAAAACACTGTTTGGCAAGAGGAATGCCGCTCTTGGTTCAAAGACGGCAAGATCAAGAATCGGATCTATCTCTGGCCTGGGTCCACAATTCATTTCTTGAAGACCATCCGGGATCCTCGATTTGAAGATTACGATATCAAGTATCGCTTTGGCAATCGATTCGCATTCTTGGGTAATGGAGACGTTAAAGCGACAGCAAGTGGGGATGTGCACGGTCTGTCCACTTATATTCGTGCTGACGATAAGGAGTGGACAGTGGACTAAGACCTGAAGCCGTTTTTTGTAACGATCGAAACTAGACACTTTTTCCTCTTTCAGACTAGTGCGGTTTCCGGCTCTTCGCCTTATCCGAGAGGCCTCACCTCAATAGTTTCTCTCTTCTTTACACTTAGTATCGTATATTCAATATGCTTGTTTCATCACAGCCAGGCCTCCATTACATTTATCATAATCTGATATTTAAACTTGAGAATATCGATATAAAATGTGTAGCTCGCTTTGAAAGCACCGAGCTCGCTCATATTTTTCCTCATTCGGTAAACACTGGCGGGAAAGAATGCTAAGTGACATTTGGTAAAAGGGAATAAGATCATACAAGTATCATATAGTACGCCTTCTGAGTCATGAGCGCCACATTTGATTCACACCAACTCTTATCTCGCCTCTCTGTTCGAGAGAAAATACCATCAGTAGGGATGAAATGCATGTTTTTCACTATTAAGCTACACGTCCGACGACGGTTTTATCTCTTTTTCGCTTCCTTCCTCGTTTCCTTTAGACTGGCGGATTTTTCGAGCCACATCATTGTTAAGATATTCGCCATAATCAATTGTGGTATAGCTCGCGAGTAGTGCCACCGAAGCAAAGGCAATAACTGCATACCAAACGAACTTGAAAGCATTCGCCGCGGCAGCTGCTTTCGCGGTATTGATCGCAGTACTTATCTTGGAGTTTATTCCAGGAACATTGCTGTAATCACCGGATGATATGGCTGCCTCCAACGCGGACACACTTGACTCTGGTAGCCCGGCGCTCTCAGCAGCTTTGACCATGGCAGGGGACAGAAGAGTAGCCAACTTATTGTTCAAGATGGTGACATAGATTGCAGTTGCAACACTAGCACCTCCAGAGCGAATGCTTCCTAATGCTCCAACAGCGGCGCCAATGTCTTCAGTCGGAAGTGTTAGTGGCGCAAGAGAAAGGGAACAAGTCTCGATAATGCCGACCGAGAAGCAACCTGAGAACATGAGTCCGATTCCCTTTGCCTGCTCCCCAGGTTTGATGGATACCATAGCTGCAGAAAATGCAAGAAGGGAAGCGCATCCTGTCATTAAAATCCATCGGGATTGCTTGATATAACGGCAGAGCACTCCACCAACAACTTGTCCAAGGAGACATGACGAGCCAACAATACAAGCAAGCCAGCCATCGTGCAGAGTGGAACCCTTGAAAAGATACGATATCTGTTTTGGCCAAAGGACGTTCATCGAATAGTATACACAACTACCAACTGTGGCCGTGATTATCATTGCGAGGTAGCCCGGTTGGCGAAATAGACGAGCGGGCAGCAGAGCATCCCCCTGGTGTACGTAGGCGTCGTAGGCGACAAATGCGGCCAGCAAGCAGAATCCGACCACAATAGTCGCAATCTAATTGCATGGGTCAGTTTCTTTTGCTTCAAAGACAAGATGGATAAAAACAAGAAAGTTGAAATGATGCGTACAACATATACCGAGTTCCAAGGATGCACAGTACCACCCCAGCTCATGCCCATGATGAAGAGTAGAAGGCCGCCAGTGAAGAGAACAAACCCAACACCATCCTGCCTCTTACACTGCTCCCATTTGGAACGATCCATATGTAGCAGATTGAAGTCAGGTGGGTGGTAGAATAAATAGAAGCACAAAACGGCGAGCCCCGAGATGATGATGTTGAGATAGTAGGCCCATCTCCACGTAAGCTTAGTCCCGTTTTCCAGTGATATTCCAATCACAGGGCCAAAGCAAGCAATCTCAAAGCTTGAGAAGAAAATGGCTGAGACTGCCAGAGGTCGAACTTTGTTGGGTACCAGCTCACTGACAGCTACTGTGAATGAGATTTGTACCGCGCCGGCGAGGCCCATTAGTACATCGGCGCCAATCAACGTATTGACATTTTTGGCAGTTGCACCGACGATGGAGCCCAACAGGCCAAATCCATTGCCAACGATGAAAAACCAGCGCCGACCGAAGATATCTGAGAATCGTCCAACGATCAGGAACCCGACACTGAGGCCTAGTGTATACGAAATTGAGACCCAGGTAATATTGGGCGAGGGTCCGATGTCTTCGTCGATGTATGTGAGGAGATTGGCAGGTAGGACGTATCCCAGATAATTGCTGATATTGCCTAGACACAATGCCTGCTCACAGATGAACAGTTAGACGACAAGACTATTTTCTGTGAGGCATGAGATGTAAACGAACGATGATAGTCCCAATGAAGCCGAAAGATCGATAATAATTCTTGGGTAGGTTAGTACCCAATGCCTCCTCGTTGATAGCAAAAGTTTCATTCTGGATTGCAACATGCTGACTGTCCAGCTCGATAGGTACATCAGTATGTTCAAGATGGTTGCTTGAGCGTTCGATTTGCTCACTGGAGCTTACCAGTTTCGAATCTAGTGACATTATATTTTTTCCGACGATCAAATGCTAATACCTGAAGGAAGTATCCTGTGGAGACTAGACAAAAGATCCAAATATTGATTTTGCACAAAGAACTCAATTACCCCGGATTTCCAGGAGATTATTATCTCAATCTTGCTCCCAAATGACGCGTTTGGTTAGCCTATCTTGTAGCGGAAAAAGGAAAGCTAAGTAAGTTCATCGATCTGCCTTTTGTAGATGTGGGGCTGGGAAAATGATAGCCGGAAGATCACTGTCTTGGTACTGGGCATTTAGGCTTTAGTAGGGAATTTCAGGTGAACACTTTTGGTATTAATCGCTAAAACATAACATACCTCTGTTCTTCACGAAAGAAAATGGGTTCTTTGTTGAGAGGAGTGGGCTTCATCACGGGTGCAGCGTCTGGTAGGGTCCAGACAACCAAGCGTTCTATAAGCAACGGGCCAAAATGACTGACCTTATCATACAAGGTATCGGCAAAGCTACCGCGTTCTCATTTGCTCGCCATGGAGTACGTCAATTAAGCCTAGCTGACATTGACCTCGGGGCAGCCCAACAAACAGCCAACGATATCGAGTCCCGATTTCCCGGTGTCAAAGCCGTTGCGCGCAAAGTAGATGTCCAATGCGAGGCATCCATCAACACAGCAGTTGCTGATACCGTGAGCCAGCTTGGTAGAATTGATTATGCGGTCAACAGTGCGGGGGTTGGAGGCCCTCTCGCTTTGTCAGCTGACCACGAGGTAGAGGGATGGACGAAAACGCTTGACATAGACCTGACAGGTGTTTGGCTAAGCAGTCGGGCTGAGATTAGAGCGATGTTACAGCAAAAGAGATATGAAGAGTATGTACCGCCCCATGGCTTGCTGAAGAACCGGATCAGTGACTCGATTGTCTAAATTTAGTGCTTCCCGCCGCCATAACTTAGGAGTCATTATCAATGTAGCTTCAATGTATGGTATCGTTGGAACTTCCTTGAATGTTCCAGTGGTCTCATATACAGCTGCGAAGCACGGTGTGATCGGTCTAACACGAGCGGATGCTCTCGCTTATGCACCTCGAGACATCAGAATCAACGCGATTTGCCCAGGATATGTTCGAACCCCTCTCATCGAAAATAGCATGCAGACCGATATTATGCAGAGAGAAGGAGCCAAGATCCCAGTAGGAAGAGTTGCTGATATGGACGAGATTGCGGATCATATTACCTTCCTCGCGTCACCAATGAGCAGCTATATGTATGGCTCAGCACTTGTGGCAGACGGGTACGTAACATCATGACTATACTCTTACAATCGCTGATCAATGTTCTAATATCTCGTTCTTGGTAGGGGATTCACAACTCAATGACCATAATATGTCATCTTAATTTAGGCTTTCAATCTATTTGCTGCTTCGATGATGGCAAAAAACAATTCATATTACAATGGCATCGAACTGATTCTGCTTATTTTAGGGGACGGAAAGGGAGAATATTTGAAAGTTAATTGCATATTACAGCATAATATAAGTAAGAGTCACCGAATGCCAAGCTGAGAATATCACATAGCTGAAAAGGGAAACATGAACCCAATAAAACATATCTTCGCCTGGTCTACCCACACAAGAAGAAAAAGAAATCTTGAGTTAGATCAACTTATGATCTCTGTCCATATATCATCGAGTCTCATCATGTCTCGCCTGTGCATTGTATTTTTCCCAGCAGAATTGCCTGCGGGCTTGTACCCGTGAATTATATTGTCACGAGAGTCAGATTGACGAGGAGAATGTTCTAGTCCAGTGATTTCCATGCTTATACCACCGCCGGGCATTGGAATGCCATCCCTGAAACTCTCTGTGGCCTCGATCCCTCCCATGTCTTTACCAGTGGCTGCCTCTTCGGAATCCTCTACGATGGGCATAAAGCTCTGGTTCATATTTGGTACGTTGGGTGGCGTGAAGCAGGGCGTGTCGGCTCCCGCCCAGACAGATCGAAATGCACAGGGTGAGATGTGATTTTCCATGTCTTCATCCATTGTTAATGGCTCAGTACCATTAAATATAGGCCAGGCGCCTTCAATTGTAGCCAATTCGCTGTCAACGACTATAAAATCTTCATTGGCAATATTGTACCCCGGATGTTTCTCATAAGTTCGTTGTGGTGTACGAGCAGATATCGAGAGCAGATTGTTGGGCGAATTTTTAGATTGGTGATCGACAAAGTTCACTGGGATCAATGAAGTTTCAGTAAGCCTTGCTCGCCTGGATGATGGTCCTCTCTTGGAAGGTATAAAGCCAGGCTCGTCTTCTCGATCTGCAGAGCTACCTCGCCTGGCAGGAACCACACTAACCGGATGATGATTGGAATGAAGATCTTTGAGCTCTAGGAGAACGACTTTCAGAATAGTTGCCATCTGCTCTGCTGGCTGATAGGTCTCTGACATATCTTTTAATGCCAACGTGATACATTCCAGGTATCTCATATTCTTGTCTTTCGAAGCCCGGTCCGTGGAAGAGGAAATGGCAGCCACTAGCGCAGTAGCCGCATTTCCCGCGTGCTGTAGGCCTGTTACAAAGATCTTTCTTGTGTCAAATCGTTGTCGATGCTGCCAGAATATCTGTGCAATTCTTCCCGCGCATTTAGTGCATGTCTCGCGGGAGAATGTTGAGAGGTGGCTGGCGTCAATTATGGATTCAGCAGGTTTCTCCGACTCCTCCTCGCCACTGTCCACAATATCATCATAGCGAGCGAATTGGCGATGAAGTAGTATAGTGGCCGAGTAGTATTGCTGATGGAGAAGGAAAAAAGAAAATGGGGCTGTTTGGACATTGTCGGCGGTGTATTGAAGCGGCGGCGGTAGGCATTTATACAAATTCTCGAGCTCTCGATCAAGAGCAGACATTCGAAGATAAAGCATTCGGTCCAGGTTGGCACTTCGACTTGAGACCTTGTCCATGATTTCGGTAATTTTGCCGGCAAGCTCCATCACTTCTATCAGTGCTTGGTAGATTTGTGTCTCGATATTCCTTTCTGCACCCTCTATTTGGCCAGTTTCCAGCCGGTCAAATCTCTCGGAAAGGTCGTATATCTCTAGATCCTCTGGTTTCAGTGCGGTCGGTCTACCAAGAAACAGTGCCCAGTAGCGATCATACACAACACAGGCCCATAGTGTCAAACGGCCAATCTCAATGTCCTTTTCCGGGAGCCCAGAATTGGAGCGATCTAGGTGCAGACCGATATCGAAACACAGCCGACACGCCATTCCAGAATACAGCCAGCCAACATTATCTCGACCACAGCCAACTTCCAGGTCTCCGAGTAGAAGTAACGCTCCAATGAACGGAATTCCTCCTGGTCGCTCCATCTCATAGTCTAACATATACTTAGCTTCTCGATGGAGTATACTCTCTCTATCAGGAAGCGTAAGGCTAAGCATGTCCGGTTGCTGTTTATCTGCAAATCGGTAACCAGCTGCCAAGACACAGATATGGAGGAACCCGGAGTAAAAGGGTCCAGCACCAGTATCTCTTCCCTCCTCAAACGCTTCTCGGTCGATAACATGAATGACAGAGTTGTAGTACTGCCAAAATATACCCATCAAATAATCATGCGATTCTTCTGACAGGGTTGACAACACCCGCTGGGTTCGTCTTTCCCGAGTCTGGGCATGCCTCAGGCTCTCTTCTGGAAGTTGTGTCACGGACAATACATGGCAATTTCTTGTCGGTCCAAAGTAGCGGAGACGACCGGCGAGTTGATCGAAGCTGAGATGGCCTCTGGTAGACAGAAGTTTATGGATCGTAGGAGATCTCCTGCTAACCGGGCTTGGCTTGCGAATTGAACCATCAGGAGGACTGTTGGAGTCTCTATCAGAAACACTGTTCGTTCGAGGGAGATGCGGCTCGGGTAGAGCCTCTGGGATAGGGTTTGGCATAGGCTCTGGGACATGTTGAGGGACGCTTTCTGGCTCTGGCTCTGGCTCTGGCTCTGGTACAGGATCTGGTACTGAGAAGGTCGGTAATGAAAGATTTCCGGAATCGAAGTCGGTCTCTGCCTCAAAATACCCCGCTGAGAAATCATTCCCACTTGAAATCTCATCAGCGAAATTTTGTATCTCAGCCGAACCATGTCTCTCTTTGCCGCGTAGCGCAGCTTCCAGTTGATTGATTCGGTCCTCTAGCAAATTGACATATGCCTTTGAAACAGGTCTGAAAGAATAGTCAATTGCTGGACGACTTTTGTTTCAGGAGGAATTCAAAACATACTTTCTCCTCTGGTCATCATCTTTAATCACACAATCTTGTTTGAGCTCCAAGCAAGACGAACACGATGTCTCTCCGTTTTGAACCACGCATCTCGTCCTTCTCTCTCGGCAGGCGACACACGCTACCGATGCACGGTGTCGTCTTTTTGAAGTCTTTTCATTGCTAGACTCCATCGTGTCGGTTGAAGGATTCCCCTTCCCCTTGGTGGCCATTCAGTAAGAAGCCTTCACGATGAAGGTAGTGACCACTCCTCGTACTCCTGTTCGTCGTAATTGCAATTAGCTTGGGCGTACTGATGTATTTCTTTGATGGTTCTTAATCGAAAAGCTTGACTAGCAAGCAGACACTGGGGGGGGGGCTAGAGATGAGCGTGCGAGCTGTCCTTGGGAAGGAGAACGGACACTACTACTACTATTACTACTACTACTACTACTGTTTCCACCCCCGCAATACTGGGGCCCCGCAATCGGCATTTAACTTTGCGAGTCATGGATTCGGCTATTTTGACTTTGTGGTCATCAACTTGAATCATGATGGCTTTCTCTCTCACGCAGCGTACGCATGTCGGTCATCATCGCCCCGGTGGGCCCCGCCCTTGGGAGGAGTTAGCCACCCCCTCTTTGCATTCGGCTTTATTCGTCAGTCACCTTCATACAACTTCATTGGCTCCCGACCCGGGCTTATCTGACTTGTTCGTTCAACTTGACGCAGCATAATAATGCGCAAAATAATGCAATTTGCAACCTCACATGTGCGGCAGTGGGGCTTCTTGCCCTGCTAGACTTGATACCACTGAGCTCTTGGTTTCAAATTCAGAGTGGGGGTATTGTTTTCCGATGCGCACTCCCCGCTTCTCGTCACAATGAAACGCTGGCTAAGAGTGGCCGCCGGTGCGGAAGATTACTTGCATTCGGCATAATAAAGTTCTTTTCATCCTACTTCACGAGTAATAGACTTTTCCTCCGAGACCTCTTACCCAGCGATTATTTTTTATCACCATGGGTTCCATCAATGCGCCATCTGATCTGGGCTTCTCTGCCTCCAGCCTGCCAGGCAAATTGTTCATCAATAACGAATATGTTGATGCCAAAAATGTCGAGACTCTCTCTGTCTACAACCCTAAGAATGGATCCCTGGTTTCAGACAAAGTCCCCATCGCCGGCGCAGATGATGTCGAGGCGGCTGTGGTGGCTGCAGAAGCTGCCTTTCCCACGTGGAAGGCAATGAGTGCCATAGAACGACGGGAAATCTTATTGAAATTTGCATCACTCATTGAACAGCACTCTCACGATCTCGCAGAGCTTACCAGAATTACCCTTGGAGCTCCGTTTGAAGCATTCGGAAAGTTCGAGCTTGGGCTTGCGGCCGAAACATTCCGTTATAACGCCGGCTGGATCGATAAATTCGCAGGCGAAGCATACCCCCAGCAGGATGGTTTCATGCGTATCACCCGACATGAGCCTTTGGGAGTAACTGCTGGTATTGTACCTTGGAATGGCCCCATGGGCACAGTTGGACTTAAGGCTTCACCGGCTTTGACGACTGGCAACTGCTTCATCTTGAAGCCATCCGAGAAAACACCCTTTGCTGCACTAGCCCTCGGTCATTTGATCAAACAAGCCGGTTTTCCACCTGGTGTCTTCCAGGTGCTGTCGGGAGCGGGCGAAACCGGCGCTCTTCTCGCACGCCATATGAGAATTCGAAAAGTCAGCTTCACTGGGTCAATCGCAACTGGAAAGCTTATTCAGAAAATGGCTGCAGAATCGAACCTCAAACGTGTGACGTTAGAGCTAGGTGGCAAGTCTCCGGCTGTCGTGTTCGATGACTGCAATTTGGACAATGCAGTGGAGTGGTGTGTTCGAGCCATCGGGACCAACACTGGACAAGTTTGTTTCGCCGCATCCAGGGTATACATCCAAGAAGGAATTCTTGACAAATTTACGGAGAGATATAAGGCAGCGTTAGAGGAGCGTGCCAAGGCGATCGGGGACCCTGATAAGGACGAGACACTCATGGGTCCCCTAGTTGACGAGGCTCAGTTCCGACGCGTCACTGGCTTCATTGAGCGGGGCGCGCAACAAGGCACCCTCCTAACAGGTGGGAAACGCGTCGGAGACAAAGGCTTTTTCATTCAACCTACTGTCTTCACGGACGTCAAGCAGGATGCAGAAATCTATCGACAAGAGATCTTCGGTCCTGTCTCTATCCTCAATTCTTTCAAAACGGAAGAAGAGGTTATTAAGAAGGCCAATTCTACCGAGTACGGACTCATGGCGGGCGTCTTTACTGAGAACATCAACAAAGCCATGCGTGTGGCCAGCGAATTTGAATCGGGAATGGTTGGGGTGAACTGTATCAGCTTGAACTTTTTGAATGCTCCCTTCGGCGGGAGCAAGCAGAGTGGCCTCGGTCGGGAATGTGGCCGTAACGCGCTAGAGTCGTTCACTGAGGTCAAGACAGTGATGGTGAACTTGACCTACTAGGTTCTCGGCTGAGTAGAATTTTAATATTGCACAGTCAATTATGCGAGAATCATATTTTAAGATTGTTTCGAGCTTTGAGTCACAAAAGGTTCCGATTCATTGTCAGTTGGCTTCCCTTTTTGGTAGAATTCAGAACGCAGTTCGTTTAAGCTTATTGAAATCCAACACTTTAAATTCATTTTGACCTGCATCAATCCCAAGATATCTATTTAGGTGCAAACTGCTTGGGTCAATGATATTTCAAAAGAGATAGTAAAATTCCAGGATTAACAATGTGTTTTTATCGAGTTCAATCTTTTCTCCAACCGCCAACATATATTTCCAAGGTTCTAACAACAGTTTCACATACGACCCATGGGGCAAGATTCTAACTTTGGAATGATCTAGAAGTGATACAAGATTTGGAAACAAAAAAGGAAAAAGGAAAGACTGTTCCGATTGATTCTTCATATGCCCAGCTCGATGCTGGATTCAAGGTCGAATTTACTCGAAAACCACAGCCATTCTTTTGCTCGAGTGACCAGCTTCCATCTCCTGAATCATCCTATTGACGCCCTCTAGACCTTCTTTCAATACCTCAACCTGGGGTAGAATTTGATGCTTGGCTGTGAAATCCACTGCTTTTTGCATTCTCTGGGGGATGCTGGTACTCTCAGCCTTGAGCTGATAATTCCCAATGACAAGGTCCATCGCCGACACTCGAAGAGAGTCAGGGGGGATGCCCACTACCATTAAAACACCACCCGGTCGGATCAAGGCTGGAGCTCCCTTATATGCAACTGTAGCCGCACTGAAAACAGCAGCAGCGTGCACACCACCTGCGGTAAGATTCTTCACCTCCCCGACGTATTCATTTGCGCGTGACAGGGAGTTGACTGTCACATCCGCGCCCTGTTCCTGGCAGACCTGAAGCGCCTTGTCATTAATATCTAACGCAATCACCTTGAAGCCCATTGCTTTTGCGTATTGTGTCGCAAGCTGGCCCAAGCCCCCGGCACCGATGACTGCAAGCCATTGCCCAGGCTTCAAACTGCAAGAATCGACAGCATGGAAAGCTATTCTTCATTAACAAGACCACAGCAGATGAGAAGCTGCGCAAGCTTACCTGTGATACCCGCGCAGAAAATGGCCGAGCTTCTCTTTGGATCCAAGGCCTTTGGCAAGTGAATAATGTTCTGCCAATCCACGGCGACATACTCTTGGAAGAAGCCGAATTCCCCAAACCCGGCAATCTTTGGGCTTCCATTAGTACACAAATTATTGTGCACCATGCACCCCTCGCACTCAAAGCAACAGCCGTTGATATAAAGGAATCCCACTGGATTCCCAGCTTCGAATCCTTTTTCCTGGCAGTTTGCACCCAGCTGGTAAACGTAGCCAGCACCTTCATGGCCGATCGTAAATGGATCGGTCAGGTCGGGTCTGCCGATCGACATCAAATCTGAGTGGCACAATGAAGCAGAGGCCATTTTAATAAGAATCTGGTTTGGGCCCGGTCCCAGTACTGGAATGACATTCACTACGGCCTTTTTTTGAATCGGGTCCCATTGCGCAGCCCTCATCGTTAAGTCGGTGCTACCCATTTTGTTTCGTTTTCTCCTTTAATTGGTGACACGGTGTTATTTTAATCCAATGAAATCAGAAGTAAGATGTGCGTGTTTGTGAAAAGTTGAAAAAAGACGAATAAGGGTCTATACTTAAAATGGCAACCTCGAATCTATAGCGACGGTTATCCACGTTGGAAAACGTTCTCCGGCACCCAGACCTTCTCAGAGGAGGGAGGTCAGTGCACTAAACCTACTTAGGTCAAAATATAAGCCTCAATCAGTGACGCATAGTAATGGAGGTTAGTTGGGAGCAACAGACTTACTCTGCCGGCTCGAGTGTATAGGAGGGCTCTCTGCGAGACACGCTCGGCTTGACGGAGGGAGACCCCCATAGGTAACGCGAAACGAGAGCGCAAGCTCTCGCGGGGTGTGGTGTACAATGGCAGCCACTGTGGCAGGGGTGAGATTTGCCTAGGCAAATGACCTTTTTCTGCCAAGACCAAAGCAAGCGGAACAATGTATTTCCGGGGTCATCATCCACCGCTGCCGCTTTCACTTACACCGATATTCCCGAAAGTATCTCGCAATTGAAGCGGGGGAATGACAGAGGTTTGAGGAGCGATGACGATTGTTACGCATATGTGACCCCGATATCACTTCTTTCGGTAATTTTCAGCTGAGCTTACCACCAATCATGATCACTTGGAAGCCATCCCGGGCATGGCACGTACGCCATGCCAAGATGTTATTTCCCATTGCCTCTACTAAACTGCCAAGATTGATTTTCTCGTTCTCATAGTTCTGTCAAATTGCGTCAGGGGCATTTAAGAAGTGCTGTCTCCCTCTCCAAACTTGATAATTCGCCAATCTTTTCATTCGCCTGATAACACAGTCTTTACATCCGCCTAATAATTAACCATGCCGAAACTTGGCATTGGCTTCCTGTTTTTGGTTGGGCTTCTTATATCCCACGTTTCAGCTTCCAACTGCACCTCGTCATCTGCGACTGTCCATTGGCTCGGCGATAAACCATCCTATAATGCCGGTGTAACCTTTGGTTTACCATGGCCGCAAGGAAAGTATTACCCCAAGAGAACCAGCTTCCAAATCGCTGGCAACTCCGAAGATAGACAAAAATTGCAGTCTTGGGCTACCGGCTACTGGGCCGATGGCTCGCTGAAATGGACGGGCCACGCTATCGCAGAATCTAATACAACCTACGACAACTACACTGTCACTGCATCGTCTCTGGGCTGCACCGATAAACGTACCTCGTTTGGGGAATCTGGTACAAAGAACAGCTCCATCATCGTGGCCGACGGGTCTGATGTGGTTAGTGTCAACACGGGTGAGATTATCGTCTCGTTTCCCAAGGAAGGGAACATCCTAGTCAGTGCCATCAAGACCAAGAGCGGCAAGACGGTCGGCGAAAATGGAAGACTTGTTCTTCAGTCTCAGGATTCAGTGCCCGACACTTTCGACGGCCGATCAAACTCGTCCATTCAATATTCCAACTTCCACAGTATCATTGACGAGGTATTTGTGAATCAGAGCTCGATTCGGACCCTCATCACTATTCGTGGAAATCACACGGTTGATAACGGCGCTGATCACGATCCATGGCTCCAATTTGTCATTAGATTCTATCTCTATGCCAACTCCGCCTCTATGAAAGTGATGCATAGCATCGTTTTCGATGGAGAGGCCGATAAGGACTTTATTACGGGACTCGGTATTCGATTCGATGTCCCATTAGAGGGCGAGGAGTACTATGATCGACACGTCAGATTTGCTGGAGTAGATGGCGGTATTTTCAATGAGGCTGTTCAGGGAATCACCGGACTTCGAAGAGATCCTGGCGAAGAAGTGAGAACTGCTCAGTATGAAGGTCAGAAGTTGGCAGACACAGCAACTTGGGACAGTCGGGTTACCACCCGACTCAAATGGATTCCCACGTGGACAGACTACAGCTTGACTCAACTGACGGCCGACGGATTCAGCCTTAAAAAACGGACAAAGCCCGGCCAGTCGTGGATCAAAATCCCCAGCGGAACACGTGCTGAAGGTCTGGCCTACCTGGGAGGTGCTACGAAAGGAGGCCTCGCCGTTGGTTTACGGGACTTTTGGAAACGTTATCCGTCCGGCTTTGACATTTCAAACGCTGCCTCCGACACAGGCGAAGTCACTCTTTGGCTATACAGCCCTGCCGCCGATCCATTAGACCTTCGGCCCTTCCATGACGGCCTGAACGAAGACGGATATGAAGATCAATTGGATGCTCTCGAGATCACCTACGAGGACTATGAACCCGCTTTCAACACTCCCTATGGAATCGCGCGAACGAGCGAGATATACTTGTTTGCGTTTGATCAAACGCCGACAAGTGACAGACTCGCCGAGCTTTCTACGTTCATAAACAATCCTCCCGTCTTGGTACCAGAGACGAAATATATCCAAGAAACCCAAGCCCTCGGTGGATACTGGACCATCCCCGACAGCGTTAGCGAGGTTGCAAGTACGCTGGAAGATCACCTTGATTTTATCTTTGAATATTACCGGACTCAAATTGAGCAGCGGCGATGGTATGGCTTCTTGGATTACGGCGATTTCATGCACACATACGACACTGACCGACATACCTGGCGGTACGACGTCGGCGGTTACGCCTGGGACAACTCGGAGCTTTCACCAGACCTCTTCTTCTGGCTCTACTTCCTTCGCACCGGCCACGAAAATGCATACCGGTTCGCCGAGGCTCTTACACGACACACAGGTGAAGTAGATGTGTACCACATCGGCGACTGGAAAGGGCTGGGAACGCGTCACGGCGTGCAACATTGGGCCGATAGCGCCAAACAGGCACGTATCTCTCAGCCGCAGTATCGAAAGTACTTTTTCTATTTCTCGGGCGGGGACGAGCGCATTGGGGAGTTACTGGAGGAGTTGCTTGACACGGATAAGACATACGGGACGCTCGATCCGCAGAGGAAGGTCCGTACCGATGGCTGGACACCTAGCCCCAATTCGACAGTTGCTTTTAGTCTTGGAACGGACTGGTCGAGCCTCGCTGCAGGATGGTTGATTGAGTGGGAGCGGCGAGGTTCAAGATGGGAAGAGGCTAGGACAAAGTTGAACAACACAATCTCGGGAATCGCAAACTTGACCAACGGCTTCGTGACCGGTTCAGGTCTTTACGACCCGGTAACTTGGACGTTGGGACCTCCACCTGCTGATCCGGACAATCTTGGAAACGTGTCTGTTTCTCATTTATCTGCTGTCTTTGGTCTTCCCGAGGTTGTTTCCGAGGCTATCGCGTATTTTGGCGATGATATACCAGAAGGGTTCCCTGAAGCCTGGTTAGATTACTGCTACTACTATCATGCCACAGCGGCGGAGCAAAAGGCCCGTTACGGGGTGAGCTTCGGCAGCCAGAGCTTATACCAAGCGCACTCCCGACTGGCAGCATATGCGGCGCACGAGATGCAGAATAGCACTATTGCACTTCGAGCTTGGAAGGACTTCTATGACAGCGATGGACTTGCACCGGATGCTGCATGGAACACTACGCATGTGAATGGGAGTGCTGTCTTGCTGTCCGTCGATGAGGCTGCATGGCTCGCAACTAACGATGTGGCGCAGTATGGTTTGGCTGTAATTGAAAATCTGGCATATATTTCGGATTCGCTTGATGACTATCTATCATAAACTCTGATAGTGTATATGCAAGAGCAATAAGGCTTTGATACCACACCGATATCGATCAATCGATATGTCAATCAATCATAGTTCAATTAACCTATACTCTAGTACGTGATGCACCCAGCCCTCGGTGCATTTACTCCGCCCCTGATTGGTCGAGTTGGCCGGCCTGAACCCGCCTCACATCTTCTCTATCATATTTATAAACAAGGAATGGCGGGCATGCCCTTCTGACACAACACGCGTCCACTGCCACGTCCGTGACTATGTACGTGACTGTGTCTGTGATCCTGTATTGTAACGATTCCTTCGGTTCCTGGCACGTGATTAAACACGTGACCCAAGCAGCCGCTCAGGTAGATAGTTGCGATGGGAGCTTCTCTCCTTCTTTTCTTCTCTCTCTCAGTTCAATACCTTCGTTCAATACTACTGCTATCTTTCAAGGCATATGAGTCCTTACATAGGTGGTTGAAGTTGGTACGAAGGAAAGAAGACGCGATTCTGGATGGGGTGTTCGGGACGACCGGGAATTACGTTACTATCAATTAAGATTGTTTGGAGGCCAACTGACCTTGTTTTCTAGTTACTATAATGAATTTGGCTATTTTCTCCCAATGCTTTGCTCAATACAGCCTCACACCGACCGAATGCCTTCTTGATGGAGCCACTAGCAGAAGCAACCTCGAGAATCACACGGCCAAGCAATCACATCAGCTGTCAAAATGACCCATCGGGCCATCGGGGAGTCCAAAGGTAAAGGAGCACGTTCTGCCATCAGATGGAGAAGGTATGCTTGTTGAATTTGAACAACAGCCGCTGATAATTCCTTCAGTGTGGGCGTAGCTCATCTGTACTACGTGTTCGTTTCAGCAAACGACACCTAAGTCATTTTGAACATGCAGATTGTCGGAACCAGCGTGGGATATCTTTTTCTACTGCTATATTGGGTGGGGTCTACGCTGCCGAACGCGATTACGGAACGAATTATGTGGTGAAAATTAAGTTCTTGACTAAACTTCTATCATCCAGGAATGCAAATACTACGTTACTCAAGTAGCACAGGTTAGCACTCGTTACCAATCTAAGTATAGGCTTAGTTAGGGAAAAATGTCATTACGGAGTACACTAGTCAACATCCTCGGGAAAGAATACCTAGGTATATAGGATACTTTGACTAAGGCAAAGCCCCTAAGTGTCATTCGTATAATACTACGAGCGAACATCTCGAATAATGAACCAACTAGTATCGAGCGACTCTAGTTAAGATAAAGTTAGTCGACTTGATATACGATTCTATATATATGATTTGGCTCTCTCGTCTCAATAAATGGAACTAATTATGTCAATTCCCCTTATAGCTACCTATACACAGGCGTAGAAGACGTCGAGGGTCAATGTGGGCCCAATACTCCGTTCGTACGTGTTCTAAGTTTGGGTCAGACGATCTCTTTAATAACCGGTAGATCTTGTCCATGTTAGGTTTTTTCCGCGTTTTCATTCCGGTAGCGGGCTCCGCTCTGTCGAAGACCCACGCGTATTCGTTTAGAAAACGCCCAATTTTCAGAACGATCTGAGTAATTGACTGACGCAACGGAGCTATTTGTGCCGCAGCCGCAGACCTTACCTATTCTCAATGACCAGGCAGCAGCCCTTCTCAAATTATGCATACGATGCCAATAAGCGTTTTCGTATATTTGCCCTTATCCTAACGCTGGGGTAATATAAATGTTGACCTAGGTACAGCTTCACATCCCCAAACGACACCACTGATATGGTCACTATGCATGGTCTTATTGCGCATGTTCTTTCAGCGGCTGCGATAGCATCTTCTTCAGTCCTTGCCGCAAATTGCAAAATTTCACCTTTCGATGCCTCTTGGCCGTCCGTCGATGAATGGGCTGCCCTGAACAATTCTATCGGGGGAAGCCTCATCCGATCTACACCCGCTGCATCTTCCTGCTACCCAGATAATCCATTTGGCTCGTCTTTTAATTGCACTGCAGTCAAAAGCCACTGGTCGTACGCCGCAAATCATTCCGCATGGCCTGAAAGCATTGACTACTCTATCTGGAACAACAATTCATGCGTGCCCCCCCGGTGTATCCGGGTACACAAGGGGTAAGGGATGCAGCATCGGTGGAATGCCTCAGTACATTGTGGACGCTAGCTCTGAAGATCAAATTGCGAAAGCTATGGCATGGGCATCCGACAGGAATCTACGTATCGTCATAAAATCCACAGGGCATGATCTGAGCGGCCGGTATGCTCCCTTTCTCTAAGGCAACTGATACATCGTCCTAATCCGTCCGTGATACACATGCAGATCAACAGGAGCATATTCGCTTTCTATCTGGACCCACAACTTCAAACACACTCAGTACCAGCAAGGGTGGAATATCCCTGGAAGTAACGACACGGCAGATGTGCTTATCTGTGGCGGTGGAAACAACTGGGGCACTGTATACACCGCGGCTCACAAAGTGGGTAAGACTGTCGTGGGAGGAGAAGATGCAACCGTGGGCATTGGAGGCTTGGTCCTAAACGGTGGTCACGGACTCCTGTCAAGTTCACATGGCTTGGCATCTGACAGTGTTTACCAAGTCAAGGTGGTTACTCCAGATGGGAGAATCATAGTGGCGAACGATGTGCAAAACCAAGATCTTTTCTGGGCCGTCCGCGGTGCTGGTGGAGGACAATTTGGTGTCGTGACAGAGTTTGTTCTCCAGACGCACCCCGTCCCGAAAAACGTGGTTACTGGTGGCCTGACTTTCTATCCACGAAGTAAGTCTACTATTAGCAAGGACGCGTCATGGTTTGCATTTGCTGAGGTAGCGTCTTCGCTCCCGGATCTGATGGATCAAGGTATCACTGGCACCCTCATGGCAGTCACAGGAGAAACCGCCGTAAGCTACCTTGGCCTAAGTGAAGCTCTACCGGGGGCCTCGGTGATGCTCAGTTTCCTTGTCTACAACTCCACGGTGCAAAACATGAACGGAACTCTCCAAGAGCTAGCCGCAAATATCACTCGTGCAAGTCATAATCAGGTCAACTTGACTTTGACATCACCTGAGGCTCAGAGCTACTGGTCGTACACCAAGCCAGACTTCTCAGCTAGTCAGTCTGCAGGTGCGACAAGCTTGCTCTCGAGCAGACTACTAGGAAGGAATGAGCTGTGCAACCTTCCAAGATCTGATCTGGTCAGCTATCTCCAACAAATTTCCGCCGCTCAGGTACCGGAATCGGGAACCTTGCTTGTATGGGGTCTACAGGGTGGGAAAGGACCAGCCAGCACCACCGATATTAGGCGTGGCAGTGTGCTTCCTGCCTGGCGTACGGCATACGCCCATGTCATGTCGTATGGTGGCACAGTCAACGCTACTGCCGACCCAAGCGAGGCTTTGGCTGTGGGAGCAAAGTGGTACGAGACTGTTATGGAGCCAGTCTGGCGGGTGTGGGCTCCTCATACTGGATCTTACATGAATGAAGGTAATCCATTCTCCAGTACTTGGAAACACGATTTCTATGGCAAAAATTATCGGCGACTTCAGGGAGTGAAGCAGAAGTATGACCCTAGTGAAAGCATCTTTGTGTGGAGCGGTATTGGCAGCGACCATTGGCAGTACGATCTTCAAAGTGGTCTGTTGTGTCGAGTTCACCCCCAGTAGAGACATGGCGAGGAAAGCGGAGGTGTCTACGGTTGTGGCACCGTGACATGGCATGTGTTGCGACCAGTCAATACACGCCATAAAACTCAGAAGATGTCGGCGAGGCGCTTTCAGTGTCTTAAATCTCATGGTGCATTTCTTTTTCAACTGCTGCAAAATTTCTATATGATTCTAGAACGGCTACGTTAAGGCTTACTGTCTTGTTTTTTTTTAATAAGGTTCTATCCCAAGGGACCTGGTTGTAATAAAGGTGACATTAACACTGCCGCCTCGGGAAGCGATCGGCTCCCGGAGCCAAACCTGAGTTAGTCCCCCCGCCACCCTGAGCACCCTGATCCCTCACCCTGGATGCTCCGGCTGGCCCACAAAACCCTTCTTTCTGGTTTCACGTCCTCCGATAATAAGCGCTTTACTGCCTATGGTCGCTCCTAGGAGCCCAAGCAAATGTGTGACCTAATTATGTGCGGTAGTGTCACGGGGCTCGTGTCAAAGAGGGTGAGCTTCGGTGAGAAGCAATTAACTCTCTTTGTATTTCCCTTGGCAATCTGATCTTGTCTCAGTCATGCTAGGGATTCGTGCTCGATTCGTACGCGATTCACATAATAGTCTGGATAAATAACTTGACGCAGTGTTTTCTTTATTCTTGAAGTTTCTTCAAGAATAGGTCTCTGTTACTATTTATAAATATTATTGGGTGATTCTCCTCTTCTTTGATTACTATCTGAAATCTTGCCTAATTATAGGTCTCTAGCCTATCGCTTAGTACTTACTATTGTAATTATCATCATGAGATATAAATCCTTAGTATAAATAAGATAAGATTAGATTAATATATATATAGCTAAGCAAGAGAAATTATAAGCTACTTTCTCTTACAATATCAGAAGTGGATTATACACTAGACAGAAATACTATCATATATCTACACTTACCGAAGTAATATATTCTTCTTTCTGGGAGGGAAATAACTCTCTAATAATCAAAAGTAGCAGCCGAATTTGGAAGCCATATAAGCCTTAATACAATTTGTGATTGCTACAGGCTAATATAAGGCTACCTAGGCTTACCGACATATAGATAGAATATTTCTTTTTACTAACCACTAATACCTTATGACAGACGGTAGACGCACTTTAATAGCTGAGGATAGGATATTAAATACTTGAAGAAGTGCCTTCAAGCAAGTCTACTAACTAATACTTACCCTCAAGGACCAGCTCTGAGATTAGAAGCGGAAATAACAAATACGGAAGAAATCACTGTATGGGCTCCAAGGAGACACGGTTTATACCCAAATATACATGTACTGGTAGATTAGTGATAGTTGCCCTTTCAGCTCAGCCGCCAGGCGTTAATGAATTGTGTGTGTGTGTGTATGAATTTTATCACTACTCGCACAGCTGTGATAACTGTCCATATATGAGAGAAAATTGGGAGAAGGACCCTTAGATGATAAAAGTTGGATACTGCACGCTTAATTTGATCCTGCTGCCCATGGCACTACCTGTCTTTCCTTGGTGATGAACATGACAGGGTATTCTGCTAGCGCGGCGGCATCATTTCCATGTTGATCAACAGCTCTATTCCCACTGTAGCTGCCTTATCAATTTCGGATTCCATATCCGCCATGATCCGAGATAATTCGATATTGTGCAAAATTCAGTCGAACTTCCTCGTGGAGGAATGTAATCTGCCTAAAGGTTGCATGGAGTAAGGAGATGAGACCTGATGCCTTAGATAACAGTCACTTAGACTGGTATCTGGCTTAACCGGGATCTTAACAGTAGGAATCTATCCTTAGTCTTATAGCCAAGAACATGTCTTCCTTAAATCAAGATAAGGGCTTCCCCGGTTAAGCTATCAAAAAGCCATGTGCGTTGGTTAGTACTTGTATAATGTTAATGGGGGGTTCTTGGGTGAGAAGTCGCTCATAATTGGTGGAAAGAATAAAATGGCATGACTAGTTGCTGCCTCATCTGTCGTAGAACGTGCATTCTTACGTTGATGAACATTGTAACGCGTCGTCAATGCTTTTCTGTCGTATTCCTAGGACTGTTCATAGGGTCCTAGCTATGAGAAAATACTTTTTATATACTGTTTTTATGATTCCTGTAGGAAATCATTGCCTCCTCTCCGTCACTCTGGTACGTTGACTTTGATGATTTAATTGCTGAGCTGTGTTTTTGATTGGGCGCGAATTTTCGTCGAAAATTCGACGTACTCTTCATCTATCCGAAGAGAATTGCTGATGTCTCTTTCTACTCATAGGACAGATGCTAGGATGGCACTCGCAACGACTAAGCCGTACTTTCCCATTGACCCCAAGTCAGGATGCTTATCTGGCCGGACCCATGAATCCTAGCGTGTTTCTATTTTGCTGTCCCAGGACATCTACTTGAAGCGACTATCTCGATCACGTTGACAGAAAAGATCTAAGTAGGTTTAGTGCTTCTGGATCAGCATATGGTAGAGTTACAACATGTTTTTATCTCTCCCGGCTTTATCCTGTCCGACCAAAATTTGACTGTCATTACATTAGGTTGCGTATCCCTAAAGGCACTGATCTCATCTCTTATACCCGATTCGAAGCCTCGATGGTGGCATTATCCGGTCCCAAGCTAGGCCGAGTGAGCTATCGCACGATCCAGCGAGAATGAGTAGAAACCGAGTATTGACGACCACCGAGAAAGAACATGATCTTTCCGGGATACATTAGTCACTAATGAATCGAGCTTTTGGCTAAGGGCTGAGGCTAGATGTGTCGGGCTCAGTTGTAGCTGAGCAAGTGATGCGGTAGGCCGCAACACTCGATCTACCCTAGATCTCTGGCCGCGAGGGCGGTCGTTCTCAGGTTAGTTCTTGATTTACCCTGGACCAAATACCGTAAATCTCTGTTCCAAGGATAGATCGACCTGGTGTGTTTGAAGATTTACTGGTTCACAGAAAGCCAAAAAAAAACGGCTATGTATTGGAAGATACTGCCCACATATTTATGCATCGCGTTACGGAGTGATCACTGGCTCTCATGAACGTGCAATCGAGCTGACCCCGCGATCTAGTCTCTGGCTTGCCTACGCTGATACTGGACTCCATTGAAGATTAGTCTGTGCCCCCCCTTAGTCACCAGAAATCATGCTGACATGAAGAGGCAGTGACACATGGCCCTGGTCCCGCCGTTCCCAGAAGTTCGATCGGGATTCTATTGGTGGCTGTTATTGAAAGTCTCATCTAAGCTGCGAGCAAGGTAAGTTGCGAACAACTATCTTGCGCCGGCTGCTGATAGTTGGTGCTAGGTCGAGTATATCGAGCGGCAGATTGCCTTGGCCGTTTCCAGATGCAGACAGCTGTTCAAAGCTGTCACCCTGGCCTACTTGATGAAAGAAGCTTGAAAAGTGTGTTCTCGTCGCTAGACTAATTTTATAAATTGACTAACCTTGCTGTCAAGTCGCTATAACGAAGTTGGCTATTTTCCAGATGTTATGCTCTACATCTAGTATCGTTCTACCCTAGACTATCCTCGAGGAGACTCTGCAGGGGGCCAGGTGTGCTTAAGCCTATGGCTCATATTCATTAGACACACGTTCATAAACCGAGAGACTTTTTCGCGTTTCCCTGATAAATCATGGTACGAAGCTTGTCTCCCATTTGGAACGCACTCAACTCCTCCCTGAATCCAGCAATCTTGTCCGGATCTGCGTATGGGAAGTCAGAACCTGGATCGAACCTATTAGCATCATTACTGAGGCTTACACGAGCCAAATTTGCGAAGGGGAGATAGACCGTAAGTGATATGCTCGTGAGGAACCAGATCAAGCACCATGCTCAACACAGCAGAGGAACTAGAAAGTGCCAGATCGAAGTAGAAAGAGCGGAAATCTTCGTATATTTCTTTGCTTGATTTCCCATAGATCAGCTTTGTAGACTCTGTTTCTCGCGAGGTAGTCGCGATACGAGAGATAAGGTACGGAAGCGAGCCTCCCGCGTGGGAGAGAATCTTGGGACAGTCGGGAAACTTCTGGGTGACATTGGCGATAATCAAGTCAACAGCTGCGCGAGTCGTCTCGTGAGGATAGTCAATCACGGGCTGTGGAAGGAGTGGATTCGTCCATGTGGTATTCACCGGGTGAGTAGGGTGGATGAACACGACTGCCTTACGCCTATTGAGCTCATCCCAAATTGGAGTAAATTGCGTATGACCTAGATAATTATTTTCATCTCCATATCTCGTGAATAGAGTCACTCCATCTGCCTTTAGTGTATCAAGTGCATAGGCAACCTCTGCGAGGGAGCCATGTATATCCGTGAGCGAGGGAAGAGTCGCGAAAAATCCAAACGAGCCGGGGTGCTGCTTGCGGAGACTCGCCGCATACTCGTTTACCCGCCGGGCTAGAGTTCGTGCTGATGTCACGTCCGGAGCGATAGTTGCCCCAGGCGCGGTCAATGACAGGATTGCCTTCCGAATTCCGTTGCTTGCCATGTTCTTTAAAGATGCCTCCGGACTCCAGTCCGGAGTTGGCCAGCCAGACGGATCGCCGCCAGCGCTCTCCAACGCTATCATGAACGCAAATTAGCATTAGCCATCCATAGACAGACATTGCGCACGAACCATCTCTGTAAACCCGAGGTAGAAAGTGATGGTGGGTGTCTATTTTATATGGCAATCCTGGCCAAGGACTGGAAAACGCTATGCCAGCCAAGCCAAGGGGAAAGAAAAATGCAGTGCTTAGTCTCATGATGAAAAACGTAACAAGACTTCAGTCAAATCGCATATTTCTATATAACTCTGTAATCTAGAGGAAGTCTGACACCAAGGGTCTCTGAGTTCATTAGAAATACAACAATCGGAGAGGGTTCCGGCACGATTACCACAACGTTCCCCAGATTGCCCGCATAATACCCCGCTTTCTCGGATGAAGAACCTAAAATCAAGGAACATGACCTCGGTTGGCTTGTTTTACGGAACGGATTCCGGGATAGGATGGGATGGAATGATTGTATCCTATGGCTCAAAAGCAAATCTGGTTATGGACAAGTTGCTAGGGCACAGCCCCCTAGGAAGTGGAATTGTGATCACATCCCCAGCATACGGGTGGGTTGATACGTGGGACCATTCAACCTGCACATTGAGAAATTTTTGTTTTGCAGAAACCACTAGCTGACCTAACTGACAGATTAACAAATGGAGCTTCATTTCATAATCTGACCCAGGTATCCTGACAGGATAACGGACCTATTCCGTTGGCGGGGAGTAGATGTTCGCTAGCTCAGTAACTCCAGAAAGCAAATAATCTTTTAATTCTGTTTCGAGCTGCAATTTGTATACCTAAACCTAAAAATTATTTAGATATAATCAAACAATATTAAAATACAATATTTCTGAAATATACAAATGTATGAAATTTATTGAAAATATTTGTTACCACGTAGTTTGGTCAAGATTTATAAATAGATTTTGTCTATATCCGAAGAACTGTGGTGATTTATGGAAGAAATATTAAACATTTAACTCTAGCAAGTTTATCTCCATATATCACTAAGCTTCTTTGGGAAAACCCAAGTGTTGGGAATAAGTTAGTAGCCGGCAATAATTCGAGGACTTAAGGAGGATGGTTAAGTCAGATAACCCGACGAATCAAGGCCCGGAAGATTGTTCTTTTTCTAGCCACGCCCTTACTTTCCTGAGCCCTCACCTTTTAAGAATCTGATAGCCATACCTCAGTCGAAGCGGTCTTACTCTTTCCCTAACTCCTCGCCCTACCCGCTTGATCCTGCCTTTTCAGAGACCAGGAGCAATACTAGTAGTCTACACCCGTATAAAAAACGAAAGCCAAAGTCATATTCTAGTTGGACTATCGTGCACTTTAGACGACAGATCTGCATTACTGTTGGTGTCGGAAGGGTGGCCCACCGAATAAAGACCGACTGCTGATTTGTAAACATTGCAGCTGGTCTCCCAGAGATTCAGTGCTCTATGGTTCCACTTCGAATTTGTTGGTGCATCTCTAGACCAGCATCGTATCAAGTCTGGGGCCGACTCCATCTTCTTGTCCGCGATCAAAGGGAGCCTCGACCGGTTCTTCAAGTTCCCGAGAAAGAAGGCTGGTGTTAAAGAAATGTTCTTCTCAAAGATCTTTCAACCAAGACAGCCTTTGGCAGTGGTAGAGCATGCATTGTTTGAAGCAACAGGGGCTATTTTGCCCATCATGACTGCTAATTCTTTCTTCAACCGAATCAAGGGAGGAAATCCATTCAGGTGGGAATTCAGTCAAAGAGGAGCTTGCGAAGAACAGGCGACACTCGCTTTGTTCCTTGACGTTTGGACATCGGAAAATTAGATTGCGATCATTGGTATCATTGGTTATTGGAACTCTCCCGATTTTGAAAAGCGAGACGAACTAGTTTATCAAGGGCTAAGCAATTGCCAGCATTACAAATTATGATAATTGCGTCGACATATGCCTTTCCAATAAGGGCGCGGAGTTTCTCCTTGAAACTGCCTTGCCTCATTAAGGCCGTCTAGTGTCAGATGTGGATTTCGTATGGCATGCATTAATGAAGGAGAGATGTCGAGGCCAGTGCCGGTATCTTCGGCTTCTACTTCTGGCAATAATTTGAAACAGATTTCTGAGTACACAGGTATCCCGAATGGACGGAGTTGATAATGGAACTATTGCATGTCCCGCTTGACGTAGGCGCTCGGTCGGTCGGGTCAGAGTCCGAAGGACAAGCTGTTAACAATGGCATGGGGTAGAAACTTCTTATTGCAGCTAGCAAACTAATTCATGTTATTATGTATTTCCTAGAGTACATGAGAAGTGAAACTGGGCGGTAAGGCAGGTGCGCAATGCGGGAACTAAAGACTGTAGGCTAAAAACAATCATAAACGTGTTTTGCTAGAGGAAGAAAGGGGCCGACAAAGAGATTTGATTGGGAGTGTAAGATGGAGCTGGGCTATGTTTTCGGCTCGGGGCATCTGAACCGTGCTATTATAAAAAAGGGTCACATTGCTCTTATCGTCAATCACCACTGTCAAGCATCATGTTTTAGATGGCTATGCACCGTCAAGGCTAGCCTTTGAAGCTTTGAATGACCCACGCCGCAACCCTATGCGCAGACTCTCCTGGCTAGTTTTTGAACGTAAAGTCCATCAGGGGTCCATCATGTACCTTAGTGGAAGATATCAAACCCATTACATCTGCATTTGTTCTCCGGCATAGGACATCGATTAATTCCACAACATGATCACGAAAGACTTCTTGATCACCTCCTGTAACAATAATCCGGTTCATGACATCTAACGCATCCCACCACTGTTCTGGTATATCTAACGCCATACCCTAGCCATTACCTCGTGCAACTTCTATATGCTATTGCGTATCCTTGACCAGTAGCTTACCCCACTCTGCGACAACACAAGCGTTTAAAACATCAAAACTGCAGCTTTGTTGATGGGAAACAGCGCTTGTATTGAAAGATGCCAATGAAGAAATTAAAAAGCAGCCTTTAATTTTACCATTCAGTATAACCTAAACCCTAAAACACTAATTACCCAAATCATTAACTGTATTTGGATGTTCTTACGGCCCTCCATTCCTCCATGAAGGGGCAATGTGATTTCGTTGGAGGTACACAGTAGTGTCGGAATTGGGTTATAGCAAATGCCAGATATTATGCTCTTACAGAAGTATCATGATATATGATATGAGAATACAAAAAGAAACCAAGCTTCGTGCCCAACAGCTCTGCAATACCAGTAGTTTATTGCGACAGCTGCTGTCAGGGCCACCTCAAAGTGGTAAAATTGCGCTAGGGCCATGTTCCAGCCATTGAGAAACTTTTGGCAAAGACGAAATGTGACTTTAAAGTGAGGTGGCTCGGAAGTTCGACATAAAATCATACCCTCCCACCCGGCTTCGGCAAGGGGACAAATTACAGCCGAGTGAATATAAATTTGTTTCGGTAGAAAAGAAAGATGGCCTGCTTCCTACGTATTTGTCGCATCTTATTTCCTAATTGCCTTCATTTCTCTCATTTAGACAACAGAGTAAATCTGCAGGCACTGAGGCGGCTACTTATCTAGAAATATGATCCCCTATCCGATTACTGAATCTTATGTCCTTCTTTAGTGCACTACGAAAGCCTTACATATCAGCGGTCGTTAAAGAGCAGTTTGACTTATCCTATAGATTTATCAAATATGGAGATTGACAATTTTCCGTTTGGTTAGTAATACTATCAAGATGGGAGATCCTGTTACATGATCACATGCACAGCGAGGTAAAATGCCGAACACCAAATGTCTGCAGATGGTATACACCAGAGCTATATCCCCAGCTGCGGAAACCAACCCTGAAATTCATTAAACTTGAAAGGAACAAGGCACCCCATTTCATCCGACACCACTCATCTTTCGGGATGGAAATGTTCATTTTTACAGAACGGAGCCTGTATTTCTGTCTGGTCATACCCGAGACAAGGGGTAACGTGTTTCACCACCGAACCGCCACCACCACCGAGCCGCCACCCCACCTACATTACAACGATATATATTGAATATTACACAACCACCATATAATATATTGCAAAAACTAAGCACTATTCACAACCGGGCACCTATTCCGCTTGTGCCCTGGCTCTCTGCAATTAGTACAGCGCTGTACAGGCCTCCTAATCGTCGTCTCTGTAGCTGCCGGAGCACGCCGTGGCACCGGGGGTATTGCCATTTGGTGCTCATGCTCAATTTGTAGACGTAATTGCATCTCTTCGGCAGTCATTCCACCTTCGTATACCAATTGCTTATTAGGTAAGGCCTTTTTTCGCTGCTTTCGTCCATTCTCTGCCATTACACGCTCATATGTAGTCGTCAGCATTACAAGCTGATTAGCAAGTAATTGTGCACCTTTGGTAGTCTGCTCCAATTGCTGATATATATCGCTATTGGGTGAAATATCTCGATATTCTAGTAATCGCTTGATTGATGCTGCCTGGCGTCGGAAATTGATAGCTTTTGATGGTGTATGAGGTATAAATTCATGACTACTAGCACTACCACGTGATGGTGGTAGTGTAGGTGACGGGGGATGAACCTCAAGTTTTGAAAGTACTACCTCAGGCGCATATGGAATGATACCTGATGCCATAAAACTGCTAGCAATTGTAGAGGTTGTGTATGTTGCTGCACGTGTTGTAGGGTACAGATGAAGGAAATCGAGCTTTTTAATATCTGTAGAGCCTATGCGGGCAAGATCTTGCACAGCCTGACCATAGAAGTGCTTCAATACACCAAAACAACCTACATCAAGAGGTTGTAATAGATGCGATGAATGAGATGGCATGCAGATTGGCACAATATTGTTTTCCATGCATAGAGTATCAAATTGAGGGGTAAGATGACTCCCATGGCCATCCATGACTAGGAGAGACCAGGCACCATGTTGACGCTTCTTAACGTATGGGATGAAAGAATTTTCGAGCCATGAAATACCAATTTGATCAGTAGTCCATCCATTATTACTGACCTCGAAGCGCCAGTTGTCTGGGACAATACTGCACCAAGCAGATATAAAAACCTTAGCTTTAAAAATGATCGTTGGAGGTAGAACACCATCCAAATGGATACACTCAATTGCAGTAACCCACTCCCGGTTACCAGGCTGCACGACTTTTCTTTTTCCCTGCCACTCCCGACTAGTGATCACTTTTGAAGTACTAGTGATCCCCATTGCGAAGCCAGTTTCATCAAAGTTATAGATGTCGTTGTCAAGGATGCCATATTCAGCAATGATGTTGCGATACTGATCGAACCACTCGCGAATAAGCTCCGGATCTTCACATAATGCACGCTGAGCGGCGTAACGACGTGAAAACCGGGTTTTTAGCTTCTCACGGCGTGCAACAAACCGAGATATCCAGTTTTTGCCGAGTGGTAAGGGAGGGGTATTGACAGAGCGCTGAGCAAGTAGAATATTGGCCATCTCTTTTGCCATAGCTAAGGTAGGGGCCTTGCCACGCATATCTAGATCCAATATCCATCGCTCAAGCGAATCCTCTTCGATTTTATCCAATTTTGAGCAATTTGCGCGAGTGGTGTTACGATAACCGATCCCCTTGACGCGGTCGCGTAATGTTGTACGAGGTACCTCATAAACACGCGCAGCTTCAGTAATAGAAGCTATTTTCTTGTTTCTTAGCGCCTGTATAGCAAGTTCGATCCTGCCTTCTTGCTCAATGAGTTTGCGCGTTCGTCCGGTACGAATTGGTGGCATAGTGGTGGTTTAAAGATGGGGGTGCTACACGCGACGCGATTTTTTTGAGGTGGTGGCGGCTCGGTGGTGGTGGCGGTTCGGTGGTGAAACACGTTAGTTGATGCCGTATGGCTATCGAGTGAGGAGTATCGACTCGCATCTGAGTTGCGGAGGACTTGAGCCCAGTGCCTTTGAAGAAACCCCAGCGTATTTTGAGCGGAAATTCTAAACGAAGCCATGTGCTGTAAGATGGTTTTGGCTTTTTCCCAAGCGAGACAGATCTTGGGATCTTCATAATATTTGCCCAGACGACATTTGTATGACATAATCAGAATCATAGCTGCAGTGGATGTATCTGTGCATAAGTCGGACTATATTCTCGTATAGTTCAGGGGTCCATGTTTGTGACTTGCAAAAGCCATTATACCACCATGTATCTGCTGTTGATGTTTTGTGTGTGTCGTAAACTAGAGAGCTAAGGTCGACTGCGGCTTGAATACATCCCGATGCACAATGACCTAGCATGAACGAATGAAGCCAGTCTAAAATCGAATAAAACATTATTGTAAAGACGTAGAAGGTAGCGAGCAAAGATTCCTCTGTCACCTTACGGGTTCTGAGGTCGAAATTCCCTGGCAAAGGTATATTCTTGAGATGGGCTCTCATACTAGGGCGTCCTTAGGTCATGACAGTCCTGTGTCTGTTAGCCAAGGGGCTCTGAAAAGCGGATCAATAAAAGAAGAAAGATTAGTGTAGCTAATGACATATCCAGCATGACACAGCTGTGTCAAGTACGCCGATGGATTTCCCGCTCTAGCGGGCCCTTCGATTTCTCTGGCTGGGCGTCATGGAATCCTAGTCCCAGAGCTAGACGGCAAGCTGTCCCGATAGAATTCCAAAAACGGCGAGGATACTGTGTGCTTTGAAGAAACAATGCAACGATCAACAACATTTGCACGACACCAATAAAGTGCATGTTGATCATATCTAGGCTGATATGGTGCTTCGCCCGAAGGAAGAATTGGTACACTGTTGTCTCACGATCCTGAATTGGAAGATCAGTTAAATGACAACCAAGCGCGAACATAGTGTTTGGTGCACAGATGAAAACACTTGACGTAGGGCCTGAGCTCATACGATCCCCTAGCCCGATGTTCAGTGTCGTGGTTTGATGTTTAGCACGGTGTGTAGGCATCCACAAAGTCTCGTATGCCTCTTGAAAGCTGCGACGATCAAAGAGCGGATATATGCAATAAACCCGTTCCCAGAAACAACCGAGGAGATGATGAGCAAAATCGGGCGGTGGGAGAACGAAACCATCATTTTTGGTGACTGGTGGTGTATCTCGACTCCAAAATTGGGATTCGCCAATTGCTCTATATGGCGGATGTCTCCGTGGTGCTGCCGATTCGCGATGATTTTGTTGCTCCGCATCATGGGCTAAAAAATCCATAAATGATGCAGTTGACGAACTACCAAAGCATTGAGCTCTTTGGCTCAAGGAACTCATTGGCAGTAGTTAGTGCACCCATTCCAGTAACGTGACTGGCCGGATCAAATGACTTGTGTGGATCTTGTATCTTGGCATATGGAGTGTGAGCCTCCACATCGCACTGAGCCTCAATTGTAGGATGCGGCAGTCTTAATTGGTGCTCTGCGATACTTCGGGTCTCAGACGGACCAATTGGTTCCGTACTGGGCTCTGTAGCGGGGCTGCCACCGCTTCCAGTTTCGGAAACTTGAGTTCCATATATCGGGACAGCACGATCGGATGCCTGTTCCGGCGTTGGAATTGCGACCGCCGAGAGCTGCTACATGAACTGACTATATTTTCGTGGTTTTTAGATAAAACATACTTATCAACAAGTGTAACTTCGTGATGGGAGTTACTAGGATGAGAAAGATTTAGGCAAGACTCACGTTCTACGCGCCTCGAGCTCTTCAATCTTCAATCTTCCCTTGGGGGTTTGAGTAGGCTAGGAAGTTTCTATGTATCAAAGGAGTACCATGATTTCATCTTCAACGCAAGGATCCCTCTGCATATAACTTATGCATGCTTGAGCAGAGAGTATGATCTTGGAGAATTGGGGTGTGAAACTACGCAATGAGATGCTTCAGAACTCCGAGACCAAAGCCGATGTTCCTTACGACGTCAAGAAAATTTATATAATGATCATTCAGACAAGGTTGTGATCTAGATCGTTCGCCAGGGTGTATTCAAACGCGTTTCCAAAAAGCAATCGTCACGTCTTGTTTTCGAAAATGATTGACTGCGTCTTCTCGGTCGATGCAAAGATAGATTGCGCGTTTTTGAAGCAGATAATGTCTCTCAGATCCTGGTCCATGGGAAATCATCCAGTAGCTGTTTGAACCCTAGTGTCTTGTTAGGAGATGCATATGGATAATTAGAGCCTACATATTTCATTAGCGCCAATAATTTAGATGCATGTTTGAGAGCTCTGGACCTTACCGTAAAGCAAGTGATTGTATGGAATCATGTTCAAAACAAGCTTCAGCATAGCTGGCGACCTTGAGAGACCTAGATCGAAGTAGAAGAACTGGAAATCCTCTATCATCTCTGCTAACGTCTTCCCATAAGCCCGAAATGCAGTGGCTTCGCAAAATACTGTAGAAATTTGAGAGATCAGGTATGGGAGAGTTCCTCTCGCATGAGATAAGATTACCTTGGAGTCAGGATATCTCATTTTCGTGTTTGTGATGAACAAGTCCACTACCTTCCGAGTCATCTCATGAGGATAATTAATAGTGGGTTGTGGAAGGAGGAGGCAAACCCATGTAGTGTCGGCTGGATGAGTTGGGTGGATGAAAATCACCGCCCACCTGACATTCAGCTCCGCCCAGATTGGCTTGAAGTCCTGGTGGCCCAAATAGTGGTTTGAAGGTCCGTATCTTGTGAATATAGTAACGCCTTCCACGTCAAGCATGTCGAGCGCGTATCTGATGTCCGCTAGCGTGACCTCAACATCTAACAGACATGGCAGGGCTGCGAAGAAACCCCACTTGCCTGGATCTTTATCACGCAAGCTAGCGGCATATTCATTTGCCTTGCGGGCCAGAGCCCGTCTGCCCCCATCCGTGTCAGAAATAATGGCACCAGGAGCTGTCAGAGACAAGATTGCCTTGGTGGGTCCATTTCTCTTCATTGACTCGACTGAGCCATGTGGTGACCAGGAAGGTGTTGGCCAGCCAGGAGGGTCTCCGCATGCTGCTTCGACAGCGTGAAAGGAGAATAGCATTCAGAATCTCATTCCTGCGGCCATAGTTGTATCATAGGGGTTCCGTCTAGCCTTGTGCGTAAAAATACACAATGATGGTGGGTATCAATCAAACGCATTTCAACATCAATTAGCCGTAACGCAAGTTTAGCGTTAGAATGAAAGCAGGAGAGAAACTGCATTCCTGGTGGAATATAAAGAGGATTGGTAGATTACATCAACAACGTCCCGGCAGGTGCGGCACGTGCAGGCGCCGACTTTTCGAGGTTTTAGACGAGGGACCCACAATCTGCGGGTTACTTCGTGGTGGGTCAAATTGATTGGAGGCCACAGATAAAGTTCGCTCAATCGGTAATGTGAATCATACCTCAGATACGGGGACTGGATATAACAATTCATGGCCCAACGGACGCTGAAACTCATGAAATCTTGACGGTATTGTAGGGTCGACAAACTCAACTGCAGGCCAGCCAAATATTTCCCTTGTGCTGACCACAATGTGCTGAGTCAATAGGAAGTAAATACCGAAATCATCCGGGCATCCTTAGCATTCATTACATATGCATAGGTAGAATCCCAAGGTTTGTAAGAATCATTCTAGTATTGCTACTGAAACATATTCATGAACATCATATGCTATGAGAATAGGGTACACCAAACCTCTCTCAATGTCATAGCCGTATCCGGTTCTGCCATAAGCTACGGTCTATAAAGCGCATCTTTCTCTTCGTCTCGCGAACGTAGTAGTAGTAGTAGTAATAATGCCTTGCCGGCGGCTATTGCGGCGTTTGATGGTGCACACCGCCAAAGTGCTTTGGCTTGGCATGTTTTAGCGGCTCCTTGCTGCTACGACTCGCTGCTGCGGCCTCGTTAGAAGTTGCGACCATTCATATTTGACATTGGGGGAGAATAGAAGCGCAAAAATTTACGCGCATGATTCAACAGAGCGGAAAGAGTTTCTTAACGTCGCATATTCGGTGAAATCTTCAACGTTCTCAACACCTACATGGTTCTCACCCCGCTGGTCTCACCAAGCCATCAACAAGCAAGTGACGTTTCAACAAGCCCACCATCTAGAACATGCTCCTTGCAAATCAGTATTGTCACGAAAACTTTTATCCTCATGCCTTTGATTTGTACTTGTGACCGCGACAAACATCCTGATCTAGGTAGTCAAGCTCGTTCAACAGTTGGGTGAGGAACGCTCGATCATTAAACGGCAGGAGCGGGCGACTTTCCTAAGCCAGAAGAGATTTTATGTGGACATTTGTTGGCCAGACACGGATCCTGTATGGCACAAAAGACCTGGTTCTAAGAACAGCCGTGAAGCCGTCTTCTCTTTGCCGGTCAGTCTGGTCCAACCTGAAATGTTTCGATCGATATGCTTACTTTATCACCTCCCAGGGTGATGTTTAAAGGATCTGGTCCCACATTGTACCATGTCTTCATGCTTGAGGTATTAGAATATGATTGGTTCGTTTGCTACTTCATTTCTACATATTGCTAGACGATCCCACGTTGTAGACTCGAAGCTAGTGGCTCAATTTCTAGTACTATTACTTTAATACTCATCATGGCCTATTTTTCAGGGAATTTCACTTTAGATGTGGGTTTGGAGCTACGAAATTTCGAATGGCCATGTCGGTAATGTCGGTGAGTTCGTCCATGGTTTGCAGTCAGATCGAGGTATACTGGAATATCGTATCAGCATTGTCCTCGACGCTGCCAACGCAGTAATGTGTACCCAAGAGATGACCATCATTTTCTGTCCCTATTTTACTGCGATCAGAATGTGCAGAAGTAATCTTAGCAGTTTAGCAAACCACACAGTGCTTGCGCATACCGTCGTGGTACGGAAAACTTACTGGCTCTGTAGGTTTGGTCTCTGGGAAAAGAACGAATGCGCTGATAGGTCTGGACATCCGGTATCAACTCAACATGAATGCAGTCGAATGGAATTTACAGGGCTCATACGACCGGAGATACAACGATAAAGATTCCTGTGATCCAGAGCCTGAACGCGACCATGATGACAACACCAAAATAATTGTACGCTGGGGGCCAAGAAGAAATATGGAGATTACATTATGTACCCGGCCCATGGGATCTTCCAGGGAGACGGCCAATCACAATTTATTCCCGTCTGGCTGAGGTTAGAAAAAAAAGCAAATGGTTGCTCGCAGCTTTTCAGTACTGGTCATCCTTTGTAGAAATATGAGGCCCATTGAATCAAAGCTGAGGAGGTAGCCCCAGATCCTGTATCCAACGGCAAAGAAGCTGCAGGCTTCTATCTGAAAATATGTACGCAGAGGGCGCATATTTGTATAAGCTTCAGGAACCTCCGGCCTCGCTGTGTTGCTCGTTAGGATCTACACTCAAGCCAATTACAATCTCGCTAGATAGTTTGTCTTAGAAGAGACTTCAAGAATCTCAGAGCAGAATCAAAGCTGCCAATGGAAGGCGGGCTGGTACATATCTGAAGGCAAGTTCGCGGGCCCCTTTTTGACTAATAAGTTACATTGACGTTTTCGATCTCTCAAGCAGGTATTTATGAGCGCTTCAGCTCGTTACCCATATTTCTATTGAGCTCTGTTCCATTCCCTGCCCAACATGCTATTTTGTAGGTCATTCAACGCCACCTTGAGAATCATGCCTTCCAATTCCTTCAGAAGTGGCTCTTTCCGGACATCGAAAGCGCGAACTTGTCATCTTCCTGGAAGCTTTTTTCAACGATGTCGTCGGGTTGTAAGTAGCATCGGCCACGCTGCCGTTTCACCGCATTCCCAACCCCGAAATGTCTTACTTTGGATGATCCGATGTGCTACTTGCTTCTCGACTAGCATTGCCGTGCCCCGAAGCTGAAGAAGCTTTTGTCGGATTTCAATATTTCTGGAAACATTGATTTTCGCAGAATGATCTATCCCAGAGATTTTGAAAGCATTCGCAGAATTGGAAAGCTATAACTCCAAGTCAGTATAAGGGGCAAGGGACCCCTGCCGTTGGACTTTTCTTGATAAAGGGCGGATCTTCATATTATGAAATGAAATTATCTCGAGGTTCTTTTATTTTTGACTTAGCCTTCTAGATGTGATTGAATACCGTTAAGTAGAAACCCCCGGCTTACAGAAATACCAAAGCTTGTCTTAGATCATGTCAATTTTGCTATCTCCCAATGAAACCACTTACCTGGATCAGCGTTTGTAATTGTGTCCAAGCAACCTTGTGGCCAATCAAATAACCGTACAGAAAATTTTGCGTAATGAGGACATGCCAGTGCCGAGCTTTTGAAGCGAAGACCTCTTGGACTTCATGTTCAGCTTCTGGCTCGGTATTGATTAGCACGAACTAGATACGAAATTAGGTGAGTGAAATATTTATACTTTGACCAAGCTGGGGGGGCTAATAGAAGAGGTTGAACTAGAATAACGTTTGCACATGACCCATTGAAGTTCTCTATGTCTAGATAACTGTTGACCACAGCTGCATCAGCCGTCTCTCCAGCATATTAAATGTTGAGATTTTCCTTCAAGCCTTTCATATAGCTGTAGCAATTTAAACTGAAGGCTATCCTGGTTTAGTCATTAGTTGAATACCCGTGTTGTATTTCTCCTTCTAGGGTAACATTTCATGTGTTTCCTGCTTTCGGCTTGAAAATATGAGAGGTCGCTTGACTCATTCACCGAGAGTGACATTGAGCACCAAAAAGCTTAGTACTGAGCGAGGGAAAAACACCTCGCACCTAAAACCATCGTTTCATACGATTTAAACGAACCTTTTGTGGAGTGAGCTTTAGATCTCGGTAATTGTGCACATCTAGTCGAGCTTCGGGTCAGCTTCCGGGTAGCTCGGCATCCGGAAATGCGGCACTTCGCCAGCTGATGGCCCCATCAAAGTACCCACTTGTCGCCAAGTTCTATAAAGGCCTATTTCCTCTTTACACTTTGTGAGTAAAAATCAACTGATCACCATTCGCGCACATAAAGATGAGCCTTATTGACACCCACCACCACTTCGTGCCCGACTTCTATGCGCAAGGTATGTAGATGCATTGAGCAATGATCACTTTCTACTAAATAAGAGCTGTAGCCGTTGAAGACGCTGGGGGCGATCCCTCTGGCTGGCCAACACCTTCCTGGACGCTTCAGGGCTCTCTTGCATCCATGCAAAGGAATGGTTCAACAAAATCGATCTTATCTTTGACTGCCCCCGGAGCAGTCATCGCCCCTACCGACGAGGAGAGAAGGGCTTTAGCCCGCAAGGCGAACGAATACGCCGCCTCTCTGAGAAACAAAGATCCCAAGAAATGGGGTTTCTTTGCAGCCTTGCCGTGCCTTCTCGATACCGAGGGAGCCCTAGCGGAAATTAGATATACCCTCGATGTCTTGAAGGCTGAGGGTGTCACTTTGTTCACAAGATACGGTCCAAGAAACCAATACCTCGGAGACGCAGCCTTCAAGCCTATTTGGGAAGAGTTAAACACCAGGACCGCTGTGGTCTTCATTCACCCGACTCATCCCGCCGATACGGCCCGGGTTAATCCCCTTCTTCCGCAACCAGCCATCGATTACCCCCACGAGACTACAAGGACGGCTGTTGATATGATCATCACCAACACCAAAAGGAGCTACCCACTGTGTAAAGTGATCCTCTCTCATGCCGGAGGTACCCTGCCATTTTTGATCACTCGGATATGTACTGTATCACAAGAAGCAGCTGTCACAGCTCGTATTTACGGGAAGAGCTCTGAAGAAATTATGGAAGATTTCCGATCGTTCTACTTCGACCTAGCTCTTTCCAGCTCGGAGGCTGTGCTAAAGTTGGTCCTGGAAATGATTCCACGTGACCACATTACTTATGGTCAGTGGCGGAAAATAATTCTCTGACTATCACTGACGCATGGTATAGGCTCCGATTACCCTTACGCCTCTCCCGATAAAACACTTGGTTTCAAGCAAGCTTTGGACGAATTCCCTCTAGACCAAGATCTGCGGGACAAGATCTACTTCAAGAACGCAGAAGCAATTTTCTCGAAGACCGAGTAATATTTTCATCAACGGAACGACGAAGTCTTCCTCGATCATTGCCCTTTCAATTTTGCCAGAAGCTAGTTTCAAGCTGGGGATCATGGATGAACAGGGAGATTCCAACTGGATTTTTTATAGACCCATGTCATGGAATATCGAATGAATTTAATTTCTGCTAGACCCTCTGCATCTTGTCTTAAATGGGGGATTAGGTTGTTCGAGGCTTAAAAAGAATATGAGTCTGTGCTGGCGATAATGTTGGTAGAGTAAGGACTATGATGCACATTAGTCTACCAAAACGGGCCTAATTCCATCTGGTCCCAACTTACGCTGGGAGACAGTGAGGGCCCAAGAAGGCGTTCAATTGAAATAAAGGCCAATCTTATCCTAACAAGCTCTCTGTTGAGTTTGACACACATTATCTTGCCTATCATTTCCTGAGTAGGAAACCCCGCTTTCTACGGAAGCCGCTCCGAAGCGAGGGCAAGATTCTTAGACCCCCGGAATGAGATCCGAAACCTGAATCGGTGCCCTTCGCGGCAGAATATTGACTCCACCGATGTCTTGAAGCAAACTACACGATGCGGGGTGTGATCTACAAAGGAAGACATAAATTGACTCTAGGTCCGAGTTGGACAAGACTGAATACTCAGTGCTCATGATCTGACTTAGCATCTTAAGACTTCCTTGAAACTCAACTTCTGTTATTTCATCATCTCAATACCTGCCTAGCTCGCACCATGAGCATAATTGCTTCTGGGATGTCTGACCCACAACAGAAGTCCTCCTTTGAACAATTGGAATCTGGGAGCACGGAAAGGCCCGCCAGCTCGAAGACAGAGGAGGCTTCTTCATCGCCAAAACCTACCTCGCGCGATATTCAAACTTGGCCAGAATGGAAGAAAAACATGATGATTTTGATGGTTTCATTCCACTCTATGAGCTCCACATTCATGGCTGCAGGGCTTGTCCCTGCAGCTGCGGGATTTGCAACTTTGTATCGTGTATCGCTTCCCGACGCAAGCTACCTCATATCCATCCAAGTTGGTCAATTATTCTAAAGAACAGTTGAGCTTCATGATTAATGGCCATCGTAGATCCTATTACTTGGCATAGCTCCAATATTCTGGACTGTTATTGTTGATCGGTACGGTCGCCATTATGTCCTAATATTCTCCGTCCTTGCAAGTTTGGTGTGCAATATTGGGGGCGCTCGGTGCACAACTTACGCCGGCCAAATGATTACCCGGGCATTAACCGCTATTGTCATATCGCCCCCAATCGGGATCGGCAGTGCAGTGGTAGTTGACCTGACTACCGCGGATGAACGTGCGAGAAAGCTAGGCTGGTGGGTCTTGATGACCATTCTTGGTACGCCCTGTGGACCCTTTATCATGGGGTTCGTAGTGCAACACAGTCAAGTGCAATGGATATTCTGGATCTATGCCATCATGAACTTCATTCAAGCGGCTGCCTATCTCATTTTTGGTGGTGAGACGCTCTATTTCGCCGAAAGCGAGCATTCCATCACAGAGAGACGAGATTCAGGCATCAAGAAATATCTGATGGAATTGGTGCCGAAGAGACTCAATTCGCGCCCAATCACTGTGCGGGATTTCTTTTCTCCTTTCGTGCTGATCTATAAGCCCCAGATCTTAGCAGTGGCTTTGGCTACTGCTGTAACGTTCTGCTACGGAAACATCATTTTCGTTGTTGAAATGCCAATCACTTTCGGGGAGAGGTTTGGGCTCAACGCTGAGCAAACAGGTCTCCAGTTTATCTCCGTGATTATTGGATGTTTCATTGGAGAGCAGCTAGCTGGCCCAATGTCTGACTACTTCATGAAAGTATGTCGAAGGCGTAGAGGCCATGTCCATCCCTCAGACCGCCTGTGGCTGACGTACATTGGCTTCCTGACCATCATTGCCGGGCTTTTGATTTGGGGATTTCAATTACAAAAGACGACAACTTGGAATATTACTCCATGTGTGGGCATTGCCGTTGCTAGTTTTGGTAACCAGATCCAGTCAACTATCCTCACCGCATTTGCCGTGGATATTTGCCCCGAAAATTCTGCGGCCATTGGCGTATTCTTTAACGTTATCAGACTGCTTTACGGTTTTGTAGGTTCTCGACTATATCTTCATGATTTTCGTCCTGACTGACTTTCTCTAGACCGGCCCATTCTATTTCCCCTATATGTTCAGTACATTGAAGTTTACCGGAACGGCAGGTGTCATGTGTGGGCTAGTGGTCGTCGGTGGAATGATTCCTACTCTGATTGTCCAGATCACATCTTCGCGTCGACGACTCGAAGGCTAGAATTTCGGTTTCAATAATTTCGATCAAAAATAATTTCAAACATGCCGAGTAATTTGCAAGGCTTTTTGAACCTTCTTCTACATATTTTGAATTATCGTGGTCAAAATATTCAAATTAGAGCCAAACTCAGTCTGTTTCCATCCCCTCTCCGATAAGTCCTCGCCAAGAAGGTGGGCTCAAGCAACTGTTCAAACAAGCTTTATAGACTATAGACCATCTTCTGTCTACCCCTGAAGCCCACGTGCGACGCATTCGTGTTCGCTCGAGTCTTCAATAAAGCTTTTTTACTGTCCCATACGGAATTATCGACTAAATCTTTACGATGGTATCAATACGGTATATAACTCTGAGACGAATATCACTTAAATAGTACCTAACCCAAGGGACCTGGTGCAGTCTACCTGACTGTATGGCGGTCAAAAGTTCTTAAGTATGGGCAGAATTCACCCTATAGGGTAGACTGCAAGGCCTTTTTCTCGTACGATTCTTCTAAAATTTAAGTAAGTTCTGAGTTGGTATAGAATCTCTAAGTATTTTTAATCTTAAGATCTATAGTCTCCTATAGTAGTTGTATGAGTTAACCCTAAATTATCTAAAACCTTAAATTCTTTTGGTTAAGGCCCTGGGGTATAACCAGGAGAATCTACCTTAGGGTTTTGGAGCTATGTAATAGCAATTACTAAGGGATAGGGTAGAGACCTATAACTAGGTAAGATATTGGATAGTAATTAAAGAAGAGGAGAATTAATCAATAATATATATGAATAGTAATAGAGACTAATTCTTAAAGAAACTTTAAGAATAAAGAAAACATTATATTACTAATTATAAGTTTAGATAATATTACAGATAGACTTACTAAATCTCTTTCTTCTACAATATTTAACTACTTCCTTGACAAACTCTACCTTATATAACATCAGATAGTAATTCTAACACTAATAATACCCTAAACCGCCACCAATAACGTATACAATATATAGGAGGATAATAGGGATACAAATAGATAGGATAAAGGAATCTAGGCCTATTTTATCGTAAATCCGGAGTATAAAGATACTGTTAGTTTGCCCTCGTTTTTATAGCCTTAGTACCTTGCTATTAGTTAAATAGGGAGCTAAACCTATTCGGGATACACTAGTCTAGATAGGGAATAACTTCTTTTTCAAGTAATCGATAGATTGCTTCTTATTGTGGTGCACGCTGTCCACAGCCTGCGGGGGAGTACTGAGGCCTGAGGGCTCAGGCCCCAGGTTGCTGAGTCAGCCGGTGTCCACCGTGCCTGCCCTGTAGATAGCTTCTCTCCATAGCATCTTCATGTCACCACCATCTTCAGTCTCTCTGCGAGTATTCCCATCCTGCGCCTCCAGTAAATATTAGTACCTGGCGACCGGTGTTCAAACGGTGTGTTTCCCGGGCGGCTCTGTCATGGATATAGGCTTGGTTTCCCGCGATGACTAGGTCGTGCGGGTCCGGCTTAGCAAAGGTAGAGTGTCCTCTGCATTCTGCATACTTTGGTGGATTCGCCGGTGGGTTCTCCGGAGGGAGAATTCTGTCGTTCTCGAGAAAATATTACCACTGATAGGATCGTGATTTTCTCGGGTAGCTCGCTGTGCTTCTTTGTATGTGAGACTATGAGGTGAAGTGATGGAATATATGTCCTGCGTCTTGTGCTGTACATTCATGCGTCAATTTTTGAGGGTCTTTTATTATAGCTGACCTTCCCATTCTACGTATGTCTACTCGGCAGTTATCTTTGGTATTCCTATGTAACAAAACCTCCGGGTCATTCTGATTCCGCCTGTTGCCGATGTGGAACCAAATGCAGCAAGTTGTACTACCGAAAAAAACTGATACTGGATTGGAGCGTTGATTTCCTACCTCGTCAAGAAGATTTCCTGGGGTTGTTCAAAGTATTGAGAAGAGATGACCATGGGAGATGTCAAAGTGGAACGACTCCTCAACGATCCACTTCAACGAGTCCTCAAAATTAATCCTTCAACATTTTTGCCGGGACATATTCTTCTACCGAAGCAAGAAGGCGGTACCCTGTCGCTGGCGACTGATAGATCACATCTCTCCGCTTGGTGTACGTAAACTTGCTCTGGGCGACGGCTCCGGTGTATGGGATTCAAGGGTAACTTTGAACCTAACCGGAGACATCTATCATACATGAATCAATCAACCTTTGCTTTGAGAGCATGAAAACTATTCACTTATCTGTGTCCATGGTACCTAGTTGGTGATAACAACAAATACAGCGATGGCTAGAGAGAGCCATGGATGATCTTCTCCACTCCATAATGAGAAAGGCGCGAACGCCCTATGGTGCACAGGTAGTAGAGAAAGAGGAGGGAAGCTGGCGGGCGTGATGGTTGAACACCCGCACGACATTTTGGGCCGTAAAGTTACAGGGGTGAACCCTACAGGCCGCGAGTGGCGGCAGCAAGCAGGCGAAGGCAAGCAGAGAAGGGCAGGGCGGAGCGCGTGAGAGTACAGAAAAAACAGTCTTATGTCAGTCTGACGAAATATCTCGACCAAAGTTTAAATATGTACGATATAGAGTTCCTACAACTTGATTCACTTTTATACTACACTCTGTAAATATTTATCATTTACTTTCATTATGAGTGAAGAAAGCACAAATGAGAGTCATGGTTTACGGAGTGGTCAGTCATCACAGGACAGCGGTAGCCAAACCACCCATGAAGGTTTTATGCACGCCTATAATGGATTAAGCTGCGAAGAGCTTAATACAACAGCACTACAAGATACCGTTCTTGATTTCCGGAAGTTATCAAAGCTTCACATTCGCTACTTGGAATTTCATTTGCTGGATGAAATGAAATCACTTGGGCATAATGAGATAACCAAGCCTGAACAACTCTTACGAATAGGCCGTTTCCTTCACGAACACGGTAGGGCTATCTAAATATTCTTTGAAATACATCAAATCTAACAACAGCCTTCTAGCCGTGGCTATCCATGATCTTGAACATATGAATGAGCGAGCATATCTTCCTTTAATGGAAGGCGTTTGTCCAGATGACCTGGTCAGCTCCAAAATTCTTGTTGATAGTGGCGAGACGCTTTGGCTTGCAGAATTCGCTAGGTCTGGGCTTGATTGGAGGCTGATAAAAAGAGAGCGGACTACACTCAAGGAAGTCTGGCAAAGGAATCGTTCCCAACGACTGAGAACAGCCTATACCAGATTAGCCGTAGCTTTCGCTGGTGCGATTTCGTTTATAGGCCCGATGATAATAATGAGCCTCCAGAGGGATCTTGCGACAGCCTTATTAACGACATGTATTGGGACCCTTTTGGTTGCAATGATTTCAGTATATTTTTCTGCGACAGAGCTTGACGTTTTGGGTATAGTGGCTACATATGCCGCAGTCTTGACTGTCTTCGTCGGTGCAACGATATAATTGATAGCCGGAAACATTCGGCATAAGTTTTCTCGGCAGTGGTCTAGCTTGGGTGTAAGTAATGAATTTAAAATAGCTATTGTATGCCGGCTGTATAGTAGGTTCCGCGTTGCCTGGAACCATAGTCAGGGATGTTGTAATTCCAAAATTGGCCAACTCATTTCGAGATGTATTAAAAGAAAAACCAATAGTTTATCTTTGTCAACATCTGAGTTTTTCATATCAATGTTCTGATCCGGAGAAGGATCCAAGGATTTGCGAATATCAAGCTCATCACGGCTTGTCATTATAGCGTGAAGACTAAGCCAGGAAAAATAAAAATAAAATACGATTCCCGTGCTGTGCCATCCCCGCGTCTCCCGTGGTATGCGTTGAATCCCTGGTGAGCATAGGACCGACTTGCCACATTCGGTGAATCTATTTATCTCGAGGAAGGAATTGTGCTCCATTAGCCAGTGAGCAAATACTTATTTGTTCTTCTTGATGTACGCACACCGTGACTCCTGAGGTCGACTACTATATACTTCCCTCCTGGGCGCTCCGGCCAGATTTCAAATTTCAACCTCGGAAGGCAGGAATCCATTGAAGTTTTCAGCTTTTTGGAGAATTTATGGGATACCTATACCCAGTTGGATTATCACACGAGAACCTTCGAAAATGAAGGGACCGCTGACTACTATCAAACCGGCCAGCGTTACTAGCATTCCATATACAAGCTTTCATCCAGCTACAACGCAACTTCAAGTCCCCACGGTCGCAACGCCGCCTCTCCAAGTTCTTCTGTTCATGGGTGCATTGGTATAGATAGACAAGATTAAAATGAATTGATATGCAAATGAAAGTCACTTATAGCTAATCATTTAGTCGGCATGAGTCGCTAGGAGTTGGTAATTTCTGTAGGAATAGTTTCAACTTTGGGGGATGACAAGGCTGCAGTACAGAGGCATTACATACGTACCGGTAGGCTATACCCAAAGAGGAGTATGACTAATGATTGGGAATGTTCGGAGTATCGATACCCGGTAATTATCCTGTAATCACCCTGAAATTGAAACAGCTTATCTGTTTTGATCGGCTTAGTCATTCTACTGAGTCAGCGTATCTTCTCTTTGTTTTGTTTCTATTTTTGAATCTTTGAGTTCTCTCTCATCAAGTGTTTCATGTTCGAAATGCCATGATGATATAGAACTCTCAATATGCCCATACACAAGCGCAAGCGTGCTCGAAAAGCTTGCAATCCGTGCCACCAGCGTAAGCGAAAATGCGATGGTGAGTATCCGTGTGGAACGTGCTCCTCCTACCAATATCAATGCAGTTACGAGGACGACATCAACGGGACTTCGGATCCCCCAGTGATCAAGCGTCCTGTTCTCGAGGGACCTAACATGAAAATCCAACCCCCCCGTGGAAAATGAAGTCAGCCCGTCCACTGGCAAGAGCCCCGGCATTTTCGAGGAGCACAAGTCCAGATACACTGGCGCATCAGCAGCCATGGCCTTCCCTCATATATTAGGCCTGGCTCTCGGGTCTGACAACCCTCCCAAGGTCAATTCAACTGCGTACAACTTTGGCATTCGCCCGGAAGAGGCTTCCAACACGTATGGCATGCTGGGCAGCCTAATCTCTGAGGAAAACCTCACATTTTACTCAAACGTGTACTTCACTACAATGGGCTCCATTCTAGATGTCATTGGCCCTAGGATATATGCTCAGAGGTGTCGTGAGTATTATCATGGGCCTGGAAGTCCGCCCGTCGCCTTTGGTGCTATAGCTGCTGGTGTTGCTGCAGTCGGATCCTTCCTCTCTTCAGTTAGGTACTCCCGCGAGTCGGACCTACTGCAGTACGCCAAAGCTATTCTCGATGATCCGGCCTCGATGCGAATGCTGAGCGTCGATCATGTCATTGCGTGGGGCATGCGGCTGTTCTATCTCCGGGCCACAACGCGACCGAGTAGTGCCTGGATCGCCTCCTGCACGCTCATGCACCTCTGCGAAGTCGTCGGGCTGTATAAGGAAGAAAACATCCAACGTATAGCATCTGTCGCTGGTGCCGCTGCTCTTGGTCATGATGCGGACCGGCTGAGGCGTATCTTCTGGATTCTGTGGGCCGCACATCAGATGCTCTCCTACGAGTGCGATCGGTCGGCAGTAACATTTGCAGCCGTTTCTACACAGGCGATCATTGCGACCCCAGGCTCTGTTGCTGACCAATTTGTGCAAATCATCCAAATTATCCCGTCGCCAAACTCTCCGTTCCAACTTGACTCTCAACTTGCATTTCCAAGGGATCCAAACGAGGATCTCTCTGAGCGCCTTATGGTATTGAGCAAACTACATTTTACGCATCCGTTCTTGGTCGCCACCAAGGCGGACCTTGCATTCTGTTTCTATCGACGCATTTACCAGTTCAAGGCAGGTATTACGGATCAAAGTATCCAGGTTGTTATCGATAGCGGCAGGGATGGACTACAGGCAGCTGAGCAGCTTGCCAGCCAAGGTCGTCTACTATGGAATGTTATCGGTAGTGTCTTCCAATATGCTTGTATCTTGCTGGCTATCGATACTCCATCCTCATCAGCTCATATTTCTGCTGCTTTTAAGACGCTAGAGAATCTTGTCAGGGCAACGGATACAGCACTCACCCGACAGGCACTCTCTATAGCACGGCATCTTCTTAGTCTTAATATCGCAAAGAAACGAAAGGAACTTTTGCAGCTAGAAGCTGTTGAGGCAGTATACGAAGCCTTTCAACCACCACCGGAACCCAACCCCGACACCGCTGTGCCAGATCTTGTTGGCTGGGGAGTGGACTGGGACCAGTTTCTCGTGGAGCCATATCTGTCGATGTTTCCCGACTTGGAGATGTAAACTAACAGTAGGAGTTAAACTTCAAGGAATCGAAAGAAATGAAACATTATTGCATTAATGATACCTAAACGACTGTTTCCTGCGATTCGATCTTCTCCTGCACCCCTTCTATCTTTATATGAAACCGTTCCGCAAAACGAAAAATCAGAGCAACAACTACACCGAAGCCGGCGAGCCCAACACCCATGTAAAACGCCCCACGGTAGCCCTGTAAAACATTTTTCCCTTGACCATTGACCTGGCCCTCGGCAGTACCGGCAAAGCCAAGCCCAATTGATATAGAATAGTTTACAAACGTAGTCACCAGCGATGCAGCCAAACCCTGATGTTGGCGCGGCATAGCTCGACTAAGGATAAACGTGGCAGCGGGAAACGACGAATCCATGCCCCATGGAAGGACAAGAATTCCCACGAATGTCTGCGCCCAGTAGATTTGGCCAACAGGCATCGTCGCGAAAATGACACCCCAATGAGGAAGAAGGTCATGGAGATCAGCATTACTGTCGAGGTGCGGCAGTTGTTTAAAAAGAGACCCGTGGCGCGCGCAGCAAATAGCCCACTTATGGCGATGGTCGTCATTTGTGCAGGGGTGAGAAGGGGTGTCTGTTCCCTGAGGACCTCGAGGAGGTCCAGTGCGTAGAATACAAAAATGCCAAAGCTGGACCAGCCGGCGCTGATGCAGGCCAGGGTGAAGAGGGAATCGATGCGCAGGACACCAAAGGGAATCAGCGGATGACTTGCTCTCTTCTCCACCAGGACAAAGTAGGTATATGGTGTCGTCTAGCCGATGACGGGGCCTTGGTTCAAAGCAAAGTTGAAAAGGACGAGAGCGGCTACACCGGCGACGGAGCCCGCGACATCGATGCGCTTCCAGACACTGGAGCTTTCAGACTCTGGCGTTATCGGGGCTGGAGTTGCAGGTATCACGAGGAACCCCAAGGCAGCCAACATGGGGCATGCAAAGCAAAGGACCCAATACGACCAAGGCCACCAGAGTCTATGAGCAAGCAGGCTGGAGAAAACGGCACCAAGCGAAAAGCCGCCAGGAGCAGTGGCTCCGAACAGGCAGAAAATCATATTTTGACGAAACTCCGGGTCATAGCAGCGACTGAAAATGGCTATTGCGTTGGGGAGTAGGAAAGCTGGACCAATTTCCTGCATGGCACGGCAAAAGATGAAGAAGCTGGGGCCGCTATAGACAGCAACACCGGCCAGACAAGACCAAAAGGCGAACCAGACATAGCCCCCTACGAAGAGCGGCTTATGTCCAAAGATATCACCGAAGCGGCCTGCAATGAGGATGAAGGTGCCGACGGTGAGGGAGTATCCAGAAGAGATCCAGCTTATTTTTCCAGGCTGGTTGTCGATGTCAAAGGAGCGTCCGATGATGTGTGTGGCACGATGCTGAGGGCAAGTCCGGCTTGAGTGAGAAGCTGCGAGGAACAGATGATGGTGATAAAGAGGGCCTCCCTGGGGAGGGATTTGGGACTTTCAACCTTTGAATCATCTTGACTGTGACAGTCTTCACGATCTGCACTCGAGACTTCAAGTTCGCTAGGCAAGGCTTGCGATGGTTTTTCAGAGGGCATTTTCACTATGAAGTGATTTCTGTCAATAATAACGGACCTAGAGAGGGAGTCCTAGTAGACTCAAAGATAATGTAGGAATGGGAATTGCGAACGGTGTATGCCCAGGTGGTTGAGCGTGAAGCTGTGTTTGAGTCAAATCTGTCCACTCTGAGTAAAGTCATAATTTTACCATGACAGTCTGACACGGCGGCAAATGCATGGGAATATGCTCCGACTGTTTCTGCCATCCAAAAACTTATCGCCGCACGGAATGAACATCACTCATCAAGTTAACGCCGCACGGAGTGGAGATCGTGCAAATATTGCGGAGTTAAGATGTTGAGGGCGGCCATTGCGGAGATCATCAGGGACCACTTTGGAAGTTGGAATTCTTATAAATTCATCATGATTCAGCTGCGACTCAGTCTTCAATCATTCAAGCCAATCCAGATCAATTCAATTCAATTCAATTCCCACACACCACTCGATCAAAATGACATACGTCAAGGATTCACCCGCCGGCTTCACCAACGCCATTGAGCGAGTCGCCATTGTTGGTGTACGTAAACCCGCCCCCAATTCTTCCCCTCAGCCCAAAAACATTGCAGAGTGAAACTAACAACAACACCAGGCCGGAGGTACTGTTGGCTCTGTTCTCGCTGCTGCCCTCGTGAAAACTGGAAAACATACTGTCACTGCCCTCTCGCGCAAAGACAGCTCCAACAAACTCCCCGAGGGCGTTGTTGTCGCCCCCATCGACTACAAAGATGAGTCCTCCATCGTCGATGTCCTCAAGGATCAACAGTTTTTTATCATCACTGTCGCCCCCACTGCGCCCCGCGATACACACAGCAAGCTTGTCCAAGCGGCCGCCAAGGCAGGAGTCCCCTACATCATGCCCAACGGATACGCCGGTGATATTGAGCATGTCAAGTTCGGCCAAGATGTCATGCTTGGACCCGTGGCTCAGGCCAACCGAGACGAGATCGAGAAGCTGGGTATGAAGTGGATCACCGTGTGCTGTGGTTTCTGGTACGACTACAGCTTGGCCGGTGGCTCGGCACGCTTTGGGTTCGACTTCGACAAGAAAGAACTGACGATCTACGACGATGGCAACACCAAGACATCAGTCTCGACTCTGGCCCAGGTCGGGCGCGCTGTTGCGACTGTACTAAGCCTGAAGGTACTTCCGGATGATGAAAATGACACGAGCCTGACTCTCTCGAGCTGGCTCAACAAGCCCGTCTACCTCAAGAGCTTTGTCGTCAGCCAGAACGAGATATTTGAGAGCGTCAAGTGCGTGACTGAAACGACGGATGCCGACTGGACGATTAGCCAGGAGGATTCCCACAAGAGATACGCAGACGGTCTGGCAATGGTCAAGACCGGAAACATGGCTGGGTTTGCTAAGCTGCTCTACTCGCGAGCGTTCTTCCCGGAGGATGCCGGCAACCACTCTGACAAGGCACAGAATGAGCTGTTGGGCTTGCCGGAGGAGAATTTGGATGAGGCTACCCAGGTCGGGATTGATATGGTCAAGGCGCTGCAGAGCCGTGCGGAGCGCATGGCTTCATAGAGATGTACCAGTACTTTCTTCGAATTTTAAATCGTTCAAAGTTTCTGTGTTCGAATCCAGGTGCCAGAACATGAAAATGTCCACGTCACTAGTAGCTTAAGTCGAGTGGGTCTGGCCTAATACGGAATTTGTAGTAACTTCGAGTCGGTAGTTATATCGAAACTCCTAGAGGAGTACAATAATCAGCATTCAACTTGATGCAGAGGAGCCTAAATATCATGACTTTAGAACAACTAATCGCAGATAACTGATAGTTAATTAGCCCATATGCCTCTAAGAACATACGGATGTCGCTACGAGGATTCAAAGAAACTAGAAAATTTCTAAGCACTGCAGAAATTGTTAGAATGGACATTGAATAAAGTGTTTATCAGTCGTCCACAGACAATCATTATTTTATGACCTTGATAATTAGGTAATTATAAATTCATTAAGCTCATCTATTTAATTGCCCTCTATTTAGAGTGCCATGACCATAGCCTTCAACTTCTGAAAGTCAGGAGTACCCAGATCAGTAACAGGGTCCCAGCCACAAGTAACGTTTCAGTGGGCATACGGAATGATCAGACTGTCATTAACAGCCTCCTGGGACTGGGGGCTGACACCACTACATCCGTAGGAGCCGCCGACGACGATATCGTTCAGAGCCTTGTACCCCTCCGAGTAGAAAAAAGGGTTAAGAAATCCGAGAACTGGCTTGCCCGCACGTAGACGGGCATCATTCAGCAGAGCGAAAATGCTGGCGAAGATGGGTTCTACGGCGGATGTGCCTCCTGAGAGGTGCTTTTCACCACCCTTGATAACTTCGATATTGTCGATTGGTAAGTACAAATTTAAATATTTCAGAACATCAACAGCAAGAGAGACTTACTATGGTTATAAGCTATGAGCAACAACATCGGGAAATCCACGTCCAGTGAAGTTGGTGTAGCGGGAGTAGTATTGCTTGGTCTTTGGGCTGATATGGTGGTCAATATACGTCTGGACAGTGGTGTTCTGGTACCAGGCACGGGAGAAGTATTTGGAGAAACCACCAGAATAGGCATTCCAGGCAGATTCGGGAATCACATCGGAATTTCCGCCGACCGAGGTCACGTATGGCAATCAAGGCGTATTCTCCTGACAAGATTTCTTATTATCCTACGTGGCGTGATTGTGCACACCTGGGCAGTGTGAGCATGCGATGGCCATCTGTAATTTGCGGTTTCCTTTACTCGCGAAGCCACAAATCCTAGATCTGCAAATTTCATTTTATTTATTCCTTCCCAAATTCACCAATTAGAATGCAAAGTCCTCGCTACCAATTAATACGGAGTATATAAAAGAATAATCAAAACGATTGGATGGAGGGAGTGACTGAATTCAAAAATCGAATACTCTAATTCAAATAAGCGCTTAATACGCGAATGCAAAGAATTAGAAATTGAGAGGCGCACCCAGAGCACAACGAGTTGCTGATGGCCCAAGGATTAAGCACCCAGAGCTTTCAATAACGCCACGTTAAGCTGGAATCCGCCGGGAAGGCCCACTTTTACTCGCAGAGATGGAACCCTCCACTGACAGTCTGACAAAGCACCAATTACCCAGCAATCGAATATCGGCTGCAATTACAACACTGATAGGAACAGATTGACACGTTCTTTTTAATAAAATTTTCATAAGAACCATGACATTTAAGGAAGTTCAGGATGAAGCACAGCTACGCCACTGATGATCGGCAAGACACAATTATCGACTGATAACTTTTGCCCATGGCTTAGATAGGCCTTTTTGTACGTTGTCCGAGGAATGGCGATTTCATTTTCGATTAAATCTTTCAGTGGAGGTGTGGTTTCATATCTGAGGACAGCCATTCGGACACGCGGTGTCGCTTCCCAATCGTTGTTCTTATGCTTGAGATAATAATCGAAGAATAGAAGTAGTGCATTCTGTGCTTGCCGGTTACCCCATAGGACGTACCACTCCTGATAAGCATGGAAACGCAGCCACTTTTTGTTAGTCTGCGTTATTTCCATCCAGCCCCTGATAGCTCCCATTCCATGCATAAAATTATTCCAGGTACAGGTCACCACACCCCTCCCAGGGTGCAATCGCTTAAACCACTGAACAATAGCCAAATGGGAGTTGCCTGCCATGCCTATGCTCCCATTACACCACTCCCGTGTGGCCAAATCCTCTATAGCATCGTATCCATCTTCTGCCTCCTGGGTCCCATGATCGCCATCTGGCCCTCTGAGTCAAAGGCACCTCGCGAGTCAATATTTACAAGCGCATAGCCATGGTCTACCCACTCTGCAGGATCAAGGCCCTCAGATTTCTCAAGCCCGCTCAATGTTCCCGGTGTAATTCCGAGGTTTCACGGAGTCGGAGTGATTAATTTCAGGCAGTCTATGCCGTTGAATTTCTTCCCAAAGGGGCTCCAGGAAAGTACTATTGGGACCTTTATGCTCACTTTTGACGGTCGGTAAATATCAGCGTAGAGCCTGATGCCGTCTCTCATTGTGATCGAGACATCGTGCGCGACCAGGATATCGCATGGTAAGGCCCGCGCTCCGAAAGGCTTTTCTCCCTTGCGCAAAACCTCAGATCGTGGATTGAAGCCTTGATAGCCCCCATGGCCTATCTCCGGTGGGCGCAATGTCTCGCTTGGGGTTGCAAAACTGTTCGTCATCTTTCGATTGACGGGGAATATTTGTTACTAAAGAGATCTTGTGAACCTCTCTCATACTTCAGTGCTTTTTGATACTTTGTTGGATTTCCTCCTCTCCCTTCGGTTCGCTTTGTTGCAAAATATCTCGCTTCGGGTCGGCCCACTAACGCATGACAGCAACAGCGGGTGCAATTCTTTATGGAACCCCACTGTACTGTAATGTCCGAATTTGGGGGCCTTTCAAATTAATGGCCCCGGGGGCCAAGCGCAAGGCATTTCCTTGGGGGCCAATTGGGCTGTGTTCAAGTTCAAGTTTCATTTCCTGGATTACTGATGCCTAAAACCTCGATATTCGACTTTCATAATCCGCGTCAAGTACACCAAGACTTCTCACCACTATCTCGCGTTCAATAAAGCAACTTGAACGTATTGCCTATCCGATGGACCGAACGTCAGACTCTGAAATTGCGCTCGAGTCGAACGACCGTAGCGATAAACTCCCGTTGTTTGACGATGTGATCAATAAGTCATCCTCCAGCCCACTCAGAACTTCGCTTTCTGGTGACCACCAAAGCAAAACGAAACCACACCTTCCCTTCTACGTGAATAATACTATTGCCGAAGATCCGCAAGCGCTATATGATCTCATTCGCGAGCAAGCCTGCCTCCCACCACGGCCGTTTCTTACGATCAGGGGGCGCAAGGGGTTCTCAACAGATTTAAATTTCACGATTGACTTAACGCTTACGGTACTCCGGCTTAAAGCGAATGACGGCGAGTGGAACGAGCTTAAGGTTGTTCAGGATGGGGACGGGGTAGAGGCTTTTCGCGGCGGTCGGTGCATGTCGCTGGAATGGGAACACGCTTCCCGCCTTGAAGGGCTTCGCATAGAAAGGGATTCAGGAAATGGAGATAGGGAGCTGGAAGATCAAAGCCTTCTAGGGATGAATGGGAATCGCTTAGATGGAGAGGGCTCTTCTCTTATGGCCTGGTGTGAGCGGTTCTGTCGTGATCCTGCTGGAATTAAGACATTCACGTTGCAACGAGATTTGTCGGGATTCGATCACGAATCTGTACGGTCTGAGGTCGCCTGGTACCTGAGGTCAATTGACTACGACGGGCAAATATTTGTGACGTTTAAAATCTGGAACAAATCTCTCAAGGTATATTCGCCACGCTGCCAGTGGTATAGACATGTACGGGAAAGCAGGTCTTTTGAAGCGTTGATGTATATCGCACAGCTATGGATCGTTCTATCGCCTTTGTTCACCTACTTGGAAGGGCGCTATGGGGTTGTACGTTCAGTCTGGCGGTCATCACGGACAGTCAAAGATACTGTAGCCCCGTCCGGAGTTAGCAGAATCTTTGCACATGGCCGAAATGAAGCACAGATAGTGGACTTATGGTCCACTGCTATCGCTCAGGCAGTTAAGGATCGAGAGAACTCCGGCAGGATTCTCAGATTGGAATACCTTGAAACTCTCCAGGAGCGCACACAGGAGCGTATGGCACATGTTGGGCTATTCTTACCGGAGCAGAATACGGTAGGTAGCTCGGGGTCTGGAACAGCACAGGCTGGTTCTTCTAATCTCCCTTGGGAAGTGGGAGAAAATACCAACACTGCGGGCTCCAAATAAATGCATTTCTATACTGTCCGCATTGGTACTGTAGAAGGGAACTTTGGGTTTTGAGCGCAGAAAAGCTTTTGAGATTCTTAAAGAGGCAATCAGAACGACGAGTGAAAGACAGGAGAGTTTTAAAATCAAATGATACTTCAAGAAGTTTATGATGCTTCTTAACCCCGCATTTTAAAGTAAAAATACTTGATCCCTATACTTTTCTTGTGAGCCAAATCAATCTAGATTCCATTGATTTATATCGTGTCTGCTGAGAAATTCCCTGTGTCGAACTTAAAGGAATTGATTAAAATACTTAACAAGGAAACAGAGGATCAAGGAGTGATAATCCATAAGCTAAATTGAGCTTGCTGAATCGGAACTCTTGTATAGCCACAGCGCAATTTCTAAATGCTTTGTTTGTCACTGGTTACATATCAGGATGAGATGGTGGTCTTTTTGTGGGATGAGTTTCGCTTTCTTGTGACTATTAATAGCATCGGCAGAGCGCTCGCTTCGGTTGGGTGGTCTGAGAAAGCTGCAAGGCGGATGGCGAGAGGACGGAACACTGAACTTCAGGACTTCTATCTTCACACCATCTCCTCTTTCCGATCCTATCACCTGGTGTATATGGATGAGTCGGGCTGTGATAAACAAGCGGGTTTTAGACGGACGGGGTGGTCTCCAATAGGAGTGACACCCGGGCAGATTTCTCAATTTCACCGCAGGCAGCGTTACCAGGTACACACACACACAATTCATTAACGCCCGGCGGCGAAGCCGAAAGGGCAACTGTTACAGCGATATTCGAATTGGCTTCCATATTCCTACCGGCCCTCGGTACGGAAGTGACCTCATCATTTGGGTCATGAGTCGTCGCAATCACGGAGAATTCAAACCAGAGTACAGGTTTCTCCTTCTAGCAGTGCCATCGATTACTGGAGTCGTCAGCGCGATAATATATGGGCAAGCAGGATCTTTCCCACAGAAGTGGCACTGGAGTGCAATCCTCATACCATACCACGGGGCTTTCTTCAGTTTCCTTATAGCGAATATCGTCAGCATCACATAAGCAAGTGATAGCTTTCCATTACGATCCGCTTCACTACTTGTCGTGATTTGTGCAGGCCGAGGACTCGTCGGGTTTGGTCTCAGCTACTCGGTTCTTCCAAGCATCCAAGCAATTGGGTACCATGGCTCCATGAATGTCCAGGCGGTCATTTGCGCAGTCCTTGCTGCGATTGCGCCCCCCATGTACCTTTTTGGTCCTTTAATCAGGCCATTTGCACGGAAGCATTTCAGAATGGATCAGCCATAAAAGGTGGTGTCAAACGGATTTTGATATTATACCAAATTGTTTGGCTCCTACAGCCGTCGTTGTTTAAGGTATCATGGAGGTACCTCCGTCTTCTTCTCCCATTGGGTCCTTTTTCTCAACAGTACTCTCTATTCAGGCTATATTCCACATCCATTGAGCCTTGCTAATTATCTCCCACCTATCGAGTTACTCGATCTGGCTACCCTTACATGGATGGAGTCAACTTGATGAGCAGCAGTTATCCCATTCACATCTGCTGGGGCAGCCGAGACTAGCTGAGCAAGAGCGAAGAAAGAACAAAGATTATTGACAAGCTTCATTGTATAGGAATGGCCCTCGAAAGTTTGAAGTTGTTTGGGATGCTTCTTAATATTCTTTCAATCAGACAGGTTCTTTCGCTCTTTATATATATTTTTCAAGCTCCCAAATACACTGACAACAGTCTTATCATGCTCAATCGTTGGATTTATTCCCGGTCGATTGTCTGAGTCGGGGCCTAGCTCCAGTTTCAAGGCCGAAATATGCCTCATCATGGTGTGCGGAGTAAATGTTTTTTCTCAACACGCGGTGTTCATTCCATATATGGTCTTACTACTGCAGATAATCTCCTCTAATGGAGCCTCAAATTCGTCACCTAACTACAAAGAGAAGTATACACGATAGGATTACAGGGCCCGGTGCTAAGCTCTCTGCAAGAAGAGTTAGAAAATCCGCCTCATGGTGGTATTTTTTGCGGCCGTATAGATGCCAAGAGCTCCGCTGGAACCATAGGACGCAGCAATTTCCGGGATACTAGTACTTAGTCCTAACAAAGTAATTGTCCAAGGTATCCCTGTTCAAGATACCTTGGAAGCGAGACTCAAATACGCGAGAATATAGCTACATATCAACGCATTCGCACTCGCACTCTCACTCGCCCGGTAAGTTCGATTTCAATACGACTAGTACTACTTGTATTGAAATCGAACTTTAGTAGTACCATAGCCAAAGATTGGATGTGCCTGACTCGTAGATCTTGATGATGCCGCTGTCATATGCATAAACTATCGCAGATCTGTAGATTACCCTGTATCTAGCCCAAATATGAGTCGGCTCGGATGGGCTCCACGCGCATAGGGTCCAAATCATACGCTAGTCTGGTTAGGTATATTGGCTTCTCGGTTGAAGGCTCGCCCGTGGCGCTTGCCACTGGCCACAGGCTGGGTGTAACATACCGGGATATGCATTTGTCGCAGGGACCCACGGCAGACCCTGCAAGGACCCTGATCACGGGTCGCATAGAGGAGGGGCCCGCGGGTCCCATTTTACGCCAAGAATTAGACTGCCGACTAGTATGGAATGAAATTAATGGAAGGAATTTTCCCAGGAGTGAGTTATTCTTGGATAGTGGATTGATGTTGAGAGAACAACGTTCTTAGTGTACATAAGAAATTGACTTGTGCACCTGAAATATTTGGGAGTTTAGTCTTGAAAGGTCGAGTGAATTTTGTCAAAATTTCGAAGGTTTAAGTGGAGCCTGTTAATACTAAAAAGCTCATACTAGTACTCCGTACTAGTAGTTATAATTTTCGGGAACGTCGGGCATATCCGAGACATCCAAGATTGACGAACTCATCTATTAATCGATTGCAACACAATCTTCCTAACTTGTGGGGCGTAGAAATAAATCATTTTAGGCTACAGGATTTACGCACCACTTGGTACTACTCTGCACTCCGAGACTGAGTATAGAGTACCAGTACGGTTGTTGGTAACTTGAATGTCTGTTTCATACATAGTTCCCGATAAAAAGAGGGACGGGGCTATGCACACCGCCCCGTCCTAGAGAAGGCCTAGCAGGAACCAAACCAGATAATCTTGTACTTTTAGCATCACCTATAGCCCCAGCGAACCTAACTACCTCCCAATGGCCACGGAGCTCTGAGACCTATCCTTTCCACTGTTTTCAACACTTTGCTCTCCACAAACTTTGGGCCCCATCTCCTTATCCAATTGAATCAACCGACAGGTCCACTGTTTGGCAATCCTCTTGCTGGTGAATATGGCAAAAGAGGACCCCCCGAGACCCGGAATCAACGTATGCTCGCAGCCATGAAGAGGAGCCTATTTTCCAAAATCGCCTTGTTGGCATCGCAGACGCCTATCCCGACAACCTCATTGTCAAATGGCTTGTCATGCCATTTGCCCGATACCCTTTCAAGTGAGACTTACATTTTTAGTCTCTCAACGAGCATCAAGCTAACTAGATCAGATCCACTCTAGCGACCATGGTATTGCTTTTTGGCCCGCTTATTACATGCAACCTTCACAATGAGGATACCACAGTTTGCGACGGAAGATTTCTAAAGATGTCATTCTACGGGGGATGTATTTTCATGATATTAATTTGTTACACGGGTTACCTTCGCAGGAGGCTCGCGAAAGAGAGGCGGTTGGCGCAGCTGGCTTAAGCCCGTAATGGCTTCAAAGGTTTGCAGCAATTCTATCTACTAATGGGATTTCTCTACCAACCGATGCAATCGTCCCTGTGAAAGCTCTCTGCGGACTTTCTATAGACCACTAGCTAGTAGCAATATCTTAGTATTACCTGGGTAGTGGTATAAATCTAGGCTCGACAATACTTCGAAATGCTGTTCCCCTACAGTAGGATAGTTGGGTGATACCACTCTAGGGCTGGTTCCTTCAAGATCTTAAACCGTGAAGCTTTTCATCTTTAGAAATATACTACCAGTACCTGCCTACATAGTAGGTAGTTACCCTATATTACTACCTGGCTAGGATCGTCGATTTCCTCCCTAATGCTTTGTGTAATGGGGATTACGCTCTCAACATCAGGATCATGTGATCAGAGCCTCAGCAACAAGGTGTCTGCTTACAGGGAGATATTTAGTTCGCGCGATAGCATTCTGGGAACACACACCTGTCAAAGGTCACAACTTGGAATGCGGTCTTTTTCTTTCCTGCGACGGTAGCGGTATCGGTGTACTGCCCATGAAGGATCGGATGCTTCAGGAGGTTTTATCTCAGTAGTAATCGCCTTGCCTACTCGTCTTAACACTGCGTGTGTGGTGGTTTTGTCTCTCTGCGATCGACCCGTCTGCTTGACAGACAGCCAGCGAGCATTCCCATCTTTCACTGGGTAATATGGGATATTTTCTGTACTTACCAGGAGAATGTGAGTTTTTAATATAGTTCTAAAATTATAACCAAGAAAAATATAGTTGCTAAAGCTACTGGTGGGGAGCTACCATAGTGTATTTCTATATAGCAGTAGGCTACCGCTACAATAATCAGCTACTAATACTATGATAATTTCTAATTTTATAACCTACAATACGTTGTAATACTTAAAGATCGAGGGCAAAACAAAGCGTTATTGCATGCAATTATGTCGCAATGCCAAAATGTCGAGGGCAGAACAACGCGTTGCAATACCAAAACACCAAGGATAAGATAACGTACCTTACTGAACCTTGGAAGCTTAAGGTTAATTTTGAAGAAGGGAAGAAGAAAGGAAGAAAGTTAATGTTAGTAAAGATATATTTGCGCGTGTTCTTGCCATTTTTGCTAATACCTAGGTACCTAGTAAATCTTTTTAAGGTTATTTGCTACGATTCTAGACTGTAGTAGAGATCTACTATTGCAGTAGTAGTTTATTATTTCCACTGTTTTATTTTATCATACTATATAGTCATTGTATTACTACAATTTTCGAACTTAATATACAGTGGCGTTGCAGTAGTTTGAAAGACCCTCTCCTACCGCCTATTCCCACCACCCACTATATTAGTACACCACCCCCTATTTTACTACGCGACGTACGTAGTATATAGCATATCATACACATTCCACGCGTTATATTGTGGTATTTAGGGGCTTAGAATACCTCCAATTCGTCGTACTACACAGCAGTCAATTCAAGATCAATTTGATACACCAGGACAGCATCCGAATATTGCACAGCGCTTACGCCGTACTCAATTAGTACCATATAAAAGTGTTCGAATCGTTAAATTAAAAGCTATTGGATAGTCCTATTCTGAGATTTAAGAGTATTATCCTTATATTCCAATTGGAACTATTAAAACTACAATTACCCAGTTATCTAAATAAGGCCCAACTTAGGCTATATTACCTTGCTCTGGCTAGCCTAAAAAGCTTAATAAAGCTAATTAACTAAAGATACTTTAGATGATTAAAAAGAAACTATGTATTAAATATAAAGCTCTTCTAATATTAGTCAATTTAAAATATAATCGAACTACTATCTAATAGCTTCTTTAGAAAGAAGATAAGAGAAAATAGCTCTTTCTTCAATAACCTAGGTTAACTAAGTAACAAGCTCATCAACACTTAGCTTAGGCACAATAAGTCTAAGACTATAACTCTAAAAAGTAGAAGAAGATCTTCTAGTCTGATAAAATAATAATTAAAAGAGAAAAAGGAGGACGTCGAGAGTAGACTTTTATACTACAAAACCGCCAAATTCTACAATAAGATATTGAAATATACCTATACTATCTAAGTATTAAACAGATATTTTAGGCTGCTTTTTTAGATACTAGTCGTTGATCTGGACTTATTTCTACTCTTTAGAGATCTAAGGTCCCCTAATAGAGAGGTTAATCGGTTTGTTATCTTAGAGTTATACTAACATATACTTCTAACTTTATTGAATAGAGTTAAGAGTGCTATTTTTCAATAAGATAATACCTCAGTTCATACTACATATATTGTCCGGGATTAGATTAATGATTAGGAATATAAGGTTATGTATTGGCCTCCTTATTCTCCAGATCTAAGTCCAATTGAAAATCTTTGGCCATTGCTTAAAGCAAAGATATACGAATTACATCCTGAGATTTGAGGTATACCGGATAACGATGAAACTTTACAGTTTATTATTAGCGTGGCGCAGGTGGCATAGTCGCAGATTGATATTCAGATACTAGAGAATTTAGCTGTTACAATGCCACATCGTGTAGCAGAGTTGCTTGCTAATGATGGCCGGTATACTAATTATTAGTTGAATATGAGATTATTGATCTACTATTTTGACGATGCGCCCGAGGTTTTGGTGTGGCAGAAAAAGTGGCAGAAAAATAGGGGGGGGTTTCAAACTACTGCACCGCCACGGTAGTAGAGCTTTACTAGTAGTAGTAGCGCCGCAGTCGCGGCGCCGAGGTCCAATGCGAGCCTTCCAACCCTGGATGATCCATGCTCAAACTGCATCCAATTTCAAGTTGCTAGGGTGATTTACCATTGTATTTTACCTAGTATATCTAAGTAGTAGGAAAGCAGAGACCTTCCAAGATTCGTTGAACAACTCATCCATTTGCCAAATTTGGACTAATTCCCCTCTGAACACCAACAATTTGTTTTTATTCATGATCCATGGATATGATCCAGGCGCGTCTTCCACAATCGCGTCGTTCCCGGGGTCAATACAACACAGTTGTCTCCACGGAGTGTTCAAGGTTCGAATGGGCCTCGAAGTTTCAAGAACCCTGCCGAATTCCATCCTCCATTAAAAGGCACCGCCAAATCTCGAGAATGGCTACTCTCATTCCCGAGGTTATCGCTATGCCGCCGAATTCTGCTTCGACAAGGAACAAGCCAACGCCATTATTCGAACCACCGCCTACCACCACAAAGAATACTGCCTGTCCGTGACCTGGTACTCGCATCGGGAACACAATGAGATTCTTCCGTCAATATCAACAACCTTCCAGCGGACCTCGAAGGCTAGATTTAGCTCCCTTGATCGCCTACCCCTCTAGCTCTTGTCTGAGATCCTCTGCCGTCTGGATATTTATATTTTGTTCAAATTTCGACAGATCAATCTCAAGTCAAGACATGTGGTAGACTCCCTTGACCAGTATCGTAGAGTTTTCTCGCACAGTCTGAGCCTTTTCTGGGCCCTGTTACGAACAATAATCGCCATCAATGTCACTCTACTCGACCTCTTCAGGGAATTATGTACGAACACATGCACACTCTGCTGCGTATTTGACGATTTTATATCCATGAATTAATACTAAATTGGACGCGATGCTGTTTCGAATGCATCCAGGAGTGCCCGCAGACACAAGTGCGAACCTTTGCCTCAGTCCGAAAGCAATTGCACAGAGGCAAAGCCGAATCAGGTCAAGGATATACTCGATGGATTCATCTGTGCATACCTAGGTAATCCCCAGGTCACGATCGTGTCTCTTCACCGGGCTATTTTAGTTTGCAGTCGCCGATCGCACGCACTTCCGCAAGTACACTGTACAGCCAGGGAGCTCTGATCGAAGCCAAAAGTTCGACTTCACGGGGCCATGTGCACTCCCCTATTGAGATAAAATAAACTAGCGTCGTTGAACACGGAGTTTCATGTGCGGGGTGTCAACTTGCTATTGAAAAAGATATTATCGGCACCGGGGGTACAAAAGGGAGCATGACTCTCGAGACAAAATGTAGGCGCAAGCCAACTTCCTGGCCTGTCACCCGAACTACCTGTGTCTGCTCCGACAGGATTACATTCTAAGAAGAGAATGACGATCAAATGGATTCGGCTTGCAAATTTATTGCAGCCATACCGAATAGTGAAAAAGAAAAGCCCAGAAGCAAAACTATCATCCCAACTTACAAGAAATGATCATTTCATTCCCTACCTGTTGCAAAACTTGGGAAATGCCGACCTACCACAAGGTCAAGTTCTCCGAGTGAGACAGGTTTCACAAGGTATTCATCAGCGCCAACTTCTTCCGCTGCCCTTCTGTCTGTCGAGCTATCTTGGCCAGTCATAACGAATAGGCAGCTTTTTGTCCACTTATTCCGCAGTTCCAGCGACCTTATCTGGCGAGTGGCTTCGATGCCCCCACAGACAGGCATCTGAAGATCCATAAAGATCAGCTGGATATCAGAAATTTCGCCGTTGGGCCCATCACATTGCTGATGAGAAAATGTTTGAACCGCCTGTAGCCCATCGGCTGCTGAAACAAATGGTAAACCCCGCTTTTGGCAGTACTTCTCCATAACTCGAACATTGACCGCATTATCATCGACAATCAAAACCTGGGGCCGAGAGGAAGTCCGAAAAAACGGGGTCGCTGTTAATGATTCTAGAGGGGGGTGAAAGTTGTTTGTGTAATGCTTGTGATATGGGGTTTTCGGGACGATGATTCCCAGGACTAAACGGATCGATATTTTCGTTCTTGACGATGCATTCCACTTCGGGGCTTGGGGTTCCGGAGATAGATTCATCACTCGCAAGCAGTTCTGGTGAACATGGCTGGCAGGTTCTAATTGTCGCATACGTCTGTGCCTTTGCTTGTGCCTGCACGAGGGCTGAAAGGATCTTCGACGTCATGAAATGCCCACTTAAATATATAACATCGCTCTGTGTCTCATCAAAAGTACTCCGGTCGTGCTGCTTTGGAAGAAGGCAAATAGCGACTTGACCCGTGGGAATTTGCGCAACACGCGCCTCGTGCTTCTCATTGTCTGAAGCATCTTCGAAGATTACTAAAGAGCCCTGAATACTCTCTGACCTAGTGAGTCCATTCCGTACGAGATATGATGCGAAATGATCACTTGGCAGGGTGTCATCGGATCCAAATTTCATTGTGAAAAAGTCCCGGGGCAGGTTGCCAAAGTTTTTAGGAGAAGGTAGAGAGCCCCACTCAACGTCGTGAAATGTCGCTCTGAAAAGGGATCCGCGATCAACTTCTGACGAGACGAGATCGATAGAGCCATTGATGAGCAATGCAAATTTAGACGCCAGTGTAAGGCCTAGTCCAGCGCCTGTTGAATGCAGATCAACCTTTTCATACTGTTCGAAGATGCGTTTTTGGTGGTCAGGGTGAATGCCCTGACCTGTGTCTTCAATATCAATTATCAGCTGCCTCTTCTCCGTATCTGCTGATGCCATAATTGATACAACACCAGCAGGCGTGTGACGAACTGCGTTGATAATCAGTGGAAGTAAAGTGTCTCGGAGAACCATCAGGTCAGTGTTAAAAGTAACATGGCTTTGTGAAAGGTTATGGGTGAAGAATACTGAAGCCGTGCACCGAGCATCTCCCGCAGTCAATTTGTTGAACTCATTTTCGAGCTCAGTCTCCAGATCGTCAAACGTATACAAAGAATATTGCCGTTCTGCCATGGCAATGTCAGACCACTTGTTGAGGGATATCAAGTTGTTGATGACCGAGGTCAAATCTCGACCCGCCGTCTCGATCATGTTGAGATAAGTAAAAGGACCTATGCAATTGGACGCTGGTAGGTTTTGCTCAATTGCGAGAGTTTGTGGAAGACTTTTGCTGGAATTTTGCGCCAGTAGTTCCTCAGTTAGAAGTTCCACAGACCCAAGAATTCCGTGGATTGGTGTTCGTAGTTGATGTGAAAATGCTCGAAGGAATTTCTCCTTTGCTTTCATAGCCTCTTCTAAGAGCCGGGTGTGCCAGATCTGTGAGATAAGTTCCGCACATCCTTGAATAAACCATAAATCGACATCATCAAACACGATATGGAAGTCGTTGGATGCCACAACGAGTAGAGAGGGACCCGATAGACTTTCACAGGAGCATGCAAGAATACGAACCGGTCGACTGCGCGGGAGCTCCAGGTGATTTGATGTTTCAATGAGACTGTCAAGATATTCGGCGTCTTCCCATAGGCCTTCTTCAAGGTCACCCACTGAGATTGAATAGCCCCCATCAAACTCAACACGAGCTGTTCTTGACGGATGGAGGCGAACGATGGCATCCACGTACACAGATTTCAATATTTCCATAACTGGCTCAGTAGAGCCCTGGTCATGTCCTTTCGTCCGGGCATCGGCAATAAGTTCGGTCATTCGATGGCGCTCTCGTTGTCGTTTCGCTCTCACACATTGAGCAAGGTCAGAGACTACCCAATCCGCCAGGTGTACAAGCGCCTGATGTTGTGCCTTTGTCAAAGGTTTCTCACTCTTATTTGATGCCACACAGAGTGATCCAAGACATACACCATCACCAGACTCTGTTTGTATGCGAAGGGGTACACCGGCGTAGGCTTCCAGTCCCCCACTCTCACGGTAGGGACAATCCCGAAATCTCCAGTCCTCCATAAGGCTTGGTAGAAGAAATACTTTCTAAAAAAATGCTCAGCATACTTTCCATTCTCTGGTGAACTTCAACACCTACGCCAGGGGGTTTGGTGACTGTGTGGGCGCACAGTGTTTCGCCACGTGGGAGGATGCCCAGCTCGAGTCCTACGGTCGCCAGTCGTATATAGACATTGATATCAAGGATACCAATGACTGCGTATTTCCATCCCGTGGATTCTTGGGCAAGATGCGCTTTCTCTTGAAGGCCAGAAAGAAGCTCTTTCTCTTTCACAACATCACGCGTATAATACCAGACAACGGCAAGTCGTAGTCTTTCGTTTTCGGAAAGTGATGCGCGTAAGTATCGGTCGGTGAGGCAAGGGGGCTTCGCCGGAACGATGGAAGGTTCATAAGCTTCTGACTCGGGGAAAAGCGCATTGTGGAGATCTGGGGACCATGCTTTGATGGGATGATCGACATTTTGCAGATCGTAGGTTGGGCCAACGACCTCAGGGTGAGAAGACGGAGGCGGATATTTCGATCTCAATATAGCCGCGTCCACCTTAGGGAAAAAAGTCGTTCCTGACTTTCTGCATGTCATCTTTTCCCCTCACGGAAATTGGAGAATCTGTCAATTTTGAGCAACTGTCGTTGGGCGCGAAAACCTGTTTTCCACAAGGACAACAGCACGTGATGTGGGATCCCCGCTAAACTTGGAATCTTTTGTGGCGTTGTATATTTCTGCGCAAAATTTCATGGTTTGTTCTAGGCCCAGGCGGAGACAGCTAGTGTAGGGTTAAAGTATCCGACCTGACAGCTTGAAAGTCTAACCAGCTCGGCTGCGGCTCTCCAGACCCTCGGCGAACCCGCTTTTGTATCCCCGCCTATAAATCTACAAGCATGTTATCCACTAATTAACATGAAGAGACATTGATATATCAATCTTTTGTGATTCTATGGAAAGAAATCTGATGTTGTTTGTGGTCATAGCTTAGAATTGGAGAAATTGGCCAAGCGCAACCTGAGCAGATGCCGGCAGCAGCTGACGGGCGATGGTCGCCACCTGGGCAGTATTTATGAAATATCATAAATCGTGATTCACCGCTGATTTGAATCCTGGGTACTAGAATTGAGTCTGGTCGGCTTTAGTGACCCTGAGTTCTCATAGAAATATGCCACCTCCTTTTCGTCAATCACTGACACGCTCGCTCATGGCTATTTCACATTTTTCCTCGTGGCCGAATCGTGTTTTCTCATCTTGATTACCGAGCCCATCATGTCCGGGGTGCTGCTTGGCATATCTAACAGTCGCCCAAATAGATGGGCTTTCCCGGAATATTAAGTCAATCTCTTCGAGGGTACGTCCCATGGTCTAGAGCGGGTTAGTTCGTGATCGTAGTAATGGTTTATTACTACTCACCTCCGGATATAGGAAATATATGGATAGGGGGATGCAGAATCCAATGCAAGTAAAAACAATATAATACTTGTACCCGATAGTGTCGATTGCGACCGGTGTTATCATAGTAACCACAAAGTTCCTTTACTCCAATTAGCTTCGAGTAACGTAGGAAAGTGGTTGAATACATACCAAAGCCAATGATTGGCAGTTGATATGCTCGACATAGCAACGCGCAGCCGAGTGGGAGCAACTTCCGTGCAGTAAAGGAAATTAGCCCCTAGAAATCCAATTGGAATGAAAAAATTGAATAGAAATACGAAAAGAACACTGAATATTTGGGCGGCATAGTTCGAGCTGGGAAAGGAGGTTGCGACGGCCAGGCCTAACATACAGGTAGCCATGCCGGTGCCGCTTACCATCAATGCAAATCGACGGCCCAATCTGTCGATAGTAAAGAAGGAGACAAAGCAAGAAAGGAACTTCCAGGTCAGGACACCACCAGAAAGAAGACGGGACGTCTGTGCATCAAGGGACAATCCTGATTCAAATATTGTTGTGGAATATACTGATATCAGATTGCCACCAGACATTTGTTGGAAGAACTGCAATAAGATGCATATGCCGAAACGATATAGCAGGCGGTCTTCTCCCATTGTGAGTAGATCTTTGAGGGATGTTGCACTATTGGCTGTCTCTTCAAGAGAGCTCTCGATTCCTGCAAGCTCTGCCGTGATGGTGGGCGCATCTTCATTGGCATCTCTGAACGAAGCAAGGGATAGCCTTGCCTCTTCGGTGCGACCTTGTCGAGCAAGCCACCGAGGAGACTCAGGTAGGAAGATGATTGAAATTATTAGAACAATTTCAAAGACAATGGGGATTGCTGTAGGAGCGCGCCAGGTCACCGGGCCCAATTTGAACTGATAAAAGCCAAGGTTGATCCAAGCTTGCAACATGTACCCGAGGGCAATGAAAAGCCCATCCAATACAACATGCTTTCCCCGATTTTTTGAGCTTGCGCATTCACTCTGCCAAGTTGGAACCGTACCACTTAGCATGCCAATGCCAACTCCGAGAATTGTTCGACCTATAATCATCTGGGCCAGTTGGAAAGCGGATGCTTCTACCACCTGACCGATCAAAGCCAGAAGACCACCCATGAATATGACTGGGCGTCGACCGAATTTATCCGCAGTGTATGAGCAGGAGAGACAGCCTGGTAGCGCACCCAGTGTGAATGTTGCAATAACAACCCCTTGGATTGTTGCATTGTGGCTCTTCTGGACCCCGGTCGTGTTGATTGTGTCGATTTCAGGAAAGTGTTTGACCCAGTCGGACAATGATGTGAGACTTCCAAGTCCAGATTGATTATATCCAAATAGGACGTAAGCCGGACAAACAACTGTAAGAATTTGAGCGAGAGACAAAGCTTGACCTCGCAAGTTCCAGAATCTTTTGGCCATTTCCGAGAACGAATTCTGGAAATGATCAGAGCTTTTAACGACGCTGACAGTAGTCCCAAATCCCAAGAGAACAGGGTCTTTGCATTGCTTAAGAATCTGGGGCCCCAGACTCAAAATATTAAATATTCATGGAGCTGTCTTGGCGTGCAGGATCCGGGGTACATAAGTCTCGCCGGAATAGAGACCTGGCCCACAGCGCCATCTCGGAATAGAGGGCTTATCCCGAAGCTGATTTGAAAACATGCTTTTGACCGCCGGGGTTCATTCGGCTTCCGACCGATAAAGGCCTGCCCAGAGATGATCGTCAATTTGAGTGACGGAAGCTTAAGATCATGCAAGCAGCGAGTTATGGTCAAGTGCGAGGGTTGGCCAGAGATATCTTTGAGAGAGTGAGGCAGCAGCTGGAACGAATGCAATATTTTGTGCCTGGGGCATCGAAGCCTCGACATGAAGCATCGGAACGAGTACAAAAAGGTACTTTTCTATACTTATGATTCGAAAGCATTTTTTGCCTTCAACCTTCTAGAGATCGACCTGGGTGCCCGCATTTAGATGCCAGCTGGCACGCCATCCTTCCCGCGGATCGTCGCGCCCAGCACATGTATTGTTGAGGGTGCCTGGGTGGCACCTGTGCCTCAGGCAGTCAAGAGCGCGAGCCTGCCATGTCTATATAGCTTCTCTCTCTCTTTCATCCATATCACCATCGATCTTCCCCCATTTCTGGTCTATCCCAGTAGCACACCCCCGATATGTACGGATTGAAGAAAGCAGCCATTCTCTAAAATGCGATTGCCAGAGGTCAACACCTTGAAGAGAGATAACATACCGTCATTGAAGAGGTCGTGCGGATATCGGAAACCAGCTCAATGGCGCAGTTGCGGCTCGCTCATCGAGAGATCAACTGCGATTGAAGCGTCTTCATGAAGCTCTAGCTGACGGCGATCCACAATCATTCAACAAAGAACACATTCAGTCCCTGAAATAATACAGATATTAATTTCAAAAGTAATCGCAATCTTGATCTCGATTCCCATTCACTCTGTTGTACTTTGTATACTTTGTACACAAGTTGCTGCATTTCCGATGTTTACCCGAAATCCGGGGTGAATGTAGTTGTAGTTGAGTGTGGGGAAGTGACAGTTTCCATCGTTCCTTCCTTTTCTCATTTTGCTGCATCTCAAATGTCAAGAGTGGAAAGTGCATCTTGCATCTTTGTTTACTTTCTCACTCGCAACTTCATGTTGTAGCAACCACCGGCCGTAGATAAAACCTTCCTCCTTTGTTGTTGCTCTTCTTCTTCCTCTTCTCTTCGTCACCGTTCTGGTTTCTTTGGTTCTTGCTCGTGCTTCTGCTATTGCTCTAACTACTTGATATTCTTTCTTCTCTTGTGCTTTGTTTCTCGGTGTTCACGTCGAGATGCTCTCGGACATTTTCACCAGATTCCGCAGTTTTGCTGCGTCGTGGCTCTGCCTCCCTTCGTATTGGTACCCAGCGATCATTTCAGTTCAGTCCTCCGGCCTGTCAGAAATTGCGAACCCTTTCCCTCGTCCCCGGTGTGAAGTCTTTTCTCCCCCGTCCAAGTGTCAATCTGTTCAGCTTCTACCTTGTGTCACTCCTCATCCTATGGCTCTCAATCTAGGTCACAGGATTGATCCGCGGGTTCGACGTGCCACTTCTCAGGTAGGACGCTGTGCTGCTGCGTCCCAACACGCTCAGCGTGGGGTCTTCAGTGATCTGGCTGACGGGTGGGTGCACTTTGGTGGCTTGAGCTGCAGCTTGGGCTTCCTTATTGCTCTCGCTGCGTCACTCGTCATTATCGGTTTTGCCTTTGTCTTTTCGAGAGATACCTTCCTCAATCACCTCCGGGTGGTTTGGGCTGATATTCTTTTCGAATCGTTTGAGGGAATGCTGGACGACATGGCCTACTCACGGGTTGATGCTTTGCTCGAGGATTTGTTGGCGTGTTGAGTGGTGACCTGTTCTTCTTCTTTTCATGTTTTGTTGCGTTTACCTTCGACCTGCCCCCCCCCCCCCAAAATACAAAGAAAAGGGCCCATTGCGTTGTTTTTTCTTTGCTTTTTTACCTTCTTGTTCTACGGTCGCCTTCGGGCCTCCGTCTGGTTCTACTGATCTACTCTTTCAGGCACGCGTTCTTTCATTCAATCCCTGGGGGTTCCTCCATCTCCGTTGAAACTGGTACACTTCTGACGGTCTGACAGGGGGGGTCGAACATTCTTTTGGCGACTGGCCAGTATGGAGGATGGTGGCTTGATTCTTTTTCAATCTTGGGGAGTTCTTCAATAGTGACAAAAACATGTTTCTTTGCTGACGGTCTGATAGCTGATTGAACTGCCGCTCTGTACTCGGTTAAGCCCCCCTCGGTCGACGCGCTTTCTCCCTCATGCCCGTTTGAAATGGTGGATAATGATGGGATCTCGGCGAGGCGAGCTGCTCCATAATGGCCAGGATCCATCGATCCTCTGTCTTTTCCAAGTTGTTGGACCGGAGGTGCGCATCCATGATGTTTGAGGATATGGTAGGAGTTCGGTGCTTTGTGTTGTGAATTTTGTATTTAAGTGCATCGGCAATCTCAGAGTTGACTTTTCTCCTCTCAGCCATATCTTGATCAATTCATTCATCAACTTGAACAACAGTACTTGCAACGGGAAGGCTCATATGCAGACTTGTACCATCACCTATCCCATACCACCACCATGCATCAACCCCAAGAAACTTTGATTCCTTCTGCCGACTTCTTGCGTCTACTTGGATGAGCAGCTCACGCACCAAATACCCCGATGTTTCATTCGTGATCGAGTCTCGGGGCGATCTCGCGTATCCGCAATCCAGCCATCCATGCGATGGCTCCAGGAAGCCAATTCCATACCACCTCGAATTGAAAAGAATCGGTCGCATTCATTGCACACTCGGCAATTCGTGTCGTAGTTTCGCAAAGTTGCCAAAGAGTTAACCTTGAAATTCGCCCGTTGGTAGAGCCCCAGCAGACAGGCTTCCGTCAGTAAACTCAATAGTCATCCCGTATACCTATGAGTAAGCTTCTCAACAGCTTCAAGGTCCTCATTTTCTTCATGAAAACCCCAATTTTCGGCAATTAGGGTATCAAGACTGGGCGTTTCTCGTCGGCTGTTGGCTATCGGGGCAAATTGAACTAAGAAATTCTCCAGTCTGAAGCAGCACTCACACGTAGCTCCAGGTGCTGCCATCAGGGATGGGCTTCTGATTGGGTAACAGAGCGAGCTTGAGTAGCAATAATCTGCTGTGGAGTGGTCCTCACGGTCATGATGATAGCAAAGGTTGTTTTGATTAAGAATAACAGCCTCATAAATTTAAACAACATTAGACTAGCGTTATTCCAGTCTTTCGAGTATTACCGTGTGACTTGGCAGCCTCGGTGTCCGTGTCAGCATTTGAGGCTTTACCTCTAGGGTCATTAAAGCCACAACAAAACTGCACAAGCTAGAAAACAGACCGGTCCAATCAAGGATTCTTCCAAGCGACATCATCAGTACCCGAGAGATTGGATAGACTACTTGATCAAATTAGCGACGGCCTATGATAGAAAGAGTCGCAGCATTATGATTGTGACTGCAGTTGCCGGGGCTAGACTAGGGCTAGCGTCAGATAGCCGGTTCTGTTCTAAACACTGAAATGCACGGTGTAGGTAGATCACGAATCTTTTCCTCAGGGTCTTGGGAGAATCTTGGGAAATAAAAGACGATATGTTTCAAGTTCGTATATGCATTCCGTCTTTGATTCGATGGGCATCCTCTTCAACAAGCCTCTTGTCACCTCATGCAGGATACTAGGCCAATAGAATCGTCATCCTGTGGTGATTTTTATGCAGTTAAGCGAATCTGGTGGGGCTGAGCCTCGTATTCCCAGCCCATCCCGAGGCTTTTCTCCCAGTCGGAAAGTCAGACTCGTACTAGTAACGATCTACCCATCGCCTCTTTTAGCCTCATTGCACCGCCTCACCATGCACTTGTCATGCGCCCGGGTGCAAGACATGGAGGATAGATAAATACACAACTCCATGTCGCGATTCCCAGGGTTGCCTAGTTTAACTGGATATCGTTTCAACTTAACCTCTGCATTCACCTTTTTTCCTATCCTGACGCCTAGTACGCAAGGAACACACAAGCTCCTACTTGAAGTGAGATCCTCGCGAGTGGCTTGCTGCCTTTGGTTGGCTCTTTTATCTTCAGCCTTTCCAGAGCAAGTAGTATGCCAGTTGCTTCTCGGTAACACCTCGGCTGGAACCAGTGTCGCAGAGAAACATGTCTACCACGCAGGTCGTCCAAGGGTTCAGTCTTACCAACCGGTGGCTCCTCTATGCGAGCATGATGCTCTCCCCTGCCCAATTTGCGGGCGGAATTGGGAGCAACATCCCCACCAACGTGGGATTCCTCGCCTACAACTGGTACACGCAAATTCAATGGTACCAAGCTGTCCAGGCGAAGGAACTCCACGCACTTTCGCTCTTGCCGATTCACTTTAACTTCATCTATGCGATCAGTTATCTTGGGGGGGGTTTCATCGGGAAATATCTTCCTGAGTGCATTCCTTTCGCTTGGCACTGTTGGAGTACTCATCCTCAACACCATCTCTGCGTGGGTTAGCTGGGCGACAAATCAACCGGAGGGATTTGGCGAATATCAATTCTTCTTCTTCGGGTGGAGAACTTTGAGTAAAGGATGGCATATCTTCACTCTACTGTGGCAGATTGGAGATTCATTCCTGGTCTTGAACGCTGCTCTCGCTGCCGGCTATCTTTGTACTGTTGGTAATATCAACTCTGAGGAGGTGAAGAAGATGCCGTGGTATCTCCACAAATATCCCGCGATCCCTCTGGGGGGCAATCGCAATGCTCCTTATCGGGTGGCCGTTGATTCTCTGGACAGAACTCATTGTCCAGAGAAATCACATCGAGTCGGAGACTGACATGGTTGCTGTTTGGCTATTTGTGGCCCAGATTGGGCTCTTTTTGATACCTAGCTGGTCCGATATTCGTCGGCTGACACGCCGCTCGGATTGATCTTCATTGTGCTTGAATGACGGGACTCTCAAGAGCACTTGGATATTTTGTACGCAATGGACGTGTTTACGGATGGTCTAATGTCTCTGTTTTTTTCTTGGGTTTGTTCTGGTGTTAGTTGGCTTTCAAATTCCGGATGATGAGGAAGAGGAAATTCTAAGTTACGAAATTAACATTCAACCTCGTACCCAAGGATGTATGCAGTCTGTCCATTACAGTACAGAGTATCGAAAATCAACTTTGACGGTCCAAAACAGTCTTTTTTGAAACATTTAGAGGTAAGACGAGCCCGTAAGCGACGAGATCTTAGTGGGACTCGATATAAACTCAGTATGACTAAGCTCTCGCGGGGCAATGTTGACTCACAGCAAAGGCAAACTCATCAAGGCAAACCTTCTTAATTTTTTTGTATTCTTGCGAATAACTCTGTTAAGGACCTCGGGAAACTACAGAGACACAGTTCAGTGCGAGCACAAATTTGATAGGTCTTGATCAACCAGTGCCATGTATGTTTCTACACCATGCTCAGCATCAGCCAACATTTGTGAAGCACTACGACAAGCCGTTACGAAAATCCAGTCATGCTCACACGTTTACTAATTTCTGCTGATAGCTTTTGTCTTGGGTCTGCACCGTTGCCAATATGTCGGGTGAAAGCTTGACTGTAGACTTTCAGTCAACCCGGGCAAAATCAATCCGAGTCTCACTGTTTTCATATGGTCACGCTAATGGACCAATCTTGAAACAACAAAAAGAGGCAACATGTCACAAATATTTGGCCTACAATATTCGACACTTACCCAATCCACCTCGCAATCTTCGAGCAAACTCAACTGGCTTATCTAGGCGTCTTCAGAAGGAGTTCCTTCGAAATGATAATGTCGAAGCATTCTTGCTCAAGGTCCAAGAGGAAGTTCTTGGCGCCGTCGAAAAGGGTTGCGATCAGCTACTACATTCAAGTGAAGCAGATGAAAACGAAAAGGCCCCGGGCATATTCGATGAGCGATATGACAAGAACGCTGATTCTAGCGAAGACGCTTCCTTGGAACACTCAGATATCGATGTGGCTGTGACAATATGCTGTGAGGAGGGCCGTCACCGGAGTGTTGCGTTTGTCGAGGAGTTGGCCCGAAGGCTGGCTATTTTCAAACATGAAGACCGCTTCTCTCGGTATTGGAAAATTACGATTGACGTGACACATCGTGATATTGGAGATCCTGAAGGATTGGGGCGGCCTGTGGGACAGCATAAGGTTCCAAATAAGACCCAAGCAAAGGCTCGACAACGGGAGCGGCATGAAAAGGGGAGCAGGCATACATCACACCCTCAATATGATGAGAATGGCTCCTAAGCGGTATTGCTACGAAGATAAAGAGAAATTCTGTTGTTTTAATTTGGAGGAAATTCGAAAATCAAACGATAAAACTCTCGATTCATAGCTAGAGGCTCAAAATCCCTAGCTCTACATGTATGCTACGCGGAATGGAATCCTTCAAAATATATCTCAATCGTCTTGCTAATTGTAAGTCACAGCCAGAATTACCCGTAATATAATTTGCCATAATTTACCATACTCTATCATAATATATCAAAATACTCCACTCGTACCCGTGGACTCTGCTGTTGTATACTTCCAAGTTCGTCTTGGCGGTGAAGGATGACGGCATGCCCCGCGTCCAAAAGGTTTCTGCCGTTTTTGACTTCCTTCCACTTCAACTTTTGACTTCACCTTGCAATTTCCCCCTCTTCACCTCCCCACCTCCCACTCCCTCCCAGAATATGACTGCCGGCGCTTCGTTCACTACAGACCCACTCGCTGTCTTCCCCCCGGAGATCGTTCTGCGCATCTTGGAATTCTCCCCCGTCTCCGCCCTCGCCGCCCTCACTACTACCTCCAAGGCCTGGCATCAGTTCATCGACTACACCCACCAAGAAGCTATCTACACCTCCGAATACAAGACATTTCGTCCCCGGGATGCTCTCGTCCTCGTGAACTATCCTTTCTGTCCGATTCTCATTCCTTCTCGCGCTTGTTTGAAGGGACAGCATCATGGAAGGATCTTTGCAAACGCCAGACCCTTCTAGCTCGCAATTGGACCGATCGTCGGCCCATGAGCCAGGAGTCAGTTTTACAAATTGGCAATGATCCTGTGTGGCGCTTTCGACCCGATTTCAAACGACGTTTCTTCGTCTCCTCCTCTCATGCTGGCGGGCTGAATGTCACCGATATGGACACCGGTCGCATCCTCTGGCGACTCCCCTCCACAGAGGATAGCGATGGCGATGCCGTCCACTCCTATGCACATCTCGAATATCAGGATGGTATGGTGGTGTTTGATCGGGAAGGGGACGGTATCGAGGTTTGGCAAGCCGATCAAGATGGTGCGGCACGAGGTGAATTTCGCCGGATTGCCGTTCTGAATCACGATTGCCAGACGAGAGGGTTCCAATTATCTTACTGGACCCTCTGTGTGGTCTCCAACCAGGGACATGGCTTCGTATACGACATGGCACAGCGTCCGCCCACGTTGAAAACCCATCTGAACATCGAAAAGGGCGCGGTCGGCCATCTCGATCAAAGTGAAGATGCGGTCATTTACTCCATCGGACAAAAGGGTTACTACGCCTACGACAAAACAACAGGGGACTTCCTCGGGTCTCTCGACCCGTCGCAGTGCACAGACAAATATCACATTCTCCCACCCGCCGCCAGCTCTCCGTCTGCGACCGCAGCTTTGGCTGGCGCCGCACGATACGGAACAGCACATCGACCATTCCCACCCGGCGCCCCTCGAAAAGATTCCCTCGTACCTCTCGAACTCAACTCCGGCCCACTTCCGACTTCCGAACATATATGGGATGGTGTCAATGAATGGGGGGGCTGGGATGCTGGATGGTGATCTCTTCGTCGGTTTCTCACGCTCGGGTAGCGTGTTCGTTTGTTCCGACTGGCGCAAAGCCATTCGGGATCCAGCAGGTCTGGCCGCACACAGTTCGCTTATCGAATGCAAGTCGGACGGGTCAAGCTTTGACCTGGGTGGCTGGCTGTCCGTGAAAAATCACCGCGTGATGTTTGAGATCCAAGATCGTATTTACATCGTCGCACTGGATGATTGCGATCGGATTCAAAATGTCGAATCCCCATCGCGCGCTTCCTATTCATTGCTCACCAGTTCTGCCCCTCAGCTGTCAGTCCCGGTGAGCTTCATGACGCTGTGCGACGATGCGATCATGACCACCTATACCGTATGCTCCAATCCGCTGAAATCTCACCCACCCCCTAGTGTGCCGCATTGCTAATCTATGATTCACAAGACCCTCGGCTGGCGACAATCATTGCCTAATATCCCCGGCGATGTGCAGGAACATGAGAATCCCGCCCGCATCTTCCCAACCAAAGCGATTCGCGTCATCAGCCTGGCTCCCGATCTTCCCGGTGCAACACCAAAGTCGAACTCGACCACACCACCGACAAACACCACCGGCGGAGACAGCTTGTTCGATCCCAATAGTCAGGACCGTCCACCCGCAGACGATATCTGGCGCTCGCAAGCCGGGCTTTTGCAGCTGCTGAGCATGCTCGGCGATGAATACGGCGAGGATGAAGACGATGAAGAGCTACAGGCCATGGTCACGGGTCTCGGCGAGGGCGATCCTGACCTTGAATGGGAAGACGTGGAAGATAATGAGGATGAGGATGATCCGGAGGAATCCAATACCCCGAGCCTCTCGTCGCACACAGACGCCAACCCAGAATCATAGAGCTGGTCTCTCTTTTCTCGGGTTTCCCAATCAGTCTAGCCCTTTGACCCGTGTATGGCCTGGCGCGGACTGGCATTGACACCGGATATTAATCCCATGTCTTCTCTCCCATCCTTTGCACATAGTTCTCGACCTGACTAACCTTAACACAGTGCCTTTTAGACTAACGAGGTTGCAGGGCGGACCAAGCGTCGCGTTCTCCAATGTACAACCATGAAGTTTATGAACAAGTCGGTGAACCAACACCATATACCTCTCCACGGCGGCAACAATACTTATAGAAACTCGTAAGTTGTGAGTATGCAGGTGTCCATGATCCTCATTCCTACCATGGACGTCTGGCGTAATGATGAGGTCGAATGTCCGATTTCTCGAGGCTGTTGTCTTTTGTAGTACCGACGCAGATTTCCGGTCCGCTCATCAATGAGCAAAGTTGTAAGACGAGACACATGAGTTGACTTCCTTGTGATGAATGAAATTTCCCTTAATAGGTCACAATGCCAATTAGAGTATCTGTTGTTGAATTTGGAGGGCCCTTCAATATCATCGCAATCTTGCAAACATGATCATTCTTGATATTGCCAGGCTAAATCGGTCAGATAGAACTATTTAGAATTCCAGTCTTTTCCAAACCCCCCAATTGCCTTCTTTCTAGAGATTTGAATGCAGCTAGAGTTAGTCAAGCGAGATGCAACGCCGAATCGGACATCCAATAGGGCTGTACAGAGTAGATCAGGACTAATCAATTGCATGATGAATACGTAGCCACTCTCTCGGTCGCAGGTCAGCTTATCTGGGTTATCGTACATTAATTATCTATAAAAGCCGGACTACAGTTCCGAAAGATCCGCGAGTCATCGTTTTGCGTCATTGGGAACTCTTTATCACACATATTGGTGAGTCCTTTTGCATCATCTCACATTTCGTGCATAGCGTAACACCGAGATCACGAATCTTGTCCTACAGCTCTAGGGCCGTTGATCACTCACTCTATATGGCTATGATCTTTGAATCCTGTTTCTACCTATCAAGATCAAATTCAGGTTTTCACGTATGAATGAATCAGCTTACTACTAGTATCTCGTATTCACCCTCAATATCGTCAAGCTCAGGTCCGAGGGGTGATATGATATCTCCAGGACGTACAGTCATCTGCATTATGGTGTCACCATAGTTAAATTTGGAATTGGCTGTGGTAAGGACTGTGTACGATTAGTTTCTCATTACCTAGATATCATGTATAAATCGCATGAGAATGCCGCTGTACTTCTTCCGCTTCTATTGAACAACACTATACTACTTGACTCCAACCCTCCTTCTCCGTCCTCTAATCGCAATTCTCAGTTCTCCTTCTTCAAGATGAAGTTGTCACTCGCGCTATCCCTTATTGCCCTTGTCCCATTCACGGTAGCTCAAGATCCTAGTAATGGGTCGCAGGCCATGAGCCCTTGTCTGGTTCGTAAGACATTTCCTCAAACATGAGGAAAATCAAATAAAGAAAAAGAAAAAGAAAAAGAGTCTAATGTCTTACGAATCAGCTCCAATGCAACAAAGAGGCCGCTACAGCCATAAATTGCGGCACTTTTGAGAATATCGAATGTACCTGTCCCAGTGCCGATTACGTCGAGGTTCTCATGAATTGTTTGGCTGCTTCATGCACAGCCCTAGATGTCCTCAGTATGATCTCAAACTCTTTCTCGTATAGGAACATTGCTAACATAGTATGTGTGTGTGAAGCTTCCTTGAAGCTACATATCAAAGTCTGCAAGATTCCACTTGTGGCTCCTGCTAGCTGGTCCAATTGATTTGAATGTGAATCTCATAGATAGGCCATTGAAGCAACTAATGCATCTCCAAAATTTCTCATAAAATCCAAACCACTCTCCGACATCATTACACAATATCAATTGGTTCATCGCTCTAAATGTACCCGAGGGTCTTAAGAACTGTAGAAATCAATGAAGGCGTCTGTATTCCCCTAGTTTGTGAATCTCGGCTCCGCATGTAGTGGGGATGGACGGGGAAAAGCCGAGAACCCCTCATTCCAATCCGCATTTTCCATCTCTCCCTTCGTTTCGAGCCCTCTGGATATTCAGATACCCCGGCAGATCGAGGTGATTTTTCCACAGCTTACCGACAACATGGCCCAGGAAAATCATGCTGGCAAGCCTATTTTATACCCGGGGGAGACCCTGGAGGCAATCGGGGGGATTCCCGACCATCTGTCACTATCAACCGCCCACTGCCGGAGATGCAATTTCCAGACCCTTGATCGTTTGCATCCCAGGAGGAGTACACCTGGCCCGAGTCTTCTACGGTGGACATCATGGATACCGCCAAGAAGACTTCTTAACTCACTGGCTGAGCGAATCTGGCTTCGGAATCCTGTCATTATCGTACCCACTCGACACAAATCCCCCACTGATGCCGACGACGGGGTCAGCATTCCGGATCGCGGATTGGGGACGCCAAGCTGCATTGAGCGCTCAAAGCTGTATAGACCGTCATTCTCTCTCAACGCGTTCCGTGGTGCTGGTTTCATGGAGTATGGGTGGCAGAATGATTGTCCAATTCAACATCGCATGCAAAAGGCTGGGCCTTGATGTTCAGCAATATGTCAGTCTCGCAGCTACCCCTGGAATCTCAGGTATCCGCTCGCTCCAGGATATGTCTTGTACTGCAGCCGGATATTTCGATATTACTTCCCGGATCGACGCGTTTTGCAAACAGCTGGACGCTGTGGACAAAGCAAACAATGAACGGAATATCATCCCGCGTGAAATCTATCTGAGAGAATATGTCGGAGGGACTCCAATCAATCTCATCGGACTCAGGCTTAGATACGATGGCCAGGGTTCCTTCGTTCAAGATGAAGTAACCCATGAAGAGGATTCACGCGTCTTCGATATCGAAAACACCCCCTACCCATCAGCGCTATATCCAACAAGTTCGCTTGACTCTGGGCATTCCCTGACTGATAAGGCCACATGGGGATTCTTGCTGACATACAAATTGGAATCTATGGTTGAAAAGAAGCATCTGAAAGATCTTGAAAGTACTCAGAAATGGGACAAGCTGAGAGCATTGTTTCATGAAGCACCGTCAAGAATGTCGCGGGAGGTTTGGGGGAATCATTTCTTCTTCGTGGGCGAAAAAGGCGCCAGGGAAACGGCCGAAAGAATTGGTGATCTGCTTAATGAAGGTGTAATTTTGAAGTCGGAATTGACATCAATACTCTCTTCGCCGGAGACGGATCCCGAAGATATACTATAGGAGTAGTGCTATTAAATCTATATTGATTGAAGACCTTTAGGTCCAGCTCATTAAAGGCTCCGCGTTCTTATTTCGAACTAACACGGATTTTCGTTGTACTGAGCAGTCAAGTCCTTGCTGATGTCTCCAGCTTCGACAGCCTCTGCTCAAGAAGTCAGCGAATGCGTCCCCTCTATACATGGAAGTGCACTTACTTTGATGATTCCATTACTCAACGTTGGGAAGATTCTCGTCTGTTTCCATGTCCAGAAGACCCGCCTATTAAGTTCTTCATATTTTCTTTGCTGAGCTGCGAACCATCTGTAATACGCACTCGCATGATTTCCCGTCATAGGCAGAAAGTTGTCGCCTTTATCGTCGAAGGCCAAGCTCCACTCGCCGACAATTTTGGGGCTCACATTCGATTTTCGATTATCCCTGGAAGCATCTTGGATCATATCACTCTTCGAAGAGGTTTTGGAAACCAGGTAAATCTCGTAATTATGATCACCAAATAGCAGGTTGTCTTTCTGGGTTTCGTTCAGAGATCGAGTCGGATTTCCGCCGGGATCCCACTTGTCATCCTAATATGCAGGCCTTAGTACTGGCTTGCTGGTCATAGACAGAAAACATACCATCACGGTAATATGAAGAGCGACACTCCCTGGGACGTCTAAAGCATTTTCTTTGGCGCGAATGCGGTCAATTGCGGAAGGATAAAAATGCTCTACCAACCAATTGGTGTCGCCATTCTCTGTATTTTGCAGCGGCTCTTTCATAAGCTGAAAGACACCAACTGTACTAAAGGCGTCTTTGTCCTTGTGAATTCGCTCGACCATTCTCTCGTAAAATCTATAGCTCTTTCTGCATTTCCGTCGGTTTGATAGAACTCAGGAGGGTCAACATACTAGAAGCCAAATGACCATGTCAGTCGATAAATCAATATCTTTTCTGTATTCGCCCATTTACACATCCTGTGAAAGCTTCATTGGCCTTTCTGCGCCTGGAAGACCGTGTAGATCCACGAGTACATACATTCCGGCGCTTGCGGCCCATTGGTAAACATTGGTAAAGTCCTCAAAAGCGTTATTTCGCGGATAGTGTTCATTGCCGTTGATCAAATCTTCATTCAACCAAAATCCCATCGGAATGTGACAATTCTTTAGAATGGCAGGATTCTATGTCGATGGCGAGAGCAACATAACCGAACTGTATTCAACCCATATGAGATGATTTGTCGATGTCATCCTGAGTAATCCAAGTCTGCCAATGCTTTTTGAAGACCTTGTTGGCTGCATCTTGACCAAATCCTTTGTCATTCACTGTTTTAGTCACCATAGCCCATACCATTCCATTATCCGTAGGCCATCCGCTTCTCAACAATGAATGAAGAGCTTAAAGTAACTCCGTGGATTTTTATCCGTCTCACTGCTCGTAATGACTGGGACATTGCGGCCGTTATCCGTTGGGAGCCAGGCTTGAACTAGCTGGAAGCTCAAGCAGATCGCAGCAATGTTATGTAGTTTCATTTGAATGCTTTGTTCGGGCCACGAACTTGAATGATCGTTGCACGAGTGAAGATACTTGGGGTTCGCCAGCTCTCTGGAAGAAAATTGTCACTTGATATTTATGTAGCACCAAGCTCCTCAATTTTCTTAGCAGAACATTACTTCGCTCATAATCACCATCTTGGTAATGGTCATAGTCAAGACAATAGGGCCAAGTCCAAGTTTGATGGAAATAGTGTGGGCCTGGCTGCCGATCATCACCACTTCCCGTACCCGAATGCGAGTCTAAGTGTTATTATGCCCCGCTAGCTGAAACCGCCTCTGATCTTCTGAAACCTATGCTACAGTGAGAGTATGGAGACCCCTTTTCGCCCCATTCGTTTCCTTTTTGGGGAACTGGTCATAAAACGCCTTTTGAAATGTAAGCAGTGTCGCCAAATGAGATACGAGAAAGACCCTGAGCCATACCCACTCAGGATCGTGAAGAAAGAAATGAATGTTACTTCACCCTTTCTCAAAATCCAAACAATTGACCCCTTGATACTACCTCTTCCCCAAAATCACAAGGATCATCACCCGTGATTTTCTGCTGCCGCGCCCATTGGCTTCCATCAATTGAAGTCGAATTATCGGATGATAAGTTACTGCCGAATTCATGATCCTGTATTGTAGAGGCCTTTGTCATCGCAGAACCCCATTATCCCCATGAGGAATAGGACGGCGAGGCACTTGATATATATACTCCAGCTCGCCCGCCATGTTCAAAGAACCTTGGGATTCAGAATAATACTAGTATCTGTATCGGTATCACGAGTATCGATAAACATGCATATTCTCGCCGCCACCACGCTCTTGTCAGCCGGTCTTGCCGCTGCATATGACTTGCCAGACAATCTCAAGACAATTTATGACAACCACAAGGCATGTATTCAGGAAAGTGAAGTGATTTGGTTACATTTTGCTGACGTGGGAAAAGTCTGGGAAATGCAGTAACAAGCTCGCGGGTGGCTTCTCTGACGGCATTGACGGCGCTCACACATTTTCGTACTGCGCTGATATTGATGGGACAATCTACCTGCACGGTTCGGCCAATGGTGGTGAATATGACAACATGGATGTGGATTGCGATGGGTTGAATGATAAGGGAGGTGACTGTGGGGCCGACGAGACCGGGCAGGGAGAAACTGCCTTCAAGGACCAACTCAGTCAGCTTGGTATTGAAGATCTGGATGCCAACGTCCACCCCTATGTGGTTTTTGGAAACACAAACTTCGATCCTCAGCAATACGGAATGGAGCCCCTGAGTGTGATGGCCGTCGTATGCAACAACCAAGTGGTATGTTTATTCCCCCTTGTGGGTTCTTCTTCATGTCCTCGAAGCTAATGTGCCGAACCAGCTGTACGGAATTTGGGGCGACACCAATGGTGAGGACTCTACCGGCGAGGCATCTATCTCTCTGGCTCAGATGTGCTTCCCTGACGACGGCATTAACGGCAATAATGGTCATGGCGAGGAGGATGTGCTTTATCTGGGATTCACCGGAAAGAGCGCTGTTCCTGGCAGCGATGCCGACTGGAAAGCTGGAGACCGAAATTCTTTCGAAGACAGCATCAAGGAGCTGGGCGACAAGTTGGTTGCTGGCCTCGGTGCGTAGACTACAGCAATTATACGCTATGTTTGAGTGAAGATCGAGATTTTAAGTCCGACGTGGCCTGGATATTATATGATCTGATAACCTTGCAAATCACCTCTACAGTTGCATGTGAGGAACGCTTTCTGGAAGCTTGTATGAGTCAGTTGAATTCCAATACTCTTTAAGCTGAAGGGCCTGCGGTCAATAATTTCAATTTCCAATCCCAATGCTCTTGGCCATTCCCAAGATAACCCTGCGCCAATTTCAACCAGAACGCCATTCAATCAAAGCCATGCATATTAACCACCTAGAACTGTCCATCCGATGAGGCCAGCCCAGCCGACAACAAAAAGAACCGTCAGAATTCCGGCCCCAGCTTTATCTTTCGTAGTGATAACATTCTGCGTAGTGGTCGTCGTGCTGTCGTTATTTCCAGCATTTGGGTTGCTGGTACTGTTTCCTCCTGTTGTCGATGTGACTGGCCCTACCGCATTGAAACTGACCAAGCTTGCCGAGAAGATATCGCTTGCGCTGACTTGCTCCTCCATTCCGATCCACCCGTCATATGTAGATTTATACCATCTGACACCGCACGTATTGTTGCTATGACCTGTGCATGACTTAGCGGCGGCTTGGGCTGATGTTTGCAGCTTAGGGACGATTCTGCTGTAAGTCGACGGAACAAGCATAGCGGTAAACGACAGCCAGGAGGAGACGAGTCCCTTGAAAAGGATCTCATTGTTATTGCACACTTCTGTAGGCTCGCATGTGACTTCCTCAAAAATGCCTCCGTTGCTGTCAGGGATAAATGACAACAATGTCTGATTCAGGAGACCGTTGACGGCTTCGAGCCAGTAAGAACTTCCGTTTGTCTATAGCCGAGTATACAATGTAAGCGACTATGTCCCACAAGACTCCTCGGCTGCATCAAACTCACATAATTGTATAAATAGGCGGCTCCCGTCATATAAGCTCCATAGTTGTATGACCATTGAGTGTTTCCACGTGTTGTACAATCATTCTCCATGTTTGTTGAATCAGCAACATCCCATGTCGCATTATTGATCAAGGGCGATGAATTCGTTGACACAGACCAGTCCCAAATCTTATTAGCCCATGTGAGATAAATAGCATCTCCTGTATAACGCGCCAAGCGAGCGGACAGCTGAAACAATCCAGCGTTTGAGATCGCGTTCTTCATGGTATAACCGCTTTGGTAGGGGTATATCTGCCAGCGCATTCCACCCGAGCACTTGGTGGTGTCCCATCGTTTGATCTGTGTGTTGAATACTCCCTGAGCGAGGGATAACCAAGAAAATCCGGTGGATGAATCGGTGAATTTCATTTCGGCGGCAGTCATAGCAGCGACTCCCCAAAACATTTGATCGTCATTTCCCTGGAGAGTTCAGTTAATCCTGGCTCGGTGGCCTTAATGTTCACCACGAGGACTTACCAAGTAACTACTATAGTTGGCAGGCATGTAGTCTCCATCGGTTCCAGATTGCCACTCCAGGCCAACCCGTAGCTCATCATTATATGTGGTATCGCCGGTAAAGTGCCAATAATGGAGGAGGGCGAGGAATAGCGCCGATCCCTCCCACCATTTAGATGGGAAAGCGCCAGGTATTTGACCGGTCTCGTTACCGGAATAATAGGTCATCATAGCATATACGGCTGTGCTGGCGGCATCTTTGATCGATTCTGTTTTGTAGAAAGCGAGTCAGTCAGGATAAACATGGTCGTAGAAGTGTTGCACATACGTTCACTGCTAATATCCAAATCGATGGCCTCTGCGGGGCTTGACAGAAAGACTGAAAGGCAGAGGCCCCTGAGGAGGAGCCCGGCTCCTGGTAGACGCATTTTTGTTGGAAAAGAGAGCGGCGTCGAGAACTTCTTATCTAGTGGGCCGATTGATCCGAATTGCCGGCAACACGCGGGGACGGAACCAGCCGAGATAGAAGAAAGAGAAATTCAATTATGGCTATTCGCAAAAGCCATCAGATGCAACTTGTTAAGGGTAAAAAATGTGAGAGTCCGACAGAATTCACTCAAATCGCGGCGGGCGCCCCATATAGCGCTGGGAGATTAATTATAGCGCCAGAGCATGCGTAATCCTCGGCGCTAGCGTCGTCAACCTTTCTTTTCGAGCGACGCCTCTCGGTGGATCTCGCCAAGCTTTAGCAAGCTTCTGGGCTGGCGATGATCGCGCCGCACCTGCAGAAGCAAATTTCAAGCCAACCTTGTGCTTGTTTTTTCCCAGATCCGAAGTTTACAGATGAACCAGTTTGGTGTACAAGGATATTTCCAGCTCACCCTTCTCCAGATTTTATTACAGTCTATACCCTGATTTTGTACCACCTGGGCATATTCATTAGGAGTGAATTCTTGCAAAATAATCAGCGGTCGGGATTTCCAACGATCGGCATCCCCATATAATCCTTGTTGATCAGCCTTATTTGTATGCCAATGCTTCTTTAGAGATTCGATCCTGAATAGAATGCTGCTTGTGCTTGTATTGGTCCGTTATTCCCCTCGTTTCATTAGAAAATACGCCTTCACGCCTCCCCTCCCACAAAGGTGGGCTAATCAAAGCCGGCGGGGCAAATCCGAATACGAAAAGTGAAACAACTGCGCTTTCAAGTCTTCAGGGACGTGCTGTTTCATCCTCCCTAGCACTCCGTAGGGACTACCTTCTAACCCGCAAAAATAAAGGGGTCAAACTGCAAGAAAGGCACAGGCACAGGAAGAAAATTTAGTTCCCTCCGGACTAAGCATTCTCTTCGTCCGATTCGGCCCACTCCATGTCAATAGCAATATCCTCAGGTCCAATAGAAGTTTTGACCTCTCTTGACGCCAGCTCCTCATCGAGTGCACGAAATAAACGACCCAGGTACCTCCTCTCTCCTGGAACAGCAACCCCGATGTGTACTCCTGTCAATATCATTGCCTCGAAACAAGCTCTTGTCATCTTCGCCATCTGTGCGTCTCCACCCTTGTGGAGGTCTTTCAGTCGTTGCCTCCAAAAGATCCACCTTGGGATGCTAAACCCGTTCGCCGGCATTTGCACGTTTTTGACTAGTTCACCCAGCACTGTTAACGCCCCTAGGCTCGTTTCGTTCATAGACTGAGATTCATAATTGGCCACCGCGAGCTTCACCAATTTGAAATTATTAAATTGCATCCAAGCCGTACAGGCAGGCAACAACTCGACCACGGAGCTCAGTTCGGCATTGCCGCCAGGCTCCGACTTATCCGATCGCCTCGAGATCTCGAAAGTCTCCTTGAACAGCCACAGCGCAACGCTGCTCAGTTCGTTTGCAAAAACCCCTGATGCACATATTTTTGCCGTCCATGTGGCCAGATTCTCTCGCTCAGGGGCGGTAAGAAACACCGATTCTTGTATCCAGAAAGCCTGGACATCCTCGATAAAATAGGGGAGATCTACCCAGAGTCGCTGCTCATTGGGGAGAATCGCTTCTTCGCCGCATCCATGAGGATCAGTAGATTCCCCTCTGCGAAGTAGGATGCCCATTTCACGCGTATTTAGCACCAAGGTGACCAAACGATCATGTTCAGCGCTCCCTGTCGGAATGGCTATTGCCGCATGAATGAGTTCATCCCACAAGTCATGGATGCGTTCTTCGATCTGAGTGACCTCCAACTCGGAGTTGACAAATTGGCTTCCAATACTGATTGCTTCATCATACAGACCCTGCCATGTTTCCTGTGGATTGCTGCGCTCATTTTTAAATTGCGCTCGCTTCTCCTCGCGACTCAGTTTCGGCAGACAGTGGCTCTCTGCACAGGCCATTTTTGCGGCAGATATTTCTTCTTCTTGCCACGAGGATACTGACAAGTAAACGTATTCCGATAACCTGCCCAGATTTTGCTTACCAGTCAAAAAAGGCGGACCAATTTGTGACACTTGACCTTGGGTGCATGATGCAGAGCACAGTCAGCGGCTCCAGGCAGCAGTTTTAGGCACTAACTCGAACAACGACTTAAACAAATCCGCTTTTTATTTTATGAAACCAGTAGTAAATTGGGGCAGAGCAAATTCCAAGGTTGGGCGACGTCAATAATTTAAGCGATGCTAGTAAATGTCACCGTGACACAAAGGTGAACAACGTCGGGACTCCTCCGATTCGGAGTCCCTAGTACCAGTATGGATATGTACATACCAAAGTCTGGGATCGTTCAATTTGGCATACATAGTACCTAGTACCTACTAGGTAGGGACTACTAGTACTAGTAGTCCTATTACTACTACAATTTCAAGGTGTGTGATCGGGCCTTGCGAGAGGTCGTCGGAGTATTCCACCTCCCAGTTGTTTCTTTAGAAGTGACGCAAAGATGCCTAGCATCACAGTCTGCCAGTTTCAGCTTTCTGGTGCTTCTTTAGATCTGCCTTTTGCCTCCAACTGTGTCCTCGGTGATAAACCAACCATAGCATAGGGCTGAAAAGAACCCATAGTCCAGCAATCAAAGTAGCCGTCCATCCCAAGCCGATGGCTTCGATTAGGGGTGATACGAAGGCCGTGGTCGCGGCACCCATCAGACAACGGCAGAGATTGTTAGCTGCGACTGCTGTAGCTGCACTATGGTGATTGATATCCACAATCAATGTGCTAAGTGCGTTGAATGCACCTGTGGTAGCCATACCGGTGAAAAAGAGCATCACCATAGGACCCGCCAGGGCCGTGCGGAATTCCATCACCCAACCATAAGCAAGGATGCAAAGAGATGCAAGGTATATCATGGGAATGGAAATCATCAGCCGAGCTCTCTCTATATTGAATTTATCAATATCTTGCTGTCGATTTTTCTGAATAGCCATGCCTTGGATGCGTGCCTCACGTCGAAAGTTCCAATCGAGGAGCTTACCGACCGTGAACCGGGAGCTGATACTCCCCATTCCAAGCGGCAGATAGCAAAGTCCGACCTGGATTGAGTTGAACCCAAAACGAGTGCTCAGCTGCGTGCTCAATGTACTCAATACCGCCATGTATCCTGAAAACAACAGGCCGCCATAGAGCAGAATCAATCCAGCCTCTCGCTGGGTAGCGATGCGCAAAGAAGAAATCGGGTTCGGGCGATGTTTGAGCACCTGAACAGAAGCTGGATCTGGAACATGTTCGGCCCCTCGGAAGCGAGATTGGGGTATAATGAAGGCCCAGAAAGGCCAGTTCCATCGGGGTGGAATCACTGACCCATTTCCTACCACAGCCCGGCAGGTCTCTGGGAAGACGATGAGCGTAATAATAAAACACGACCCCGAGAGTATGACCAAAAACCAAAAGATAGCTCTCCATCCCAGAAAATGGTTGAGCAGGCCACCAATGACAGGTCCGAGTGCTGGGCCCAGGGCGATTCCCATGCCCGCATAACCAATGTACTTTCCACGCTCTGCTCGAGTCGTCAGATCCGCAACGACAGCACTTCCGAGCGCGATCGTGCCACTGCTTCCTGCGGATTGAAGGCACCGAAGAACCATGAGAGCCGAGTAACTATTCTGAAGTGCGAGGCCAATGTTTGCTCCCAGGTAAATCACGAACGCGATGATATAGGCCGGTCGGCGTCCATTGCCATCAGAGAAACTTCCCAAGAAAGATGGTGCCAGCCCTTGGAATATCTAACTAATGTTAGTATCGAAATGTTCAGATCCGAAGTGGTCTCTCAAATACTATACCAAGTAAGTCGTGATGGTCAAATTTATCAATGAAACCGAGACGTCCATATCACGCGCTAGCGAATCGAGTGCCGGAAGGTAGATGCTGCTTGAAAGTGGCGATATCAGGGCCGCAAAAGAGCCTGCAATGATCACGAAGATTTTCTCGCCTGTTGGTAGCACGCTATACGGCGTACCTGTCACCACGTCATTGGTATTAGCATTTGCATTTGCATCTGCATTGCCCTTTTCCGAGTCGTGATGAGCATCATCATTCTGAGGAGTGTTTGGGCGCCGGTCGTTGTTTGCAGCTTCCATCACTCAAAGAAAAAGGAATCCCTTCGAACTTCATCACTCTAAGACTTGTCTGTCGCAGGGGATCCATCGTATTTAGCAGTCCACGGTCCTTAGCCAATTCCCGCTTTTGATCGTTTAGTGTGTTCTTTTTGCTGAGGCGCGTGTGTTATGATCCGGTGGCGGGCCGGTACCGGGATTATCGAATCGGGAAAGATTTGCGAGGTCAATCTCGAACATATTGACTTATCTTCCAAATTCCTGTATGTTCTTTGTTCAGTAGACGTGTGGAAATACTGGTATAAGTTCTACTCACTCGCATATTGTAGCTCTTGAATGATGTAAATTGAAATGGGAAAATTGCAGTTGCAAATATTGATACCACTTCAAGTTCTATTCTGGAGATCCGTGAATCCATGGATATCCATGGACATATTATTATTTGGACAAACCGAGTATCTACTAAGTAGTAGATAGTTGAATAAAATGTAACGGCTTGGATTTTTGAGCTTGTTGGTATACCGCAATCCGATTTAATTGGGGGAAAAATGACTAGTACGTTTCAAATCATATTGAGCTCTTGTAGGGAGTGTTAAAATTGAATATTTCTTGATCGAGTAAACTATCCTGGCCTCAGGCAAAGTGCATCTCGAAAAATTCGGCCAACTGTGTGTATCTGGTGGCATGTTAGTGACGCAACCGATGGATTTTCCACGTTTTGACTGGGTAATTAGTATTGCTCGAGGATAAACTCACCCGCGTACATACTCCGCACGACTCCCCTCTTTCTCAAGATCTGTCTGGGATCCCATCCACCCGCGCCACATCGTGGAATAAGTCTCAACAGCGCCGCCCTTCGGGACCACAAGCAGTTGATATGCTGCAACCGTTTCGAGTTCCTCATCTTTCGATGCGAGTACGAGATGAGGAATGACGACCGACTGGGCATCAGCTGCATCCAACAAGCTATAATTATAATCGAGTGATTTTTGGACCTTCGCAGAGATAAGAAAAGCAGAATAAACGTACCCGGGATGGCACTGACTCGAGGCGGCGAACGGGGAGTTGAAACCTGACGCCAGGATCGTCATCTGCATTGTGAATGTCAACACTGCTTCACACAACAGTCGCCAACTTTGCGGCGAGACTCACCTTTCCTCCCCAGCAGAGACCATTGGCACCCCATTTGTTGACAGAGGGGAACCGCACGCGACACTCCGGAACGGCGGCGAGCAGAACGCCCAAATTGCGCTCAACATTCGCACTGGTGGCCAAGAGGCTGCCAATTCGCTTCTTTTTCTCGTCAGTGTCGGCAGGGATTATATGCGCTTCGAGTGCATCGCCCTTAAAACAGTCGGGTACCAACACCACAGCGTTCAGCCGTGCAGCTAGCAAATCAGCGCCCTAAGGAGTTTGGTTGGCTAGTCCAAAGACATCATAAATGTGTACAATCCCGACGCGGCCATCCCTCTTGCCAGTAACATCTATTGCGATCGATAAACAGATTGAAAATTATGGAGGGGGTGTGCACGAGCGATCAATTTGGTCACTTACAGGTGTTGATACCCGCAATGGTCTCGTATTGGCCTTTAGAAATACACACCTGGGCAACGACTGGGGGGGATGGTGCGACAAGCTTCATAGGACATGTTGATGATGATTTAGATTTTGGTGATTTCTAGAGGAGGCCTCAGGAAGCTGTTGCTTATTCCTTCTTATGTGTTTTTGGACTTGCTTCCTTATTTCTTCCTGGTCCCGGGGTCATTGGCCCCTGACCCCACCATTGTGTCCCCCAACACGGGCAACGCCGCGGTGACAGCCGCCTGTTGGACGAAGTCAGTGGGGCATGACTCACTAAGGATATCTCCGCGTCTACAGTGTCCATTTCAATATAGCTAGGTATAATGGAAAATAAAGCCATCTCGAGGATCGGACAAAAATTCTGACGGTCATTCGAAGACGCAATCTCGTTGACATTAATCTCATACCTAGGTAAAACATACCAAGGGGAAAAAAAAAGTAAATACCAATGGCACCACACATACTACAAAGAGAGTAGGCAACAATCAAGGTCTCCACTTGAACGCCGGGTTACGCCAGTCCATGTCTTGAATTTGCTTCTGCGACAGACCCGCCAACGCAGCGCCAACATCAACCCGTTCACGTCTACGGTTGTCCCACAACATAAACACCCACATCAATGAGCCTAGTATCAAGGTCATTGTTGCTGTCGCCAAATTGAGACCATTTCCAATGTGGTAATCGGGACCGTCAAAGGGCAAGAAGGACCAGGTGGAAATCAGCCCGCCAATATTTCCAAACATAACAGTGGTGCCGATCGCAGAAGATCGTGCGGTATCGGAGACGACATTTGCTGAAGAATTAGCGTTGCAGAGCGCACCGAAGGCGAAGGCACCACTTGCAATGATGAATGTCGCTCCGTAACGAACCATCGGGTCTTTGCTGGCAAGGAACATGATGTACCCGATCATCATGAGTGGCGGACCAAGGACAAAAAACAAGAGTCGCTTATCCATTCGCCAACTGAGAAAGGGGAAAAGCAACGTAAAGAATCCTCCCACTATATAGGGAGGCACGGTATGAAGCTGCTGGGAGATCACACTGGCATTTGGATAGATGGTTGCAACAATGGTCGGTGCGAAGAACCCCAGTCCTTGCACAGTGATGTTGTTCAGCAAAAATATAAAGGCTGTAGTGATCGTCACCGGGCTGAAGATACCGCGCAGCGTCTTAGCGGTGTCCATTTTGTCCAGCACTTCAGTTGTTCCAATGCGCTCAGACTTGACGCGAGCAATTGCCAAATCCTTTTCCTCTTGCGAGAGCCAACGAGCGGTTTCAGGTCGATCGGTCAATGTGGCAAATGAAATGACAGCAATGATGATTGTTATGATGCCCTCGATGGCAAATATCATCCTCCAGGTGTGTAGACCAGCGAAGTTGTCGAGACGCAGAATACCGGAGGCGAGCAGCCCACCGAACGCACCGGCAAGGGGGGCCATCACGATGTAACAGGAGAGGCGAAATGCTAACTGCGGAGGGTCAGTAAATTTTTCGAGGTTGCAAAATGACAATATGGAAGGGTCTTACCTCGCTTCGACGGTACCAACGACTGAGATAGTAAGCAATACCGGGCATCAGCCCGGCCTCGAACATTCCCAGCAGAAAACGCACTCCGGAAACTTGGTGAATGTCATGGGTAAATGCCGTAGCAACCGAGCAGATACCAAAGCCCAGTGTGGTGGCTGGCAAGAACCAACCGGGGCCAATCCACTTGCAAGCAATCTATAATACAGAAAGCCTGTCAGCGAACGAGTCTATTGCATGGCTGGATTGTATGCGCACTTACATTGCACGGAATCTCAAAGATGATATATGAGATAAAGAATACCGACAGCACTGCATTGTAGTCATATCCCTTTAGGCCGAGGTCTGTGTTGAATCCGGCAAGTTTCGCATTGCCTTGAATTGGGATTAATAATCAGCGCAAGCATTTTTAAAAAGGAAAGGTGATGGCGGGATCTCTTACCAATATTGGCGCGGTCAATGAAGCAGAAGAGGTACATGAGGGCCACGGTTGGCACAATGTACAGATCAATCTTCAATCGTAGACGCGATTCAGCTTTCTTGTCAAACTCCACGAGAGAGTGGCCGAACTGGTCAGTAGCAAGATGACCACGTTCTGCGGCATCGCGAGCGACCTCATTCGCTAATGTCTCTTTGTGGTCTGCGATGGCCTTGTCGTCTCCGACATACTCGGCAGCAGCAGTGGAGGTGGCCATGGTAGCAAATGAGCTGGACCTCAAGGCCTGGTGGGAAAGAAACTAAAGAGATTGTCCAGGTCCGCAAGATAGTCACGGAGGGTTCAGCGGGGATTGCTGCAGTCCTTATGGGTTCGAGTAACCTCGGATAGAATTTGGCAGGTCAGCACGAGAAGCAGCGGTTTTTATGGGCTTGAGTTTCCCCGGGATGGATTCCGGAAGACCCGAGCTTAAGATCTGGAGTCATGGGGGGAATTTGGGAGCCGTGGGAAATGCCGGCTGGTTGAATTCCCCACGTTAGGCTTGCCAAGCTCCAAAACGCACGTCTGGAGGCGAAAGAAAGGGGGGTGTGCATCTTGGCAGACGGGAGGAGATGCGTCACTTGGCCAATTGCTTTGGCCCCCGCACCCCGATTCTTGTAAGGATTCGACGAGGCGCGAAAGTTCAGAAGGGAAAGTAAATCGAAAGTCAACGAGAAAGATGCGTCGGAGGCTGTGTCTGATCGAATATCAATCAGTCATGCCGAAACCATGCGACAAGTTGCCAAGCCTCGTTTACTGGATGAAAGCGCAGTTTGGAGTAGAAATGAATGATAGTGCCATGAATGGGGCGAGGACTCTGGATGGCCGGGGAATAAGTGGGACATATGGATTACCAACGGTCAAAAGACAACGACAGGATTTGGTGGGCGGGACCATAGACTGCTTCCCCACAACTGATGGACTCGGCTTCCCCAGACTCTCTGGGGCTGAAGTCGATCCATGAACCCCGGCCCCAGACCTCGTTTCCACCGCAGATTACCAGGTGAGATTTATCAAAAGCCCGGGGTACAAGTACCGAGAGCTTCATCCGAGATTTCTGGGCACGCGAAGCCCGCTATCGCTGGCCAATACGCAGAGATGCGTTAACTTTAACCGACGCCATTGCCAAGACACTTTTGAATCGGAGTGCGTTCCGTCGGATAGTAAAATAAAGACAGCAGAAATAGACGAGAGTTCCAGCTTCGTTGGGTGATCACCGATTACTATTTCCCCTCCTTTTTCGCAAGTCAAAAATGGATCTCCCCACTCTGAGGAAAATGTCAAGAGTGATTGGTCGATTTCAAATGACCCTGCAGTCAGTGGCAACGCGCATGTTGACAAGGCACTATGGATTTTTTAAGATCAGATGCACATTCAAATCTCACAGGCCGATTTTTAGGGTCTAGGTGTAAGCTAATATCCAAATCCGATCTCGTAAAATGTGAAAGCTCCTGTCTGGGCGCAGTAGAATGCAGAAGGAACCTCGCACAGGGTACCAACGTATCTTGTTTTCAAATGATCGAGCCTTCTGGAAGGTCAAAAACGCAAGCGCTATCATTGAGTAAAAATCAGATATATTTTTCAATTGTGCAGAGATGTTCCATCCTCTATCTCAATACGATTTCAAAGCTTCAGGAGGAAAAATGCCAACATAACAAGTGGATACATTCCTAGTCACGTGTTTGGAATCGGATATAGACGGATGTCGCGGATAAAGAACAAACCCCAACGGTACAGAAAGACATCCCACGAATTACTAGGATCACGTTAACACACCGCGGTGGACTTGGCTCGGATATGTCTGAGGTTTCAAATCCCCCCACTAGCAGCTGGCGCATTCCCAAGGCCTGCCAGGAGTGCCGAAAGCGCAAGATCCGCTGCAATGGCCTAAACCCGTGAGACCAACTCAACACCCCGACTACTGACCATGCCTGACGTGTTCTTCAAGGTGCAAAACATGCCAGCAAAGAAATACACCTTGCAACTATCGAGATTTTATCCGCCACAGGCGAAAGAAACACGAATATCGAGAGGCTCAAAATGAAACCCAGCCACCGCCAGCCTCTCCGGGCCTAACACAGCCAGCCCAGCCAGCCCAACAGCGAAGATCATCTTTTATGCATACTTTCCCGAATAGTGTCTCGGCGACACATATGGCATCGCCATCCTGTCAGATGCAGCTCTATTATGGACCGACTTCGCATTTTTCTTTGATGCAGCACATCTACAGGGACCTCGTATCCAACCCGACCGCACAACCAGAACCATCAGGCGGCGTGGATGAGGCTAGTGCAGGTTTGGACTTGTTCAGCTTCCGACGGATCTTCTTCGGCACGCCGGACAACCATGAACCTGGGAAATCAACTGGAGGGGGAGATACCCCAATCATGTTTTTGCCTCACGACGTTGCCCGGGTATTTATGTCACGATTCCTGTCTAGCCTCTATCATATGACACCGTACCGCTCAAAGGCCTACTATGAAAGCTGCCTAGAGCGGCTATACGACCCATCACCTTCTGCCCACCCCGATACACTTACTCAAGCTATCGTTCTGATCATTTTGGCGACGGCAGCCCTTGGTACCGAGTATTTTGCGTGGGGTGATATATTATACGATCGCGTCAAAGCTTCTCTTGCATCTTATGATGACGTTGTGAACTTGCAGACTATCCAAATATCTGTCCTCATGATAAGTCTCCCGAGGTCCCCATCGTTCACGTCTTATCAATTGAATTCCCAGCTGACATGATTAAACGCCAACTATCAGAATGAACAGGGTCGGCCCAATTCTGCATTCTTGCACCTCGGGGCAGCTTCTCGAAAAGCTATCTCGGCAGGACTACACAGAGGTGTTCCACATGACAATATTGAAAGTCCCGAGAATATCGAGGAACGACGAACTACCTTCTGGTCACTGTACATGTTTGAAACGTAAGTGGAGCACCCCACGGCGACTCTCCAAATCACTCTTCTAATTCGTGTGTCAGATGGTTTTGTTTCCATGCGGGTCGACCCAGCTCATTGTCATTGCGCGATGTCGCAATTGAATATCCACAAGATCCGTTCATCCGACTACTAGTCCAGCTATGCAAAACAATCTCACGGTCGACCACAGAAATTTATGGCGAACGTCACGAGTCGCTGCTACACATGTGGCGAGTTGCTCGGTCGATCACAGAAGACCTCCGCGCACACGAGTCGCACATGAAACAAGCATTGGGCTTCGGTCCTGATGCAGATCTCAGAACGGGATCCTTGGGTGTGCGGCAAACGATATTTGTAACGCGTAAGTCTGATGTCGCTTTCAAGTGTTTATAGTACATCTGTATCTAATCTCCCCAGTGTACTACCATACTGTTTTACTCACTTTCCGACCTTTTCTCATTTTTCGCGGGCATTGGCGACGAGGCAAGAAAATCCCGTCAAGTCAGTCGGCGGCTACTAGGATGCACAATCGCCCGAATGAAATCCCGTCATGGCTTAACGAAGCCTGTAACCATGCTCTTTCTGCTGCCCGAAAAACAATCCATCACTTATGCGAAGCCTCTGAGGCGAACGACTTGGTCAAGGTTTGTTGATAATATGAGTATCCTCGATTTTTCATTGTTCTGAAATATCTCACTAGGAACTGCGGTACCATGGTTATTTCATGGGCAGCTCGGTCTTCACAATCATTTACGACCTACTTAATGATCCAAGTGCTGCATCCACTCATCTCCCTTGGGCGTATGCAAGTCTGCAGAACCTATCGACAATGCGAGCGGGTGACCCAATTCAAAGTACAATCGGAGCCATTCAAACTGTACTGCGTAACATCAATCCATCATACGAATGGTTACCATACGCAAGTCAAACAAACGATTATTCCCTTCGCCGCGAGAACGCAATATCTTTTCCCCAGGGCTCTAGAGCTACAGAGAGTCAGCAGATTCAACCCGGTGCTCCACTCGCTGGGAACTCGTTCGCCGGCCCACTTCCTGACTTTCCCGCATCGCAGTGGAATTTCCCTCTGGAAGCACCCGAAACGGGGCGCTCAGGGGGATCGAGTGAAGATCTTCTCGACTTCACACAATCTGATATGGGTTGGAATTTTGATTTCTCAACTATGGATCTGGAAGCATTCTTCTCTCTCTATCCTCCCATTGACTCATCGGCTCCCCAGTAGGATCGTGGCAATGCCAAGGAAAAACTAATTCATGTATTACCATTCTATTCATATCATATTTTATCAATAAGCTTATCAATCCTCTCCTTCTAGGAAGTCAGTTCGTTAAATCTTAAATACAAAACTGGGGGAGAGTGCCCACAATCAACTTGAACCAAGCCCAAAACGGTGGAAATTCCAAGGTTGAGCATAGCATTTTATTGACCAGCAGAAAGATACAACCTCGTAGAAAAGGTGCAACTCTTAAATTTCCACTAATTCTGACGTTATCTGGCTCTTGTCTTTCGAAATACAGGTATGGTAGCAACTCAAAGAGCGGTTGCTCATCGTTCGCCGGCGTAAGTCAACAAATGGGCAAGCCCAACAACTTTACATGGATGTCGATACTGATGATGATGAATCCACTTCATATATCCGAAAGCGGGAAAGTAATTCTCAGGTCTTCCAAATCGGAGTTTTGATACAAAGTGGATCGGCGTGGATCACTCGGGACTCGGACTCGGAGGCTACTGATCAGGGAAGGGCGTGAAAGATAGTACATATATGCAGACCAATATATCCGGCGAGAAAGAGATATTGCCGGGCTCGGCTTTATAATTATCACTAACAAGGTGATTTGTTCACCTGGCGATACTTTTGTGACTCAGCATATCCGGGACCCATTTTAATAATAGTTCGCGCCATTTAGATCCGCAAGCCCCTTATCCTAGAGCCACGATCCACACCTTCGGAAATATGGATCTAGAGACAAAAAGAACAATTTGCAAGTTGGAATATAAGAAAAAAAATGGCCCCTGTCAAGATTCACCGAAATTTCAAGATCAGTATTTACAAACAGCGACTTGAGTCGTCCTTGGTTTTGCAAACCGAGTCTATTTACGCCATCAAAGGGCGCCCATTGGTCTTATATCATCAAAACCAAGATGGAGACCCCTTCATCCGGGACCGCAACACCAGTGGATGTGGAATTCGGCACCAGTCAAATTCGCAAACGCCTGACTGTCACATTTCGTGATCTCACTGTCCGGGTCACAGCACCCGATGCTGCCCTAGGTGATACGCTTTGGTCGGAGGTTGACCCACGACAGCTTAGCAATATATTCAATAAGAAAAAGTCAAAAAGGGTATGCAACGTGATACCAAATAAATATGACGCATAGCTAATAAACTTAAAGTCAATTCTCAACAATGTCTCTGGTCAAGTTCGGCCAGGGGAAATGGTAAATATTAACTGCTGCGAAATTTACAGGACTGGGGCTAACTGAAGTCCGCAGCTCCTCGTGCTTGGTAGACCAGGCTCCGGCTGCACCTCACTTCTTCGGGTGCTTTCAAATGATCGCGAAACTTTCGACGAAATCAGTGGTGACACCATGTACGGAAGTCTAGGCGACAAAGAGGCAAAGAAATACCGCCAGCAGATCATGTTCAACAATGAAGGTGTGCTTCCCGACACAATATTAAATTTAAATGCTACTAACGGAAGCTGGAAATAGACGATCTGCATTTTCCTACCCTCACTGTCAATCGGACCATGAAGTTCGCCTTACGAAACAAAGTTCCAAATGAAAGACCTGCTGACTTGGCTGATCGCAAAGACTTTGTGAGCGGAAAGAGAGATGACATCCTCAACTCTTTGGGAATTGGCCACACAAAAAAGACTCTTGTCGGAAATGAGTTCATTCGGGGAGTATCTGGAGGTGAACGCAAGCGTGTCTCACTCGCTGAAGTTCTTGCAGGACAGGTTCGTTCAATCTCCGGTCATTTATTTTCATTTACATGTAACAAATTAACACTCTGTTTGAATAGAGTCCTGTTCAAATGTGGGACAACCCCACACGAGGCTTGGATTCTAAGGCTGCGGTCGAATTCGCCCGTATGCTGCGCCGTGAAGCGGACGAAAATGAAAAGACCATGATTGCCACCACCTATCAAGCGGGCAATGGTATCTACGATCAGTTTGATAAAGTTTTGGTCCTCGCGGAAGGAAGAGTGACCTTTTATGGCCCTCGTTCCCTAGCAAAAGAGTACTTCGAAGGTATGGGGTTCGATTTCCCTAAGGGTGCTAATATTGCCGACTTTCTTACTTCTGTCACTGTCCTTACGGAGCGTATCGTTCGCCCCGGATGGGAGACAAAAGTTCCCAATACCCCTGAGGAATTTGAGCAAAGATACCACCAAAGTTCAATCTACCGCGACCAGATTGGTAGCATGGAGCCTACAGAAAAGCTTGCTCACGAAATTGAAGATCTGGAGCTTGCGGTGGCTAGAGAAAAGCGAAAGCATCATTTGCCTCGACAGAAGAGTGTCTATACCGCAGGTCTCTGGGAGCAAGTCGGCTCTTGTACTGTTCGTCAATTTCAGATCATGTGGGGTGACAAATTCTCCCTTGTGGTCAAAGTTGGCTCTGCTATTCTTCAAGCCTTGGTTTGCGGTTCCCTTTTCTACAACCTCGCTGAAGATAGCAGCTCCATTTTCCTGCGTCCTGGTGTTCTCTTTTTCCCCATCCTTTATTTCCTACTTGAATCTCTTTCAGAAACGACCAAGTCGTTTATGGGTCGCCCTATTCTCTCTCGACAAAAGCGCTTCGGATTCTACCGTCCCACGGCCTTCTGCATCGCAAACGCCATAACAGATGTCCCAGTTGTGATGGTGCAGGTAACATGCTTTTCGCTCATTTTGTATTTTATGTCAGCCCTTCAGATGGATGCCGGGCGATTCTTTACATTCTGGATCATCATTATCACCCAGACACTCTGTTTTGGTCAGCTTTTCCGATCGGTTGGTGCGACTTGCAAGACGTTTGGAAATGCTTCCAAGATATCCGGCTTACTCTCGACTGTCTTTTTCGTTTATGGAGGTATGTCAAATTGTTTTTCTCTTGTACTCTTCGGACTTTTATTGAAAGGAAACTGCAGGCTACTTGATTCCTTTTGAAAGCATGCACGTCTGGTTTAGATGGATATTTTATCTAAACCCCGGAGCGTATGCATTCGAGGCGCTCATGGCAAACGAGTTTGTGGGGCGGGAATTCCAATGCATCGAGCCTGATTATATTCCATACGGTGCAGGCTACTCTAGCTCGGAATCGATTCACAGGGGCTGCTCAGTCCCTGGAAGTAAAAATGGCATGATCAGCGGAGAGGCCTATATCCGGGAGCAATATAGCTATTCCTTCCATCACATCTGGCGCAGTTTCGGTATCATCGTCGGATTTTGGATCTTCTTTATCGGTCTTACTTCGCTGGGATTCGAGTTAAAGAACAGTCAAGGTGGGTCTTCTGTGTTGCTTTACAAGCGTGGAAGCGAGAAACAGTCTCAAGTTGGGGAAAAAGAAATGCCAGCCAAGAATGGGCAATCTGGAGATATGGTCGCTCTCCGGGGTTCAGTCAAGCACTCGACATTTACATGGAACAATCTTGACTATCATGTTCCCTTCAATGGTGAAAAAAAACAGTTGCTTGATAAGGTTTTTGGTTTCGTAAAACCTGGAAATCTGGTTGCTTTGATGGGAGCCTCTGGTGCTGGAAAGACAACGTGAGTAAAGGATAGTGTTATATCTGGTTAAGGTTTCTAAATAATTGATTGCCAGGTTACTTGATGTTCTTGCTCAACGCAAAGATTCTGGTGAAATCTACGGATCGATTCTCATTGATGGACGCCCTCAGGGGATCAGCTTTCAACGAATGACTGGATACTGTGAGCAGTTGGATGTGCACGAGTCGAGTGCGACCGTGCGAGAGGCACTCATCTTTTCTGCGGTTCTTCGACAGCCGTCCAGCACATCCTATGAAGATAAAATTGCCTATGTTGACCACATAATCAATCTTTTGGAGCTTCGTGATATCAGTGATGCGCTGATTGGAGGTGAGTCCCAAACTCACTCATTCAAACGGCTTAGTATTAACTGCTTCTAGTACCCGGGGCTGGTCTCAGTATTGAGCAGCGCAAGCGCGTAACTCTTGGTGTTGAGCTTGTGGCGAAGCCTACTTTGCTTTTCCTGGATGAACCAACCTCTGGTCTAGATGGTCAGAGTGCTTACAACATTGTGCGGTTTCTCCGAAAGCTTGTCGATGGAGGTCAAGCCGTATTGGTAATTTCATTTCTTATACGTTCACCGATTGTGACGACTAATTTGCTATAGTGTACGATTCACCAGCCTTCTGCCGTCCTATTCGATGCATTCGACGGTCTCTTACTGCTGGCAAAGGGTGGCAAAATGACTTACTTTGGCGAAAGTAAGCATTCTACCCCATATATTCAGCTTGGCTATGACTAATAATTTCTCAGCTGGCCAAGAGTCAAACAAGATTTTGGATTATTTTTCACGCAACGGTGCCCGTGCCCACCAGATGCCAATCCCGCTGAACACATCATTGATGTAATTCAAGGAAGTGCTAATAGTGGTGTCGACTGGGTTGACGTTTGGAAAAACTCAGAAGAGCGAAAAACTGCATTGAAAGAGCTTGACGCTTTGAACGCGGCCGGCATGGCCGATCCCGATTATGTGGAGGATACTGCGGATTTTGCTACCTCGCGCTGGTTTCAGTTCAAGATGGTGTCAAAACGCCTGACCATTCAGATCTGGCGGTCACCTGTAAGAAACCTCGATCATACTACTCGCTTGAAACCCCCTGCAGCAAATCCACTAACAATCAAAAAGGATTATATGTGGAACAAGATGATTCTCCATATCTTCGCGGCTTTATTCAGCGGCTTCACGTTTTGGAAGATTGGGGACGGCACCTTTTCTCTTCAACTACGACTTTTCGCCATTTTCAACTTCATTTTTGTGGCTCCCGGTTGTATTAACCAGATGCAGCCTTTCTTCCTGCATAACCGCGATATCTTTGAGACTCGCGAAAAGAAGGTAACTCACATCTCCGACTTCCCAGTCACGGAAACTTTACTAACCTAAACTGAAATTTTCAGTCGAAAACCTATCACTGGATTGCTTTCATTGGTGCCCAAACTATCACCGAGATTCCCTATCTGATCATCTGTGCAACTCTTTATTTTGTTTGCTTCTATTTCACCGCAGGATTCCAAAATCTTGCGAGCATCTCGGGTCACTTTTACCTTCAAATGATATGTAAGTGCCATATTTCCATTATTCCTCGTCCATATCAGCTTGAACTAACTCATCGATAGTCTATGAGTTTTTGTATACCTCGATCGGTCAGGCTATCGCGGCTTACGCACCAAATGAGTATTTTGCTGCGGTCATGAACCCCGTCCTGATTGGAGCTGGACTGGTCAGCTTTTGTGGTGTTGTTGTGCCTTACAGCCAAATGCAGCCATTCTGGCGCTATTGGATGTACTATCTTGACCCGTTCACATATCTTGTGGGTGGTCTTCTTGGCGAGGTCCTTTGGGATGTCAAGGTTCAATGCGAACCATCTGAATATATCACATTCAGCGCTCCATCTGGTCAGAACTGTGGTGAATACATGGCAGACTTTCTTTCAACCCAGGCTGGCTATTTACTGGATTCAAATTCAACGGATACTTGCTCTTTTTGTCAATACTCCTCGGGTGCCGACTACGCCAAAACTTTCAACTTACAGGAGAAATATTACTCCTGGAGAGACGTGAGTGTTCTCCGCCCTTCACATAGCCAATGCTCTAACATGTTGAAATAGACTGGAATTACAGCCCTCTTTTGCATTAGCTCTTATGCTCTTGTATTTTGCATGATGAAGCTTAGGAGCAAGAAAACCAAAAGCGCTCGATCCGAGTGAAAATCTGCTATTCATCTTGAGACGGCCTTTCAGCCCCCATCTTGCCACTTTCATTTTTCATCATTTTGATCTTCACATCTTGCTTTTTGTTTTCCTAGGCAATACCTTCCTTCCCAAAAACTTTTAATTTGTCCCTTGCACTTTGTTACTTTAGATATAGAGATAGATAATAGAACGTGAAACCAATATCCCCTCGTTAATTGTTCTTAAACATAAGAGAGTTAATCCAGATTTTGCAGCATTTAAAACGTAGCCTTTGCCAGGTTTGAGGCCATATTTCCATCATTGAAAGGAACATTTGCGTCACCGAAATCAGTAGTATCCAATGCAGTTTGTGCGACTGTTGGCAAGGATTCCCAGGCAATAAGGGGCTGCGTGCCACCGACGGTGGTAGTGAGCCCACACTGATGGTCCACAGGCCAGATGCTATAATATCTAACCAATGGTGAAGTTCCAGAAAGCGTGTATTCATCCGTCGAGCAATCCCAACCACCGTGGGCACTGGGGCAGACAGCGACGATGTTGTCGGATGTTGTCTTTGTAGAATCGGACAACCAGACAATCACACCCTCCCAGTCATGTCTATGACCGAGACCTGATGAGGGCTCGTCTTTCGGCATGTACCAAGAGTATAGCAACGCGTAGTAGTCGCCAGAGGCCTCTCCTCGCACGTAAATTTGGCCGGTGCTGCTGCTGCAGTCCCCATCCGAAGCGCCAGTTATAGCCAACCCAGCACTATTATTGTTAGACCTGGGCCCTATAATAGTATACTTTGCGATATCAATACTCACTTAGTGTCTCCGGCTGCATCAACAGCCGGGAACGGCACACATCCATTGACAACATACAAGTGTGGCTGGTAGGCCAGATAGACTTCGCCGGTTGTGCCCGACGGCACTGTCTGCGCAAAGCCGACTATTTCATCAGAATCGACTGTTCCCCGACGAGAGATTCCTTGTCTAGGAGATGCCGCGGATAAATGGGCGATAGATAGAAAGCCTAGAAGCACCCGAGAAATCATTTTTGACCTGGTTACTTAATGTGAAGAATCTTTAGTGATGTCCTTTCTCCCCGTCCACTGCCGCCTTTATATCTCTTCCCGATCGTCCTAAGACCTTCCCATAAAGAACTGGTATTAACCAATATAGTAAGACCGCCGAATTCTGCAGGACCGGAGAATACCCAAGTTGAAAATGGTCTCCGGTCGTCGATCCCGAATCGGGATAGTGGCCGAGAAATACCCCGCTGGGTTTTGAGGAGGTCGATCCTCGTGGGTTTTGGAATATCAATGATTCGCTTCACCTGACCTTCTTTATTTCGCTTGGAAATAGCTTTCTAGCCTCATGAAGACTCATGCAGGCACCGTTCTATCCGCAGCAATCTAATCCACGCACGTGGCTTGAAGGTAGTATCGCAAGAAATTCACGGCTCCTTAAACAGGAATAGCAAACCGCGTCATGTTTTTTAATAGGATGAAAATCAGAGCTACAAAGCGATTTATCGGGTACTAGCAGTAATGCACTACACTATATACCTGAGAAATTTCCGCCAATCAGGATAGGCAGGTGAGCAGGTTGCTGAGTTTCTTCAGGACAACCTCCTGCATAGTGGCGTTTGCATCTCCCTTGGTACCTGCCATGCCAACCGATACACTTGCATAGCATCCCGAGGTCAAAGAGACTCCAATCTCGCTTGGTAGTCGATCTCCACCACAAGTAGTAACATCTTCCGGCGTAACTAGAGGCACCGCAACATGAATACGCGACAATACAAAGGAAAAGTCTTCGGCTTTGGTGCACTCGGAATCCGAAACAGACGGAAAGTTAACGTTGAGCCAAATCTAAGACACTCCGTTAGTCCACGCTGCTGGAGTAGGATGCGGATGACTTACATCATTTGGAAGATAGGGCAATCCGGCCGCAACAAGGTGGTTGGTCAGGTTGGTAGCTGCATCAGCATAGACCTGGCTATAGTTGGGATAACTTGAAGATGCATTCCAAGCTGTCTGAGAGCCAGTCGCTCCAGAAAACGCGATAGCAGGAATGCCAGCATAATGTGCCGCATAGGTAGCTGCTCCAGCCGTTCCGGATAGGTAAACCGCGAGTCCGATGTTAGAACCAACCTGCTGCTATCAGTACCACTCTCGTTATGAATAACTAAAGCTTCAGGGACATACATTTGGTCCTGCGACCGCAAGATCGGGAAGACCATCGAAAAATTGAGGTCCGATCGAATTGATACCATACTTCATTGAAGTTGCGGGGTATGAATTGACATAATTCAGACGAGGCTCTGAGGCATTATGCCCTACGGCCGGACTACCAGAAGGGCAGCTATTGAACTCACACGCCTCAGAAAGTGTCGTTGGAGTACCCTGAGTAGACCCTGTAGAAGATATTAATGACAGTCACACAAGGTGGTGGCAAACATATAGCGAACCTTTTCCACTCTCGTTCTGTGCAGGCGCCGAGACAACAACTGAGTGATCAGCTGCTGTCAAAGAGTCGAAGAATGCACGAATGTTCACTTCCGCCCAGCCATCATCATTTGACGAGATAATATTGACCGCCAAGGACGACTTCGCGAGGGCAAGGGAACCGACAAGCGCAGGGAGAGCGTTGACTCGCATCGTGAAAATGCCTTTAAGGTGACAGCTTCGAGACCGATCATCCAACCCGATCATTCACCAGGCACCCTTTTATACGGACGGGCAGTCAACTCAAACGCGGATCCATCGGCTGATGAGCGGATCCATGCTCCCGTGTCTCCTGGTGATCGCATACCTTGTTTGGTGCAACATCCACCAGCTCCGTAAGCGACCCCACTGAGTACGTCTACGAACCAACGATTGGTCGCACGTGCGAAACGGGCCTGCATAAATCGCGCTATGCTCAATATGCCATCTCCCCAGGAAGGTCCCATCGTATAGATTACGACGGCTCGGCTCCACTGACGTTTAGCTACCGAGATCGACTGAAATATGTATTACAGAGCCACGATGTCTCTTCATCGCACCACAGAGCAACTCTTGAAGAAAATCGACATAATCGTTACGAATTCGAAACAAACTGTCTTATTTCTCGTGTTTTCTCTGTGGGTTATGGTTGATTAACATTAAACGATGCACCATGGCAAAAAATGGTATTAAGCTATCTCTCTAATGTCATGGTCAGTAAGTAGTAGACAGCGACCGGGTCGATTCATTGTCTGGGATATTTGATGAGAAATAGATAAACAAGATATAAATAGGGGGGCGGGCAAATATTTGTCTACCATATTCGTCATGTAAATATAGTATGCACTCTAAAAGAATCATAGAAAGAGAGTTCAGGGCTCAGACTATGGATGGAAACGCGGAAACTCAGCAAACGTACGCGGAGGTAACTATGATTCCGTCTGGTACGAGAACTGGGAGATGTAAAAGTAGTGTGATTCATAGAATGATCGATCGTGCTCCACTGCCTTTTTTGAGGCTGTGGGTTTGTCATTCTGGAATAATCTGGCAGATCTCCTCCCCCCCCGCTCATGTCGGGGAAAAGTCAAAATGGCAACCGAGGCCTCACAGAGATAGGTCCCGTAAGTGGCGTCCGGACTCACCAGATGATGATTTTAAACATTCATCACTGGAGGGACAAGGCAAAAACAAAAGCGGGGTTCATGTAAACTGTCATTTTTCCCCCGTTGTATATGCATTATGGCTTCCAAGCCATGCCTAATTGTCCAGGTGCCGAGTCCACGAATCCATTTCTGTAATATAACCTCCGGCCGGGTTCGTCGGCAAAAAGCGTGATGTAGGGTTTGCCATCTGCAGGGGATTCTGCATGGATTCTCTGAAGAAGCGCCTTGAGGATCACACTCCCGAGTCCCTTCTTTTGATGTTCAGGATGGACGGCCATATCGGCGATATGGAAATACCAGCCCCCATCGCCAATTATTCTTCCCATTCCGATCGGCAGTGACTCTTCACCAGGTGCATCGTATGTGATGTAGCAACCATGCCAACTTCCCATGGAAACGGCGGTGGCCTGTGATTGTGTTTTTGGGGACAACCCGGATGCTGCGCGAAGGTGTAGATAATGAGGAACTGAAGGGTAGCCATCGTGGAGACTGTATCCCATAGGAAGCTTGTTGTGACCATCTAAACTCATTTTTAAGGGTTGTAATGTTTGATTTCGGAGTGATACGCGTAGACTTTTGGAGAACCTGACGCGTGCGACGCGGTAGGAGTTCGCGGGGAACAAGTGCTCGGTTTTAAACCAATCGGAGTTTTTAGTCCGGGGTAGTATTTTCCGGCAAAACATAAGGCGTATCGAACAATTTATTTGCTTTATTTTATCAAATAATACTTACGGTGGAAGTCGAATGATAAAAATCAAATAATGCTAGCCTTGGAACATAATGCTAAAAGGACAGAAATATTCAGGAAGAAATACAATTCGAACTTAGCGACTTCAGAGCACTCCAACATCCCCTTCCTTGGCTATGATGGATGTCAACATTTCAAGAGGTCGGGACACACTGAGAGTAATAATCATTGTACGCAGTGCAGGTTGCTTGCGAGCTGCACTGCGTCGCACCAGACCATCCACTACCTCCGCATTGGCCGTAAACTGATTGGGTTGAGGCACTGCCTCCACTGGAGCTTGTCGTGGTTGTCAAAGTTGTCGATTGGCTAGTAGTGTTAGAAGTAGTGGTACTAGCTCTAGTAGTAGACGACGTGGTAGATGATCCACCGTTCAATGAAGTGGTTGTAGTTGTGGTCGCAGTCGTGCCAGCACTTGTCGTCGTGGCGCCCCCTGATCCTGATCCTGTAACCGGAGTTCCAGTAGCAGTGATCGCAGAAGAGGCTTGGCTGATGGAGACAGCTCCGCTATACAAAGTTGGGCCCGGCACAACATAAGTCGAAAGTGAAGCGTAGATATTCACCAGGATTCCTGGATCTGTTGAACTGTAGAGAGAGGTACCAAGGACGCCCGAAGGCGCGTCGCTTCCCGAGCCAGTGATTTGCAGGTTGAAGCACTGAGGATAGTTCTGGGCACCGTCTTCTGATCCTGCACTATGAAGCGCAATAAGCTCATGTCTCATCACGTAGTTTCCGGGTGCAATCGAGGGCGGAATTTCGACCATCCAGCTATTGTTGTTTTCAATCAATTGGTCATCCCCCCAAATTCCTGGAACTGTGGTATCATCAACAAGACCCACCCCATCAATCTTGAAGAATTTCAGAGTTGTCTTGTCAACACTCTCGCAAGAATCTCCACAGTTAGCTAGGTAAGTGATGACGGGACCATGGTGCGAATCTGGCCAAGTGGTCCATTGTAGGCTAATCTTGTCTCCGGCGGCCACGACAGCATGTCCTTTGGCATTGGTTGCATTCAAATGGCAGATAATGTCGTCAGTCGCGTAGGCGTCTTACATTTTCAGTTAGTCCACAGGGGATAAATTTTGGGCCGCGATACGAAAGCCGTGGGAGGTCGTCATACCTGGTGAAATGAATCCATTTGAAGTGTTAGGAGTACCCCATGCGACAACAGTCGGCGGATCAGACGAATACGGATATGAGTTAATATCCCATCCATCATAACTGACACCGTTTATGACAATATTGCTAATATGCCCATGGCTGGCCACCAGTGTGGCAAGAAAAATCGGCGTGACAATCTGCAGCATTTTCAAAATATTTAATCTTTGGTGAAAAGAAACCTTGAAAAAAAGGATTGTTTGTGGTATTATAACTCTTGTTCGTCGAGTCGCTCGAGTGATTCAAATCCTTTCCAAGTGGTGACAGCGACTTGGTTTTTATGCTTCATCAATCTTTCTCGACGGGGCCTCCTCCGTAAGTTCAAACCATCGCTGGTTTCGAGTCAACCGGGAATGCCAATAGCTAACTACAGATAAATTAGCTTTTTGCTAGTCAAATCTGCACGGAGCTTAGTGGCGTGAAGAAATGTCAGGCTAAAGAGCGCCACTGAAAGAATAATCACTTATATAGAGCCAAGCCCTACCCGGGCAGGAATTAGTGACAGGCGGAAATTTAAATCAATGAAGTCCACGAATTTCATATTCACAACTTGAAACCTAATCCAAGACGGACGTCCTTGATTTACCCCTGGTTGGCGCCGGGAGAATAGAGCAACGCAAGACTAGGCGCCCTTGGCAAAGCGGAACGCCAACGTGTTTTTCTACAGCCCCGTATCGTTTCAGGACATCTCAAACGGAAGGCTTTCTGATTTGGTCACATAGACTGAAGCCAAGAATCTTCATCAGGTATGACAAGCTCTTGGTTCTAAATTCCTGCATATACCAGTAGCATTAAATAGCCCTCCGGAGAAGTACCTTCCCAAGACTCGCTTCCAAGATTGACATTCAGTTCTTTTAAAATGTATGGATATTACTAGTAGTAGTATTATATTTCGCTCGGTGCTTAGGTGGGCCTTTTTTGGGTAAATAGAAACTTGAAGTATTGAAGTTCCGAGTCTGTGACGAGTCTGCTCTCTCTCGCATACTAGTACCATCTACCCTCGTAGCTAACTTGAATCTTGAAGCTTCCTTCGAATACTAGTAGTATACAGTATGCTATCTATCCGGAACTTGTTTTCAATTACAAACCCAGATGACACAGCCCTGTTGACAACCCTAATCTACGCTACATGTATCACGGATCTTCCGTCCCTTGCGGGCATTGGAAGAGGATTTCTACCAATTCGGGTCGGGTCATCTGAGCCTGGCAGGGTATTGGTATTAATGATAATTCCCAAGGCTTTCCGGTTGAAATGCATGTCACCTTAATGGGTGCGAAACTTTGTATATCCCTGTTCATTAATTGTACATTCTTCTTGCATGAACCTTCATATTAATTATCGTTGCTCAGGCCTCCATGCGATCTGAAGGCCCACGTCTTTCAACGCGGGGCCGCCAAGAAGGATCACTCAGTTTAGACTGATGCGGGGATCATGGGGTTAGAATAAAGCTGACATTCTCTATCAGCCACGGGACTGAGATCCGCTGTTCAGCCGTGTGGTGCCATTTCGCATATATCCTATACAGGACTGGAAAAATGGCTTCATTAGAAGGAGGCATCCGCATATGATCGCCACGTCGAGTTCCAAGATTGTCCAGAGCAAGGTAAAGGAGCTGTGTGCTATGGAAAAATCACTAGTTCAGCAATGGGATGCCTTTCTGTTGGAAAAAATAACCCACCTGTTAAGTTCTCTGTTTGGAATTCTCTCAATGCAATCAATCGAAAAACGCTGAATATGCAGACTCTGTAGACAATTAGCACTCGGGTTTTACTCTGCTTGGGGTTTTTCGCATACATGCAACCAATTGAGAATAGCAGCGTGATCTCAATCTTCTGTCGCAATGGGGTCTGTAGCTTCCATACTATCGGTAGTGGCAGGCATAGAATGAGCACATCTTGGGCCAGCGATACAGAACCAATGATAATGAAAAACGTGTTCTGGCCACTCATACAGTCGCCTTGTATGTGTTTGATCCAATAGTATTGTACTGGCCAGCATTGGAAGGTATTTCCCACTATCGCAGTAATCCCCCACGCGACCACTAGAACGATGACCATTGTTGCGTATATTCTGAAACTTGGAACGCAATCAAGGAGGCGGCGAAGGAAAAGAATGATGGAAATTTTGACGAAGATTTGAGCAGCGGGCCAGAACTTCTGGAGAATCCAGTCGGCCTATGTAGAAGTCAGACAGCCCGATAACTTGAGGTTTGACTCTATTTTGCGTTTCATACCAGTGCAATACTACCCCGTTCTCTAGGCTCTAATGTCCAAATAGTTCTCCCATTCCCAATGCCCTTGAAGGCCGCTGGAAATACCGAAAGATTGAGTAACAGTCGGTCATCGTAGGGCAGAGTGACTTACCGTATACAGTACAAACTGCAACACCCCAGGTAAAGATCAGACCTATGCCCATGAACACGTCCTCGACTCGCAGTTTCTGTATGACCATATGCCGAGCATAAAGACGAAGTGCGTAGATGATTGTCGCGACAGCCGTGCCAACTATTGGTACGACTATCAGTACTTTTCTCCAATGTGTCTCGGCGGTTTGAGCCATGGTGACCCTCGCGACCGTGTAATTTCGGGCACGTCTTCTTGGAAGAGGTTATCCAGAGCGCTCTGGATTTGACTTGCGTGTTCATCGGACTTGTTCGGCATGGTATTTCGGTGAAGGTCTAAATTGGCAGCGAATTAGGACCATGGTGGGACGCGACGAGATAGATCGCTTGAAGAGACGAAGAGAAAGACAGTGAGGTTATTAAGCAGCTTTGATGGAAGAAAAGGCTTACATGGGGAGATTTGGAAGTTCATTTCGTTTTCGTGTTATGGAAAGCTCATTTCGAAGACGTCACCTTTTTTGCCCCCAAATTTGCCTCCAACTTCGCTCGATTTGCTCGATTTGTTCTCCACCAACCCCCAAATCTCCCCACCACGCGGGACTGTCTTCCTTGGAGCCTCAACCCACGGTTCACCAGTTCACTATCCACCACTATGGCAAGTCTGGACTCTTTATATGATAGGGATTATCCTCCAGGTCTGAGCGAGGATCGTCTGTTTTCCCTGGTATCACAGATCAAGGTAAAATCATTGAAAATCATTTCCCCGTCTCGATACGGTTCCCCCCTCCCTTCGGCGGTCGCAATTAACAACGCATAATAGGATTGGCAGATCAACCACGGTTCGCTGTTGAAGCAAGTCGATTCGGAGACAGAGAATAGTGTTCTCTCATATCCCGTCGGTGTTAGCGTGAGTGGTGTTTCCTGGACTCGACCTGCGGTGCGATTCATTCTAACCATTATGTCCAGTGTTTTCCTTCCCCTTGCCCCGGGCGCAATTTGAGCAGGCATTAGAACTGCAAGAAACTTACAACAAGCTATATTGTTCTATTTCCGAGGATGATGAATGGATCTACGAAGCGATCAAGGACATCATCGCGGTTGAGCCCCTCGCTGAGGCTCTGTGGGGGATATACGAGGCCGCGAAAGATGCAGGATATGCACAGGAAATCTCTGCCGGTGTCTTTCGGTCCGATTATATGTTCCATCTGAGGGAAGATCATGATGCAGCTTCAGCTGATCGATGGGCAGGCTTATCGAAAACAACATTGAAGCAAGTCGAATTCAACTCGTTCTCGTGCTCCGGGTTTTCGCATGCGAACAAAGCTGCCAACATGCACCGGCATCTTGCAAGAATCGGGGTCTATGATATGGATGACAAGCCCTTTCCTGTCGACTCTCTACCTGAAAATCATAATATCAATTCGGTCGCCTCGATTCTTGCGCTGGCACACAAAAAGTATGGCCCGCCAAAGAGCAAACTGGCAAGCAGGACAGCGATCCTATTCATTGTTCAGCCATACAATGTCAGTCCCACCCATTCCTAACGGGTCAAGACAGTAGTATTAACTCTGAATTTAGTTCAACATCGCAGATGAACGACCGATCGAGTACGCCTTATGGAATCAAGATGATGTTGTTCCAAATTACCGGCTTGATTTCCCAGATATACTCGAATATACCCAGCTCACTGAAGACCGGGCATTACTCTTCCACCCACCATGGCTCGCATCAAAGAAACCAGTGGAAATATCAGTGGTCTATCAAAGAGCCGGTTATGAAGCGGGTGAATACAACAAAACCGGCTGGGATGCCCGCTTGCAGTTAGAGAAATCCACTGCAATTAAATGTCCCTCGGTGCTGGGACACTTGACAACTTTCAAGAAAGTCCAGCAGGCTTTGACGGAGCCAGGGGCATTAGAGCGATTTCTATCTCCCTCCGAAGTCGCCAGAATCCGTGAGACATTTGTTCCGGTCCATCGGTTGGACGAATCCACAGAAGGTCTGGAAGCTCGGAGGATAGCCTGCGATCCTAAACGCTCGACCAATTATATTCTCAAGCCATCCCTCGAGGGGGGTGGCAACAATGTATACGGGAATGCGATTCCGGCATTTTTAAACTCAACTCCGAGCTCACACTGGTCAAAGTATATTCTTATGGAGAAGATCCACCCCCCAGACGCGGACAATCTCCTGATAGGATCCGCATGTCTCGACGGTGGGCAGACAGTCTCCGAACTAGGCGTGTTGGGATGCTGTTTGTGGCAGCGAACAACGGCCAAGAAGTCTGGCACTCGATGTGACATGCTCCAGAATTCGGCTGGGGGCTGGACTTTCAAGACCAAATTCGCCGATATCGACGAGATGAGCGTAGTGAAAGGATATGGATGTTTTGATACGCCATACCTAGTTGATTTCTAATCTACCACATTTTACGACATGCATCTCAATAAACGCTGAGTGGTTTGTGCGTCCCTTAAGGCTGCATCACCAATTGCATCACTTTCAGCCTCTTGCAATGAACATCTGCGGAGCAATCTGTTTTGCAATTTTTCTCCGAGTCACCACCTCTCGGCCCGATCAATTATCTGGATCTAGCGCTTATAGGCAACTAATCCGAGCCTGTCGTAATTACCAACTCCTCGGTGAACCAGACCGATCACATCAGCACAAACATGATCATACGTGAAGCAGAATTTTCACGCCAACTCATGCCTTGGGGGTAGCCTGGCCAAGACTTGAGTGGGACGATGTAGCATATGGCCCCCATCTAAACTCCGAGGGATCGGCTCGCGAGATGTACATGCTTGATCCATCAAGCAATTGACCGGTCCGAAATCCGGACCCCTATAGCATTGCAACAGACCGACGAAATCTCCCGGAATCGGCAGAAATCAAGGCGACTGTCGAAGCATCGCCGAGCAAAGTCTTGTAATATAATGGCGTGGTGCCTCGAAACCCAAAATTCCTGGACACGGACGGTACTGCGAGAGATAAACTTCCAGCCCCAAGTCCACCATGTGCTTTTCCAGGAGATTTTCCCCCCCACGCCAAGTGCACGCGATGCCCCCTTTGTATCAATCAGCCAATGAGGATCAACTGAAGTGTCATTGGAAGGCCTACCCCGGTTTCACGCCCCATGGAGTGGCTTCTTGGCATTCGCGGCACAGACGCCTCTCCGTGCGGAAGTTCACCGAGGTTTATCCAGCGTTGAACGAAGTGCTCATGAGGAATTTTCTGCTTCCTTGACATCTATTGCTGCTATTAAATTTTTATTTCTATCGTGGCCTAAGTTTGTCGCTTCCGAACTACTAGAAGTGAAGCTGTTGACCAGTCAACTGTACTCTGTACAGTACGTTGCACGCCACTTCTTTGCGGGTCAGGCAGGATCAGGTTGCCGGTGTAACCTCGGCCAGAAAAAAACGGAAAAAATAAATAAAAACTAAACTAAAATAACTAGCCCAAGCTACCGGCGATGCCGTCGAATAGAAATGATCGGCCATCTGTCTCGTCTCGGGATGCAAGCTATCTTGGCGCTGTTCCCCAGCCTGGGCCGACTCCGTTCTGTCCCACCGATAGTCGGGGTTGGGAATCTGGGGTGCGCAACGAGATGCCAGATGCATGATGGAATGCCGAGCTCCATAACGCTATACTCTACGGAGTACGCGAGGTTGAATCCATAATTTACTTTTTGATAATTTGCCTCATCTATGCCCCTCAATTCACACTCCCCATGCCCCCCGGAAGTTCCCCGCATCACAAGGACCCCCCGGTCTTGCGAGGCTATTAAAGGCCTTCCCCTCGTATTCACCAGCTGGTGATCTTTTTTCCCTTCCTTCTCTACGATATTCTCCCTCTCTTTTTCCTTTTATTTCGCGGAAAAACTTCACAGTTTTATTTCTCAAGTCGATCTTGATCTTACTGTGAAATCGCCCACCATGGCTGGCGGTGCGAAGAAGCCTATCAACATCTTCCGGTTGAAGAATACCGGCGAACCGTCGGAAATCTTCAACTGGAAGCTTTGGTTTGCGGTTGTTTCATTTGGTTTGATGGGAGCGGCGCGTGGTATCGATGAAGGTCTCATTTCTGGTGCTTTCAACTCCAAGGACTTCCAACGATATATCAATTATGAATCCTACTCCGTATCTGAACAGACCAACATCAAGGCCAATGTCACCGCCATGGTGCAAATTGGCTCTGTTGGCGGTGCTCTTTTGTAAGTTTGGCGGGTTCTCTTTTTCTGAGTTTCCTTGTCTTCCTGTTGCTAATCTATACCTTGTCAACAGCGCCTTCTTGGTCTGTGATCGCATCGGTCGTATCTGGGCCACTCGTCAACTCTGTGTCCTTTGGATCATCGGTATGGCTATTTTCATGGGTAACAACGGTTCTCTCGGTGCTGTCTACGCTGGTCGTTTCATCGCTGGACTCGGTGTTGGTCAGACTGTCGTTGTCGCACCTGTGTACCTTGCGGAAATTGTAAGTCCAAACATCACTCCTCCCCTCCCTCCCCGCCATCAAGAAGTTGAATTCTAATCAAACTTGAATATCAGGCCCCAGCTGCTATTCGAGGTCTCTGTACCTGCGTCTTCACTGGTTTTGTCTATCTCGGTATGTTGTCTCCAGCCAAGAAAGTCTAAGCATCTCAAGACTTGGCGCGGTGCTTGTTTTCGGTGATCGACTGTTATTAACAACTTCTTTCTTGGCAGGTATCGTCCTCGCGTATTTTGCAAACTATGGATGCCAAGTCAATCTCGGAGATAACACTCACAACCGATGGGTACGTTCTTACTCCTCTTCATCTCCCCATCGCCGATCCCCGTTGGTAGTCGCTAATACCCCACATAGGAGGTTCCCACCAGTCTTCACATTATCTTCGCCGGCCTGATCTTCTGCCTCTCCTTCCTTCAGTATGAGTCCCCTCGATACCTTGTCAAGTGCGGCAAAAATGAAGAAGCCGTGGAGAATCTTGCCCGAATCCGTGGTCTCCCCGCCGATCACGAATACGTCGTGAATGAGATCAACGCTATTCAGAGCGCTCACCAGATGGAAATGGAGGCTACAATGGGATCAGGTCCGATCGGCATCCTCAAGGAGACCTTCCTCGTTCCCTCCAACCTATACCGGGTGTACCTCACTCTCATGGCTCAGATTCTCTCCCAGTGGTCCGGCGCCGGCTCTATCACCGTTTATGCTACCGATCTCTTCAAGCTCCTGGGGATCACCGGAAGTAACGAGAATCTCTTGGTGACCGCCGTCTTCGGTATCATCAAGCTTGTCGCCGCTGTTGCATGCGCTCTTTTCCTGGTCGACGTGATCGGTCGCAAGCGCGCCCTACTACTCGGAATCACCTTTCAGGCCATCGCCATGCTATACATCGCCGGCTTCCTCACAGCTGTACCTGAGATGGGCGTGGTAGATGGGTTCATCCTACCCGAGAACCAGAAGGGAGCTAGCAGGGGTGCTATCGCTATGATCTATATCTCCGGATTTGGCTGGGCCCTGGGCTGGAACTCGATGCAATACCTGCTCACTGCAGAACTGTTCCCTCTACGCATTCGTGCTCTGGGCACCTCGCTCTCCATGACCCTCCACTTCGCCAACCAATATGGTAACTCTCGTGCCGTGCCCAACATGCTTCTTCCCGTTGCCGACGGTGGTATTAGTCCCAAGGGCACTTTCTGGTGCTTTGCTGCCGTGACGATTCTCGGTGGTGTGTGGGTGTGGTTCAGTGTTCCGGAGACGGCTGGTCGGTCTCTTGAGAGCATGGATCGTCTGTTCTCTCTACCTTGGTACCAGATTGGTCGTCACGGTAATGCGGAGGCTGAGCTGCAGGATGCGGCGGTGGATGAGAAGATGGAGGCGATGGCCACGCAGCAGGGTACTGTGGCCCATGTGGAACGCTCGGGCTCCCACGTTTAGTGTGATTTCGGGTTCACACTGGTAAATACTAGTGATAATTAAATACATACTAGTATTTTGAATATGAATATGAGTTATGACAGTCCGAATCTCTTCTCTTTCCTTCGTCGAAGCAGTAATTATCCATAGCCTTCGAACTTGAAGTTCACATGTGAAGTTTCAATACCAAGTGTACTACTAGTACCGTGATTCGAGAGAGATAGTCAGCCCTCCTGGGCAGAGTCCATATAGAGTAGTACTGTAATCACAAAAAGAGTACTACTAGTACCTACTAGGTAGTAGAATTACCGTGAACGTTTCATTCAAATAATGATTTCGACAGCCATCATTGGGTATTTTCAAATTCAAGTCGGACTTCAGTCCCAGCCCCGGGGCCTCCAGGGCTGTAGTGAGCTCTTTAAGCTTTAGGTGACAAGATTGATTCAAGTTCCAACTTCCAAGGTTCGAGTTGCAAGCCCAAGGCCCCGGGGCTGCCCAGGTGGATACTGGTACTACTTTTGAAGGAACTTGAAGGTTCCGACGAGTCCGAGTCCGAGTCGTGGTGCACTAGTACCTTCCCAGTTACCAGTGGGTACCGTGTCCAGCCTAAGGTGGATGGTGGTACCAATATCACGGGAGGTATATAAATTTCAATTTCAACTTTGGAATTTCTTGAACCACCTGCCGGTGCCAGTGGGAGCCCTGAATACCTAGGAAGGAAGCCCTGGAGCTTTGATATACATCTAGATCCTTGAAATCCCATCCTGCACTACTATCACAATTTTTGAATATCAGTTTACAAGTTGATTTTCTGTTCCTAGTTGTGTGCTGTAATGCTATCTCAGTGCAAGATTCTCACTTGAAAGCTCTCTACTTCATGGAACCATAGTTTGTCCGCTCCTTTAACAAGCCCTGCCGGGCTAGCTCAATCGGTAGAGCGTGAGACTCTTAATCTCAAGGTTGGGGGTTCGACCCCCCCGTTCGGCTATTCCTACAAACAAGTACCTGAGATATCTTTTTGCATGTCATTGGAAATGATAGTTATCATTAAGAATGATCAATCATTTCCTACGTTCGTTTTTTATTGGTTGGTTTGGTTACTGCAGGCTCCTCGTGTCTGTCATGTTTGTATCACTTTCCCATATCCAATCCTAGTTGGCCATTTGATTGCCTGCTACCCACATAAAGTCCACCCACCATGCTATTTACTACTTCGGTAACTTGAATAATGTCTCTAATTATAGATATCTTCTCTAAGTACAAAGTGATAGTGTATACAAACTATACTATACTATATTATATTATACTAACTGCAATTCTGTGCCGAACTGCCGAATTGCTGAGTCACATCCCTGAACCGGGGCTTAACCGGGGACGGAGTTCCGCTTCCCGTGATCTTGAAGCCCTCCTATTCGTCCCATTTGACTTCATTTTCTTTTATTTCTCCGCTTCTACACGGTGGCCACACCGGTTCAGGCCGCCGTCTAGCAAAACGGTCTGGGAACTTCACGCAAAATTTCATCGGTGGGGCGGCCTGGGCCTTGTGCCTGGTCAAGCTTCACCTTAAGCTCCAATAAGATCACATAAAACCATTATCTTCAACATGCTCGAATCCACTTTGGCGGTTTTAAGCCTGAATTATCACCGTGCATTACCACCGGGACTCTTATGCTGTCCGTGTCGGCCTGCACCTCCTCCGCGATGCAACTTGGTATAAGAACAGACCCCCGCTGGGGTTTTCTTCTTTTTCTTTCTTCTAGGGAGTACTCGTGCGTCACTTATTGTCAACCAGATCTACAATATAACAAGAATCGCTTTTCGTTTCAAGCTGGAAATTGCTACTCATAGTTCCTTCTTCTTGTCACCTATTGACTTCCCATACAAGCGTATGGTCCACCATGACAGACCAACATGCGCGGTCAGGCAGCTCTGTTTCCAGCTCCAGTGCTTCCTCCGACTCAACGAATGAAATATCCAGGACAGAATCTCGGCCCCAAGGTTTCGCAGAATCAATCAAGTCTCGCCTTCGATCAACCTCAAATCCCAACACCCCACATTTGGACCGAGTCCACTCCGCCAAGCATCTTGATGATCAGTCTGTCTACCATAGCGACCACACAATGACAAGTGACGAAGAGTCGTTGGATGCCGACAAAGTCGAGACCATTCAGGAGGTACGAAATGGCATTGTTAATGAGCGGGATGTCGATCTTGAGAAAGGTCCTCAAGAAAGTCCTGAGATCCAAAAATCCAAATCGGCTCGCTCGACTAGATCTCGTCAGGATGCTAAACTTGTATGTACCACCTTCAGCCGCTTCACGTTTCACGCCCCAGGAACAGCGAAATGCTAATGGCAAACCTTCCAGGTGGATTGGAACGGCCCTGACGACCCCGAAAATCCCAAAAACTGGCCAAACAAGAAGAAGTGGGCCGCAACCATCACAGTCTCGTTCTTCACGTTTATATCGCCTGTCTCCTCATCGATGGTGGCACCAGCTTTGTCCTCGATTGCGGCTGAATTTAACGTTACAGACCAGGTGGTATCTCAGTTGATGCTGTCCGTCTTCGTCCTTGCCTATGCCGTTGGCCCTCTCTTCCTGGGTCCCCTGTCGGAAATCTATGGTCGTGTGATTGTGCTACAACTATCGAACCTGTTCTTCCTTGTGTTTAATATCGGATGTGCGGTCTCGCAGACTAAAGTGCAGATGATTGTATGCCGATTCTTTGCAGGATTGGGAGGCAGTGCCCCACTCGCTGTAAGTATTCCTACCATTCGGTCCCAACATGATCAGTCGGAAGACTCGAAGAAAGAGATTCTAATTTGAACAGGTTGGAGGTGGTGTTTTATCCGATTGCTTCCGTCCCGAAGAACGTGGTAAGAGTATCGCGATCTATAGCTTGGCTCCCCTTCTTGGTCCAGCTCTGGGCCCTGTGGCCGGCGGTTTCATTGCGGAAAACACTACATGGCGTTGGGTCTTCTACGCGACATCCATCACCGATGGTATAATCCAAGTGGCCGGCCTCTTCTTCCTTCGCGAAACCTATGCCCCTCGCATTCTCCGTGATCGTGCCCAGAAACTGCGCAAGGAAACCAATGATGAATCATATCAAACGGAAGCCGAGCTTCAGAAGAAGACCTTTGCTGAAGTTCTACGCGCCTCGTTGATTCGACCTTTCCGCCTTCTCCTCACTCAACCCATCGTCCAAGTGGTTGCGCTCTACATGGCCTACGTCTACGGCATTATGTACCTCGTTCTCTCAACCTTCCCTTCTCTCTGGACAAATCCAGAATACTACAACGAGTCCATTGGAATCGGCGGCCTGAATTACATCTCTCTTGGCCTGGGCTTCTGGTGCGGATCTCAACTCTGCGCTCCGCTCAACGACCGCATCTACCGACGCCTGAAAGCACGCAACAACAACATCGGTCGTCCAGAATTTCGCGTCCCACTTCTCGGAGTCGCCGCTTTTCTTCTCCCTGCTGGTTTATTCATCTACGGTTGGACCGCGCAGTCGCGCTGCCACTGGATCGCACCCAACATTGGCGCCCTTCTCTTTGGAGCAGGAACAATTATTTCCTTTCAATGCCTGCAGACATACATGGTAGACACTTACACTCGATATGCCGCTAGTGCTCTTGCTGCAGGGGCGTTTCTACGATCGATCGCAGGCTTTGGGTTCCCCCTTTTCGCACCCTACATGTACGACGCTTTACACTATGGCTGGGGGAATAGCGTACTCGCATTTATCGGGATTGCCATTGGAATCCCGGCTCCTGTATTCTTGTGGAAGTACGGTGCGAACTTGAGAGCCAGAAGTACCTATGCTGCTGGATAAAAGTCGTTTCTATTAAAAGGCCTGAGTGGTTCTTTGATTTTGCTTTGCGTTTTTCAGTTCTCCATACCCCAACATGGCGTCTACACATACCTTAAAAGTCCATATTAATGCGCTACAATTCAGCGTTTGAATACCATCATTTCAATCATCATGCTCTTTTCCTTCAGTGAGTAAAAGCAAAATTAATCCCGAGTCTTGCTCCATCGGCATCGTGGCGTTTCTCCTGCGGCCCGAGTGGGGATAAGTTGAACTCACTGGCCAATCAATATGCATCAGAAAATCCACATTCTTACTGGATTTGCTGACCACGATTTCTGCTTTGGGTTAGTATCTTGTCAGCATCAGCAATGGAAGGATCGCGGACTTAGCAACGGACTTGAACGCTTTGCTATTGCACTATAAATACCGGGCGATCGCTGGGTTAATCCTGAAAATCATCATCCTCAGAAAAATCTTGCAGATAGTATCAATACCAACACGAACATCAACATGCATCTCATCCTCACTGGTGCCACCGGCCTTGTCGGCTCAGGCGTGCTAGACGCCATGCTACAGAACAGCGCAATCTCCAGAATCTCAATTCTCAGTCGCCGACCTGTGCAAATGGCAGAAGACCGCAAAGACCCCCGGGTTCACGTTATCACCCACAAGGATTTCGAGACCTACCAGCCCGAACTACTTGAACAATTAAAAGACGCAGACGGATGCGTTTGGGCCTTAGGAATAAGCCAAAACAGCGTCGATAAAGAGTATGAAAAGCCCCCCACATTCGCCATTGTTCCAATCTAACAATGAAACAGACAATACATCAAAATAACCAAAGACTACACCCTAGCAGCCGCAAATGCATTCTCAACCCTCAAGCCCTCAAACCCACCCTTCCGCTTCATCCACGTTTCCGGCGAAGGAGCAACCCAAGAACCAGGAATGTTCTCGCAGTTATTCGCAAAAGTCAAAGGAGAGACCGAGTCGCTGCTTGGTGACATCTCAGCCAAGAACCCAGGTACATTCCAAGTGGACAGCGTGCGGCCCGCAGCCGTCGATCCAACCGGTCATGAAGCTATCAAGCCGTATCTCCCAGATCACGGATTCTTGTACAAAGTTATGGGGACCACTCTCATGCCCGTTGTCAAGAATTTCTATAAATCGTTCCACTCGCCCACGCCGGAACTTGGTTCGTTCTTGACTCAGTTGGCGATGGGGAAGATGGATTCTAAGATTCAGGGCCCTGGTGTGTTCAGGCTTGGTGGTGGATATGTCGTTGAGAATAAGGCGGTTCGGAGAATGATGGCGATGTGAATTGGATGGGGAGGAGGTACTCGCAGTTATCACCTTCATGTACAGTAATATTCGAAATCAGATTTACCTTCACACTCTTCGACTTTAACTCCCAACCCCTAATCTGAAGCACGCTAACCCTGATAGTGTATATTCGTCGATCCCTCTTGTTCCTAGAGTAGAAACTGTATTTTACATGACGCAGGTGGGACCATGTCCTTGTAAGTTACAAGAAACTGCTATACATCGATACCACTCCACCCCTCCTCTCCCTAAGCAACAGGATTCTTCACCTGTAGATGATTCTTGAGTGACCTCCTACACTAGGCTTGCAATATAGCCCCGAGACTTCCCCCTTTCAAGCTGCATCTCATTCGAGATATGATGGAGAGCCAGTCAGTAAACACCACTCAAATGGCAGAAGAGGCTGAGTGCAGCAAAGATCACGATCATAGATTTTCGCAGAAACTTGCAGCAGTTCGGCAGCGTCCACGCACCCCCAACTCGCGTAGGTCGGAAACCAACCGTAGCGGGCCTGTACCTCGATGAGATAGCTGTCTTCCTCTGGGATGAGTTTCGTACGATGATCACAAACTCTAGCATCAGAAGAGCCCTGGTGGCCAGTCGATACCGATATTTGGAGGGCCAACAGGATCCTTCAGGGACAGTTCGCCTTAAATGACTTGTGGATCCAAGAAAAGCAATGAAGTGAATAAACCTATCTTCAACAAGCGAAGCATCAATTGGTTTTGTTGTAGTTCAGAGGAGTTTATGAGGTTATGACTATTTCAGTGGAATAAAGGAGGCTATATATACAACGAGAGAATAAAGGTGATTTCCAATCATACCTGTTCATCGTACAATGCGTGTGAATTTCGTGAAATTCTTTTCATGTACCTTGACCTGTCTAGTCCGATTTGTTAGAGCATTCGCCGCTCTTCAATATATAGAAAAATGTAAATATCCCTTAGCAGATGAACACCTAGCTTGAGAAATATCCTATCCCGAAACAGATACAGTCAATTTGCCCTCACTTCCTTTTCGATTCTGTGTTCCTGTTCAATTTCCCCATCTCCAACCAGGTTCCGATCACCACCATAGTGAGTAGTACTCCACAAATGTAGACCTGAGGATGCCCGTCACCGAATTCGGGATCCATGGCCTTTGAGCCGGGATAAAATAGGGCACTCAATTGAGTAATCCAATAGAGGCTTGCTAGCCATGCCGCTGTAGCGAGGGAGTCTCTTTCAAATGTCTGTTGAACGGCAGTAGGTAATGCAAACAGAGACTGAGGTTTTGGTCGATACAGGAAGTACAGAGTCGTGAGACCGAGAACCATGCCCATAGACATAGTTTGTCCATTGTGGAATTTCGCGTGTGGGGGCCATCGGGGGTTAAAAACATGAGTTTCATTCCAGTCGGCGAGATATCCACCGATCGACGTTGTCAATGCAACGAGAGTAAGGAGGATGCGACCAGCCATACTGAATGAGAATCAGAGGAGGATGCTTGCTTTGGAAGACAAAATTTCGCAACTCTTTTAATTTAAAGCAGATTCCACGTCGGAGTTATCTTAACGCCGCAGCGCGCTCGGCATATTTCGGACGCCGAAGGCTTCTGGATTCTGGATTGCAAGCTTTCTTTTTTTTTCTGGCTTCGAAGAACTCCAAAGCTCCACAAGTCCGAGTCATGTGCAGTTACGAATTCAGATGCGACTCATACACAAAAAATGGGACGCAAATCGCCAATACTGTATATAAGTCTGATCAAAACTCGCTTTGGTTCATTGATTTCCGGGTTTGTGGATTGTCATCGTATCTCTATAACATGCTACAGCCTAGTCAGGGGTAGTTTTTGAAATGTGAGCTTGAACCCCGCAATCCACCATCAGCTACTTCATATAGCACTGGTGCGCAAAAGCCTCTCGCGATATTTGCTTCGAGCGCTTGTTTGGAACGACTCCAATATGCGCAAAAGGTCTCTAAAGAGAATTCTAATATTGACCCTCTATCGTTTCTTTCAGGCCTTCAAGACCTTTGATGTGTAGATCTGCTCGTTAATTTTTGACCTTGTACCCCACATTTTGATCAAGTACCTATATATAGATGCCTGTGACATAATTTTGGTTGAGTGCGTTGTATTTATTCAATTTTCTCTAAGAACCCCCCAAATTAGAATGGGCCAGATCGCACACCCTGAGAATAAAATTGAGGGTTAAGAGGAAAAATCTTTAAAATTAAAGCAGTTGAGGGCCGTACTTTCTAATACTACCAACTAAAAATAAAAATAACAACACCACCCAAACACCCACCTTGCTCGTGCTAAATTATTTTATAAATAGGGGTCACTTTCTTGGCACTTTCCACCCAACTCTGAATATCTTATACGAACCGTCGAGCGATACCTATTTTTATACCTTTACAAATAAAGAACTCTCGATCTTGATTCTACAATTTGCGCCGATGTTTTGTATCTAGGTCCCTCTAGGTCCCTCTTAATACTAAAGAATCAGCCAACTCTCATCCGATTGGCAAGATGGCCGAGTTGGTCTAAGGCGTCAGGTTAAGGTCAACCTTAACTCCAATTTCCTGATCTCCGTTCGGAGGCGTGGGTTCGAATCCCACTCTTGTCATATCTTTTTGTTTTTGCTATTTTTGAGGCCCGCGTGAGCCTCGTGGGGCATATCTTTAGGTAGGGTATCTGCTATCGTACGAGAAGTGGAGATCGTTCCGGCCTCGGAGAACTTTGCAATTACTATTCATTCCACCCTATTTACTAACTTGAAAGAGAGTTCCTTATAGTTACATTCAGCACAACAAATCGAGAGCACATGATTAATTCCCTGCGACGAGTATACAGTCTCATGCAAAGGACACTTTAAAGGATTGGATTGGACTGGATTGGCAGACGCTGTGAAGCCTCTAGCACACAGTAATAAACAAGCCAATTCTGGAAGATGTTAGCTTTGTCTTTGTCAATATATGGAGAGTTGAAAGCATCAACTTACGGTGCGGGGTTGAAGTCCTGAAAAAAGTCAAGGTCCGTGCTACCAGCGTTCTTCATTTCGAAAGAGATAGCCTGGCCAGCGGGACAAGAGAAGGTGGAAATAACAAAAGAATTACCAGGCGAGATGGTGATATCACCCAGGTCCTCCGCGACAGAGGGGGCGTTGTTGAAGTTTGTCTGGCTAGTAGCGACACTCGCAAGCTTCGCAACATCAATCTTGCCGTCACCACTGAAACTGAAAGAGGAAGTTTGAAGATCTGCCTTGTTAGGGAACAGGAAGACTAGACTGCAGGTCTTTCCAGAGTCCGACTGGGGAATGTCGAAGTTGAAGATGCTCGAGATGGTCGAGCTGACAGTTCCGTTGAAACTGGTACCGAATGCAGTATCCGGGGAGGACGAGTCGATGGGGATAATCAGATGAGGAAACTCAAAGTTACCCGAGGATAAAATGGGGCCACAGCCATTGTTAGGCTGAGGCGTAGGTGGGGGAGATTGCGAGCCGGAGCACGAGTCAGCCATGAGATTGATAGTCTTGCACTGGCTGAGAGCGTTGCTCAGAGTAGAGTAGATATTGAGACCACCGTTGTCGCCAGTTTCACATGCGACGAAGTTGGCGCTTCCGGCAAACTCCAGTTGGCCATTGGAGCCGACAGAGAAACCCGGTGTGGGGGTTGCTCCTACGTCGCATTGGAATTGAGTAGTTGGAGCTGAGATAGTTAGCAGAGCTTCAATTCAGTATTGATATGATAAGTGGCTTACGAGTCAGGATACATCCGCGGCCATTACCATCAGTGATGGCGCCGTTCGAGTCAATGCAGAACTCTGCAGGAGACAGACTATTATCACCAATCCGGTTCTGACCATCACTCAGCTGACCGACAGGGCCGGAGGCACCGCCCGATGCAGTGAGGTGGAAGCAGCAGGAATCGCCACGATTGACAAGGGCATGAACGCCAGCGGCAGAAGCCACAAGAGTCATGAAGCCCTTCATCTTGATAATGAAATGGGAGGAGAAAAGAGCAAAAGGCCAAGAGTCACAGCCGACGAGAGTGAGATTGAGATTGAAATTGAATCGAATAGAACAAGGAATGAAATCTGAGACCAAAAGAGCAGGTAAGACGAGTCATACTTATAGCCAAAAAGAAAAAAAAGATAACAGACGCCTTGTTGGAAATGGATAGAAACCTGATCAATAGCCGTAATGAACCGACAGGATGAAGCAGGATAGTCGACGTCATACAAAATAAACACAAGAGGGTTTTGGGGAAGCAAACCAATGATCAAAGACCAATGAGATCTCACCCTGTGGACAATAATAGTGCCCAGGTCAACACCTTCTGATCACAAAATGGGACTGACAGGTTGGGGCGAATGTAGTGGCAATGCATTAACCACGGCTCGCTGAGCGAAGCACCCGCCAATACTGAGGGGAAACCATCAATCGATCTTCGTATCGAGCTTGTAATGTACAGCTAGACACAGAAAATAACACCGACTGGTGCGGGGTATGTATTTTGCTTCGCTGTGCTCGGTGTTTGTCGCGTGTTTGAAGAATTTCAGTGGAAACGAAGAGCAAGCACAGCCGAATGAAACTTTCCAAACTTGATCATTCCCGGGTTCCCCTTGGTCATAGCGTGATTCGATTGCATGTCAATGATTTTGTGGCTGACAGGTGTACTCCAATTCGATAGATCGATAGATCGAGAGACGATTGAGTTGCAACAAGAGCTGCATAGCGGAATGGACCGAGTGGCTGAAAGATACTATTCAAAGATATCTGATTAGAATCCGCGACCCCATCAACAATACTACTCCGTGTAGCATTACAGCTCTCAAGCAAGTTTGAAAATACGGACAAATGAATCCCGGAATGGGTAAATAAACGACAGTCTAGGCACAACGATGACCCTGAAATCATCACAAAGTCAGTTGCTTTCAATATGCAACCTGATTGGTCGACATGGAGATCAACCGGATGAATGATGCATTGAAAGTTGTCGCTAGTCGTCAAAATGGTTGATAGTGGAGACGGACAAGCGGGCCAGCCAACGACGATTCGTTCTATTTTTGTGCGTTGGGACGAACCTTAGGAGATGCACGACTGGTTGTTGGATTGATTTGATTTGATTCAGGTTACCCGTGACCTCGGGATACCTGGCTAAATAATAATGAACCTTTTGAGGAGACGGCTGGGTATCGACAACTGGAACTGGAAAATGCAGTGAGTAATGCACGTCATGATCCTGGTAGAGATGATGGGTGGTATTTTGACTCGAGGTTATCGTTGCGGGGTTGATCGATCCGTTGCAAATGGTTGAGTTGAGTCCGGAAGAAGCGGAGACCAGCGGGGGCATTCAAACAAGAAAAATGAATGGTTACGAGAACGAGTCAGTGCAAAGTTGGTTCCCGTCGAGACTGAGACCGAGTCCGAAAGCGAGTCCGAATTATCTTAAAGGCTTCGAAGTTCGAGATAGGAAGTTCGAAGTTATGATCCTGAGTGTTCAAGTCGACGACTGTTGATCATGTTTTGTCGTCCACAACGTGCATTCTTTTAGATTCTTATATATACATAACGACACATCAATTCCCCGTGACGTCTTTAGAAGAATCACCTCGCCCACATCTAGGCGGTAATGCCGGTCTCCTCCTTGCCGTGCTATAAACAAGTTAGTGGAATTCATCAAGGAACGAAACGGTGGCAACATACGATTTCACGGTGGAACTTGATGCCAACACTGTTGCCGCTAACCGAGTCATAGGGGACTGGGCTAGTGGTGTAGTTGAAGGTGGCCTTGCGGCCGTGGTAGGTCTTCTTGACGATATCAAGAATACCGTGACCAGCAGAGCACTCGCCCTGAGTGGCAGGGACGGGCCAGTAATCCTCATACTTGGAGTAGTCATTGTCCGAAAGGGGACCGGGGTAGGTCTCGTTGATGTAGAGGTTGCTGGTGTCGACTTCCCAGTTGACGTAGCCAGTCTTCTCAGCGACCAGCTTGAGGAGGTTGGCACCGCAATCCCAGCGTCCGAGAGAGGGAAGGCCCCAGTTGGCAGACAGCGAGGCAATGACGGAGTAGTGGGTGTAGAAGGTGTTGTCGGTGGTGCCCTTCAGGTGCTCGGGGACGGCGCCACCGAGCAGAATGCTGTAGACACGGTTGGGAACGGTGTAGTTGCCCGACTCGTCAAAGGTAACGAGGACCAGGGTATCCTTGCTGAAGTACTCGTTCTTCAGCAGAGGGGGCAGGAAGCGGTCCAGCCAGTCACCCGCAACGTGAATGTTGCTGTCATGAGCATCATTGGTCATGTTGGGGGTGATGAAGAAGTGCTGGGGCAGGCTGTGGTGCTTCAGATCCTCGTAGAAGGTGGTAAAGTTCTTGATCTGGCGAGGGCGAACAGCGTCGTTGGTGACAGAGTCGAACAGAACCAGTGGGTTGTGCTTGCGCACGTACTGGTTGGCGCCGGACAGAGGGTAGCGGTAACCCTGGTAGCCCGCATGAGGCATGTCCTCCTGGTATTCACCCCAGGCAATCTTCTTGGTGTCGAACATATCGGCAATGGTGGAGACGTTGGCGGGAATCTGGTGGAAGTCGTCGTTGTCCATACCGAAGGTGTCACCAGCGGCAGAGGCACCGTAGTTGGGCTCGGAGGGGTGGGTCACGGCGTGGTAGTTGGTGAGCAGGATGCCCTCCTTGGCCATCTTGGCCCAGTTTGCATCGCTGGCGGTGGTCTCGAAGTCCTGTGAGGTTCAATTAGCATTGACATGTTCGGATATAGTTGTATGCATTGTAAAGAAGCAACTTGAGGCAGACGGAAACTTGAACTCACGGTGTTCTCGATCCAGATGTTCACGAAGCGGTCAAAGGCCTTTCCCTTGACATTGGAGACAGGAGAGTAAGGGAGGATAGAGGCACGCGCAGCCTGGATCTCGGCCTCGGTGGGTTGTTCCTCGGTGATAGTCTTGGCCGATGCCAGAGCCAGGAGGCCCAGGGAGAGTAGAGTCTGCTTGGAGAACATCTTGAGCGGTTCAGCAAGGTCGCGGGGAAATTGAATGTCTGAGCAAAAGAAGAAACGAGGGAGACGATCCGGCGATGCACGCGATCTTATAGCTGCAGCAAGGGAGGAATTCGAGCCAGTCACCGGGCCCGGATTAGAGCATGCCGTAGCAGATGGCAGATACTATAGATCCCATCTGCCATATTGTCATCCTACCTCGCTTAGTCGACTAGTCGGGATGGAATACCACGCGGACAGGGCTGAGATGGAGACAAGCAGGTATCACGTTGCATCGCAGGACGGGATAACTGGGCGAAGCTCTTCGTCACAACGACACTAAGAAATGCGAGTGGGGCTAGTGGTGGAGTCGGACATAGGAGGCTTCAATGGGGAGGATATCATTGGCGGTGGAGGGTGGGGTTGTTCCTGGCACGTTTTGTGCGTGAGGGGTATCACTGGTCGATCACGAGGGATACTCAACGAGGACAAAGCAGATGAGGAGATGAAGTGGAGTGGAAGAAGTGGAAGAGGCCGAAGTAGAAGCGCAAAGGAGTGAAAAGTGAAGGCGAAGCTTTACCAAGGCGGAAGGCGGATGTGGGCACGTGATGTGGCAGCATCCAAACAGAACAACACGAAGATACACCCTAGTATACTAGGTATTCTTGTTCAAATACGAGTAGTAGCATGTCCGGAGTACTGTTAGTATCCATGGAGTACTAACTAGAACCTAGGTGTACTAGGTATCATTTACAGAACACTAGCGGCACAAGTATGTCACGGTAGATCGTCGTCTATTGCTAACCTCAGAAAACAACTAATATTAATACAAATGAAATCCTTTGCTCATGAATCTTGCCTCAATAACTATTACATATTTATCACGGTTCAAAAGAGACACGGAAGAAGCGAAGTGAAGTCGTCACCATCAATCCAAATCGGACAACAGAAAGGTGGAAGGGCAGGGTGGATAATGTCAACAGAAGAGGAACAGCAGGGTTATCAAAAAATAAATGGGGAAGAGATGAAGAGAAGCCACGGGCCAGAGGACAAGAGGCAGGAGACAAAGAGGTTCAAAAAAACAAAAGGCAACTTTTTTCTTTTCAGGAAATTGTGCGCTCTCTCTACTCAGGCTTCTTGCCGACCATCAGGTACATGGGAGTGAAGAGGTTCTTCTCCGCACCCTCGACCAGGCAGTCAGCAGCCAGAGCCAGACTGTCGGCAGTCTTGCGGGTTCCCTTGGGGAAGAGGCCGACCTTCTCAAAGCCACCAACGAAACGGTGGGCAATGCCACGGCCCCACCAGGTCATGCGGGCAATGGTGAAGAAGTCCCAAACGGAACCCATGTGCTTGAACGAACCGGCCAGCGGGTAGTACCAGGGGGTGACGTCGGGGCGGGCAGCCAGATCCTCGTGGTGGAGGAGCTCGAAGCCAGCATCCTGAATGGCCTTGATGCCTTCGGAGATGGTGACCATGTTGGAGATACCGTCACCCTGCTCGATACCGAGACGGATGCGACGGTGCTCGGCGTTGTCGTTGTCGTACTCGTCAGTCATGAGCCACTCGTAGACACCAAAGGTACCACCGGGCTTCAGGACACGGAAGATCTCGCTGTACACACCGACCAGCTCGGGGGCGTGGACAGTAGCCTCAATGGCGTAGACGGCGTCGAAGGAGTTGTCGGGGAACTTCATCTGCATAAAATCGCCCTTGACAAAGGCCATCTTGTCGGACAGACCCTGCTTCTCGGCGTAGTGGGTGGCACGGTCGATCTGGTAGTCGTTGTTGTTCAGGCCAGTGACGTGGGCACCACTGAACTTGACCATCTCGCGGGCGGGACCACCGACACCGCAGCCAACATCCAGAACCTTCATGCCGTCCTTGAGGCCGGTGTGCATGGCGAGGTAGTGCTCGTGGCGGGCGATGGCCTGGTTGAAGGGCTCGCCGAAAGCGAAGCGGCAGAAGTGGAAGGAAGATCCCCAACCGTACTCGTAGAGATCAGTGGCCAGGTTGTAGTAGCTGGAGAAGAGTTAGTACGCAATTGCGCGCGGAGGGAGAGCGGAGGAACGTACTGTCGGGTCAAAGTGGCGTACTCCTTACGACGGGCCTGATTGACAAGAGGTGGTTAGAAGTGTTCGTAGATTGATAGATTCGCTGTCAGGGAAGAATTGCGCGCGCTCACCTCACGAGTCTCGGCGGTCTCCTCCTCGTGACCCTTGTTGTCCCAGTGCTTGAAGTATTCGTCGACGGCGGCCTTCTGGGCGGCGGTGTCCTTGCCACTCATGGCAGCGAAACCACCACGAGACTTGGCGGACTTGCCGTGCATGGCCTTGTTGAAGTCGGCATCGCGAGAAAGGTTCTCTTGTTCGAGAGCGGTGGGAGCCATTGCGAAAGGTGGGAGCAAAAAAGTTGCGGGGAGAAAAAAGGGGGGAGTAGTGGAGGAGGAAAAGGAGCGAGAAGAGGGAGAGGAGAGGGAGAGACGGAGTCAATTAAAGGAGAATAAGGAGAAAACAGATAGGCCAACCACGAAGAGGAGTAGGTCAAGCCGTGAGAATTGAATTGAAGAGGTGAAGTTCAACAGGGAAGTGAAAAGGAGATAAATAGTAGGCCAGTCCAGAGAGACATTTTGGCAATTCGAAAACTTAGGCCAATCACGAACCCCTGAGCGACTAGCGTGGTCGAGGCTGCAGAGCGGGTACTGCACTTCCGGGCGGTGGCTTAGTCGGAGGGGGGGGCTTTCCGGCGAGGAGACTGGGTGACCTGAGGTACTCTCACGATAAGGCATGGATTGAGCATGCCTGGGAATGTAATATCGGAGATGCGGAGGTGCGGAGTGAAGAGGGAAAGAAGAAGTGATACGATTGAGGTTCAAGGGGGGGAGGTTGAAGATCACCTGATGAGATGTCTGGATTGCTCTTTCCTTACGGAATACTCTACTCTATTGTGTATACTGTACACACTTCGTTCCTTCCTTCTGCACACTCGGAAGGCACACCAGCCACATTAGTCATATCCCTTAGTCATCTACATCCGACCATCTAGATCATATTGTGTAGATGATTTGCATTGCATTGGGTCTGATATGGGCAAGGGTCTATGCGTCAGGGATGCTCGGAATCATTTTCCTATATCTATAGATGAATATGTATATGCTAGTGTTATTTGTTGGTGGTCATTGATCTTGGTCTGGAGTACGCTTCAATTTGGCATCCGCCAGTGCCGATATATATCACGGTCACAGAGTGACTTCAACCTTGGAAGTTGGGATAATTGAACCAAACTTCCAAGGTTGCTCAGGTGAACTTGAATATGGCCCGGACTAGCTTGGTACCATAATAAAAATTTCAAAAAATCATCAATGAAACTACCAAGGTTTGTTATAAAGCCCTCTCCAAGAGTTCCTACGTGCGAAGCTAGTGTGGGGCCCCGGCTCAACAAACATTACAATCGCACAAGCTCTCACCCCACATCTTCGAATATCCCAGAGACCTGTCCAAGTCAGACACCTGCAACAATTCTACTTCAGATATTCCAGTCGAAAATTGTCATTTGAGCCTTAATCTCTCCTTGACCGCATACCTAGTGTGCACGATCCCCTTTCACTGCTTTGCAGAGTCCACACCATCCACAACCAAATCCAACAACAAGCTACAAACAAAATGACCTCCCCACAAGTCGCAAAAAGAGCCCGTGCCAATACCGCCGGTGACGACCTCATTCAACTGACTGAAAGATCGATCCCAACGAAAGAGCAACTCGGAACATTGAAAATCGACTGTCTGCTCGAGCTTCTCCGGAATGCCTCGATGAAGCACCCCGATGTCAACGCCACGGTAACCAGTGCGATCCAAAGCGCACAGGAAGAGCGCCGAAAACATGTGATCGACTTTGATCATTATTCCAAATCGATCTGGAAAACAATCAACGTCACGTATCGATCCAGGAAAGGCTCCAAACAGTATGAAGTCGCATTTGATGTTGCTGGCGACATCAGTTCTACAATCAGCCGAATCGCGGAACAGTGTACCGAATTCCCAAGTCCAGGCAATCGACGGAGTGGTCTCGAGACGCTGCGCAAGATTGGTAAGACGATTTGTCTTTCTTCCAATGGCACACTCGGCCACGAAGTGCAGAAAGAGTTCCAGTCAGACCCATGCCTGGAGAACGCTATGTATGATATTGTTTCGGAAATGTCTCCTGAGGAGAGAGACAATATTGTCAATGATTTGATGGGCCCAGAATCCCTTTTTACCAAGCTGAACGAACTGAAGAAACTTGCCGAGGGGTATTGTATTTTCGAGGGACTTGGGAACGTACTGGATCTGATACAAGGAGTGGAAGGCGAAGATGAAAGTGAAGGCGAAGAAGAGGAAGATGATGAAGATGAGGATGAGGATGAGGATGAAAACGAGGATGAAAATGATATCTGCTAAGAGTATTCCTCCCAGTTACTAGTAAAAATTGGTCAGATGCAGACCAGGCGTTCATGTAAAGTGTTAGGCTTCAAATTACAGGGCCATTGGGAATTGACTGCTTCTTCCTTACTCTACTAATGATGTATTAGTACACTCTACTCTACTCTGGTATTTCTTTCTTCTACTAAATTCCACTATAAACTACGGAGTATACTAGTAGGACTAGTATAATCTTCTCGGCTCTCGGATGTTCCGAGAACAACGCCACCTTAGTCATCCAAACACCAGCCACTTAGTCATTCATCAGCCACAAAGAAAGTTGAAGCTTCTCTGTTCGACACTGCTTGACTTCTGCTTCAAACTGTCACTCCTACTCCCACTCCCACTCAACCCGCCATGCCTCCACAGATTAAGCATGACCTTAACCGCGCTGGTTGGGAGTCCACCGACTTCCCATCCGTCTGCGAAAATTGCCTACCCGAAAACCCATACGTGCAGATGTTGAAGGAAGACCACGGCGCCGAATGCAAAATCGTAAGTCTGTCCTCATCATATATAATGAGATCAACCTCCGCTAACACTCCCAGTGCACTCGCCCATTTACCATCTTCCGCTGGAAAGCCGATCGCACCTCCCGCCAAAAGCGCACCAACATCTGCCTCACCTGCGCCCGCCTCAAGAACTGCTGCCAATGTTGCATGCTCGATCTATCCTTCGGCCTCCCCATCGTCGTCCGAGACGCCGCTCTAAAAATGGTCGCCCCAGGCCCCGAAAGCTCCATCAATCGCGAATTCTACGCCCAGAACCACGAGAAGGAAATCGAAGAAGGCCGCGGCGCCATCGAGGAATATGAAAAGACCGACGACAAGGCGCGCGAGCTCCTCCGCCGTCTAGCCAACAGTCAGCCATACTACCGCAAACCCCGCCGCACCGAAGGCCCCGCAGACACCGAGACCGTCGAGGAAGGCGAGTCATCCCAATCGCAGTCGCAAACACAATCACAAACACACAGCCGCTACGGCAACGGGCCAGGACCGATCCGCACAAGCGATAGTCGCGGCGGGAATCGTCTACCCGGTCGCGGAGGACGCGGAGGTGGACGAGGTGGACGACCATTCCCAGGAACAGCACAGCTACCACCCTCCGAGCAAGACATTCGACCCCCAGCCGACCAAAACGTAACCTCGCTCTTCGTAACGGGAGTAGAGGACGATCTCCCCGAGCACTCGCTGCGGCTCTTTTTCACAGAATTTGGCCAGCTTCGGTCGCTGGTCTGCTCGCACCGATCACACTGTGCTTTTATCAACTATGTCAATCGCGCGGACGCCGAGGCCGCTGCCGCGAAGTGTCAGGGCAAAGCTGTTATCCAAGGCTGCCCGCTTCGCGTTCGCTGGGGCAAGCCCAAGCCTCTTGATAATATGGACCGCGAGGAACGGATCAAGAATGCCCGTGAAGGACGCCAGGCAGCTGGGCCTGGACCCAAGGCTGGTGGCGCTGGCAAGAAGGCCGTTACCGCTGCTGGTGAGCCGACTGAGCAGAGCAAAGCCCAGGGTAACGTGGTAGCACCTCCACCAGGCTCGGGCGATGTTCAGTATGCCAGTATGAATGGCGATTGAGAGGCGAGCGACGAAGCCAAAAAAAATAACATTAACAAAATACTTTACGATCTCCTTCAAACTTTATATCTTTTTCTTTTTTCTTGTGCCCGGGTTCAAAGTCATGGATTGGCGGTTGCATATGGATCTATTCTGTTCTATTGATTTGTACAAAGCGGGCGTTGTTGGATTTCTTTATGCAGTGCAGTGAAGTGAAGGAAGAGAAGTGAAGGGACGTTTCAAATCAAAAATACCCCGAGACGCCGGAACAGAGAAGAAGAGGGATGGGGATGGGTATATATTATAATACACAGTCACAATGTGAGCCAGTCTGAACCCAGCTGTCGTAAGGTGAAGCCGAGTCGAGCAGAGATGCGAGTTGCAGAGATGCAGATGTAGTTGTAGATGTGGTTGTAGATGCATGGTAAAGATGATGGATGCAGCGCATATCCAACTCAGATCATGAGGAAGACGAACAAGCCTTGTGAATCTTGACATCCTGGCCAGCAACCTTGATCGAATCGTTATCGCCTCGCTCGATCTCATCGTGAATCCGAAGTTCTAAAGTAATCCAGTCGCATTAGTCAACATTCGGAGATCATACAATTTGATCTACCAGGTAACCCGACATAGATCATGTAATACATACCCCACTTGGCAGCCTCATTGCCATCCTCCCGCGCACCCTGCACCAGGTTGTGTCTGAGGATATTGGCGACCTCAAGGGCGTGGTTGATCTGCATTCCGTTGTCGATGCCGACTCGGCGGTTCTGATCGAAGTTGCGGCGGGCTTCCTGGCGAGCGGCGAGCATAACGGGAATATCACCTGGAAGAAAGCAATCATATTAGCATTTATATACATGAAGTAGAGAACAGAAACATTTTGTAGGTGCAGACTGACTGCTTCGGCTCGGAGTCTTCAATCTGCGACGTACCTCGGAAAGCAACACGGGTGGCTCGGATAATCTGGCGGTAGGCGCTGAGCGCAGAGAGACTGGGAGAGGCCATTGTGTGTTTAAGGGAAGAACAGAGTCTGAGTGTGTAGGTGTGTAAGTGTGTAAGTATTGGAAGTATCAAAGTAGTCAAAGTAGTCAAAGTGTATAAAGAAGACAGTTGAATCTTGGAAGGTACAGGGCGGGAGTGACTGGCAGAAAAAACCGAAAAACTTCATTTTCCCCACTAACAACTTTGATTTCCTTTTGAACCTCCATCCACATTTTGTACTTCACAATGGCTCCTGTTCAGGTTGTCAACATTTCCCTCCCTGCCCTTCCTTCGGGTTGGTCCGCTGAGAAGGACTTTAAGCCCGTCGGCGGTCTCTCTGCTGCCACTCAGCGCAACATTGAGGCTGTGGGCCCGCACTTCCTGGCCCACGCTCGCCGTGTATGTATATGTCTATATCTTTGCTAATATCCTCCTCTGCTTATGATGATGACATCTGCTAATACCCTCATAGAAGCGCCACAACCGCACCTTCTCCGAGGATGAGCGCATCCAGGCCAAGCAGAATGTCGCCAAGACCGAGGACGAGGAGAACATGGACATCTCCGAAGATGAAGACCCCGCCATGTTCACCCGCGAGGCCAAGGACTGGAAGGGCCAGGATCACTACGCCGTCCTCGGTCTGACCAAGTACCGCTGGCGCGCCACCCCCGAGCAGATCAAGAAGGCTCACCGCAAGAAGGTCCTCCGTCACCACCCCGACAAGAAGGCCGCCTCCGGCAAGAGTGACGAGAACGACAACTTCTTCAAGTGCATCCAGAAAGCCACCGAGCTGATGCTTGACCCCGTCCGCCGCCGCCAATTCGACTCCGTCGACGAGGCCGCCGAGATGGACCCCCCCCTCCAAGAAGCAGATCAGCAAGGGCTACTTCAAGGCCTGGGCTCCTGTCTTCCACGCCGAGGGTCGTTTCTCCAACAAGCAGCCCGTGCCCCAGCTCGGTAACGACGACAGCACCCAGGAGGAGGTCGAGTCCTTCTACAACTTCTGGTACAACTTCGACAGCTGGCGTTCATTCGAGTACCTGGACGAGGATATTCCCGACGACGGTGAAGGCCGTGACCAGAAGCGCCACACTGAGAAGAAGAATGCCAACGCCCGCCGCAAGCGCAAGCAAGAGGACAACGTTCGTCTCCGCGAGATGCTGGACGAGGTGATGGCCGGTGACGAGCGTATCAAGAAGTTCCGTCAACAAGCCCGCGCCGGTAAGGACGCCAAGCGCAAGGCCAAGGAAGACGAGTTCAAGCGCGCCGCCGAGGAGAAGGAGCGTGCCCGCGTCGAGGCAGAGGAGGCTAAGAAGGCCGCCGAGGAATCTGCCAAGGCTGACCGCGAGAAGAACAAGAAGGCCAAGGAGGCCGCTAAGAACGCCGCGAAGAAGAACAAGCGTGTGCTCAAGGGCTCTGTCAAGGACGTCAACTACTTTGCTGACGGCGAGCCCACTGCTTCCCAGGTTGACTCTGTCCTCGGTGATGTCGAGCTGATTATGGGCAAGATCGACGTCGATGAGCTCGCTGTTCTGGCTGAGAAGCTGACCATCGCTGGTAAGGACGGTGCTGCTGTCAAGTCTGCTTGGTCTGCCGAGGGCGCGCGTCTTGTTGGTGCTGGTAAGGTTAAGGAGGGCGAGCTTAAGGCTTTCGCTTAGATTAGAGCTTAAAAGGACGGCCCAGGACAGCGTCGTCCGGGCCGGTTGATGACAATGAATATTTTTACGCCATATAGAGAAGATCATATCATGCCATGTTTTTTCTTTATGTACACTTCCATTTCACTTCCACTTCCATTTTGCTATTAGAACTCGCAGGTCTTTTCCCCAAGATTGGAACTTGAAGGTTCTTTGAGCTGTTCAGCCCAACAGCCTAAGGCCTGATCTGATGCCAACGTCGTCCATGTCTATTCCTCACATTTACTATGGGTAACCTTGTGGAATTTGATCATGATCAATGTGAATGAACTCGAAAGAAGAAGCTGGGAACCTCGGAGGAAATTCAACCCAAGCTCTCCAAGATTATCAATTCCCTTTTTATACTACTGATCACACATCATTCCAGCAGTTCGTCCCAATTTGATAACTTGAAGAGTTTTTGAATAACCACCTGGACATTTTATTTCATTTCATAACTTCCAATTGTGAGTATGACCCGAAATATAACCAAACAATTCAGCTATTGTCATTATTCGACCGCCATTCGCTCAATCGCTTCCTTCTATACTTCTCTTTGACCAAGTCAACCGGTGTGAGATTCCGGTAAATCTTGCTCTTCAAATCAATCCTTTTCGAAGACACAAGAAGTCGCACTGCTGCATGTTCCCCCCTCAATATTGCCAAGCACAGTACTGACCTGCCTTTGGCATCTCGCGAATTAGCATCAACACGGTTATCCTCGAGCAGCAGCTTCATGATTGACAATGCAGCACCATCCCCCAGAGCCTTCTCTTCAACTTTCAAACAAGCCATGCAATCCTCCAACGATCCTTGGAGAATATTCAACATTTGCTGCTCATCTCGGTCGTCCGTAGGGTTGGTCTTTTTGCTGTTGACTCTTCCTGGAAAGTGACCCGAAAGCAGCGCGTATGCAAGCGGCGTCTGGCTATGTTTACATTTTGAATTCGGATCCACGCCATCCACTGCAAGCAACATCTTCACAACAACCGGGAATCCAGCCCCAGCTGCCAGAGATAATGGGCTGCGTCCAATATGGTCGCGGGTATCAGGATGGGCACCCGCAGCAAGAAACAAACGCACTGAATCTTCGAGGCCTTGGCCAGCCACAAATGATAATGCCGACTGGCCAGATGAAGTCGTCGGGTTCACATTCACATTCCCAGTTTCCAAAAGTTGCTCAATGATGGCCACATGCCCTTTGCGTGAAGCTTCAAGAAGTGGTGTGTCTCCTTGGTTATCCGCGAGATCAGGATTGGTGTCTTTCCTACCAAGCAACATCCTTACAATCGCTTTCTGGCCAGCAGCAACAGCGTCGAAGAGTGGTGTTCTGCCATATCCATCTCGAAGATTCACATCCCAGCCCGCCTCGAAGAGAATCTGCAGCGCACCTTCATGTCCTGCCTCTGCAGCCACCCCCAACGGTGATACTCTACCCTCTTCCAGAAAATTGGGTCCCTCGCTAGCACAGCAAAGCTTCATGAATCTCTCACTCCCAATGCGTGAAGCCTGTGCTAGACTGATCCGTGCCCGACCGTCGGCCACCAGGACCTCTATGATCTCATCGTGCCCTGCTCTGATAGCGTCAACGAACGCCTGGTTCAGGAACCTGCCGTGATAACTTGGAGTGAAAGGGACTGGAGTCACCGGAGCTGGAGGCACCGGAACTGGAGAATCCTCTTCTATGTACTCCTCTTCTATGTACTCCTCTTCAGAGCCAGGTGTTTGGGGTTTATCCTCCGGCAGCTGTGCCGAGTATTCAAGAAGAACCTTGACGGCCTCCAAATGCCCACTACTGGCTGCGGCGGGTAGGGCACGCAGATCATACCGGATAGTGCTGATATCCCAATCGAGCAAGATCTTTATGATCCCCACATGTCCATACCAAGCCGCAAATCTCAATGGTAGGTGCAACTCAGAACTTGCAGCTTCACTGACAGTCTCGAATCCTCGCCAGTGCCGATATCCGAATTCGCCTTTTCGCTGTAGCATCGCACGGACGACATCTTCGCGACCATGTTGACTCGCCCAAAGGATAATCCCGTTCCTCGAAGAACCCAGCGTTCGATTGAAGATGAAATCGCCCCGAAGAAGAGTATACCATTCGCGATTACCTAGCATCAAGTTTGCAATACCACGAGGCGTGAGATACTGCGCGATCATCAAGACGATCTCGTTGGGCAGATGAATGCGAGCCATTATCTGCTCCAGTCAGCCTAAGTCCACCACATCACATCACATCCATCTTGAACACCGGGAGATCGGAATAGCTCCATACTATTTGCTACTCATAGTTGTCCGTTTTGGTGGGCTTCGTCTTCGCTCCCGTAACTCTATACGGGGCTTGGGCTTGGGCCTGGATTTCTTCCTTGGATTGTTTGGTTGTGGGTTTATTTGGCCGAAGGCGGAGGGAGATCGGCTGCGCTAGGAGGTTTGGGCCTAAAGTGATCTGTCGATTGAGGGACATGACTCGTCAAGGGGAGACATTTTGGATATTGCAGGGCCATCTCCATAGGGAGCCTGAAATAAAATCGAATTCAATTATCTCTACTCCGTACCAGGGATGGCACATCATATAACAGATGTTCCAAAGTTAAGACCCTTGATTCTCATATGCGACTATTCGTCATTCAATTGGATCGGAGGTAGGGCTGGAGGTAGTAAACAAACTAACTATTACAGAGTCTCTGTACCCCATACCCCGTTGCTAGCGGAGTATAGAATATGGAGTATTATGGAGCACTTATATCAAGACTTTCCTTGGTTATCGTGGCATGAGGTCATGTCTGTTAAGCGAGAGATCGGCCGTGGAGCAGTGGCAGTGGAGCATCGGTAGAAAAGCCGGATTGTCCTGGAATAAACATCCACAGGGACAGTACGGAGTTCGGAGTATGCATCTATGAACAGTAAACGAGTGACTGCACAGGGTATTGCAGAGTTCGTGTCTACTCCATACTGATTCCTCCATATACTCCGTACTCCGTACAAATGCGACCGCAAGCGCCCGGACAAAATAAATCACCAACCTCCTCTCAATGACTATTGAGGGGTTGAAGGCTGGTGTGATTTCGCCATCTGCACACCGATATAGCCATCCATACAGAGTGACGTATTGGAGGCTGGTGTCCAAGCCAAAAAATGTTGAATCTGGGCGAGTCTCAGTGGAGTGCCGAGTGGACCCAGAAAAACCGAGCAGAACGAGGCTGGTCCCGCATGCAACATTTTAATATTCCCTACGGAGTACGGGGTCATGAGGAGTTGAGTTGCAAATGATCAAAAGGAAATTTTACCCCAGGATGACGAATCTGCAGGAGGTGTTTCACGCAAAACTACTTGTATGAAACGGAGGGGCTTATTCCATGGCTTATGGCGTCAAAGCATTTAAAGAACATGACCGGCGGAACCCGAATCGATCGTCGGTGGAAGAACTTTTCAACGACGATCGTCGAATGTTCCCATGGCTTGAACAGAGTAGGGCAGGAAATCGTGTGGTTGCTAGCGTGGTTGATTGTACATTCTATACTCTACATTGTGCATTGTACATTGCGCACGCGAGCCACGAATGGTTCTATAGATAGGAATGTTGCAGAAATTCCTTGCGATGACGATGTAGTCACCTGGCAAGGTGGCACAAGTGCATACTGTAGGCGATTAGGCGATTAGGCGAATAATCGACCGAGACCACTGGACCCGAGATGGATGAGGCCGACCAGCTGAGATATGCAGGTACTGCGAATCGAGTGGCGAAGTGGATGATGGATGAAAATAGTAACTATCCCAGAGTACAGAGTACATCTGCTATACAGTCAGCAGCCACTTTCAACAAGTCTAAGACAAGCACAAGCTAAAGTTCTTAGCTTCAGGATTTGTCTCTGTTGTTTGCGGAGGATTGTACTTTGTATAAGGAGTGCTCGAATCCTAGACACTATACTCCGTAGTAAGCGTAATAATAATAGATACGACTTGGACCCTGAACCAGTGTGCAGGCTCGAGGGGTACATGTGTCTCTGGAATTACGCGTCCCTGGCGACGTAAGAGTCTCCACTTCTTTTCCATCGAGGAAGATCTGCACCCGCCGGAATGAGGCCATCGCGGCGGACTCCGTTTTTTGATCTGATGATGAGAAGCAAAAGGGGGAAAAATTAAGAAAATATTACTAGCAAATCCAATTCGTATGCGAATCATTTTTCTTAACAAAAGTGTCGTGGTTACGGAGTCCGAATCCTTGGTATGTGCGCGTCCAAGCGGCTGTGGCGTCGGAGTATACGTCGCCGTGGAGTGCAGGAACTGATCAGCGCTGAAACAAAAGGGTGGCGGGGGCTTTTTACAACTGTTAGGAATTAAAAAGCCAATCTTATTAAACTGGAGACTTTCGCCCGTCATCCACCGGGTGAATCCACTTATCTTGAAATTATCATTTAAGTCTTTGAAGACCCTGAACTGCCAGATCGTCTGTCTCCATTCATCCCCAACCAGTTCACTCTTTGACACTTTAGTGCACCGGCACAGTATGTAACCCCGTTTATACCCAATCCAGGCAACTGTTGATGCTAACTTGTATTTGTAGATCGCGAGGCGTCTCTCATCGTACACTCTCTGCCCTCACTGCAAATACCACTCTCGTTCCACCTCTACAAAATGTCTTTCGCTACCCGCCTCCTCGCCACCCTCTTCCTGGTCAACATGGCCATTGCATTCCCATTCATGAAGCGTGGTATCCAGTGGTCCTTTGATCTATACCCCAGCACGCAATGCGGTGGAAATTCCACCAGCGACATCCACTCCGGAATGGGCAGCACCGGCTGCCGCGCCAACCTGAACACCATGGCCTCCGCATATCGCCTGAACACAATGGCCCCGGGCTGCCAGGTGGAATACTTCGAGAACACCATGTGCGAGAAGAGCGAGACATCTGGCGTAATTGTCGATCTGTCAGCGGGCGTCGCGTCCTGCCAGGCCACAACTCGACGCATCGGATCGTACCAAGTGACCTGCGACGAGGGTCGAGAGCTGAGAATCAAGCGAAGTCTCGAATAAGCAACCCATTTTTTTGGAGGAAATCCAGGCTGGTCCTGGGAGTCCTGGAGGAAGGCGTTTTCAATCGTTGAATTTCTCGAGTTACTCTGATTTAACTTGATTTTATTGATACATAGAATATGCGAACGAACTGGATTCGATTTGCAACGTTGCAATAGATAATGATACCCTAGAGGATATGAATATGAAAATCAATAAGAAATGATTATGAATAAGATTCAGAGACCCACCTTAGCCCGTCTAGGCAGTTCGTATAATAGATTGTTGATCGCTGATTGATGCGCGGAGGTGGCTCTGCAATTTGCTGCAGATTGCGTTTCGCCGTGTTTCAACCCATCCGCCCCGTCAAGGGGAGTGACAGGTCTACCCACTAGGATCCCTTGAAAACGGCGAGTGCATTGAAGAAGTTTCCCGATCGGTTCACTCCTTCAAGCTTCATGTGGCAATGATCAGCCCGGCGGGGGGCGGATTCCGTCGGACGTAATATACAGCAGACAGATTTGATAAAGAGTCAAGCTCTTGAAAGACACAGCAAAGATGGTCAAGTTGAGAATTCTTTTCAAGACCAAGAATTGTGTGATTCACTTCCCAGAACTTGTACATATGGCATGCTGACTTGACCATCTTTGCTGCGACTTCCAAATTGATTCGTGGCTTGCTGGCGTCGAGAGGATTGCGACGACTGCGAACGAATAAGTATGCTGAAATATAATCGTATCATGTAGAATTTGTACACAATCTTTGTGGGCTTTGGTGGCATTGACACGGAAGATTTCCCTCCAACGAAGATAGAGGGTTTGAAATGGCCATGTCTCCGATACAAGGTCTCAAGCTAGAGCACGGTGGTAAAGACGATCAACTGTCACTACAATACATCAGAACGCGATATTTTGAATTTTGAATGTTTCATGCGTGTTCCGTCCGGGGACTCCCATGCAGACAAAATCTGGCTTTATCTTCTAGCAAAATGGGCCGGCTTTCCTGCCTGCGTATTGCTACATTGGTATCGGGTATCCGTTGCGCATAGTCCATATTCCGCAGGGTTCGTGGGACGCAAGTTGATGGGAGGTGATAATTGACGTTCATGGAGGAATTGCCGATATGGTATTTTGTCTCTAGCATGAAATTTTGCAGTGCAGTTGAATCTATGCAGTCCCATCTCCATCACAAACAAACGTTTGCAAAGGGAATATCAAAATCTGCCGCGCAAAAGGATCCACAGCAAAGGCCATCATTGCCATGGCTCAAGTAGGTACCAAGCCATTCATCCCAGTGTCTTTATACCCCCCCCGCAGCACACCCAAAGCGCCCTAAGGCCTGCGGCTCGCCTGATCGATAGCATGTATATGGTAGAGTGGAGCCGAGGCGGGAGGGCCATACTGATTCCATTTAAGTGGACCCAGGAATCTCGAGATCGAATCCAGGAAAGCTGCTTCAGTGATGGTGGCAATGACAGAAGCCTCGGCGATGCAGTATGATGCGAGGATTCATAAGACGTGTTGCTGATCTTCAATTGAGTTGACCAACAGAGCGAAGCCAACGGCGCTGGACGCTGAATACCGCCGCCCCGATTTCCCACGCCCAGGTGCTATTCTAACCGTAACCTTCGACTTCTCCGGCAGTATTATCATTGAAGGGATTTTCTGTGCCGCTTGTGTCGATGGGATGGCAGGGGGACTCTTCTCGAGGTTCTTCTTGAGGCGTGCGACCATAGCCCGACCGGTAGGTTAAGCCAAGTATGCTGTAGCGTGGTCGCTGGAATCGATAAAGTCATCCGAGGGTTCGTTCTGAGCGCAAGTAGCGCTGAATATGGCAGAGGTTTTTTCATGGAAGCATATCGTCAAAGTAGAATCGATAGGTATGGCAGCGAGTGGTGCGTGAAGGAAGGGTCTCTTGTTTCATTTTGGAGCCTTTTCGAGCAGCCAAGCCGATTAACAGGTATTTTGAGACGTAGCGAGCTGAAGTCACGAATAGAAAAGCAGATATCGCGTTGATCTGTGTCGAGTCACTTGCTAGTACTATTTCGAAGTGCTCCTGATCAACCGGGAGGCTTGGTTGTGCGAAGCACATTATAAACGGCTTTGTATGGTCAAGTGTCGAGCTGCTTGTTACTGTTCGTGCTGTAAGGTGCTGTGAAATATCTTGAAGCAAAGAAAAGGATGAAAAGGGTCAGCAACAAGAGATATAGGGGGTAGAATGAAAGCATAGGATTGAAAGGAAGGATAGGTTACTCCTAGGTTATCACCGAGTTTATACCCCAGCGAGCCTTCCTTCTCACAGGCATTGGTGCCAGTTTGGTTCTCGATATCCTGCATGCCCTCAAGACTTTTATATTTTGACAAATTTAGCACGTGTGGTATGTCAAAGTCACCCCGGAAGTTCTTGAATGATCTTTCACTTGGTTTGTGGGGAGCAATGTTGTAGAGTTCAAGGCAGCTTTCACATGTTTGATGCCGAACATCAAGACTTTGGCTTGATATACCCAACGCAATGCGCCCATAAGCGTCTAGAATAAAATACTAGGGCAAAATTGATATTGAAAAAAGAGAAAATCAGAAATGATAGTGGATGACTTCAATATATCAAACCTTGGAAAACAGAAAGAGGTATTAGATAATTCCACTATATCAAAAACAGAAACAGTAGGTGGGGGAAGTAACCTTGGAAGTCAAATGTACAGCAAAATCTATACAAGAAAATAAAATCCCAGCAGCTGATTTCTGGCAATCATCACACACAAAGTTAATACAATAATGAGCTATTGTAGGGTTGTTTTACCTCCTCTTTTGAAGGGCAAAAAAACCAGAAAAATTATCTTCTATAGCCCCTGGCAAGGGTCGAGCTTACAATCGCCCTCTAATCTGTTGAGGGTTAGTTTTAGAAGGAGGGTACCTTAAACCATTTGGCCACAGGGGCTGGGGGATCAAATAGGGGTTGCATAAATCTGCATGTTAAACATTATGGTAGCTTGGTTGGACATCCAGATATGCCTGAGATCGAAATCGCAATTTTTACCATGACACTGATGAACTCTAGATTTCTCATTCGTCCCTGAGAATCAACTGGGGGATCAATTTATCATTGTTGACTTATGTCGTGCAAACTCTGAGAGTTATCCCTTTGCAAGGGGCGGGATGGCAGTAGCGGCACTGCAGTAGTTAACGATGGCATGCATGCATCACTGCAGTGCACATCAAAACAAGAATATTGAGATGCTCACCATATTTAATTTAATCTGTAGCCTATATAATTATTTCTGTTAGCTTTCCAGGGATCTCTCAGGCCAATTCCTTATATTGTTGTCAAAGTTGGAATTCGCTGTTTTGGGAATTACCTGCCGGAAGCGTCATACAGTGTCACTCAGTGTCACCCGTCCTACTTGAAAACTCAACCTTCAGTACAAATGAAATGTACAAACTCACCACCCCCGTGAAACAATTTGAAGATGGAAAAGCCAGAGATGGATGTGCCGACACCGGTGGGATTCTTTGATCCGGCCTTAACCGAAGTACGCCGGCGCGTCTTCTACCAATGGGCGCGTACCATCTTCATCCTTTGCGTCTTCATATTTGGTGTGCTTTCCCTTTTCTGGGGCTCACAGTATCGCACTGAGGCAAATTATCCAGCTCTCAAAGTCTTCGTGGTTGATTTTGACGGTACTGTCGATCCCTATCGCACCGACAATCCCATCGTCGGACCGGCCGTCACCAACGCGACGAAGAACATAATCCACTCATCAGGGCTGCACTTGGGTTATGAGATCAAGTCGCCTGCTGATTTTAACCACGATCCCTGGGCTGTCCGTCAAGCCATCTACGATGAAAAAGCCTACGCAGCTGTCATCATCAACCCCAATGCGACCGCCTTGCTCCGCGCCGCAGTCACCGAACGAAACAGCACCTATGACCCGACTGGGGCAATCGAATCGGTGATAATCTCTGCACGAGACGAAAATACATACTACACCTATATTATGCCCGACCTGGCGATTTTCCAGAGCACTATCCTGATGGAATTTGGCCCCCGATGGGTCCGCGAACTCACCTCGAACTCCACCTCGACATCTGGATCTGCATCTATATTGAATGCGAACCTAAACTTCTCACAGGTACCTCCACAAGCCATTAATCCGGCCATTGGCTTCACAACTGTCGATCTACGCCCTTTCACGCCAGCCGTGGCCGCACCAGCCGTAACAATCGGCTTGATCTATCTAATAATAATCGCCTTCTTCAACTTCCCCTTCCTCATGGGCATTCACGCGCAGTTCATGAAGCCAACCACCTCCCCGTCTTCGTCAGACTCTTCCTCCCCAACAACCGCGACGCTCAAAGTACCCCACTGGATAATCTGGCGCATCCTCTCCGCAATAACAGCCTACTTCTTCCTATCCCTCTTCTACTCCCTCGTCTCGCTCGCCTTCCAAATCCCCTTCAGCAACAAGCCCGCACCAGATACACTACCCGCCAACAACCCAAACGCATACGGGCAAGGCTCATTCGTGGTATTCTGGATGCTGAATTGGGTCGGGATGGCAGCGCTGGGCTTCCCGTGCGAGAATATGGCAATGGTCCTCGGGTTTCCGTGGAGTTCGCTGTTTCTGATATTTTGGGTTATCACGAACGTTGCGACGGGGTTTTATGCGCTGGATCTCGCGCCAGGATTTTATGCTTGGGGGTATGCTTGGCCTTTGCATCGGAGTAAGTTTTTCGTGGGCGGTTGGGTTGGTTTTCGTTTGCGTGTGCTGTGGCGTGGCGAACTAGACTCCAGGTTGGCTAACTTTGCGTGGTATAGTTGTCGAGGCGCTGCGGACTATTCTTTTCGATACACACTCGCGGATTGGACTTGACTTTGCGGTGCTATTCATTTGGGTTGCGGTGTCGTTGGCGTTTTACCCGGTGGCGACGTTCATAATGCGGTGGAGGATGAAGCGAGGATATGCGTGAGGGATGGTGCACCTGGGCAGGAAGCTGGCAGTTGGCAGTGATAATGATGCAGTAATGCTATGGTACCTCAAGTTCACGGTTCATACTATGGGTAACTGGTATGTCACTAGTTGTACCGGGGTAATCTCGAATGATGGACACCGTGACTTGATAAACGAATTGTTGATATTTAATAAAGATCGTATTGGTTGAATAACTACCATGAAACAACTACCAATAAACTCAAAATAAAATGACTTTAGACTGAGCTTGAGCTTACTTGCTCTTTTAATCATCCAGATCAATCAGGTCGCCCTCCATCTCGAAGTGGCTGGGACTCTGACCTTGGGCCTGGTTCTGACTGTGACGCGGTTGCGTATCCCCGTGCACACACGAGGCATGCATGGTCCTGAGAGATCAGCGATAAAACTCACCTAAAATTACTAGTAGTATACAGAGGTAGCTACCCAGGTATACCTAGAGTGGTGGGGACCCTGAAATGAGAACTTGAACTTACTTGATCTGTGGCTCGTCATCCATCCGATTTGGCTGATGGGAGCAATTATAACGAGCCTGGTCGGAGCCCTCTTCTCTGTGATACCAATGTTAGCTATAACTAGTACAATAATAATAAACCTAGGTATAGCATCCTCCAGGGCTGCCTCGTAAAACTCACTCCGGCTGGCTCTGGCCGGGCATGGCAACTTTAGATAGGACGTTCGTGATGTGTTCTTTTCTGTTGGGGTTGACACTGAGAGGGATCTAGATCATGATTTCTGGGTTTGATGTATATGAATATGATGTATATGAATATGAAGTATATGAATACCGTATCTCCCCTTTTTTTTGTTTTATGATTTTTACGAGAGTTCAAGTTTGAGTGTGGTGGTGGGTGGGTTCTTATACTTCGAGTCTCCGCCACCGCCACGGTGATGTTGAGGATACATCATGATCCTACCTTCAGGTAGAATGCGTGATTAACCGGGATAAAGATAAAGATAAAATAAAGAGTAGATACGAGAATACTAGTATACTAGTAGTATACTAGTACAAATTACTATACTATATTATACGATACTATACTATACGATACTACTGTATGGGGTATACTTTGTTATGTCATGCTATGCACTCAAGGCAGGTACGACCCTCCATTACCCCATTTCTATCTCGTGCCTGCCTGTTGTAACCAACCTGTGACATGTGCCTCATCCTCCTCTTCTGGTTGGTCTCCTCTTCTCTTCTCTTCTCTTCTCTTCCTCCTCCATTATCTTTGTTTACTACGTATATATCTGACTATAATTTCATCGCTCTCACTTCATCTCTCTCTCCTCTCCACCAATCTCGTCCCATTTCTCTCATCCATCATGCAGTCAGTTCCCTCCGAAACAGAGCTTTCTGCTTCTTTTGACCCGGACGAACATCGTCGTCTGGCATTTGAGCGCATCGAGAATGCCCGCTCTGGCTGGCATCATCTACGCGCCGTTGTTGTCGCGGGCGTGGGTTTCTTCACCGATGCCTACGATATCTTCGCTATCAACCTCTGTGTGAGCATGCTAGGTGTCGTCTACTGGCAAGATGCAAAGCATAATCCCGGCAAACTCCCCACAAACTCCGACACGGCCCTCAAAGTCTCGACCTCCGGTGGCACCGTCATCGGCCAGTTGCTCTTTGGCTATCTCGCCGACCGTTATGGCCGCAAGCGAATGTACGGCATCGAGTTGATCATCATCATCTTCGCTACTCTGGCTCAGTCCCTCTCAGCTGCCTCCCCGGCCGTCTCCATCACCGGCGTTCTCATCTTCTGGCGAGTCGTCATGGGCATTGGAATTGGTGGAGACTACCCTCTTTCTTCCATCATTACGTCCGAGTGGGTTGACTTCCCCTGATTCTAGCCCTAATATTCCTTTCCCTCGTTCCCGCTAACCCCACAGATTCGCCAATGCCAAATGGCGTGGCGCCATGATGGGTTCGGTCTTCGCTATGCAAGGCATCGGCCAGTTCGCTGCAGCCATAATCGCCCTAATCGTGACCGCCGGCTTTCAAAAATCTCTCGAATCTGCCAAGGATGTCGCACACTGCTCGGGGGTCTGCCTGCTCGCTGTCGACAAGATGTGGCGTACTATCATTGGCATGGGTGCAGTGCCCGGATTGATCGCTCTGTACTTCCGACTGACAATCCCCGAGTCTCCTCGTTACACCCTGGAAGTTTCGCGTGACCCTGTCAAGGCAGAAGCCGACATTCAGGCCTATATCAAGGGATTTCGTGAGGGTAGCCCTGATGAGATGCAGCGTATCCAAGTCCAGCGCAATGACCGCATAGAAGCCATCACCAAAGCGAGCTGGAAGGACTTTGCGCACCATTACTGGAACTGGAAGAATGGCCGGACTCTCCTGGGAACTGCTGGTTCCTGGTTTTTTCTGGACGTTGGTACGTTGCACTCACCCTTTCTGTGACACTACTTACTAGAAACAATTGTTACTTCTAATTTATTTTTTGAACCGGGATACGCTAACTAACTTCTTCCGCAGCATTCTACGGTCTCGGCCTCAACAACTCGATCATTCTCGGTGCTATCGGCTGGACAGGCGGGGAGAATGTCTACCAAATCTTCTACCGAAACGCCGTCGGCAATCTGATCCTCATCTGCGCCGGCGCCATCCCGGGGTACTGGGTTACCGTTGCGACAGTTGACACAATCGGCCGCAAGCCGATCCAGATCGGCGGTTTCAGCATTTTAACGATCCTCTTCATCGCCATCGGCTTCGGCTTTAACAAACTGAAGCATTCCCACAACGGCCTGTTAGCACTCTACGTGATCGCGCAATTCTTCTTCAACTTCGGACCTAACGCGACGACTTTCATCGTTCCGGGCGAATGCTTCCCAACCCGATACCGCTCCACATCGCACGGGTTCAGCGCTGCGGCAGGCAAAGTCGGCGCTATTATTGCGCAGTGTGTGTTTGGGCCGTTGGTGCATCGTGGGGCGAAGAAAGATTCCTCCGATTCGCCGTGGTTGAATCATGTCATGCAGATCTTCGCTCTGTTCATGTTTTGCGGGATCTTCACTTCGTTTTTAATCCCCGAAACCAAGCGGAAGACGTTGGAGGAGTTGTCTGGGGAGATTCGTCCTCTTTCTCGGCCCCAGCTGGCGGGTGTGCAGGATGGTGCGAGGAACGAGGATGCGGAGAAGGGGAATGTGAATGTGAATGCCCCGAATCTGAATACCCTGGATGGGGATGGCAATCGCAATGAGAATTGGAATGAGCTAGTGTGAGCTTGAGTCTTCTTGCTTGCTCTCTTTGCTTTGCTTTGCTCTCGAGATCGGGATCAATGGAATAAAAGTGAAGGACATGATGGATGGCCGAGGGGAGGAGAATAAGGATTCTTTGTATTTCTGATTGCTTGATTAGATTTACGAGAAGTTTCTGCCATTTTACCTTAATCTTGTTATTCTTATCATGAATATCTATCTATCTGTGGTGTCTGTGTTGGTACCCTGAAGTACTGTCTCTGTGGGTCTGTCTGACTCTGCTTGATGGGGGATGTTGCACTGATCACACCTCATAGTACTACTGCGGAGAGAATGCGAGACAACATTGGGATATTCGTTAGTATTCCATACTAGTCAAGCCCAGTCTAGTAGATCCACGAGTTGAAGCTTCTCTTTTGCAGCATCTATAGATACCTCAGGATGACTCGATGCTGACACTTACATTCACTACTAGTATTATACACTGGTACACTATGGATGTAGATGTAGATATTATTGATTCAATACTTGAATCCCTACTCATTCACTACCATCCCTGTCTACTTACCACTCACTACATTCACTACTATTATGGACTTACCTCAACTGGACTCAAGATGGAGTTCTTCTCCTTCTCCTCCTCCTTCACCCACCCCATCAACATCCACATCTACATCTACACCAACCACCACACCCACCACCCTCACACCCGAAACAATCTCAATGTCCGAGCCCAAAGAGAAAGATCCCACCCCTCCCCCAACTCTATCAACAACCATAACAACCACCGAAAAGGATCTAACAACCGCCCTAATCCTAATCTCAACCTCCATCACCGAACAACGCCAAACAACCAGCCGCGCCCTAATCCACAGCACCCCCTTCATCTCCACCGTGCTAGGCCTGATCATCCCACTGGCCCTAATAACAGAATACTACCGACTAGACCGGGTCTCAGCCGCATTCACATGCATCGCCATCATCGCCGCAGCGATGAAAAGCGTCGAGTTTATCACGGCGGGGTATCTCGATGCGGCGAGGGATATTGGATGGGGGTGGCTATACAGTGCTGACGATGAAAACGAAGACAAAGATACAAACAAAGAAATCAACATCGTCTTCGTGAGTCAGTGGAAAGATTCCATGGTCGGAACGCTTGTATTGCGCGTTTATCCCGCACCAACAGGCGAACCCATTACCCACAAAAGGAAACCACTCATCCGCGCCTGGACAGTCAAACAGGCATACCGCCGTAATGGCGTCGGCCGCTCACTCCTCCGTCTCGCCATCACGCACTGCCGATCGAGCGGGTGGGCTGATCCGGACTTTGCGACCGATCATGCGAATTGCTTGCGCGTCTTGCCGGGTTGGCTTTATGGGGGGGTTGAATTTGAGCGAGAGAGTTGCTTGGGAGGTCTTGGGGAGGGAGTTGGGTGCTGAGACAGGGAGTGATGCTGAGAGTAACGGGGATGAATCGGATAGCAAGAGCGAAGAATTACTCGGAGATGTATGGACTGGATTATGGGAAGGGATGGACTGACTTATGGTGGGTGGCTTATTTGATTTGATTGTGGAATAGGACTACGTACAGGGGAATCTATCAATATCGATATCAATATCTATCTCGATACATCAACATCATCTTGAACACTTTTCATGCAGTCAGGACCGAAGACAGAGGTTGGCGCGGATAAAAGTCCTCTTGCGACGAGTCGATCAACACTCCGTTTCACATGGGCACTGTCAACATGATCCCCGCTCTCTTTGAGGACTTCCCAAGCTGTTCGGAGAGGAAAGGAAGATGACGCTGGGCCAAAGAGACCCATATCTTCTTTCAAAAGATAGTCCATGCTAAGTGAGATATTTCTCGCGAGAGCTATTGCACGGTGCTCCGGGGATGATACCGTTTCAGAGAGCGCGGTGCTGAGGATAGCCATCTCCCGGAAAATAATTATTTGGAAAGCCCACAGGTGCGTGAAGATATTTGCCATTGTCACGTTGGGGAAAGAAATCCGTCGATGGTCTTGGTTCTGATCATCTTCATGCTCATGGCTGGTTTCGTGAGAGTGATTGTAGTCCCGCCGGTAGGAGAAAGGGGATGTGGTTAAAGTATCCTCCCAGTGGTCCAGACGAGCAGACATATCCACGAGAAGAGATTGGAGTACTTGTTTCTCAATTTCGGACTGACTGGTCGATTGAAGAGATACCTCCAGACAAAGACCATCCATTTGACAAAGTATTGACGACAGATGAACGAACTCGTTGAAAAAGGCCTGCATGATAGACGGCGCGATCTCGGAAAAGGGAATCTCGATCCAAGCCGAGAGGCCGAGGAACGTTGGCTGGCGATTCTGGATAGCATGGATGATCTAGAAGAATTAGAATCGGGTAGAGACCGGGGATAAAATTGTTCATACCATTAATGGTCGGAATCCAACAAATAATCTATGCAGAAGTCCTGTCTTACACGCCTCTGGCCCAGCAGAACGGAAGAATACACCTACTGCATTTAAATGGGCGTCAAGGGCGACATTCGCGTTTGGAATCATGACCTTTCGTCGTTAACAAAGCTTTAACAGCTAGATGGAATGCAGGATGAGCGAGATATACCTCCACCAAGATCAGACACATAACAGCGGGAATAAGCTCCTCTGTCCTCCCGAGCCCATTTTCAAGCCTTCTTCGAAGAGCTCCAATAGCGAGAAGATACGGCTCGGAAATGCTTTGCCTGGAGATACAAACCGATGTCAAGACCGCTGCAGCGAGGGCGGTTACTGATTTCGAGAGAAGGGAGTCGGTGTGTGCTAGACAGGGAAGCTCGTATAAAACTTCAACCCAGGAACCACAGATTCGTGGATGTTGATATTTGTGGCCGTGATTTTGACTGTGGCCGGTAGCGAGGGCGACAGCAGCTGTATTCCTCTCACTCTCCGGGAGATAGCTTTCCACGATGATAGTTAAGAGGTGGTGGAGGGTGGGCGTGGTTGATATTTCCCGCGGTAGACTCGGAGTGAACTGAAATACAGGGGATTCTGCCATCTCTTTGATTGAGCGTGGAGAACTATCGCGGCGTTTTATTTGTACCGGGGCTTGAAGTTGCTCATGATGAGTTTCATTCTTCCGAGTTCCATTCTGATTCAATATCCGGTTTTGATCGAAAGAGCCCTGCTGAACAAATGTCCAGCCTGTCGAATAACCATCACAGGTATACCCGGATAGCGAGCATTGGGTGCAACCCGGTAGCTTTCCATCACACTAAAGACATGTTTATATTTAGCGTATTGTAGGTCCATCGAAGTTGCCAGTGTGGATTCGCGCATTCATACCCCCAATTTACGGCGCCGGCAGGTATTGCAGACGCTGCGTTTCTTGTACTTCATTTGTCCTGTGGATAAAGTGTGTCATACATGCTCACTGCGTGCATAATCGTGGCCTACACTCCATTCAACGTGTGTGGGAGTCGCCTTTCACCCCGAATTCTGTGCTGTGGCGTCATTTCAAACAATCCAAGTCGATGAATAATCCATTTCTTGGCGGAATATGATCCCAATTCCGGTTAGCGCAGATGCAATGTATACTCCACAATTTTGAGTATGAGTTCCCAATGGCCCCGCGGTTACCAGGAATCCAGCGACCAATTCCTATTTAAACCCTATTAAATCCGGGTTCCAGAACTCCTCATTCAACTTGAAATTAAAACCACTCGAAAAGCACCTTGGAATCCCAAACACTTCCACTCAACTCACCATGTCAAACGTCAAATCATTTCGCGACCTAATCGGTCTCCCCCCCTCCACAGCCTCAACCCAAGACTCAACCCTAATTATAATCGATGCTCAGAACGAGTACGCGACCGGCAACCTCCGCGTCGAACTCGTCTCCGAAACCCGCAAAGTAATCTCCGACCTCCTATCCCTCTACCGAAGCACCGGCAACGGCAAAAACATCGTCCATGTCGTGCACGAAGTACCAGCCGGAGCACCAGTCTTCACACCAGGAACACCCCTAGCAGAAGAATTCAGCGAGCTCACCCCTCAGTCAGGTGAGAAGGTCGTGACGAAGCACTTTCCCAATTCTTTCGCGCAGACCGATCTCGATGAGTATCTGAAGGGGCTGGGGGAGGCAGGCAAGAAGATCGTTCTCGTCGGGTATATGGCGCATGTATGTATTTCCACTACTGCGAGGGCTGGAGCTGAGAAGGGGTATGATGTCATTGTGGCCAGGGATGCGGTTGGGGATCGCAATATTCCCGGCGTTCAGGCGAAGGATTTGGTTGATACTGCGTTGTTTGAGCTGGCGGATGCTTTTGCGACTGTTTTGTCGGCGGCGGAAATTCGAGCGTAGGTTAAGTACTCTGAGTGTACTGTGTGATATTTGACATTTAAATTGAGTTGACTATAAATGAAAGGGGGGAAGTGAAGGTCGGAGAAATTCAAGTTGTGGGGAATGTTGTTATCAGCCAGAATTATGGCGAACCTGAGTCGTAGTGGATTTATGTGCCAAAATTGAGAACACCTGTTATATCTGTTAGGCTGCCATATTCATAGCTTCCTCACTTCATCTTCTCCTTCCTATGGCACTGGCTCGGAATAAACTGTCTATGTGCTTTATCACTACTCCATATATTCCGTATAACATCACTTTTGCCACATTGTCGGAGCTTCCTCGACAAAGATTAGAGTGGACATTAGCTTGCCACTTGTAACTATTATCGATATCTATAATAGAATTTGAGAATCCCTCATGGACTGCAAATAAAAAATTCCAAGTAAACAGATAGAAAGTGTGAAACTCTTCAAAGAAGCCTTTCAAAAAAAAAAAACTGTAAAATTCTATACCAAATGCTATGCCAGTATTTATACGCTAATAACTTGAAAACCTCAGAGAGTTCCAAAGTTTCTAATAACCTTGAAATATTACATATGAATGAAATCTCTCACAGCTCTACCTTCTCGGCACATAGGACAGCTGTTTGTTTCATATAACCAACGTCTGATGCAGGTGCTATGAAAGAGATGTTTGCAAGAGAGAGCACATACCTCTTGACTCACCTGGAAATCCTCAATACAAATAGAACAGGAGGAGCTAGAAAATTGCTGCAGCTCCTCCAACATTTCTTTGTCAATTTCCTTTGCCGATAGAGCCCAAATAAGCGATCTAGGAGCCGGGGGTCGACGGAGAGAATCAGAGGTAAAATGAACGTGGTAACCAAGTATTTCCGGCGAGGTGTAAGGAGCCATTCCTATTTCGCTCAAGTGATGGTGGTAGTTAAGCACTCCAGGCGCGATATAACGAGTTAATTCCATTTCACGCTCGCTCAGATCTGTCTCATGGTCAATTCTCGTGCGTTCTTGGATATGCTCTTGAGCGTGCTCAAGCTCCTCGGCTAGTCTGCGACGGCGACGGCGACGGCGATGGCGAACTGGGTGAGCCGATAGATACCCCGTTATAAAACCTGGCATTCCTGCGATAACCTCTTCAAGCAAATCGTGGAGCCCTCGGTGACCGGAATGCGAACTTGCCGATTCGGAGAGACCCAGCTCGATGCTCATATCGTCCTCCATCTGAGTGTCGATCGGCATCTACACTGTATAGCGAAGTCTAATAATTTCAGATTAATGGAAGTTATACTAGCGTATTAAGTAATTATATCAAGTGTGAGTCGAGTCACTGTAAGCTGCCTGATAGTACTTGAGAAGAATGTGAAAACTTCCAATAATGACACCACCAGAGGCCAGCCAGAAATGCTGTTTATATGCATGGCATTCATTATATGATGAAAATTAATTTAATTTTAAAGAAATTTTTACTACGTGACAAAGACTACTGCGGTAATGAATTCTTTCATGGTATGGGTTCATACAGCTGGATAATGAACTGAAACATAACAAAAGCCATTGTCCGTAATTTGGTGGCTTTGTTGGGGATATTCCTGCATCACAATACATTGAATAGACCGCGATATTTGACTTCGATAAAGACTGGGAAAGTTGGGGATTTAAAAATAATCATTCCAAGGTTCCTTTCTCCATCTCCTTTATCGTAAATATCCCATTCAATTAACAGGTACTTAGCTGGCGTTGAGGCCGACCTCGCCCGGGGCGCATGATTATTGACAAACGTGGAGCCCCAATATTTCCGTAGTAAAAATAGCAAAAGAAGTCTCTATATAATGTTCGACGTTAAGTTGTATACTGTATTGCTCACCTTAAATGCCTTCCACTTGATATTTTCTAGCAGCTTGTTTAGATCAGCTGCTTCACCCGACTCGGCGGTATTGCCAGATTGGGCGGGCCGAGAACGATATCGAACATTCGGATTCCAAGTAGCTACGGAATAGTGCATTTAATGCTGGCACAAAGCTTGAACGAAGCGAGGCTCGGCATGAAATATGCAGGTGGCTCCGCGAGTCATACGGTCCGGGAGAGAGCATGCCACGCTGCAAGCAGCCGATCAAACGCCGATGAGCAGCCGAGCGAAGTCCAGACTTGCGATTGACGCCCGGGTAGTGATGAGAATAGCCTCTATCTCATTTTAGCCATCAGTTTGATACTCTGCCTCACACCGATTGCGCCTGTCTCATGTCAGCCGTATGTCAAATTGCCGGCGGCACCTCCGGCATCCATCTCTGCCCGAAGCCGATTTGCGTGGCGGCGGAAGAGGCGTGCGAAGGCTGGGCGACTAGGAGAAACAGGCTAAATGTGCAGGATTCAGCCGGGCCCAATAGGTGTAGCGTATGGGAATTGCTAGGCGGTACCTTGTAATTGACACAAATCATAACATTCCGGAATCGGGAGGAGGCGGATAATATTTTCCCTGAAACCACTGGAAATACTTTGCAGTCATTTTTTATTTCGGTATTCTGCACTGCAGACCTAGTCTGTTTCTTTGGACTCTTTTCTTCGCTTGAACTTGTTATTTCTAGGTTCTCTCCATGCGGGGTTTCCCCAGGGGGGTCTCCATCACGGTGGGACCCGTGGAGAACGAGCCAATGAAAGCAGTAGGAAACCCCCTCCCAGGGCCTGCTAGCAATTCCCATGCCGAGCGGGTGCAGCCGATGATGCCATTGCGGGATTTTGGTTGATAAAAAGGGGATTTTCGTGAATGTTAAGACAGTATGGGTTAGAGATATCGGTGAGAATATTGCTACATCCGAAATTACACAGCTTAAAAAACAAGGTAATAGGTTACCTTGCTGATTCACGAGTCATTCAAGTTTGAGCCTTGATGTTTTGCAAAGTGCAGAGCATCTATTGTTGCATCTTGTATTTATCCAAAGTTTACAACTGGGAAGTCCGGCTAAATTCTACTGCTGCACGGCCATCCCACAAGCAACACTAACGTCCAAGCCCAGCCGCAACCGCAGCCACTGACAACGTCTCCACGTCTTACACACTCCGCAGCCGACCCGGGCATTTTCATATCTCCTGCCCGGAACACGCGGCGCGTCGGCTCGCGGTGGGGTCAGGAAAAGGAAGCTTGGTCAGGAAGAGAGATTATGGCCCCCATGGGGATAAATTCCCGGGGGAATTACCCAGAGAAGAACCGACTGTTGAATAAATGCAGTGCTGATCCCCGGACTCGTGAGTCAAGAGGCTTTGACAGTAACCTCGACCGTATCTCGCTTTTTTGACCTGTATCTTTGTTCACAGTACATTGACCATGGCACCTCCCATCGCTGGAGAGTCGGCCGTTTCGGCCAAGCGAGCTGAGCTCGCTGGCAAAGGAGGAATTATGGGTCTCCTCAGTAATAAGAAGACATCAGCGATCGGATTGTTCGCGTCGCTGGGTGGACTGGTGTATGGATACAACCAGGGAATGTTCGCCCAAATTCTGCAAATGCACTCGTTCGTCGAGGCCACAGATTCATATGCCAAGGGCACTGGTATCGAACAGGGTATCTTGACATCAATTCTGGAGCTTGGCGCCTGGATTGGAACCTTGTTCAATGGATACCTCGCTGATGCGGTTGGTCGCCGGCTAACTGTATTGATCGCGGTCTTTGTATTCTGTATCGGTGTGATTGTGCAAGCCTGTACGCAGAGCAAGGACTATGTGTTTGCTGGACGCTTTGTCACAGGTCTGGGTGTCGGTAGCTTGTCTATGGTAGTTCCATTATACAATGCAGAGTTGGTAAGTCGCCAGTGGAACTCGGGAAGCGAAGCAGAGACAAATAAAGTGTTTGCAATGTTTACTGAAATCGTTTCTAGGCTCCGCCAGAGATTCGTGGATCTCTCGTCGCAGTCCAACAGCTGGCCATTACTTTTGGTATCATGGTTAGCTTCTGGGTAAGTTTTTGCCATCCTAGGATCTGTCCCATCGCAAGAGTAATACTCATCATCTGCATGCTTAGATCGGCTATGGCACCAACTACATCGGCGGTACTGGCGACACTCAGTCCAATGCAGCTTGGCTCGTCCCAGTTTGTATCCAGCTATTCCCTGCAATTGTTTTGGCAGTTGGTATGATGATGTTCATGCCACAGTCACCGCGCCATTTAATGAACACTGGGCGCGAGGAGGAATGTCTACAGACCCTCGCCAGACTACGTGGCGCCTCAACCGACGACATACTCGTGCGCATCGAATTTCTCGAAATTAAGAGTCTTCACATGTTCGAGAAACAAGTTCAGGCCGAAAAGTACCCGCAGTGGCTGGATGGCTCGTTCTCCAGTCGCTTCAGAATGGGATTAGCCGATTACGCATCACTCGTCACAAATCCTTCGCTTTTCAAACGTACAACTGTTGCGGTATGGATGGCATCTGTTCCGCTCACTGGAATATAAGACTGACTATTTAGTGCCTGATCATGGTCTTCCAACAGTGGAATGGCATCAACGCCATCAATTACTACGCGTACGTCCATGCAGTATCCTCTTGAATTTATTTTTACTGACCTCATATATAGGCCTTTCATTTTCGACAACATGGAACTACCCGGTAATACAACCTCCTTGCTGGCTACTGGCGTTGTCGGTATTTTCGAGTTCATCTTCACCATCCCTGCTGTGCTTTGGGTCGATCAGATCGGACGTAAGAAGATCTTGATCACCGGTGCGATCGGAATGGCTGTCTGCCATTTCATCGTGGCAGGAATCATCGGTGCATACCAGGGTGAATTCGGCGAAAACAGGGCAGCTGGATGGACGGCGATTGTTTTCATTTGGATCTTCGTCATCAACTTTGCCTACTCTTGGGGTTTGTGTCGCCCACGAAATCCTGTTTTGTGACAATCAAGCTAACCTTCGCAGGACCTGTCGCATGGATCGTCACTTCAGAGGTATTCCCTCTAAGCATGCGAGCTAAGGGTGTTAGCTTGGGAGGCAGTAGTAATTGGGTAAGGATCTTAGTTTCACCAATTCGGAATCGTCGGATCATCTAACATCGTCATAGTTGAACAACTTCGCTGTCGCGACTGCTACTTCTCCCTTCATCGAAGTTTCTACACTGGGTACCTTCATCTTCTTCGGCTGTGTAACCACCGTTGGTGTTTTCTACGTCTACTTCTTTGTTCCCGAGACAAAGGGTCGCACACTGGAGGAGATGGACGAGATTTTTGGCACGACAGGGATGGCCGCCGCTGACGCAGATCGCAAGCATCGCATCGAAAGAGAAATCGGTCTGCTGGCTCTGCTTGGAATGGAAAGCCCGGAGGGCGAGAAGCATGTCGAAACAACTGCCGGCAGTGAGGAGTTTGTAGAAGTCAAGAATTAAACAACCGTTGTGGTCATTGTGGAACGAGTTTGCAGGCAGCAATCCTTGAATCGGCAAGGAGTCGACGAGATATCCATGTCCTATGCATGCTAATATACACTACCACCTTCACCGAGTGGCCCCATACATCGAATACATCGATTCCCATAAGCGGTCGGTATTTGCACCGTCGCTTTGCACCGATCGGCGGTTTCTGGTCTTCTCATTAGTTCTCTGCTGAGGTTTCCCCATGTGGCTTATAACTATAATCTAGGTGCAGGGAACTGATCACATCAAATTATGACATATCACTCGCTACTCCGTACTTTTCCATAATCAAATTTTACATGCTTCTTGGTTCCTAAATCGGGCATGAAATAGGGAATCATCAGTTCAGAAAACATAATAATTTGGATTTCAACAAATGAGAAACATCATCCGATCTCACATGGAACCTTTCAGCCCTAGCGTGCCTTAAATATAGCAAAAAGTGGAGATATTCCCCACAAGATGGCGCCTGGTTGGGTTGCGTCTGACACATTCCTTGTCCTGTCTCACCCCCGTTCCTTGGCCTTGATTTGCTTTATATTGCAGCCTTTTGTTTCTTGTTTTTCGCTTTCCCCTTTCCCTTGAGCCTCAAGCCAACTTCGAATTCTTTCCTCAGCATCTATCTCAATTCTCACATCACATTTCCACTTCCACATCACCCAAATTCACCTACCTACCGACACGATGTCCACCACCACCACTACCGCCGCCGCCTCTACCTCCTCCACTTGCATCTCCTCCTGGATAATTCCCTCCAACGATGTCGCCTGCGCCGGTGCTGTCACCGGAAACATGACCGATGTGTTCGACTCCTGCTGCAAGGGCAACAGTCCCGTGAAGTACAACGATGACTGCAACATCTACTGCCTTGCCCAGGGCCAGACAAAGAAAGAGCTGTCTGACTGCTTGACCGACAAGAGCAAGAACTACAGCGGTATCTTCTGCGGTGCTGGAAAGGATAACTCCACTGCTACTGCATCGGCCACCACCACCAAGGAAACTGGCAGTGCTACGGGTACCTCCACTGGAAAGGGTAGCTCGACTTCCACCGGTGCTGCGATCATCAGCCAGCCTATCTCTAAGACTGGTCTTGGCCTCGTCGCCATGCTCTTCTGCTCCGCCGTCGCCGGTGTCCTCGCCTAATCGACCGCCCTTTGAACTTGAACAAACAGACACTGTGATATGGATACTGTGATTATGACATGACAACCGGTGGACCGCAGGGACGGGAAACGGTAATTGATGACCTGGGGGGAAAACATCAAACATGGGGCACGGAAATGGGCATATGCTTGATTTACTCTTACTCCTTCGCGAGGAGTTTTGTTTCTCTGTACCACTAGCGATAGCCTTGACAGTATTTTAATCCTTAATTTTCAGCATTCTCCACCCCCTACTGCAATTTTTGCATTCCTTTATCAGGCCGGCTCCACCATAGCTTGACGCGCGAATGGCAGTCCATAGGATTTTCCGATCGTCGCTGGTGATCGTCGCGCCCGCGTTACAGTGACATGCAAGCTCCCCTGGCTCCTTTAGGTAAATCTCCGGATACTGAACATCCTAGTTATTTGGCGCTCTTGGGGTATTATACCCCGCAAAGTACTAAACTATGATCGGGACATTCTCCGGAGAAATTTATCCGAGGTCATCTATATAATTACTGCGGGCTTGTAGATAATTGTCTGAATATGTTGTACTAGTAGTATCATGAGAATCTAGTAAAATGCAACTCAATTGGAGCTTTCAGGTCTTTCTAATCGGCCTGGCAAACGGCGCTGCCTTGCAGCCACGAATCGATAATGGCTTAGCCAAAACGCCACCCATGGGGTATGCCCGACAATCTCTCCGCTCATGTTCATGCCTAACCAAAGCAGGTGGAATACGTACAACCATTATTCATGCTCGCCCAACGAGACAATCGTCAAATCCAACGCGAAGGCCCTAGTTGACCTTGGTCTCGACAAGCTTGGGTATCGCTACGTGACGATAGACTGTGGCTGGACAATTCCCGACCGTGTAAATGGCTCCCTGACCTGGAACGCAACAAATTTCCCTAGTGGATTCCCCGCGATCGGGCAATACATTCATGATCTAGGACTTCTATTCGGAGTTTACGAAGATGCAGGTATTCGATCTTGTCAGACGGACATTGAACAGGCTGGGAGTTTATGTATGTGCGACTGTGAATCTGTTTCTCCTGCCACTTGAACATGAGCTGATATTTCTAGTCCACGAGGCCCAAGATGCGGCACTGTTTACATCATGGAAAATTGACGCTTTGAAGTGTAAGCGTTCTATTTAGATCCCGGATGATTTCATGCATCACCAACTCACCCTATTCAGATGACAATTGTTTTTCTGATGAAGCAACCGGCTACCCCAATGTCAACTACGAGCCCAGTACATCCCCGCAACCTCGCTTTGCCAACATGACCAAGGCACTGGCCGCACAAAACCGGGCGGTCTTGTTCCAAATCTGCGAATGGGGGGTCGATTTCCCTGCACTATGGGCACCCGCTCTTGGTCATACATGGCGCATCGGCAACGACATCATTCCTGCCTGGCGCGCTATCTGGCGTACGCTCAACCAAGCGGTTCCTCAGACTTCCTTTGCAGGCCCTGGTCAGTGGCCGGATCTCGATATGCTGGAAGTTGGTAATGATATTCTCACGATTCCCGAGGAACAAACTCATTTCTCACTGTGGGCCATCTTGAAAAGCCCACTCGTCATTGGTGGGGCCTTGAAGGATGGGTTGACCTCAATCAACAAGGACTCTCTTGCCATCCTATCGAACAAGGATGTGATTGGGTTCAACCAGGACTCTCTCGGTAAGAGTGCTGAGTTGAAGCGACGTTGGTCCGAAGAGGGATATGAGGTCTGGAGCGGCCCTCTTTCTAATGGGCGAACTGTGGCTGCATTGATCAACTGGGCAGATGAGTCTAGAGAGCTGACCTTGAATTTACCGGATATTGGTGTTCAATTTGCTGGCCAGATCAAGAATATCTGGGCAGGCAAGTCGGTGCGAAACGTGAAAACGGCATATACTTCTACTGTCCAGCCTCACGGAGTAATGCTACTGGAACTTGAGGACACTATCTCTGCGGGCTCATACAGCGGCAAAGTTTTTGCAAAGACTAGCGGGTAAGTTAAGTGGCGATAGCTGGTATGTATGGGTACATTGCGCTCACAGCCGATAGAAATACTTATACCTTTGAGTCGATATATGCAAACACCACGAGCAGTGATTATACCATCCTCGTTCAATTCACCAGTGCCACGTCGAAGCAATCAAACCTCAAAATTACGAATTCCTTGGATGCAGCTACGCAAACTGTTTCAGTGCCAGCTTCTCAAAAATCAGCATCCTCAAAGCTCACTCTTACTGCTGGAGCGAGCAACAAGCTTGTCATAGAATCTGCTAATACCATCAAATCGATTGAAATCCAGGCCCCGGTAGGAATGTATTATCCTTGCACCGCATTTTCGATTTCCGGTTCTGCCGAGATTGAAACTTGCGACTCAGGATTTTGCAAGCCCACCGGCTCTAAGCTATCATACATCAACAGCTCGAACAAAGCATCTGCAAACATTCAAGCCACGCTACCAGCAAGTTCTAAGAACGAAACAATCCAAAAGTATATCGAGATCGACTTCACAAATAACGATATTGCGCTTTCGACATCTTGGGGGCTGGGTTCCAACTCGCGCAACATCACAATTTCTGTCAACGGCGACGAGCCTGTGCGACTGGAAGTACCGTTATCAGGAAGACATAGTGAGCTCTTTGGTCCCGGAAAGGGATGGTGGGACACGTCGACCTTAGGTCTTTTGGTTGGCGGGTGGAAGAGTGGCGACAACGTTGTGGTTGTCGGGAACGAAGCAGGCTCTGATGCTTTTCAAAGCTATGGGGCAGACTTCGTGGGGTTGAAGGTTTTTGACTAGCTTTATTCGCCCCTAGGATACGAGATGCTTGATTTGTGGGTCTCCTTCAAGTTGGCTCTATATTTTTAGTATTGAATGAAGCTCTAGTATGGAGAATTGCCAATTAAAAATTATATCTTTAAATCAGCCTAGCCCTGGAGTGTCTTTGACCCTTTTTAAAAATGAGACATTATTGATAACATCCTTTGATCAACGCACATAGCAAGCGGGTGGTAATGCCCTTCTAGAAACAAAAAAAAATTACATAGCACGTAGGCGTATCAAAACAAGGCAAGCCAAAATACCACCTTAATCCCTGTCAAGCAGTTCTGGCCCATCAAACACGCGGCCTCCAAACACTTTCTAAGAACTCGCGAACAGTCCTTGGCTTGAAGCCCGGAAATTTGTCTCCTAGTCGGCCTTCAATGGGTAAATTAAACCCTTCCGCGAGATATAGCTGGTAGCCAAAAACAGCATAGGCGTGTTGTTCTTCAGGTTGGATGCCACTTCCTTCGACAATTTTCATGGTGGGAACGTCGCCATTGGCAACATCCTCTGGTTTCAACCAGGTGACATTAAATTTCTCGCCTTTGATAGAGGTTAGAAACGCACATGACTCATAATTAAGAAACACACTTACCACAGACTTCTTCTGCTTCCTTTAGAGCTTGCCCAAGAGTAGTATCCTCTCCATTGCAAAAGCTGAACTCTGACCACTCATCGAGCTCGAGTAATTTTGCAATTAAGGTCGCAGCATCGTAGCTATAGATCAGAGTTATCCTAGCTGTCCCATCGCCAGGAATGCATGCTTCGCGATTATACACGTCAACGGCGATAGTGTTGGGGGTGATATTTGACCGTGCTTGTGGGGCTCCCATAAAGTCCATGAAAGCACCACAAACTGGTCGAGTATATTTCAAACTGCTATTCTTAAGAAGATTCGCAGCTGTTATAAACCAGTCAACCCCGGGATCTATATTTTTCCTCCTGGAATCAGACAATTAGTGATGGGATCAAGTGAAGAGCCTGGCTTGATTGGAGAGTAGTACTCAGCACGCGTCATATAGCCAAACTCGCTGGTGATGAATCTTTGTACTGTGCTTGCTTGGTCGGCAGCCTTGATCAAGTTGATTTGGGACTCAGAACAGTCGTCTCCCAGCATTCCGATGGTACAAATAACGGTCTGTACTTCATTCTCCTCCAGCTTTTGCACGAGTGCCGGGATGTCATCATAGTCTACTTGCACATACGGCACGCCGCTGAGTGCCGATTCAACGTGTTCCTTCGTTAAACTGTCAGATAATGCATCCTATTGGGGATGTGGGTCTGGACAAAACTTACGCTTCGAGTCAACCCAATGACTGGGAATTTATTTTCGTGTTGGATCTGTTCAACGATTGTTCTTCCAACGCGACCTGTCGCGCCAGCTACCGCAACTGTTAAACCCATGGTTAATGTGAGGTGTTCATGATCGGTCTTGATCTCTGAATCAGATCTGCGGGGCAATTCAATAACACGTGAGTCGCTTAATCCCACCCAGGTGGGCTGTGTTGCATTACAGCATCACTTCCTAAATAGGAAATAAATGGAGCCACCCACTTTCGAGCCCCATAGTATCAAGCCACCAAAAGCTCGACAAAGTTCATCTTAGACATACGTCATTACCAGTTGCAGCGAACAGAGTTTAGGAACGCAGTATATCTCCATAAAAGCGACAAATTTCAGGGATAGCTATTTCGACTTGTGCGTACAGAGCATATCTCCACGAACCCCGTCTTACTTACACCTCAATTTGCCCATCAAGAATAAGGTTCGTTAGCGAAAAGCCCCACAAAGCAAAAAAAAAAAAAAACAAGGAGATTGCTCAGAAACAAAATACAAAACAATTCAGACCGGACGAATCAAAGATACATAGGACAAACCGATTGTCTGGGCATTTCTCTAGCGCTGCATAATCCGTCCTTCATAAACCCTCGTTTTGCCCACTTCTGACGCCATGCAATGGAATGTGGGGTCTATTGAATGTATGGATCCGCGCACTCACCACGCGTTCGTGACAAGATAAACACGACAATCAGAGGTTCGCGGATGTCAATCTTTGATCCACTTGAAAACGGCAAAACCTCTGTGCTTCTACCGTTATCATAGAATGAATGAAACACGTGAAATTGGATGATCGTGCACGGTGACATGCCTCAACCTCCTTTTTGGGTTGACAAGGCTTCGATGGGTCTTGCGAATACTATTGGCAATTATTGAATATTGTATCTCTTGCTTGGTATCGTACTCCGTAAGTTATGGACATGAGGATAGTCGTTACGGAGTAGAGCGAGTGCTATTATGAATTGACCAACGTTTAGTTATTTTGGTGTGAACAGGCTCTTAATAGTTGTGGGTACCACTTTATGTGAACACCTGGAATTCCGATTTGCGGCAGAATACGGATTAGGTCATAATATGTACTCCGTACGTGGCTTGGAATATGGTGTACGGAGCAGTCACGATGTTATCTTATGTGATAATAATGAACAACCTATCCACAGTTCCAATATTGAATGATTTGATATTCGTGTTTAACATGATTTCGAAAAAGCCTCGGCCTTTCTGGACGTCGAAGATCGTCATGACTTCAAACCTCATAAAACAACATACGCCCGCAGAGAGGTTTCTTGATCGAGGTTTGAATTCCAGGGCCCTTCATAAATTAGACTGGACCAGCCTGCCAGGAATAGCTATCAACCTCCCTGGGCGCATTTATTGTTGGTGCGCAATCAATACTTCTCCAGGAGCCGCTGCCTCTCCGGTAAGATATTTTGATCTTGAAGAAATGTTTTGTAAGGCGCTTTTGGAATGGATAGTGTTCCATCTTCCTCCCACAGCTCGTAGTCGATTTCCTCCCAAATCTCAAGTTTACGAGTGAAATTTGAGTTTGGTTTGATGTTTCGCTTGGTTCGAACAAAACCCAATACATCTGCCAGTGGTGACTCAAACTTGCGCATGAGATATGCAACAATGGCGTATTGTAGTGATAGTATTGCTTTGCAGAAGATCCAGGTTGTATGAGACCTCGAAATTTCTAAGGTAGAGGCTTGGGAGTATCTCCCACATTTTGGGTCCCTTCATGTTGTTCAAGTTGGTGGCGCGGTCGTAGAGGTTGACATGCATCGAAGCGGAGGAACGGAGGGGAGGGGATTCGGAGATTGTGGTCTTGATAAACCTTGGAAGGATACTATTAGCGGAATCAAAAGAGACTCGGAGATGTGAACAGACAAGGTCAAAGTGTCAGAGGTTTTCAATACCTAAGTAGGTATCAGCAGAGAACCTCAGAACTTGAAGCAGCACTGGCAGATATTACCTATGTAGTAGCAACCTTGGAACCTTGGAAGACGGTGGTCCACGTCTGGTGTTGACGAGGAAAGAGAGCTGAAAAAGATTCGACTGGAGCTCTTTCCGAGGTTCCAATTTGAACCTTGGAACTTTGGTTGGAACGGAAGTTGAAGTTGTGGCATGCCGGGTGGTGGTTACCTACCTAAATAGGTACTAGTTAGTACATGTCGAACCACCCGTGCACCTTCCAATTTATTGTATATAGGAAATAAATACCTCCCTAGGTAGGTAAGCACAGGAGCTTTTACACTAGTAATCAGGTTGGGGTGCTCATGTCAACATCAAATACTAGTACTAAGCATGTGCACAACTGAAAGCCGAAAGTAAAGTCATGGATCTATACTAGTATTTGATTGAAATGAGGCTCCGCATATTTTCTACAATACTCAAGTACGTACTAAGTACCAAAACAGAAGACCTAGGTCGTTTCAAGTCTGGAGCCTGGTATTTTGAAGAATACACTGGCACCTGGGCATATTGAGGACGAGAGGAAGTTCCAGGGTTTTTATATACCTATCTGATTATGGCAAACACAATATGTGCACTACCAGGATGCACTGCGAGACCGGCATCTCCACCGGATGGATATATGGATCATGACAAAAAAAAATGCAGATAATGAGAAAAAAAGACCAAATAAATCATGCAAACGTTCAGTTAGAGCTCTTGACTGCATTCTTCACCATGTTGGCGAAGTTCGGAGTTCCCAGACCAGTGACGGGGTCCCATCCCTTAGTCGCATTCCAGCTGGCGTAGGGGACACTAGGGCCACCGTTCTGCGGGCCATTGAAGCGGCCATTGCCATCACAGCCAGTGCTTCCGCCGTTAGTGATGTCGTTCAGAACGGAAGATGCGTCCGAGTAGAGCCAGGGGTTAAGGAAGCCCATGGTGGACTGGCCGGCTTGAATCCGGGCATCGTTGAGAAGGGCGATGATTCCGGCAAATGCAGGCGCCGATGCAGAGGTTCCGTCAACCCGGGTAAGCTGACCCTTCTCATAGATGGCGTAGTTCTGGCCCTGGGCGGAAACATCGGGGAATGCACGACCCTTTGCGTTGAAGAGTCCCGACCACTGGTTGCCCAGGCTGTGCAGATATGAACTGACGGCTGCTTCCTGATACTTGGGGCGCTCCCACAGGTCTGAGAAGCCTCCAGAAGAAAAGTAAACGGCCTTCTCGGGAGATGTCTTGGTCGTGGCGCCGACGGAGGTCACCCAAGGGCAGGCGGCAGGGAACTGAGGAGGGAAGTGAGTTGCGTTCCTCCCATCGTTGGTCTCGCAGGCTGAGCCCACTCCAGAGTCACCAGAGGAGAAAATGATAGAAACACCGCGGCTACCAAGCTGGGCGTACAAGTTGCAAACAGAGCGCGCGTATTTCTCAGGAACACTCTGATGGCGAGTTAGCATGGGCGATATCAAGAATTCTGGAATTCTCTGGAAAGATTTACCTGCTCATCCTCTCCATACGAGGTGGAGATGACCTGTGGCAACTCGTCATTGCTCATCTTAACAACGTTCTGGAGGAAGTCAAGGTATGGCTCGTTATTGTTATTATTGATATCAGGCTGGTCAAGATCGGGCACAAGAGGTCCGCGGCCACCAGTGCTGAATTCGGTGACAGGAACAGGAGAGCTCAGACCGACAATGGTTTGCAAGTCCAAGTTGGCCTCGCTACTGTCAGATTGAGAATTCTGGTCATTGCCACCACCGTGAAATTCGATCACAGTGAAGTTGTCGCCATTGGCATATGGGGCAAGGTTCTTTTCAAAGAGAGCAAGATCCTCGTAGCGGGCATATTGTTCCAAATAGCTCGCAAAGGCAACCTTATTTCCATTATCGGATTGGGGCTTGTAGTCACCAACGTTGTAGATACTTTTCAGGCACTCCGGGGTGATGGCAGTGTCGCAGCTCGCGGAAGGAGAAAGAGCCGCCTTCTTGAAAGCTGCATCAGCAGCCTTTGCCTTGCTGTGCATAGTGGCACGGTTCGGCTTCAGCTGACCAAAACGTGTTGTAGGCGAGACAACATTCACGTGAGGAATGACATTCTTTGGAAGAGAGTATTCGAGAGTGCGCAGACGCTCAACGTGCTTGTGATGGTTGACGTAATATTGGAAGTTTGCATCTAATAGATCATTTGCCTTCTCGACAGTGGTGTGGACTGTCAACCAGTCGGCGTCGCGCTGAACATCCTTGACACCGGCATCTTCGAGCCAATTCTGAACGCTGTGTAGGGAGTCCTCGCTAGGTTGTAGCATGCGTTTCATCTCATCGTGCGATTGGAAATGTTTGCCGTAGTCTCGGTGGCCGGGTGTTGACATGTCTAATAGAGCATTCTCGAATTCGTGTAGACCTTCTTGGGTCAAGCCGAAATTAAGTTTTATGGGTTGATTCGCAGACGGTGTGCGACTGTAGCGCCATCCTACGAAGTAAAATATAATTAGCCTCGGCTTTGTCTACAAATTATCAACCAGCACAGAATACATACCGTCAGGAACACCAGGTAGACTCTCGAAAACATCTGCCGCAGCAGTGGAGGCGAGCAGCGAGATGACTGCCAGCGACAAGCTGCCACCGTTCAGAAGTGAGGCAAGCATAGCGATAAGGACCGTGTAGCACTAAGAGGCAGCACGATTCGACCCCGAAGATGCAAATGCCAAAGTATAAATAGGGCAATGAGTCTGGAATGGACGAGACAAGGGGAGGAGGGGTCGTGGAGGTTTTATTTATTATGGTTGCATTGGAAGGGAGAAAGAGCGATGCAAAGAATGCAGAAGAGTGGCGCAAAGTCACAACCCCATTCTACTAACAAGCTAACAATCGACACTATCGGGCTCTTCACCAATCTCTTGGCCTTGCTTGAAGGGTTCCACTACTCCTCATGTGGACCCAGAAAGCCCCAGGGACCGGAGGTCCGTCGGCAGCAATCCAGGAACCAGCCAATATCCAATCAATCAACTCTGCGGTTCTGCAGGATGCCGTGAGGTCGCATGTTCGCACGATTGACCCTCCCGCGTGCTGCCGCACTCGCGAAATGACGAGGGCAGATGGCCAGTGATGTGACTGGTATTCTCCCTTTACCCAGGCAACATACGACCCTGAGCGCGACGCGACCGACGCCACTCCGCTCCGATCTGCAGGGGAGAGACCCACTTGTTTGAGACGCCAATAAAGTGAGGGGCAGGGAGAGGTGAATGACGGGGCTGGGGTTTAATTTTTTGAGCATCTACTGGGGTCAGGGTCAATGATCAGATGTACAAACTAAGAAGTAATTTTTAGTGTAACGGTCACTATGGACGATGCAGCATGGCTCTTTCCAACCGTATAAAACGACCGCAGGCTGGTGGTGGGATCTAAAATGTGACCGTCGAACTCTGCCAAGAAGCACTCACTTGGCGTGATGAGCGTTGGTTGCGAGTGGGTTACATTTGCACGAAAAATATCCCGTGCAGTTCCTAAAAGCAAAGCAGAAATAAGAAATCTAGTAGTTCCAGCTAGTGGCACGCGAAGCTTTTGGGATCTTACATTGTGCGGAGTACTCAGTACACAGAGAAAGACGGGGAGTCTGGCCAATCGCGGTCTATTAGATAGCTATGTAGACCTGTATGAGCTACTACGAAGTGTGTATGTAGTTCGAAGCCAGGGTGATGTACGTATCAAACAAATAGCAGCAAACTATCGTTTCCGTCCAACTGTGGATTTTACGCGCAAATGTTGATCACTATTCAATCTATTTATTGGTAAAAACCACGCATTTCTCGACGCAGTACCCAGCTAGGCAGGCAGTCATCTGGTCTCCGACGGACTATGCAAGACATGGCTTTAATTGAATTCTAGTTTGTCCTGTTGGCACGGAGTCCGGCGGCAAGCCTGTGCCTTTTTTAAGGCGCCTAAATTGCCTACTAGTGCGAAATAGATACCAACTTGTACTATCTGGCCCTGGAGGAGTACTGCGATATGGATGAACACTACTAGTACTAGTGTGGGCAGTCTATACAGGCAGAACAATTAATTGTCTATGAACTACTAGTACCAAATTCAACTATAAAGGAGATGTGTCTAGGTGCCAGTGGATACCGATCTTGAACGGGCCCGGGTTTAATTTGGCTTGTGCCAACCAATTTGGAAGCCATGACTTCAAAAGTTTATTGGGAGGGATAGGCTCAACACGAAATTTCTAGTAGTACTACAAGCCATCTAACTCCCGAGGTTGGGCACAACTTCAAGCTGAAATTCCAAAGGGTTTCTGAATTGATTATAAATTTATCCTTAGCGTCTGAACAGCGACGCAAAAAGAACAAATACAAAAGAATTATGTACAATTTGCATGAACCAAGCAGTAGCGATCTACATGACCGGGCCAGGCTATTACTTATAGTCAACTGTCGCTTCCTGTGTCGGCACAGGGGATCCGGAGTCCTCCAAGTGCTGGGCATATACCATCTGAGCAATCGCATCTTCTGTCTGAAGATATGTGCGGCCACCTCGAATGAACCAAAAGGCGACCGCAATGACCAGCATAACACCAAACACGGCAATGGCGTAGTTCATGTCGCTAGGCGCTGGGTTTGGAGCACCCGGGAACAGGAAGAAGATGGTTGTGATGATGCAGTAGACAATACTGACCCAGTTGAACCAGGGGCCCCAGCGACCAAGACGGAAGGGCCCGGGAGGCAGCTTGTCACGACCAGTGATGAGGAGTGCAAGGATGGGCATGGCATAAGAGACAGTCAAGGCAATAGTGCTGACACTCAAGATGGCCTCGAGCACGGTATTGGCAAACAGGTACAAGATGCCAACAATGGCAATAATAACACCCTGACCCCAGAGAGCGCGGGCAGGAACTTGCCAAACAGGGTCGACATGACTGAAGTATCGGCTCCAAGGGAGGCCACCGTCACGAGCAAACCCCCATGACAGCCTAGAGGCGGTGGTTAGAACGCTGATTCCCTGTCCCAGGCCGTTGAAGATAAAGAGGGAAATCAAGACAGCGCTGCCCTTCAAGCCAACGGTCTCAAGCATCAGCTCCATAAATGGTAGGTCGGCTCCGGAGACGTTATCAACATTCTGGATACAGAACAGGCAGACTACCATGAAGATAAATCCAGTGATAGCGCCGAACAGTACCGCCATCCAGATAACACGGGGAGCATTCTTCCGCGGCGCGGGAATTTCCTCGACCATATGAATGACTGAGTCGAAGGCTGTCAACCCATACGCCGCCTGCACAAGACCGGTGAACCAAACAACGCCATCACTCCATCCGGTCTGGTTTATCCATGCGCCAAACACGAAAGAGGGGGGCTGGAATTTCAGTTCACTCTTGACGCCAACGCAAATAAGCATCACCATCGATAGAACGATGAAGAGCCCTGCAAACCAGACACCAACGAAGTTATTGATCCACGGCAGGATCTGCTCACGGCGGCAACTAACCACGTTGATTGCGGTCAAAAGGAGGACGACGCCGATATAGACGACAAATTGGAGCCACCCTTGACTAGCACCGGACCACTCAGGATTGAACATCGTCTTCATGCCCAACAGAAACTCGGTCATAAAGGCGACTTGCGAGGCGGTTAATGTCCACCATCCGAACGTGTTGATCCAGGCGCACATATATGAAACAAAACGGCCGAGAGGTGTGGGCCACAGACGGTAGACCCAGTAGGCCTGTCCAAGGGCCGTAGGCATACTGCTGGTTAATTCACCGAGCGAGAGGGCGACACAGAGGTTACAGGCCGTGACCAGCACCAGGCCCCAAAGAATGGTAATGGAGGCGCCATTGGAGAGACCGCTGCTCAAATCTTGAGCAAAAGTCGAGTATGTTCCTGGAAATCGAATTTCGTCAGCGTGTTGAGAGAGATACCTCAAGGTGGCGACTCTCGCCGCTTGCCACCTGGAGGGGACGATGATGATGGTGCATACCGAGAACACAGAAAGCCAGAGCAAGCATACTCCAGATGTTGAATTTGCGTGTCAGCGCCTGGGCATGGCCCATCGCAGCCAGGTCGGTCGCATCTTGCACATCCTGCTCATCTTCAATGGGTGGCTTAAGGGGAAGCGAATTCGTTTCAACGTCCATCATACTTCAACCTGAGGCAATAAAGATCAATTCAGCGTAGAGACGAGTAAGAGATACGCCCATTTTCTGCCAAAGCTTGATCAGGAGAAGAGAAGGGAGCCTTCTGAGATTGGTATCCTGGGATTATAAGTGTATCTCTGTCCCTCTCAAGACGGAATCCCGCGGTGAACAATCGCCCCCTCACACACGGACCATGCAGTATCAGTGTCGCGTTCTCTTCCCCCAGGAAAAATACGGGGCACAGATAAAGCTGGGGGTGGAGCGAACCAATGATAGACTCCACGGAAGTTAGATTGAGTGGACACAGTAGAAATTGGTCACGCAGACAACCAATGTTGGTCATAGAATCGATCAACTTTGGACATTTTTCCTTCGTTTTTTTTTTTGCGGGGGGCGGAACAGTGAGAGATCCACAAATGGCACCGCCCTCGGCAGGACTTTCTTGAGTGAGCCACATCAATACTATCATGACTCTATACTCTCCACAGATAAGCAGGGGATAGAGTCTGATAAATACCATGGATCCGGCATTTTAAATAGCAATTGAATACAATATAGAATGTAGATAGGGAGATTGCCATAGCAAGTTCTACTGATCTAGTTGTTGAGAAACCATCAGGGTGATATGCCATACGCATTTCAGGCTATATCGCGGCTTGTGCTACTTACCTTTAGTATCCACTTTATGTGGTGGTATCATCCACTGGTTGAAGAATATTCAAACGAAAGCCATTTCTCAGCAGACACAAATAAGCATATCTGTAGGGTCATGCAGCCATCCGCCATCCGCCATCCGCCATCCACCATCGTAAGCAATCGAGGCGCGAATTGACGGGTGGCAACACTAGCTTAAAACGGAAAGTACATGCGGAATGATAAGAGAGCCGTTATCGTCAGCGGACAATTGTCCGCTGACTTCCATCCTCTCCCGGATAGTGACAAGGTTATTGTAGGTGATTCAAACATATTATCACCATTATAATTCCGGTAAGACTGAAGTCCTTGATAGCATTTAATGTCTCAGCAGTAGCGGAGCAAATATTCTGCTGCCTTAGACTATACCCTTGACAAGCAACTCAATCGCTAGTTAGCACAAGGAGTACTTCGGAACCATCACAAGGAACACTAAAAGCCACATTCCGTCCCAGGGCCAATCCCGTCAAGCGGTATGTCTGGGCTAAAAGCCTCATTACCAATTGAATCATGAATCAGGAAAGACGAAACGATGGCGTGGGCATTAGGCCGCAGTATATGGAGTATGCTCAAGATCATATATGGGGGAAGGGGGCATAGGTCCCGCATCATCGGGCGCAATGAGAACACATGGAGGAACGTGGCAGTCGATCGAAAGGCAAAATGGACCGAGAGGTAATTTTAGCGATTTCCATCATGCAGACTTGATGATCCGAGAGGGACTTTCCGAAAGCTGGGACCTTTTGGCCGTATTATTGGTCGGTATCGCCGTGTTCGGTGCCAGAATCTCCTTGTCTTTCCCTTTTCGATTCAATAACGAAGACTTGAGTGATAACGGATGAATGCGCGTTGTTGTGATACTATACTCTTGGTTGATGGGTGGTGAAATGCGGGGTGAGTTTATGGCTGAAAGTATTCCAACATACAGTATAATTTGTTTTCGTAGAGTCTTGAGACTGTCCGCGGCAATGAGCATTAATGGCGCCCTCAAAGTCCATGAAGTCTCGCCATTTCGATGATAGTCAGGTACCGTGCAGAGGACCAAGCCTGTTTAGGAATTTGCAGCCAGATCGGCCTCGGCTAGGTGAATCTGGAGCGATATCCGCTAAGGGGGTCGTGGTGGCAGCGGTGGCAGCGGCGGCAGCATGAAAATCAGCGCTAACGATTGATCCCAATTTCTAATCCCATTATTAAAATTCCGCAGCTGATTTCTGCCCTTGTATCAGAAGGCATTTCCCCTTCCAACCTCAAGACAACCTTGGAAGGGGTTTGTGTCTGCTGACCACCTGGGCAGCAACCCGTACATGGGTTTCGGCTCACGGTGTTAGTGGTCAATTGCTTTTGCTCAGGTGATTCTTCCAACCACATCGACTTCTTTGGCAGCAAATTTGCATTCGAAATGCACGCAGTCTCCCATCCTGCGTATCGAGCGTGGTGCCCCCGAATGCTGATGGGGTACTCCGGCGCTCTAGCGGATGCTTCGAACCTGTCGGAGGCCTGTTATAGAGATAAAAGCTGGGCACGAAAGTGGTGATCATATGAAGAGAGCTCAGGTGAAGCTATCTTGGAAAGGGCGGTCTTGGTTGCCCGAGGCGCCCGCGCCTAGGCACCAGCCCTCAGCAGGACCAGAAATTCAAATCGACGTTAGGATTGAGAGTACTCAATCATTTATCATAACATCTGGGCTGATGATGCTAGAGATGATTCATGGTGAGTGCTTGCTGCTGAAGGTTTGGACGTTTTTGAGTTGCAGCATGTCCATCTTCACAACTCCGGTCATCCGGAATCTAAACTTTCCAGAGAGCATTCAAACCTACTCGACATTATATTAGACAATGGTGAGAAACAAATGATCAGAAAATAAATTCGAGAGTCAACTGACCTTTATATCTTGAAGCAACCTGAGGCTGAGTATCGATGACACACAAGAGGCGCAACTTCTGCCCGATCGGGCAACACTAGCGCCGATGCAGTGGACCGGACTACATCTAACGAGCATACAAGTGAGAGGAATTGGACACAAAGAGACAAATCAACCGAGTCTTGGCAATTACATTGATGCTTGACATAACTATCGGATACAGTTCCGACCCATCAAGACGAACGAGAAACACTTTTGTTGTCACCATGACCCGAGAATGACCATATAAAGATGGGAGAGGGAAAGGAGAGAAAGAAAATCACAACCAAAACGCCGCCCGATCCCAACCATGTCACCAAGGTCGCATATAACCCCAAACAACGCCTGATCGACAGATTGTTGCCGATTTTAAATGTACAAGTCGTGTCACGGTCATGAAAAAAAAAAAAGCTCCAACCAGTGGTGGGATCGTGTGTGATGCTCAGGCATCAACTCACACGCGAGGCTGTTTTGAATGACGCCACATTCCACCCGGTAGCAGATTCTGCTTCAGAAGTGCTAGCTCCTTATGCAAAGCTTGGTTTTCCTGTTGAACGTTGTCGATATAGGTGAGTGCGTTGCTGAGAATCTCGGATTTCTTGAGAGAACCAGCCCCGGCTCGCGAGGTCTGCTTATGCACTCCGGCTGGAGATATGGCTTTTTCGAGTGAGAGAAATTTTGCATTCATGTTTGTGCGATAGCGCTTCTCGATGATATTGTGGGCAGCGCGCTTGGCAGCATTGCGTGTCTGAGGGTCTTGGTTGGTTGAGTGATTGGAGTCTTGGGAGAGACTGCGAGTCTTCCGACCGCTAGCTGTTTTTGATTGCTTCTGAGCGCGAGGGGCACTGTATTCTTCAGTCTTGATATCTGGGCTCGAGGACCACCTCGCCGATGAAGTCTGTGAAGCATTCCGAGTGACGGGCTTGTTGGAGGTGACGGATGTCTCGGGCAGGGCGAGATCGATCGATTGACGAGCTCCAGTAGACCAAGATTGATCGTCACTGTCGAGCTCCTGCATCAGGGTTAGCGGTGGCCTTATTTGATCATGCATTAAGCGGCGGGGATTATATATCATACCGAAGAGGGGGAAATGGCATCATCGCCGGCCGGCATTGTGAAGCCGTTAATCGCGCTCGGGGTTCCGAAGGGATCCATGAAAAGATCCTTGGTGTCGGCGTTGGTCATTTCGGAAAAGTCGAATGAAACAGGATCCATATCAGTTGGGTTGACAGAGAACAAATCGATGGCACTGTCATAGGCCCAATTGACGGGCAAGGGGTCGGTTCCCTTGGTGCCAGGGAACATTTCCATCGGGCGCGTTTGTGGACTGAGTTGTTGATTGAGATATCGCTCATCTTCGGCCGTTAAAGTCGACATCACATTCGGTCGACTAAAAGCGGCCATCGTGGAGATGGGAGGAATACACATTGAGAGGACGCTTGTGGTGATCAGTGGTAGGTGGAGTCGATGGTGTGAGAAGTATCAGAAGATATCGAGATGATATCAATGACGAGACAAGTTGGAAGAAATGTGGCGGGACCAAAAGGTTATAAAATAATAATGAATCGATCGAAACAGATATGCTACCATGGAATAAATTTAGGTTCCAATCGGCCGCAGCAGGAATTATATACCTACCCGAAAGATCTTCGTCAAAAATGGACCAGGGGGGATGGGGCAGATTCGGAAAGGATTACGACTGCTTCACGGTCGAATGGCCGAAGCTAGGAGCCGAGATCGACTTGTGATGTCAGGGAAAAAACCAGATCAAAACGAGCAAAAGACCCTGGTGCCACAAACGGTGTCGTCTCCGGGCGCGAAAATCCATTGCGCCCCGGTGCAGGCGAGCCGAGATCATCTTAGCATACCTACTACTAACTAGTATAAATTATAGTTACCTCGAAATAACACGGCCGGCTCCGAATGCAGCCGTCATCCCTTTCTGATGGGCCCCAAGGAAGAGAAAAGGGTGAAACCGTTGAAGACGAGGCCAGCCAGGGCCGGGGCGAATGTCAGCGGTGGAGACCCAACGGACGTCAATCCAGTCAGTTGGAATCGCCAAGAGGCGCCGGCCGAGACTCGGAGCCGAAAAGGCTAGCAATCATTGCTTTATATAGTAGGCCGAAAGTACTTCGTACTTTATATCCCGTGTAAGCGGTTAGTGTGTACAAGGTAGCTCTTACTAAATCATAATGGAGATTCCTGATTGATCCTTCTTATTTGGCCTAAATTCTCGGCTCGAGCGGAAAAATTCATTTCCTGGTTACTCTGCATGTCTGCAGGACCAAGATGATCCCTGCTATGCGACCTGCCAGGGTAAAGAGGACCCGAATGAGGTATTCACACAGCTTAGTTGAAGCAATATAGAATCAAGAATAAAAATCCTATGAAGAAAGTTAAGATTGCGATA